TGAAACCTAAAAATGAAATTTAATAATGAAATTAAACGGCAAAGTAAGATAAAAGGACAAAGATTTTTTAAACACTTTTATTTAAAATCTCATTAGCTAATAATTATAGTAATTTTTATGACTATTCAATTATGTCATTCAATATAATTCTCTCATTTGTAGAGGTCATAGGATTATAGCTTTGATTGGCATTGATTAATCTCAAAAAGTGGGCATTTGCAAATAATTTTGTTGATTGTATGATTTATATAAGAATTTTCTATAATATATTGTTTTTCACAAATCCTCTCAGATTAAAATAATTAAATTTTCAATAAAACATTTTTCAACATCTCAATTAAGCCAGAAAAATTTTTAGGATAACATGACTTTAAAATTTAAATTTAACTTTCTGTTAAAGCTTCTTATGGATATTTACCTGATGAGAACCATAACACATTTTATTGTTTGGAATTTGAAAAATACTATCAAAAGTTGATCTAACTAGTCATAAACTGTTTGAAAATTATAAATATCTTTTTCTGCATAATAATTTATATTTATAATGTATTACACAGATTTTTCCGTCAAAGATCTGTATTAAAATCCAAACAATAATTTCCTTTCCCTGTACCAAATTTGGATCGGTTGCCATATATACATATAAAAAGGTAACCAAAATTAGAGACGCCTGTGAGATACATATAACTTTGATCCAATTTCGCTCGATCCATTTAACCTTTGCTCTTCTCATGGAGCGAGAGCGAAATCCGCTTAATATGATTTGCCTCAGCACACACCATTTAATTTGGCCTCGGCGGTGCAATATCACGAGAAGATTATTTATTTATACAGATAAAGCAGAGCACAAAACTCTCGACATCGAAAGTGTTCTCGCGATGGATGCAGCAAATTATCCTCTTCGGAAAGGATTTTGCAGAGGATGTATTAATGCGGCGCATTGTAAGGATATGGATGAAAGTTTTTTTTTTAGTTTGCTGCATGGTATCACGCCGGCGGAGTTGGTGGCATTACGTGAGTGAGTGATGTTCAGGCGAGATTCTTTGCCAGCGAAGTGGAAGTGATATTGCTATGTTTATGAATTTGTACAACTCTCTATTTGACCATGAATTAAAACTCAAAACCAATTAAAGCTTTTAAAGTTTCTTTATCTTAATGAACAAATAATTAAAAGATTTAATAGAATGTTACCAATAGAAAGAAAATTGAATAAAAAAAATCACAAAACGCACACATTTAAAATTTAAACTTGGATTTATTTTGAATTAATTTGCATTGAAAATTTATTCTGCACTAAATAAAATCATGCATCGTGCTCATAATTATTTAGAAAAGCATAGAAGATTATTGCTATCTTTAAAAATAAAAAAATACTACAACTCATAAGTCATCGCAAAAACCACAAGAAACAGAATGTGTGTGAAAATGAAATGCAAAATTGGAGAAAGCCTCAGCGATGATTGATTATTTTTATTGCAGGTGTGCGCATCAACCTTTAAAGCTCGTCGTCATGTTACAAATTATTTTTATCGTTCAAGGCGCCAACACATTTCATTAATATTTATAAAATGATTATTTTCACAGCCAACCGTGAGATGTTGGAAAGTATATTGGCAGCTAGATGAATGACAGCGCCAATATGTGCGCTACTTTATCATCTACTTTTTATTCAACGAGGCCGATTTCATTCATAAGGTCGTTCTTTGAACCTACTGCAAGCGTTTTAGTACGCCAAACAAAATGAAAAAAATTTTAATCAGTAAAAAGCTTCATGATACAAATTTACTACAAGAAGTATTTTGTATTTCTTTCTGAGAACTATCTGGCCCCAATATAAAGTCATCCAGTCACAAAAATGCAAATTTTTTTATCAGCTATAATAGTTGATCATCTCAAACAAACTTATACCAACGGGTTTTAATCTCCAAGACGTCAACAGGCGAGAAATTAGATCATGACACTTAGCCACAGGCGCAATGATCAAGTTAACCGTGGAATTTTGAGTTTATGCATCTAAAAACTCTTTTAAAAATCTTCTCACTGACCTCATTTTATATTGAAATCAATGTCTCTTCCTGTTTGTATAATAATGCTAGAAGCGCGTCGTTGTCCGTTCTTCTCTCATCTTTTCCCACAAGCTTTTTACTTATGTAACATTAAAACGAGTGCTGTCGGCTACTTGATGTAACAATTTTCTCCAAACAAGTGTATCATATTTAATAGCCATAATAGATGAGTTGGGCGAGGTGGTCCAGTTTCCACAAGGCGTCGTTGAATAATCACTTTCGAAACTATTTCTTAAATAATCGCTTCTTCTTGTCCCGAAGGCACCGAACCGCACTTTTATGATCGTGCCATTGCCTACGCCAACGTGCATTCACTAAATCCTCTAATAATTAATTTTTAGATCAATACTGCGCATGATAACTATCAGAACATATAAATTGTCCAATGCAATTTTTTTTTCTTAAAAAAAATAAAGTAAATTAAATTTGTTTTTAATCATTTAACCCTCATACAAACCTATAATAATCTATAATCAAAATACTATATTTTCAGCAGTTTTGTTATTCTTCAGTGGCCGATAATTAAAGAATTTGAACTGTAGTAAAATTTCTCAGCTGAGAGAAATCTGTTTTTAATTCATAGATAAAAGAAACACAGCGTTAAAAGATACATGCATGTGATACCTGATACGCGCACTATCCAAAAAGCTCTCTCCATCTTCATCCTGTTGAAAGCAGGACAATAAATTTTGAAATTGATGGACCGCTTTACTCAAGTTTTATTCTTATAAAACCAGCACAACTTTTAAAATATTTTATTTAGAATTTATTTTTATATCAGTTAATTGTTTTTAAACAATTATTATAAAATAAATATTTGCAGAAAAATTGAGTAATGGTAATACTTACTCTCAATAAGTCAATTTAATTGTTTGAAACTAGAATAAAAATGATACTTTATTTTTTACTTACGTAGCAATATGTTTTTATTTTAGCTTTAATTCTCTTTAAAAATTAAAACTTACCCCAAGATATATTAAGAAAAAAAATATAATTATCTGTATATATACTTTAAAAATAAAAACACGGAAACAGAGCATTTTAAAAAATAACTTTGGGCGTTGGTAATTTTGTTTAATCAGCATGGGAAAGAGTTAAGAAAAGCTCTCGCGACTACTGCGAGAGATGCAGAGGCTGCCTTAAAAGACGCATGCATCTCTGGTAAAGGACGCGACTAGACACCGCAGTGGAGAACGGGGTCATTGTGTCGGGAGAGCTCTATGGGCCGACAAGAACTTGCCGAGAGCACCGCGCATCCTCGTTAAAGCAGTCGTCTCGCTAAAAAAATTATAAAGCTCCTTTCATCCTTTCACTTGCACGGGTGGCACCGCACACAAGCACATATCCACAGCACTGAAATGATTATGCTGAGATGAGTCGATGGAAAAGCATTCGCTTTCCTCCGCAATTCAGAAACTGCACCCATATTTTATACTATAATGCGCCTATATAATTATGTAGCCACGAGGGCTGGGTAAAATGTTGAATAGGGATTTGGAAGTTACAAATTTTCGTAAAAAATTGTTTGTAGCACTGGGGTAACGTCTGCAACGTGCGTGGCTTTGCCTTGCTTGCCAGTCACATAAGCACGGGCCTATAACTCCGCGTGCGAGTTGGCTGGATTTTAATATCCTTCAAATCTTTTAATTAAAAAAAATATTAAATAAAACGACTTTCCGCCGCGGAAGTTATTAGATAAGCAACATAAAATATGTTTTAGGGGATAGTAACCGAGAATTACCAGAATTTAATTTTTTAATGCATTAGCTATAAAAGTGCTTTCTACACATTCTCATTGTATAAATAACCAATTAAACAAGATAACACCAGTGCAGAATTAGTTATTAGAAGAGCGCGTCATACAATTTTAATTACATTTTCGGAGTTGTACTTTTTATTACTATATTTATCTTTAATCTCGTGTTGTTCCTCGCGCGTTTTTAATTTAATTTTGCTCTGATGTTCGCTGGAGATTTCCTCTGTGTAACATTGATATTATATATCTTCCGAGGCTGCTTTCCGCCAGCTTAGAAATTGGAGAAAGAAAGGTAGAAAGAAAGGCTCCCTGCGCAACCTTGAAAAGGTGCAGGTGCAAAAATGGTGCGAAGTGCTTTATAGTGCGCTGACCCAGGTGAACATCGCGTCAGGTCCGTTCACGAGGCACAGTGACCTTTGCTACTAGAAGTGCCCCCATTCCTGCCGCACCAGAGGAGAAAGCGAAATGTGCGGACAAAGAGTCCACAATTAATGGAGAGAGAAAAAACAAAATTATAATCAAAATTAGATTTTAGCAAGAATATTGCAGCTCTGTAAAATTGCAATCATACATTATTTTACTGTCTTCTAATAAATTTTCATAGAATATAATATACAATGTGGTGCAGAGCAGCACTGATTGCATTCAAAATTTTATCAATTTAAATCTGAAGCACGTATTACTTTGTCTTTCCATAAAGATGTAAAAAACTAATTGAAAAATGTTGTATTTTTTTTGTATTTGTGAAAACTTTTTTAAGTGAATTACTGAAACTTTGAGAAACAAAGAATTCAATTTTTGGATCACACTCTGTGCACAAATTTGAACTTGAAATTAAAAATCAACAATTTGCCTAAAGGGATTATTTTGCTTATTTGCAGAAAATAAAAAAAGCGATTAATTGAATAAATATTATAAAATTGGAATTAAATGTCTGTTTTTGTGGAAATGCAATTATAAATTTTCTGCAGGCAGAAAATTGATTTTCAATTTGTCAAAATTTTATTGATCACAGAGGTTGTTAATTGAAATTGTGTTGCAGTAGTGTTTTGTTATTTATCTCATTTCTTTTCTTATTATTTATTCTTCTCCGTCGATTCTTATTGAGTAGAAGTCACTTGATGCCAATTGGGATGGATGGATGGAAAGGTATGAAATGAAATTAAAAAAACTTTAGGTACATATGAACCTTTTTAATTGTGAAAACAGTTTTGCCAGTTCTTTATTACAAACCTGGAGTGGAGTCTCTTGAAAATTACACAATTACAATTATGTACAACACCATGATTATTAAATTTGCAGTTTGGTCACTGAAAATTCGAACAAGTATCATCCCTCTAACACAACTAAATTTTAGTCTTTAATTGTAATCTTCAGTTTATTAGTTAGAAATACTAACTAGGAGCGACTATACACATATCATGTTTCATCAAATGTACACAATACTCAAACTAGTGCCAAAAGTTTGCTTTTGTACTTGGCAAGATCAAATCAGCTCCTTTCATTTACATAATTATTTCAGAGCGAATGACTGGCTGTTTTTTGTATAACAGCAAAAACAAATTCGCTGTTATGCCACTTTTCTTGCTTCACTCTCAGATACGAGTGATTTAAAGCGAGCTGCAAATTTTGACACTAAAAGAGAATGGCAGTGTTTAGCTAACAGATCAATCATTTGGTTATGGATTTGTATGCAATATTTATGCAGTCTGTCCAGACGCAAAAAAAAAAAAAAAAATAATAAGGGAAAAACAACAGAAATGGTTCCAACGGCTAGCAGTTATAACACCATCACATTTCAATGTGAAATACAAAATGTTCATAAAAAGGGAAGAAACAAAAAAGGCTTCAACGATGAGAAAAATAAATATTTTTATGATGAACCACCTAATTATAATTGCTTCTCTTCATTTCTTATCTCCTACCACAACATCCAGCTTGTAACTTCTGGGACAACTAACACAATTTTTTCTCTTAGAGTTTTACAAGCAAAACTTATTCAGATTTATCTCCAATCCCTCTCAGGGCATCGTCTTAAGACGTGAAATTTTTAAATCCTATCACTTGAATTAGGAAAGCCAATACATAGACCATCAATTTGTATTAACAGTGCCTTCTATGCCAAACAGCTGTTTCAAATCCAAAAGAAGTTACAAACTAACATATGAAAGGCCATCAATGAAAAAAAAGAGCAGCATCTTCAAAATCGCTGAGGAATACTAGCGGGGCACAAAATTTTCAGGTAGTCTGGATACACTTTGCACAATTAGAAACCTATGACCGAAGAGCACGTGATTTATTCATGCTGAAAAATTACTTTTGTGATTTAACTTTTTAACTGCTTTTAACATAATATCACAGATGGAAATACTCATTTTGTCCAGGTTTCAATTCTTTGTGTGATTCGTGTGATTGTAAACAACAAAAGTTTCAAAAAGACATTATATAAACACAGTATGAGAAATGTTTGGATTAAAAAGCTATTTATTGAACAGCTACAGTGTATCAAACTGAATATTTGGTGTTAAAGATTTATACTTTCAAGATGTGAGCATTTTGTTAATTTACATTTGACTGCACAATTAAAATGAATGAAAATTTCGTAAGTGTTCCTACTACGAGAATATCTGTAGTCCAATAAAATGGCCAATAGTGCGATTAAAGACTTCATAATGTTGGAATAAGTGGGAATAAAGTTCCAGTTTAACAAGTCTTTAGAGCAAATTCTTTAGAAATTACATTAACCACTGCTTGAGCAGGCAAAAATCATCGTAAGGATCAAATCAAAGGTAATTTGGACATCGTAATCACCTACATTGTTGAAAGTTGGTCTTGTACCACAACCAAAACTATTGGGGCCCTCTCGGAGGCCACTTTTGCTTGCCACCACCATTATTCCTGCCTTGCTGTTGGTAGTGATTGTTAAAGAAATTGGGCGGTGGTAGCGAAAAGTTTTGCGGCACTCCTCCTGGAGGACCGTACATTCGCGTTCGGTCCAACATTTGAGGTCTTTTGTTGACGTTGTTGAAATGTCGAAACCTCTCCTCAGTACTGTTAGATCTGTGCTTCAATGGCGGGGCTGGGTGGTATGGTCTGTTGTAATCTTGATGGTAGTCTTCCCTGTGGTGCCAACCTCCGTAATCCTTTCCTTTTGGTCTGAATCGTGGAGCTTGATTTCCAGAACTTCCAGATTCATCTCGGCCCCAGTATTCTCTGTCGCGGAACTTCTTCTTGGGCAACATGGCTGGTTCAGGAGTTGGCGGTTTCTCTTGCCCATGAGGTACAGGAGGTGGACTAAAAGCATGTGATACAGGAGCAGCTGGATTTGACAAGGGTCGCTCGTTGGAAGGTGAAGGAGTGCGGGGAGGACCTGAGCACTCAAGCTCATCTTCTTCCTCCGGAATATTTGAGGTTGCTGTAAGAGGTGAAGAAGCAGCTTCTGCAATCGTCAGAGCAATTGGGTTCTTTTTTGGTAGACGGGAGATCTTTGGATTGGGGCTGACGTTGCCTTTGATGGGTGACTTGGAAGGCTCGGATGAAGATGCTGGTGGTGCAGACGTCTCCCTACCAATGCCACTGTCGGGACTTGTGTTGCAGCTGAGGGTATTGCCCCTCGGGGAAGCGCCTTCTGTACTACGCCGGCGCTTGTCTACCTCGGAGGAAGCAAAGTTCAACAGTTTGTCAAATGTGGTGTCCAGACCTTCTTGTATCTTTTTTCGCGGCACATCTGAAATAATTGTCATAATTGCAAAGTCTGTCATTTGAATCACAATTTAATGCACAAATTTTCCATTTCCCATTTCTACGTTACTTGGCTGGTATTGATAGAAAAAAGTACTTCCATCACCATAGAGTAGAACAGTAATTTCTAAAAGCGATCAAACTGAAAATACTCACCACTGCCAAGTTTAGTAAATATCCCAGGCAATGATTTATCTAGTCAAATACTACAGAACAATACAGAATGTGCACTTGTTGAAGGTTGGTTTGTGCCTGTACGGATGCAAAAGCAGAAAAGAAAGATATTAAAAACTAAAAATAAAAAATAATAATTTAAAATTAGTACATAAAAAATCACCTTCACATAGGAGGAAATTTAAAACATCCGAAATTATAGTATTAATATTTTAATTCTGCTCTGTTGTACCACAAGGGTTTAACTTCATTGAATTTAAAAAAAAAAACCTTAATTTTCATGTGCGAGCAATAGAATTTAAAATAAATTTTAAAAGGATCACAATAATAGAAAGAGAGGAGTAAAACATTGCAGCACAAACAAAAGCAGAGAAGCGTTAAAAATAGACGAAAGGCGCAATTTTATTATGTCTATATTGCACCAAACTTTGTTACCACAAATTTATCTAGTCTACGGACCTAACCTAGCCGTCATTGATGCAAACCTAACACCCATGCCAACAGCATGATCAAAAGCAAAAAAGATATTGAAGCAACTCACCATCATCCTCTCTTGTAGCAGGCGGGGGCGGCGCGGAAGTGTTCGGTGGGGGTGGAGGTGGCAGTGGTGGTTGATCAGCTACTTTTGATGAATCCTGATTTTTGCTACTTGAGTCTTGACTCTCGCTGGAAGGCATTTTGCTGGGAGGGCTACATGGGGCAGTTGATGAGGATCTTTTTCTAGAGACTGGTCTTGGAGGGGGCAGTTCAGGACCACCAAAGCTGCCAGCTTCTTCAACAGGCTCCGTTTTCACCACAGGTATTGTATGTGGGGCAGACTGCCTTTGCATTAAACAATCTGCCATTTTGGCTTCCTCCTTAGTTTTGGCATCAGGAGTCTTTCGTATTCTGGCATGCAGCGAAGCAGCCAAACCTTCAGAGAAATGATCATCAGAGGGGCCTGCGTTGTTGGGAGGAATTGGCACTATTGCTGAGGTCCGGGTAGTGTTGAATTTTGAGGCAGTCATTGAGACAGGTAGTCTTTTACTGTCAGAGAAGTAGGACCCAATGGTGTCAGCCCCTGGCAGTGGAACCGAAGGCAAAGGCGCAGGTGGTGCATGCTGTCTGTGAGAGAAAGGTGACTGCGCTCTTGGGTAGGCCAGTCCTTCCAAGTGGGGGCTGTGTGGAGGCTGAGACAAGTTGGCATCAGTGCTATTCGGTCTTGAGATTGGAGAATACATGACCCGAGAACTTTCTCCCTCGTCTTCAGTCATCACACGACTTATTTGGGATCTCATTTTTGAGCTATCCATCTTGAGAATATCGTTATTGGAGTGTGAAGAGGCAGTTCGATCAATAACAGCATCAATCAGATTTTGCTGTTTGATCGCATATGTGCGCTCACGAGGGGGCTGATCAAGTTGTTTTGCTATGTCGTGATCTATCAGGTCTCCTACTGTTCCAATTGTCATTCCACCTAAAACAATAGTTAAATAACCAATTGTGAGTCTGCGGATTTATTATATTTTTAACTTCATGTAAAAAATTTAATTCTTAATATAATAATTGAAAATGTACTTACTTTGCCGCATGGGCGTATGGTGCATTTGCATTTGAGAGGGATGTTGCTGATGTTGAGCCAATTTTTCTTGAGAAAGGTGCCTCCTGAGGGCAGCTTTGGCTGGAGACACCATGGTGTAATCAGGTCTTGTATCTTGTTTCAGCGCCTTGCTACGACCACCTGACGGAGCAGCCTGAGGATACCCGTGATTGACCTGGTGACCCAATGGAACCTGTGGTGGAGGCACCTGACTTAGATGCAATTTTCCCTGAGTGAGTGAATGGTTAGCTGCTGAGGAAGATGAACGAGAAGTGCTGGGTGCATTTTGTTGCGCTGGATGGAACGCCTGCTTTCTGTCATTCCCGTCGTTCAGTTCGGATTCGATGATGGCTTGCATACGATCACTGAAGTTGATCTTATAGGAGGATTCCTGAGTATGGCCCTTAGACATGTTTTTGCCGTCGGACTTGCTTGCATCATCATGATGTTTCAAGTGCCGAGGGTTTTCCTTCATCTTCTCAGCTTCAATCTGCCGACCAACTTCCAGGAGCTTTTTCGCAAGAATCTCAGGGTTGTCTTCTTTGATTTTTTCAACATTTGGTACGTCTGGCCAATCTTGTGACCTGGAACGAGATTCTCGGCTTTTCCTCCCCTTGGAGTGGTGGTGCGATTGGGGTGGTGGTGGCGGCGGAGCTGCAGCTTGAGCAGGGAGAGGTTGAAGCAGTTGTTGACTATTGCCAACTATCACAGGTGCTTGAACAGCTGTCTTTTCATGGTGCAGCTGAGGATGTGTATGGTGAACAAGCTGATGGTGCTCTGGAGGTGGCTTGTAAATGACAGGTACAGGTTTGCTCTCTGCCTTGGCTAGAAGCATGTCGTTCCTTTGCCTCTCTAACATTTTCTGCTTCTTAGCCATCTCTCGTCTGAACTCCTCCGTGGTAGGATCACAACGGACACCATTTGGCAGCTGTGGTTGTTCCATAACAGACTTATGCGTCTCTGCGTGCTGTTGGTGTCGCTGCATCAGTCTCAGGTTCTCTTCTTCTAGAGGCAATACCTAAAATGGTAAAAAAAAACTTAAATATCAAAAGATTTGAATATTGCTCAGTACTAACCTCTCTTTGAAGCGAAGCCAAATTATTCTGCAGCTCCTTGTGTGACTGTACAATATCTTTGGCACTAGAGAGAAGATCACTTGGATTGTTAGCCACAATGCCGATTTCATTCATTCTCGTTTTCAAAAGCGCAACACTATCAGTGATAAGCACCTGGATTTGCTTCTCAAGCTGAGAAGCCCTGTTCATGATCTTTGCATTCCTCTCTTTTTCAGCCTTAATTGACATTTGCACACTAACTTTGAAGTCTGGAGTTTTCATATAGTGAATGAACTGCATGTAGCTTGTCCTGATACTGTCCAAGAGCACTTGCAGTCCATAGGGCTCCAAAGAATTTCTGGGCTCAACTTCATTGTGAACAATTGAAGGTGCACAATTCTCCACCAGAATCAGACTTGGAAGTTGTTGATCCACACAGCCAGGTGCAGGTGGTAGCTTCTGACCCTGCGCCTGATTGCTTGTGCTGAGTAATGTTTGGCTGTGCAACAGGTCAAGGCCGTTGATTTTAATAGCCCTCTTCTTTTTCTGTCGGGCGATTTTACCCTTTGGCTTTCTACCCGGCCTCTTCAGTGCAGTCTGTTTACCTGACCTAGGCGAAATCTTCCTCTTAACTCTCTTTCTTTGAGCCTGCATTTTTTCTGAAGCAGGAAATAAAATTACTTAAGGTATGCACTGTGTTGTATTTGAAGATTTAAAACTTGTTTCGAAAAAGTTACCTGCATTGTTGTTGTCATCGTCACTGCAGCTTTCCTTTCCACTGGCTTTCATAGTGTAAACATTCCACGCATGCCTTGTTGTAGGGCCATACACTTTTCCTTTCTCTTCATCTGAGGATGCTCTTTGGTCATCGTGTTTAGAAGAGCCATCATTTGAACTAGTGTCTTCTGCCAAAGATTTCATTTCTCGTCTATTTTTTGGACCATTTATGGTTGCGTCTCCATTGCAACTACCATTGGACTTTGCTTTGATTTTTGTGAAGTATCTCTCAAGCTAATAAAATGAATGAATGAATATAAAGTCGGGCTAAATAATTTTAAAAATGACTAACCTTAGACCTATCAATTACATGAAGGAAATATGACACAGGTTTTCCAGTCCACGAAACAGATCCCTTCAATGGATCCATTTCTGTCACCTCCATTATTGTGCCGATATCTGCAGTGATTGTATTAAAAACTAAATTTAACAGAGCTAATAAAAATTACCAGAAAGATTTCTTTCTGTTATGCGGAAATTTGCAGGGCAGAATGACTTTGATGAAACAATGCGAGTTCCATCTTTGAGGTCAGCAAATCTCTCTTTGAGGGCATGATCAACGTTTGGTCCAAATGCAAAATTGTTCACGAACACCAGCGATGAACTCACAATCTTGCACTTGTTTTCTTCAGTGAGGAAGTCTCCCTTGACAATTTGATAGTTGCCGTAGCTTTTGCCATACCATGCCATCCACTTACGAAAAAGTTGATCCATTGACTAAAATTAAGGAGAGATATAAAACCTATAAAATCTAAAATGTTAGAACTACCTCTGCATATCTGGCAGGCATGTCAGCCTTTTCAATTCCATAACAAATTTTACAGTTAGTGGCTGCAGCCATTTGCAGCACAACTTGTCCCACACCGGATCCCAAGTCAATGAAGATATCTTCTGGGGTTGGACACACTTTCTCAATCATTTGCAACACCAGGTCAAAGGATGTCTCCCCGTAAACCTAGTGATAAAAAAATAAATATGATTTTAATTAATAGCTAACAGCACTTTACCTCTGGAGAGAAGGGCTCGTACTGATTCAGTTTATCAGGGTCTTCTATTGCCTGATTGTAGGTTTGCTGAATAATGTGACGGAGTAGTTCCTGCGATGGCCTTTTTCCAATTCGCTCCGCTCGCCGCGCAGTGCCTTTTTCCTGAAACATTAGATACAGAACAATTTAGTTCAGAGTTTAGCAATAACATTCCAATTCTTCATTTACATAAATGAAGAGGAAACAATAGTAATTCATGCAGATTCAATGATAAACTATTTTAAAAGCTCAATTTGACCTACTATTATTTTTATTGAATAATTTAACTTTTTTACACGACCTTTGAACTTTCTCAAAAAAAAAAAAATTGTATCAATCTTTTACAAATTTGATTTAAATTTTATGATCAAGTAAGTACAATAAAACCAATCCCACTAAGGATCAGATTAAATTTTGAGATTGTTATGTCAAATTTTTCAGTTTTTGCAGTGCTTCTGCAGCAAAAATTATCTCAGGTTTCTAAATGTTGGTTGCATTTGAGCACCGTATTGCGGCAAGACACACTCGGCGTGGAATGGCGCGCTTGGTGGGACGGCGAGGGCAGTGGCCTCGCCCGTTCATTAGCTGACTCGTAGAGCGGCGCTTCATACCTTGTGCCTCCACCACGAATGTTTTCATCTCAACGCCGAATGCACCTCTATAAATAAAAAAGCGACCGTTCTCTGTAGTTTTATTCATGCCATGGCCACCAAGTGCATTCTTGACCGCGCGTTCAACATCTAATTGGACGCCACAAAAATTACAGAGGCAACAGAGGGGCTGGAGAATATAAAATAATGCAACGCACTAACAAAAGAAGAGCAACAAATGCATCGCACGAAAAGAGAAAGTCAATGGATGCGTTTCCATAGTCAGGGGAGATGAACTAGGAAGCGAGTCGGCGTTGTTTTCATTAACAGAGGACTTTCATCACAGCAGCTAAAAATTCTCACTTGGCCTAACGTGAACAATGATAATTTTAAGCACCACGATCAGGCCTTCACCTTAACATTTAGAATTAATATTTAGCTTTAATTACATAGCAGTCAGTCCAAATAAAATCTGGCAATTACGGTTTTGTCACACTTGGTACGCATTAACTGTAATAACAATGCCTCGATTCATTCATAAAGTCAAAAGTATTTGATTTAATAAATATGAAGACGTAAAATTATTTAGAAACTCCAAATTGAATTATCGCAAGAATAAATATATATATATTTTTTGCAATCAAGCGTTGATTTTAAAACTGAATTTCCAAAGACCGTGGCGTGAGGCAATCGCCGCGGCACAAAATTTATTTTAATGCGCGTACGCGGCAGACGAAAATAGATTGCGGTACGCTCAGCTGCGAGAGAAAATAGCACTTTGGAGTTGGCGGCGACGTCACTGGGCCACCACCTCCCCCGAAAACGCGCCGCCTCCCCCATCACGGGGGGTATTTAAATTCGAGGGGGTGGATGGGTGGGTCAGATCTGTGGGCTTTATTATTTCGCATGCATTCGAGTGGCCGCTTGGATTGTAGAATCGAGCGGTCGAAAAGCAACGGGTTGCGTAGAATGAACGCAAGAAGCGGGCAGAGGAAAGAACAGAGAGAGAGAGAGAGATCAATAACCAACATTCAACGCCACGGTCGCTGTGCATTTGCTCCTCGTCAAGCGCGAGACTCACCTCGCCTCCAGTGACCTTTGAGCACCTCCGCTCTCGCGAATGCGATAGATGAAAATTTTATTTTCCGTCCATTTCCGCTGCGAGCGTGCTTTTATGCGCCAGATCAGGAATTTTTGTGCTTGCATTTATGACGCGAGGTTTCTTTTGCGAGGAATACCCGTTTTAATAAAGAGGAAATTCAAACATACCGCTTTAGAAAATCAAAACAAGAAGATTTTACTACCTTCTTGTGTACAAAAACTGATTTTGTTACGTAAAAATTATTTGTGACGAAAAACCGGCAAAGAACAAAGATGTAGATAAAAGCTTAAAGAAGAGAGCTAATCAAAGCCTCATGCAAAAATTCTTAACTCGATCAAGTGCAACCTTGCTTTGTGTGAAGACTGTCAAGAGTTTTAAACACTTTTCTCTCCGTAAAAGCTTTTGTGCTTCACATTTGCAAGAATGAACAGAACTTCTATCAATAACACCAAAATTAAATGAAAATCTCTAGAAAAAAATTATTTGTTTTTTCTTTAAAACAATTTCATTTGTCAAAAATGTTAATTAATCTGATAAATTGTCGTCTACAATTAACGTCGAAGTGCACACGATTAATCCAGCTGATTGTTAGTTGTTTTATTTTCCGCCTTGATGATCTGTGATTTTCCAATGTCATTGGCCTTTGCAGGAGTAACGCACGCATTGATTGAGGAGGGCGTGTGTTTTGTTACTGGGCTATACGGCAGGGAAAGAAGTGGCGCGAGGGGTGCAGGGGATAGCCGGTTGGCGGCCGTGGTGAGCGAGGCACAGCAGGCGGAGGGAGCTTCGCGCTGGCGAATCGATACCACGTCAGTGCCAAACCAACACCCCATCCTATGCGCCTGGCTGGCTCGGCTTTTAAAGGGGACCGACCAAAACATTGCATTCAATATCACGGTTGTGTGTTTTTATGCATTTCGCCCGCTGCCTGCGTTTCGCGACAGGAACAGGTGTAGCTGCTGCAGCCACTTTTCGACCCACCGTTTTCACGCTACTGACTTCCACATCGCATTTTTCGGTCCAACAACCGAATAGTGGAAATTTAAAGGGACACTACACACCGAAAAATCTATTTTAGCGTTGGATTTGAAATGAAAATTTACTGCAATTATAAATATTTAAAAATTTTAAAGGAGTGAAAAGTATTTTCAAGAATATTTCCTTTCCGCCCCAAAATAGGCTCATTGAGTTGAATTCCAAAGAAAATGCGGCGAAAACCTTTAAGAAAAATCTGTTCCACCGTCGGGAGTCACAAAAAATGTTTGAATAGAAGTGGTGTGTGAGAGAGAGGTCTGCTTTCAAGAATTGGGAAAATTTATGGCTCTGACTCTCTGCGCGTTATTTTCTTTTCTACTGGGACAAGTAAAGACAAGGGGCGCAAAAAGCGTCACCTTCCTCAGGTAAATAAAAAAAAAAACACGCCTGGTGTGTTGAGTTCACACACATTTTTCAAAACACTAACCTTTTTGCAATATTATGAGACTTTCCAGAATTTTAAATGGGTTTTAATAATGGCCTCATGAGATGAATTCGTAAGTTTGTCAATTGATGAGATTGATACGATAGAGAAAAAACATATCAGTTTCATTATTTTCCTGAAAAATTATTCAAATTGTGGGAAACGCAAGACTACGCAACAAGGAATTATTCACGCTCAGCATTCTTTAAGAATGAAAAGCCTTGAGCTTGACACGGCTGTAAATTCAGTATTGTCACAAAATTTGACACGCACCCAAGAGCAAAAGACATTGGAGAACCACAGACGCAACGCTTCATTTTCTGTAGCGCAAAGAGCTGTGGCTGCGTTTACGGACACACGACACTCATCATATTTTTCTGTTTCAACTTAAATTGGTCAAATTTTCAGTTCGAATTTTGAATATGCTCAGAAAAATAAGAAACGGAAGAGTAACTCACCAGCTTGAGGAATTCGTCGATGGCGCGGTTGTACCTGTCACACAGCCCTTTCATTGACTCAAAACTGAAAACAAGCACTTTTATTGCACAATTCTGCTGAAATTGAAATTTAATTTTAAGCAAAGGGGCATTGAAAAGATGAAACTTGGTTTCAATACGGGACTAATTATCATAGAGAATCATCAAAGGCAGGTGGCTGACCCGTTTCCTCCAAGAGATAGCAGGTGCAATTTGGCGCGAAACAGAAAAGGCAGCAGTACGCGGCCGGGTGAAGAAAAAAAATTGGAAAAACTCACCTGCGAGTGTCATAGTCTTTCAGGATGTTGTTTTCGAGGGGCAGTTTGAGATCGGGCAGTTCTTTGCAGGCCCAGCTGAAACATACAAAACAAGTATTTTAAAAATAAATACATTTGTGTACAATAAGCATCAACATCAAATTAAAATTCTTTAGATTATTTCCAAATTAAAACTTTTGATAACTTTATGGTTGGTATCAAGTGTAATGATTTAAATCATTTTCATTGCACCGCAAATGAACAAAATATTCTAATTTTGGTACGATATACATTGTCATCACTGATTTCAAGTTATTGATAGTAATTTAGAAAATGCGTAAAATTACATCACATTCCAGGCCAATTTTTGTAATAAGATATTTATTAATTTTAAGTATGACAAAAATCAATTTATTCAGACTGCAAGTTCAAGATTAATCATTGGAGGTCACACGTTGATAAATTTGCAACTTGTTCGTTCGCAACCTTGGCACTGACACAGCCCATGGAGGCGTTTTGTTGTTGCTCACGCGCTGGATTAAATTTAGAACGCGCGTCTTTTCACGATGAATTATAGCGCGACAAGTGAACATAGATGCCGAAAGGCCAGTTCTGTTAAAATGACTTCCAAAGTCAACGACTTGTTAGACAGAAAAATAATTTTTTTTTAAACTTTTTAAATTTGCAAATGTCAGCAAACATGCCTTCACCATTATTGAAGTAAATAATTTAAATATACGGCTAAGGATTGAGTAAATAAAATAAATAACCAAGATAATTTTTTAATAAAAAAATTACTCATAGATCATCCCAAATATTTCAAAAATATTTTCTGTAGCTGATGTTTGCTGATTGAATAGAATTCAAACTTTATAAAATTTTCCACCAGGTTAAAAAAAAACATTATTTTGCAGCAATACATTATTGGATTCAAGCTACTTTAGGTGGCATTCAGTGAAAATCATTTTTTGCGCAATTCAATGCCGACTGAAGCAGTCACCGGCCAACAGGTTCAACACTCGCAAATCCAGTTTTGGCGCGCAATTCCTTGAATCGCTGGGGATCGATCAAAACCATAAAACACTAATTCTGAAAGTTGTGCCGAAAAGTGAGTGTCTGCAGGTATATTTATGTAATGAGACTGATTGAGGGGCTTGGCTGGGAAATACGAGAGCGTCTAGCCTCTCTTGGTGCTCGGCCGCTGGTGATAATAATGGCTGGAGACCTTGAATCGTAGACTTTCTTGGCTTGCCAATTGCACCGATCGAAGGCTACTTGATCTCGGCAGCTAAGACAAAGTCAGGGATGGTTGTTGGCCTTCCCGGGAGTGGGAGTGCTGGAGCCAAAGATGCGACTCTAGGATGCAGACGCGCTCAGGAGAGCTACCTGCTCGCCAAAAATATTTCAAGGTTGCCCCACCAGAAGACAAATCAGCATTCGCGTGCCTCACCGAAAACAAACATCACCCTGCTTTGGCAGGTGCCATTTTACGCGCCGCGTTTTGCCCAACCCAGTTTAAAAACCTCAAAAATAAATAATGAAATTCTATATCTTTTTAAATTTGTTAACTGCTAAACATAAATAAAAAAATTAATACATATATGAATTTTCACTTACCGAATGGTCTCTAGAATTTCTATCGCACCATCGTGCTTGTCCTGAAAAAATAATAATTATACAGTTAGTACACTGCTGTGTTGATAAAATAATTATCATGCTAATAAAAAAATGAAGTGGCTGTGGATCGAAGAGACGGTAAATAAAATAATGTTTACATAATATATATATAGGCTGGTTTGTTTTGGAAGCTGAAGCATTACAATAATTATTATTTACTTTAAGATCAAATTGGAAACGAATTCTTAAAAATTTGTCAATAAAATCAGCAATTTATTTGAGCTAAATTATAAACTATAAAACTAAATTATATTATTACTATTACATATCATTATCAAAAATTAAAACCGCCAAATTTATTTAATTCCATGATGAAAATATTCAAAAAATCATTACTGCTTTCTGTTATTTTGATTCATTTTGAAAATATTGAATGTAAACAGCAAAAGCCTTGCTAGTGCAGCGACGGTTTTGTTTTATGTACAGAGCGCCCTCGCTGCTGCTGATCAAAATACATAATCCGAATTCCAAACATGCTTTCGCGGCAGGGCCCTCAACGGACGCATTCGGAGCCGCGCAGACCCTCCGAGTGGCCCTTCGTGGCTGTGAATGTGCGGTGGACAGGGACTGCGAAACGTGCATCGATTGGACAAGGGATCCAAGTCCAAGTCCGCGTGCCGAGAGGGCAATGTTTAGAGCAGCACTTACCGCGCCTCGGCCAGAAGTTAAAGGCCAGTGGTAAACGGCGGGATCGGCACCAACAGGGCTGTGCAGCACGAGTTCTTGCGCCATGTCAATAAGGACACTCGGAGTCTGCGGAATACACAATTTGAGAAGCGCGGTCGCCGAATTTGGGCTTGAAAAGGCGGTTTAACCGAACGCCATCACGACAGTCTAGCTCGGCGACTACACGAAAACATGGCTGATCCCTATGTATAGGACGAACGACGAACTTGAGTGAGCCAGCGAGCGAGATCTACAAACTGCAAGAAAACCGTCTGGGCATGCGCTCTTGCTGCTCAAGGCTTGCGGCCCCATGTAGCGGCGCGGCCTGTGAAGAATTTCAGTTTTCCTCTCAGACAACACTTGGCGGCGCTGTTCGCTTTCAGCCGTGCCCTTTTCGATCAGATCATCGCCGGCAGAGGCGCTTCTGCATGGGGCGATTTGAATATATTATGCTGAATATGGCTACATATTAGAGCAAATTATTTTTCGTATTCCTATGATTATTCCAGCAGCCAGCGCCAGCAGTACAATGAAAATACCGCTTGCAAAATTTTACAGAACATAAATAAATAAAAAATCTGAAAAAATCATTGACGTGTAAGTGATTTATGACCAGTTTATATCATACAATTCATACAATTATTATTTTATTCAAGTATTATGTATTATCAATTTTAACTCTATATTTTTCAACTTTCAACACGTCATACTTTCCCAAGTATTTATTTTTTTAAGCACATCAAGGATACGGTTCAAAAGGTTTCATAATTGATTATTTTTTAATTTTGTATGAATCTACCATAAAATAAAACATGCTTACATTCGTAGCCTATATATGTTTTTAATGCATGTTTTATTTACTTACAATTATTGGAATGGATTTATTTTGGACATTAGGCTTGCTTAAAAACAAAATCAGAATGTTTCCAATACATTACGATTACATTTCATGGGATTGGAAGGTATTTATGTCACAAAGGTTTTCAACGTGTAACATACACTAGCTTTTTATGCTCAACAAGAATTTAATATGCACTAAATCTATTTTTGAGCTCTTGCGACTAGATTAAATTGTATTAGAGATCATATTTTTACAGTCATTTTTGTTTTGCTGTGTCAGTTAAGAGGAGTTCAAATGTCGTCGTCTCCCATGACAATCCAGTTCCTTTTGGCAAATGTCTTGATGGAAGGAGAACGTGACGCCATCCTCTATTAAAATCATAAAATATAATAACGACGTTGACGTTAGTTATCAAAATCACTTCATTACCTTCCATCAATAAGTCCAAGAAAAATCTTCCAATTAGCTTTCAGGCCAAAATCATAAGGGTTCTTATAAATTATTCCATTATCCGAATATCGCTTTGTCTCTGCTTTGTTGATGTAATATTCGATGCTGGTTTCCCCGCGCCCAATTATTCTTAAATGCCAGTAAGCCAAGGTTCCAAGAGCAAAAAACACACCTAGTGAGGAATGTTCAAAAATTATAATATTATAAACATAAATTTTTTACTCACCACTTACAACTAGGCTCACAAATATCACTGTGTTTCTATATGTAGCATTTGTTTTGATTTCCGGTTCAATAAAGGGGTCTGGGAGAGGATGGAAAGAGCCGTTTGGCATTCTTTCGCGCTATAAAATAACGTAAGTATTATTTTCTTCAAAATTTTAGACCTCGGTTAGCCCGGTTTAAATTTTTCACTCAATCTCACCATTGGGATAAGCTTTGAGTGGTTAAATCGAACAGGATGACCAATCAGTTCTTCGTCGGCTTTCACCTCTTGGACATTTTGCAAATATGCGCCGTCTCCAAAAACTTCTGCCCAACCCAAATTGAAACCAAAAAGGATTATGTACAGGCAACCAGTCACAACATATACCATGTACATAAAAAAGTAGCGGTGATTAAAATGTCCCACGCAGTTATTGAGCCAAGCTAATTTTGCATTTGTTAAGGAAATACTTTAATTTTTATTTTAATTAATTTTAATATTTGAAACTTTTATTGATTGTGGAAACTTAAATTTTTAATTACTCTTTCATATTTTATAAAAACTTTTGATTACGTTTGTATTTTATTATTATTTTTCCTATTCGACAAAACTTTAACGAGAATAATGAGGATTTTTGATAAAAATTAAAGCAAATTATTTTAATAAATCGAAGAGTTTGAAAAGGATACGACAATGATGGTCCATCTTCAAAACACATCTATCACATATTGAACAATGATGTGTCCTTGGTGGTTTTGGGGTTATGCATTTCTTGCAAATGCTCACCGCCTCTGGTATTAATTGACCCTGTAAAAGTGCAAACAAATTAAATAATTTGAAAGCTCTTTTATATAATATTACTAATAAGTAGAAAACAACGCATACTTGTGGTGGATGCCCTGGTGATGTGATGCAAGCCATGTAGAAGTTGAAAACAACATTTATGAGCAGCCAGTGACCAATTATGAGAAGAATTATTGTAAAAGCCGGACTAACACTCCACCAGTAGGGCAGTCCCAGATAATAAGCAACTCCCACGACAAATGTTGTAAGAGCACAAACAGCAGCAACGAAGAACTAAATAAAAATACATTAGCGTTGACAGTTTTATATGTGAAATGAAGTGCTACATACGGGGCCCAAGAATTTGGTGAAGTTTTCGACGAACCAAAATAAAGGTTCCATGAGCGTATCTGCTACATAGCTTTGGTCGAGGAAATGGTTGTAGGTAAGTGAACGGAACGTAAGCTTCAGGTCTGCAATCCATTGCCTACAAAAGAAAGACAACTGCAATTAACAAAAGGTTAAATTAAATTTTTTTTTGATAAGTTTTTTACACAAGATAATAGATGCGCATAATTTTTCATCTGTATAATTATGCATTTTGTTTTTTTAAATAAAAAAATTTAATGTCACAAAATTAAACATAAAATATTTAAATTAAATATTCCGATTAAATGCAAATCACCTGGGCTTGCGGCAAATTCGACTAACAACCATTCCGCAACTCACAATCTGCATATTTTTTAAACTTCAGTTACAAAAAGATTGCAAATTTTCTCATTAAATTGTTTTAGACATTGCGATTCTCTAGAAATTACATATAAGACGCAATCGTCGAATCTTAGCGCAAAGAGCAAAAATTATATTTTTTTTTTTCAAATTATGTATTGATTTTGTATAATCTTGAACCAAATTTTGCTGTGGATTTTGACTGGACTGAGCGGAGCAATCGCTTTGAATAAAATATTATGCAGTCAATTTTTCTCCAAAGAGACCACAACTTTAAATTCAATCTTAATTCTTCAGAGTTGAAAATTAAAAAAACATTCAAACTCTACCACAATAACACAAACACAGCAAAACACAAGACGTAACCCCTCCCACTCCAATACGAACGGTTATTCAACCAAAACAATCAATATTAACCGGTTCAAAACATTTCTGCCTACAAGTTTTCTAAAGTTATTGAGTTTTTAGGGATTCAGGTGTTCTAAAAATTTAAAAATCAAAATAGTTTGTTTTTATATTGTGAAATTTAACAAACAAAAAGTTTAAAATTTTGTTTTCACCACACTATTTGGAAAAATTAAATTATAAATTAACCGGTAATAATAATGCCAATTTCTCCGATTATTTTAAGTCAGCACTTTAGCCAATCGTATCACTTACTTTTGTTGTCCTTCCAACTCCCCCTGAAAACCACAGGATACAGCCAGGCACCACCACCAGCACCAGCTGGACGTAGAAGTGACATTTTCCCACTCTTTTCACAAATTCATATCGCAGTCCTCGTTGTCGGTGGCCCCGTGATCGTCCGATCAAATCAGAGCTCCGCTCGCTGGTTTAGAAAATGACTGCGGAGCCTTCGAAAGAATTGGTCAGCGAATTGCGACAGGCGTTTTTCGATAAAGTCAAAACCGATGGAAGCTCAATCTCTGGTGAGTGATACAAAGTGATTTCTATTGTTCTCGAGTGAAGGCGCACAGATTTTTCCTGCACGCGATGCGATGCGATGATGGAAAGAAAGAGAATCAATATTGAGAATGAATGACCTTTAACTCAATGCCATTTTATGACTAGCATGATTTGTTAAAAAAGGGCCTCGAGGGGATTATACTGATATAAAGGTCACTGAAGAAATTTGTAATTATTTCAAAGCAAAAAATTTCCAGGTGGTTTCCATCAGGCAGATTTGAACAGAATAACGAACAATGATGACTGGCTACGAAGGTTCCTCAAGCACCAAGACTTGGATGTCAAGGATTCTTTAAAGATGCTCTGGGAGACTTGCGAGTGGAGAAAAAATTATGGCACAAATGGTATACCAATTTCTTCATTACAAAAATTCTAATATATCTGAAAAATTTATAATTGCTCTTGTTTTTTTATCTGTGAAATAATCACAATTCAGCAATTCACAATATATGGAATAATGCAATTGAACTTTTTGGCAGATTCCAGTATTTTATTTTGTCTCAATTAATGCATAATTGTAATAAAAAATTGAGTATTTTATTTTTACAGACATCAAGATTGAGATGTTTTCCCATGCTCCATTCCAAGAGGAAGGAGGTCTATTTGGCCATAACAAAGACAAAGATGGGAAGCCAATGCTGATATTCAGGGTCAAAACACACACCAAAGGACAGCACAATATGGATGACTTGAAAAAATATACAGTTTATTGGTTTGAAAGACTGGAAAGGTGAGGAAGGCAGAAAAACATTTAAATTTAATTATTTGTTAACTGATGAATAATGGTTTTTTTCTTGTTGACAGGCAAAGCAAAGGAGACCAAATCACGTTGTTTTTCGACATGTCTGAATGTGGTCTTGCCCACATGGATATGGAGTTCACCAAATACCTGATCAACCTTTTCAAGGGCTACTATCCCTACTTCCTCAACTACATTATTGTTTACGACATGGCCTGGATACTCAATGGTATGTATAAATTTAAACTGTGTGGTCTCCATTAAATTCTTTGCACATCCAGCTGCTTTCAAAATTATCAAAAGTTGGCTTCCACCCAAAGCTGTAGACAAGATAAAGCTAGTGGACAAAAAGACTTTGAAAGACTTCATTCCTGTTGACCAGTGTCTTGTTTCCTGGGGCGGAACAGACAACTACGATTTCAGTTTTGTTCCCGAAGTCATGAATGGTCGATCAGATGAAGGAAGAAAAAAAGTAAATGATAGATTTTACTGGCGAGTGAACCTCACATAATATATTCTTTTCAGGTCCATTTTGCTGACACAAATGGAACACCAGAAATGCCTAAGGCAAATGGAAGTGAGTTGCAATATTATTAGTTTAAATTACTTTATACAACATTGATTTACAGTGACTCTTCTAAGCATTCAGCCCAACGACGTTCTTGTATTTTTGCCTCACAATGATGAACTACAAGGAAGCGTTTCTGTGACTAATATTTCAAGTTCAGAAGTTACTTTCAAGGTATAGTTTTTATTTAAATTTCTTTCCCCAGAAAAATAAGTTCTTTTATAACTTAAGATCAAAACCACCTCGCCTGAAAAATTTCGTGTACGTCCAAGCATGGGTTTGTTGAGTCCTCAAGCATCGATGACCATCAATGTTGTCCTCCAACATGGATATCAACGGTCACCGCTTGCCAGAGACAAGTTTCTCATTATGGCTCTTCCTGTGGCGGAGCCTGGTAAAGACGTTGCGGAAATATGGAAGGTAATTGTGTTAAAATTTATAATTTTCTTGTAAAATCTATTTGTATCTCTTAGGGTGGTAACATTGGAAGCCAAATTGAGCAGCACAGGTTAAAATGTAGCACTGATGCTCCTGGTGTAATTTCCTCTATGCCTGACAGCCCTGGAAAAGAATTCCCTGCAGATCCCAACAAGCAGTATTCTGATTTGATATCGGAGGTATTTTTTTTCTTATTTGATGGTGGATTGAATTTCTAATAATAATTTAATTATTATAGATAAAGCGTCTGCATCACAGTCAGCAAGAGATCCAGCGCAGTTTGCGCACAAACCGGATGCTGCAGTGGCTCAACTTCCTTCTGACCCTAGTCTTAGCAGTTGCCATTTGGTTCACTGTCATCAGTGAACCTAAATTTGAAGAAGCAAGTGAAAACCCCAATCTTTTTTCAGTCAATGCTGATGAGCTTTAATTTTTTGGATGAAACCTTGAAACATTTTTCTGAAGATTTACTTTGATTAGCTTAGTGCAAAAAGCAAAGTACCCAAATTGGAGATTAAATGGAGATAATTACTTATCTTTTAAATGCAAGATATTGGTAATTTGTCAGTATGTTGGTTGTGTTTTAACTTCTTTTTCACTTTCTTATAGAAGCAGAGGGAAAGGTTGCTTTCCCTCTGCTTCATTTTTCATGTTTCTAAATGATACCCCTTTGTAACAAAAATATTTTGTCGATCTTGAGAACTCTGATTCCCTAATATTTTTTCTTCCAGCCTTGTTAAGTATCAAGAACTCCAGTTCTGAAGTCGTGATTTTGATTGTGTTCTTAACTGCAATACTTCCCTGATTCATGCAGTACAATTGTTATCGTCCATGATTTTAAACAATGCACTATAAGAGGCAAAAATTTATGGAGCTGTTTATGTGGCGTGCGCATATCTAAATTTCCTACATTCAGCTCAAACTGATGTACATATAACTATATTTAATTGATTTGTGCCTCTTTTGAGGATCTTCCTCGTTAGAAGACTTTACATAATCATTAGTCAGTATAGACATCATCAATTTAGTGATAATAAAAGTTTATATTTACATGCATTTAGATATTGCTAATTTTTTAACAAGCATCGTTGTGCGGAAGTCATTATTGAACTTTTGAGGAAAATAATTCAGGAAGTCTTATTATACAGAAAACTGAAATGTGGGCTAAAATATTTGTGTATATTTTGTTATTTGAGATTTTGTTGGTGTTTATTTCATCCAGATCATGTATATGAAAATAAAATTTGCTACATATTGAAAAAATTAAAAAAAAAATATATATTTTCTGGTTAATCCTTTTATTATATCAGTCTTATTACAAACAGTTAAGAAGAAAATTTCCTCGCAGTTTCTTGAATTTATGTGAACAAGTTTAATCGTGTCTTGTCATATGTTTCTTCAATGAATTACTTGCAGTAAATGACTGTCCACACTTTTTACAAGTAAATGGTCTTATACCAGTGTGAGTCCGAATGTGGGCTTGGAGTCCTGAACTAAGAGCCTTATTGCATATGGGGCATGTGTAAGGCTTATAACCTTCATGAAGCCGTTTGTGGTGATACAAATTACTTCTATCTGGGAAAGATTTATCACACTTGTTGCACTGAAATGGTTTATTACCATTATGACGGTTGAGGTGCACCATCAAATAACCTTTACGGGTAAACCGTTTATTACAAATGGAACAGACAAAGGGTTTTTCGTCCCGGTGAAGTTTGGCATGATGATTATAGTTTCCAACGCTGGCAAAGCTTTTGCCACAAATTTCGCAAATAAAAGGTTTTTCGCCAGAATGGGTTCTCTTGTGCACACTCAAGTCACTTGTTTTTAAAAAGCCCTTCTGGCAAATTTCACATCGCAAAGGGTATTTTCCTTCGTGCGTAGCCTCATGCACCCGAAGTTTTGTCTTCAAGATAAAGCCTTTGCCGCAAGTACTGCAGTTGTGGGGAAAAACACCTGAGCACACTGGTTTGTGGTCTGCCAAATTGTTTCTGTGGTTGAACTGCTTCCCACAGAGCTCGCATATGAACTTTGTTCTAATTTTCACTTTTGTATGTTTGATGTGTTGTCTCATGTGGCTTGTGATTGAGCGCTTTGTGTTGAACTCTTTCCCGCAAACATCACACTTAAGGTTTTTGGATATTTCAGGTGAAGGACATTTTGAATCTAACTTTGGCGCTTCCTCGGCCAACTGCAGTACTGGCTCTGGAACAACGGCACCATTTTCAAATTGTTCTCTCTGAAAACGAAATACTCAGTCAGGAAATTTGTTAGTAACAATGCAATAAAACGACCTCAGGCTGACCAAAAAATACAAGCTTGTGGTTGGGATTTTGATGTGGAAAGTCCATTTCAGCCTCGTTTATTTTTAATCTTTCCACTAAACGAGCAGACGTTTCCGTGAGTTGAGCCTGAAGCTGATCCACCGTATTGAGAAGATGCAAACATTTTGAGCACATTACAACACCCTCTCTTAATTTTGATTTAACTTTGGCTCCAATTATTTGCTGCAGCTTCACCCAAACAGCAGTCTGTGAAGAAAGGGTTAAAGGGTGGTCCTCTCGAATAGGTACTGCAGACCAGCCGCACGATTCACAACAGATAGCACAATTTTGCTTGAGCATCTGTAAACAACAAATTTTTATTTGTTAAAGAGGAATAATTTGTAACTCTAAAAATTTTTGCTTTATAAATGTTATATGGATCAGGTTATTACATTTGGCAGAGCATCTTCTCCCGTCTCTTCGACAATAATTTCGTGCTCATCCGAGCCAAGATCCGAGTCCTGGTCACCTGTCGATGTCTCCAAAAGGCAAGATGGTGGCTGATGTGATGGTACAGGAGGAAATGGAATACAAGATTCACTTGGAAGTTCATCGACCACTGAAAAGGCAGTTGATTTATCTGCAAAGCCATCACTTGTCATGCTCTGGAATGTGAAGGGTGCTGGCGAATAAGTTCCGTCTTCAGGCACAACAATAAAGTTGAAGGTGGGGTCGATGCTTGGCAACTGTTTCTGGCTCCTAAAAAATATATATATTATTAATTATTTTGTTTGGGATAACTTAAAACATTCAATTTAACAAACTAAGCATGGGAATTCATTCATGTAAAAACATTTTCATTACCCAGGTCTCGAAGTTTGTTGCGTGTTATTGGATCGACTCATGAAACACTGCTCTGAAAGTTCCACATAACTCTGCTCAGCTCCTTGATTAAAAAGGCAACTGCTTGTTGATGACGACTGCTGCGCTGGAGCTTTGGGCGTGCTTCTTTCTTTGTTGGACGGTGTGCGTCCATCGATTTCTCTTTGGGGACGATGGACTGGAGGCCAGGAGTCATGAGTTTGATTATTGTAGCCTTCGTAACTGTTGTAAAAAGGACTGAAGACGGCTGGTTGTGTTCGAAAGTATGACCCAGTTCCTGGGGAAATTGTTGGTGGTACTGTTGTCTGCGGCAGTCCGTACATGGGGTAAAAGGTTGTGCAGTCTTGGGACTGTGAAGGCGTGGGGTACATAGGGTCAAAATTGCGACCAAACGCATTAAAATTAAGGGCTGGACAGTTAGCTTTGTGGTTGTGTCCATCTTCAACCTGCAATGACAAAATATTAAAGATTTCAATGTAATTAATTAAGTTAATAATTGTATAAAAATATATATACTTGGCTTGTTCCATAGCCACAGGAATTACAATGATAGTGATTTGAATTGGTAAGGTTGCATCCAACATAATTGCAAGAAGCGTCTGAGTAAAGTCGGAATCCCTGGATCAAATAGCCGCTAGAAGAGTCCGTAGTGGAGTCTGTACTTTGACCATTCTGCTTCATCTTCTAAATATTTAATTTCAAGCATGTATTTATGTAGTTATTATATCTTTTAAAATAAAGCTTTTGAAAAGCATAGGAATTTTCTCGAATACGTATGCACATACATCTCTCGTATCTGTAAAATACACATTAAATATTAAATATATAATACGAAGACTTGCCGAGTCTAATTACCAAAACTAGCTTTGTTTGTTTACATTTTTGAATCATATGACACCGTGCCACGCCCCTTATATATATTTTTTACTTCATACCACCGCCCCCCTTGGTTCCTTGCCATTGTTCTTGTGACGCTGGCTAAAGGATTAATTTTAGTTTTTGCTGCATTAGAGGTAAACTTTAATTTACGATTAAAAGTTATCTTCATATAACATTTTTCTTTTGATTTTGTTCCATAAATAAAAATTTTACGGTGTTCTTTTCTAGCACCACTCTATTTTCCAAGCTGATCAGATCAAGAGATTTTAAAAAAATTTCCAAGGACAAAAATAATGGTACAAGTAAACTCAATTTACTTTGAAATAACATTATATAAATTTTTATTTATTTAAGGGGGGGAAACGTGATCAGCCCACGAGCCTGAAGAAAATATTGGAGCTTGACATCACAGCTACAAATAAATTTTGCAGTTGGGCCAACAACTTCACAGCGCTTAAAACTTTGAGAAACCATGCCACCGGATTAGAGGTAAAATTTTATCAAATATTATTTTTCAAGTAATAAAACCTTTTCATGATAGATTTCATGCCATGGGATACCTTGGCTATGTTGCGTGTTGATGCTCATGTGGTTTTCTTCCAATCCTGAAACTCAGCATATGGCAATCAACCTATTACTTGGTTAGTAGGATAAGATTGCTGAAAAAATTTCAAAAATGTTTTTCATTATTATATTTTAGGCTTGATCTTGGACATTGTCCTGGTGGCAGTAATTAAATCAGCTACCCGAAGACGCCGTCCGGCAGCAAACCCGAATGAAGGATCTGTCATGATGATAGGTCCGGACAAGTTTTCGTTTCCCTCAGGACATGCTTCTCGAGTGGTGTTCCTCGCATGCTTTTTCATACACCTTTGGCCTCTTTCAATCATCTTTTATCCTCCTCTTGTAGCTTGGGCTACTGCTGTATCTATATCTAGAGTTCTTATGAGGCGCCACCATCTGTTGGATGTCGGAGCAGGCATCTTCCTTGGTTTGACTGAAGCTCTGTTAATGTCCTTGTTGTGGATTTCAGAGAGCTGGGCTGAATACATTTATTCAAAATTGTCTGATGAAGCTCAAGAGGGAAGCAGTTTTGATGTATAAAAGTAACACGCTTAGAATTTAACCAAAGTCCAATTTGTTTGTGATTATGATTAACCAAACTATGCTATACATTTTATTTATTATGCATGCATGGATTTACTTACATTACAGGATTTACTTGTAGTTCAGAGAGCCAGTTCTAAGTTAATTACTTTGTTGTGGAATTGTTATTTCAATTTTTGCTCATTCGTCATTTGCTGCCATGTAACGATTAATCAATCCAAAGAGAATAAAATATAAAGATTTCTTACTTTATCAACATTTATATTTTTATTCCTAGGTTATTATTCCAATGATAAAATTATAGAATTTTGTGTTCCAAATGAAACATTTTATTGTTTTATTATTTACTTGTGAGAGATTGAACATAAATTTTCGTGTGGATTCTTCCAAGCTGGGCTATGGACATCTCAGTGTAAATTTCCTAATTATATTCGTGCTGGTGTTCTATTAAGGATAATTCAAGTAGCATAATCTTATTCACGCAAAATAAATTGTCTTATTTTAACAATTACTTATCTTATTGAATGCTGTTATATTAAAACAGCTAACACAGATCCAAGCACAAATTTTTTTACCATTTTTTTTACATGAAATTGCGCCAAGGTTTTAAAAAATCGAACTCTTATTTTGGTAAGTTAAAACAGGGCAAGTATATAATAAGCTCTCTGCATTTTGAAATATGTATGTTACAAGGTAAAAAAAGTTAATAAATATTATAGAATTTACAAAGTTAAAACTTAACACAGTCAAATAAATTAATTAATTGAACTATGAAAATTCAGCTGCCGACTGAGTTTTAATTGTTTAAAAAATTACAATTTTTGAACAGTGACCAAGTTTTACACTTTGAATTAAATGCAGGCTTTGGATCATTCGAATCAATTGATCGGTGCTTTTTGAGCTCTCAGGAAATACAATTATCCCTTTAGGAAAAATTGAATCACATCAAGTTGTTTGTCAATTAGGCTGACGACTTACATAACAGATAAAAAGCAAAATTATAATCTCGGCCGATTAAGGAATGAAATAGGGTTATCAAGTAGTAAGAGAGAGTGATTTTTCTGTTGCATCTACCAAAAACGATGTTGCAGTTTTCTTTCTCCATGGGCAGGTGCATCATGAACCTCTTCATCTATGATGGAATTAGCACAACTGTTGACGGGGCTCTCAGTGCGACGAGGGCTAAAGTCGCTGTGCCTGCAAGTCAATTATTATTTTAGCAACAAAGCAAATTGTTATAAATATTATGTTGTTAAATTAAATTATTAGTTTCATGGATGGTTCATGCTTTAGTAAGCAGAAAAGTTAATCGAGCTGAATCTTACCCATTTGAGTGACTATCATTGTTACGTTCCAGAATAATCTTAGGTTCCATTGAAATCTAGAGACACAAAGAGGTTATAGGTTAGTTGAACAGGTAGAAGATTTATTTTTTTTGTACAGAGCGATTCAAAAACATTTTAAGAACATGTTCCTAATATTTGTAGATAGAAAGAGAGATGTTAAAACTTATAATAATATATACATATTTTTTTAGGCTATTTACAAAAAAAAATTGCTCACATATTTCGAGTTTGCTTCTGAATGATACACAATAAAAAAAAATGCTTGTTCTTATGTTCTTATAGACATTAAATTTTTAACTTTTTATAATAACAATCATACAGGTTTGAATTAGAATAAAAGTACCTTATCCATTGATGCAGCAGGTCTGTTCACGAACGCCCTGCCACTAGCTCGAGCAACAGAAAATGAGCCTTTGCCAGCTGCTCTCCTGAAATTAAGCAAGGGGCAAATAATCATCAATCAATATTCTAACTTCATTTTATAAAATCAATAATGTTATAGAATATTAATATACCTGTAATCAATCTTGATGTTGGACTTGTAACCAGGCAGCAGCTCGGGGTCCACACTGAAAAATCTATCGTAGACTACAAAGTTGTTGCTTTGGGGAATGATACGCTCCAGGTTGTAGTGTTTCTTCAAGAAGCCCATTAGCTTCTCTGATGGCCTGTCAAGTGCCAAAAACTCGGGAGCGATGTGCTCTTCCTGTCGCAAAACAAAGTGACGCATCAAATGAGTCATACAGTTTTTTCCCCTAAAATCGATCAGTTACCTGCAGCATGTGTTCAAACAACATTCTGCCACATCCAGCACGTTGCATGCTCTCATGGACGTAAAAGTCAAGAACGCAGATGGGAGTGAGTTCATGGTGCTTTCCAGCCGCATCAAAAATGTACAACTTTTTGCGGCCAATCTTGAGTAGACCAACCACAGTTCCTAGGCCACTGTGAAAGTGGGAAAGTAAAGAAATTAAATAATTCTCTCACGCAAAAGAAAAAGCTCATCTTGACCAAGTTTCTTTTTATGCATCCAAAAATGGAAAGAAACGAAAACATGTTTGATGAGACAAACAAGAGCGTGTATAAATAATTAATATTATTCAAAGACTCAACGTGGTCGATACCATTACTGTTCAATAAATATTTTACCTATAGTGTGCAACTGCAACTTACCGCAACAGCACGTTTTTGGCATTTTCGATTGCCAACAAAATATTTGTGTTATTTAAGTAACGTGCAGTGCAAAATGAAAATAAACAAAAATGCACAATCTTGCTCAAGGTGAACATTCTTGAGAAATTTCAAGTGGTTGACGATAAAAATAAATTTTAGCATTTTTAAATTTTACGAAATTAGGTTTTAACATTTTTAACTACATAAATATTGTGAAGGTGAGAATACTAAAATGCAAAATGTTTTATCTCTAAATTAAAATATAATATGAAGACCCTCGCCTATTTAAAATGAGTCACTGCAATTTAATTTATTCGCGTGTAGGAGCCAAATTATTTTGAATCAATTATTTTGAATATAACGTTATCATTATATAAACTGATTAATTAATGTAATTTGCAAAGAACTCGTTAATTCAGATGACCATAATATTGTCACCTATCGGCAATTTTCACAATTCAAATCGAATATTCTAGATACATAAAATTATTCTCGAAGAAAAAATCAATGATCGAATTTGAGTGAAAGGTGAGAGGTCACTTACCCTGCTCCTTCAGAATTGGTCAGCAAATAGACCTTGTGGTCCGAATTCCTCAGCCTATCGGCACTGGTGACCGGTGACTGCAAGCCCTGGGCGATTCCGGACGACTCGCCGATTTTGTCCAAAATGACGGCCACCTTGTGCTGGCACTCCCTGCGAACATGCCGCCAAATGGCCCGTAAAATAGCCGCACGGATAAAGGGAATTTCTAAAACTCACGCGACCTCCTGGCGATCTGCAGAGTGGAAAGTGTCCGGCAACATTGATCCATCGATGCAGGTGAACCTGACCGGCAAAACGTCATTCACGGAGAAGTTGAAATCCATGTCTTTGGCTGGTCGGACGATGTAGACAACAGCCTCTGAGCGGTGGACAGTCAACTGTTCTGGAAGGAAAACTCGCGAATCGAATAGGCAGCGTCACAGCGACAGGCAGCACACCAAAACAACAGTAACGGGATGACGTCATGCGTACCAATCCCTGCGGCTCGACCCGCTTCTCGCCCCACTCCTTGCCAACACTGCGGCGGCAACTCCACCAACCAGTGCTGGTTGCCCTCTTGCTTGATCACTGGAGCGCCTAGGCGCGCCAAATTTTTGCTGCGCTCGCCCCAAGACGGACATGCACCACTGGCACGTGCATTATTTTGAGCACCGATTCCGCTGTGCCTCTTCAAAGATTCGCTTTATAAGTCCCAACAGAACGTACAGTGAAATAAAATATAATTATAATCTGCGCATAAATAAATTTTTAAAATTTCTAATATTATAGCTGATTAAAAAAAATTCTGGTGCGGATTTATTTGATCCACTTAATTAATAATCAAATGGAGTTAACTTTTCAAATATGTATAATTATTAAATGAAAGGATTAGAAATGATTTAAAATAAAATCCTATCAAAGCTAGTAGAATTATGCTGGAAAAAATGTTTATTTATCCGCGTCGAAATTTTCATCTCCCCTACACTTTTGATTGCAATTTAATTTCAACAGAATTTGCTGCTGGCGACTCATTTGGTAATGAAACAACATTGAATTAATTGAAGTCCAAACTTTCAGCATTATATCAGAAATAATAGAATTTAGAATTTATCACCACCTACATTAATCAATGATGACCAAAAAATTACAGCAGATGGAAACTTTTAATAAAAACGTTTTTATCTTTTAATCTAAATTCAAGTAATATTTGTTATTTATAGTTTAATGATTATAAAAATACGTTTTATTATGAACACAATCTATGCGGAGTCTTTTGGCTATAATGACTATAAATCTGCACACATATTATCAAAATTAAATTTTTTTGCAACTTCACCAAAAACAAGTGTTTTCAGAATCCATTATTAGAGTCTGTGGGTGTGATAGGCTGCAGGACAGGTCTCTGGACGGCCGAGTACACACTCTGGTTGTAGCGTCTGCTGCGCCAGTGAATTAGCAGGTAGCCCAAAATCACCACCACGGCTCCAAAGTGCGCAGCAGAGGAGCCGAGTAGTAAACCTACAAGGTGGTCTCGCTGTGCCGGACAACCCAATCCTGTCCGCACTCCGTCACTTTCACACTCGCAATTGTCCACAGCTGCAGGTTCAATTAGCTCGGTGGAATTTGTGTCCATCAAAGGCATCGATGAGTTTGAGGCAATGCTGAATCCAAAAATTGGGCGCAGGATGCACTCAACTTGAAATATCCAAATGAGCCGCAGGATGTGGAAGACGAGTGCACTAACGCTTGCCAGGAAAGATATTATCATGAAGCAAATACACAGGGCCTGAAATGGAATAAAAAATATTCTAAAAATACATTGTGTGAATTATATATTGAAATTGTGTGGGAGACCTATTTTATAAATACCAAATTTATGGGAATTCTATATTATATAATATTTAATATAAATTGGAAGCATTTAATTAAGTAAATTAATTCGTATAAAAAATAAACTAGCAACAGGAAAATATTTGGGTTTATTTCCCTTCCTAAAAATATAATACGGAAGCCACACATGCTTCCCAAGCAGTGATATCTTGATTAATTAGCTCATATTAATTTCTTCTAAGAGAAATCAATATTTCTGTTTTACGAATTGTGGCGTAAAAGCCAAGTTTTATAGCACGGGGTGGTTACATTCACGCAAGCCACTGGTCAAGGGGTTCATGAACTCACAATGCACGACTGGCTAGCCTCGCAGACCCAGTCAGGGGCAGGCACTCCCGGAGTCAGTCGACGGCACCAACACACCAAAATTACCCCTGCCATTCCAGCCATCAAATTCTGAAAGAGTAAAAAAAAAACCTATTTTTAATGAGATCTTAAATTTTTATTTTTTAAAAACAGCGGAAATAAGAAATATGTAATTATTCCTAATTGAATCTTTCATCGTAATTTTTTCAGTTCTATTATTTTAGAATCGATTTTTTTTTTTTAATTACCAGCGTTCCACTCCAAAAAGGAAGGTCTCTGAAGAGAAGGAATGGTGCTTGAAGTACTAACAGGAACGCAAAAATTATTCCAGCCACCCCCATTATGGCAAGGAAGGTGGATAGAAAGGCGGCCAGATTATGCCATCGAACCACAGGGGGCAAATATCGTAAAGGAACTAAAACATAAGTTTGATTTAATAAACAACAATGTCAGAAATTTAATACTTCATATTATTATTATTTTTCTTAATTTTATAAGCCTCTTTAAGCTTTGAAAGTCACAAGTGAAAATAATTGTTCAATTTTATAGAACCACCTAGAAAAAAAGGACGGATTTATTTTAAACGTCGGAAGCAGTAGCGGTGGCGTAAAATAAAATTAGTCTCGGCCGCAATCTTTGGAGCGTTGCAATCTGCTGTTAGAATTTACTGGTATTCAGCGGCGGCGCCTTGCACGATCATTGCGCTCCTTTTTCACATTTATAGCCTCATAGGGTCTCATCCAAATGTACGAGACATGCAAAATCAACAGATTGCTTACGCAATCAAGCATATAATACTCGCAAATGTAAAACGTTTGGGCGAGCAATTAAATAATATTTAATCAGCGCTCCGCAAACACAGCGAGAGTGCAGCAATTTAAGCTATTTTGGCGAGATAAAGACCCCGCTCACAAGCAAATAATGCTCATTCTCAGAGAATGAAAAAAAAACACCATTAATAAAGAAAACTAAATTCCAAATCAGTGTTTTTTTTTTTATATAAATAAATTAGCGAAAACTTGAAAAATTTAAATAAATTAAAAATAATTGAAGAACTGAAGTCTTTCAAGTTAAGCACAACTTGATTTTGATTTCTTCCCTAAATAACCAAGACGGAGTGTCAAAGTTGGATTATTCGTGACAGTGTAATATAATCATTAAATATTATAATATAGTTTTCTTTAAATGCTTTACAGTAAAAAAGTCTGTCTGGAATCTATTTGATCTATTTGTGAAAACCATCGCATTTGTTTGTCCGCTTTGGTGCACATCGTTTTTATTGTTAAAAACTTGTCGGCAGCACAGATTAAAATTTAATGGGATATAACGGTAAAAAAGCGTATAACTTTTTCTTGATATTTCTTTTAATGGTTTCAAAATTATAAAATTATTTTGTTAATAATTATCAATGTGCTTAAATAATTTTAATTTTGATTGATTATAAATTAATTATTTCAAGCACATGCATGCGTTTGACAAAATTGCTACGCAATAAATGAAACGATCGGTTTTGGTTTGTAGCACCTTCATTGCAACATAGGGCCATGAGAATGAGAAGGTATAGGAATAGGAGCACGTCAAAATGCGCGGAATGCTTTGTGTTCATAAGGTCAAATGAGGTCGCGCATTTATTTTGGCTCTCCCATGGCTCCCTCCTCCTCCTTGCGAGGTTTTTCTCCTGAAATCTAATTGACTTCGAACAACATGTCAAAAAATATCTCTGTGGGTACTAAAGTTTTTGAATTTTCCTAAATTAATAATTTTTCATAGTGAGGTGTCATAGATATATTGAGGCGCCCAAGATTGATTATAATTTAAAATAAAATATTAAAACACGCTAGAAAATAATATATGAATGCTTCGTTAGAAAATACAAATCAATTTTTTTAGCACAAGGTCTTCATGCACTTAAGTGTGGAGGTGGGGTTATTTTATTTGGTTTTCCGTTTCGTGGGCTCGGTCCAAATATGAATCACAGGTATATGTCCGCAAGGTATTTAAGTTGGAATTATAATAGGAGGAGGCCGTGGGTGAATGGGCACCATAATATGAAAGCGCCAGTTTTATCAGCCCACGTACATTTGCTTGGAAACAGACAGACATGGGCACCACCAAATAATAAGGCTAAAAATAAAAGGAGGAAAAGGAGGAGGAGAGCCTCTTCCGACGAAATTCTACAATTCGAGCCTGTTGTGCTGCTCCACTCTAAGCGGCACTTCCGATTTTATTAAATTTGGTTCTCCACAATATTTGACACATTCCGAATTATTTCCAAATGAAAATCACAACAAGCTTATTTTTTGAAGTAATTCAAGTTCTGTTGACGTGTTCAACAGTTCAGCTTTCTTTTATTCTAACTTATTAAAAATAAATCAATAAAATGATCAGAAATTACTAGAAGCATCAAGAAGAAATAGATAAATTTATATTATATTATTTATGAGGCGCCGGAAACAATAAATCATGATGCAGCCTCTGTTCCAGACTGTAGTTATTTTTTATATATATTAAAAAAAAGAACATGCGACATGCAGAAAACGGATAGGGTGTGTACCTCTTCCATTCTGTTGGCTGAGGACCAGCATTCTGCTATGTCTGATGGACGCCCTGGTGGGCTGGTGTCTTCCTGACAACGGACTACGGGCTAAATTTACTGGCACTGTGGTGGCCAAATTGACGGCCTGCGAGGGTGGCGCTTCGGACGACGCATTGAGAAGCGCGGCCGCACTCAGGTCGGCCACCGAATTAGCCTCCGGCTGCGATTGCTGCTGGACAATGTTGTCGTACAGCGACAGTGGCCTATGAACTTTGACATTGGACTGCCAGGTGCTGCCATTGTCGCTGGCCATCTTTCCTTCTTCTTTTTCTTCAGGTGGGCCGAAAGAACTGGGGAGGTCACATGGACCTCCTACATGGCCCGTGAGAACAAAAAGCGTGGCCACTCAAGCGTGTCCGAGTGTTTTGTATGGCGGAACTGTCTCCTCTGCGGTGCGAAAGCGACCGACGGCGGCGCGGCCCCTTCGAGTCTGCTGGTGCGTGTAGGGGGAGTAATGTAGTTTTATCATGCCTGCGCGCGACATGCCTATTCTATTATGTGCGCTGTTTATAAATAAACCTTATCCTGTGATACATAAACGACTCTGATGCTGATCGAATGCCAAATTAATTTTTGAAAGGAGCTGAGGAGGTGCATTAGAATTAAAAATTTATATGCGCTACACTGAAATTAAAAAATAATCATACATATATCGCAAGAAATTTTCTGATTGTATTGAATATTTTACCGTATTTTACTTTCAATTTCATCAGTATATTGTATAATTATTACTGAATTTAACCCCAATAGAATTTTTAAATTGCATTTTATTTTAATTAAAATATCCCAAGTAAAAATTAATTACACCCCATTGCATCCCATGTTATGATGAAAAATTATTTTTTATTTTGGATAAAAACCCTTCTCCTGATTGTTTTACGTTCAAACTCAAGAAACGTGCAAAATTAGCTTATATTATTTATTATATTGTTTATAGCAATTTTCCTTTTGCCTTTACTTAGAAATTTGATTTATTACTGCATTGAATACAGCTTTTTTCAATTCAATAATTTCAACTGTATTCAGTTCATCTGGTTCATCAGAAGTCCTAAAAATTAACTTCAACCACACCAGTGGCTTTTCTCTTGCGGTTTCTCTCAACAGCGTAGAACCTCATTGAAATCCTCTTGACTACGAAAATTTCTGGACTTTTTGTCACTTAATCTATATTTGTGTTTAGAAAGGCAATCTTGAGCAAAAAGGCAGATATTTTTACGTTATTATTATGTAATCCCTTTATTAACCAAATACAATTCAAATTTTTTTACTATTGAATACAGAGTTGATTTTTTTAAAGAAAAGAATTAAGTTTTATTTCAAAGACAATAAATATTTTGCAAGAATCTAAAATGAACATGGAGAATGTAGAGTTAAAAATGAATTGCATGAATGATTTCTTTCAAGATGTGTAAAAATTAACCAAAAAGACAAAAAATAAAATTCGCTGGTTTCCATCTACTAATGCTTTAGTTTCAGTTTGCCACGTTGTAAGAAAAACACAATAAATTACATGTTCCCCTGATCTCTCATTCTCCTGATCCAATTGCAGCCATTTAAATGGAAACAGAATCACATTTGCAATACATTTTCTTTAGACCAGACGTAGAAAAACAAAAAATTGGTTTGGATGTAGCCGTCTATAGCTGAATGCACTTTCAGTCTAATTGAGTGATCAGCCAAACTCAACGGATCAGCATAATATATCAGGAGATATCCTCGCACATCTGAGTTCAATATACACGCACATCATTCATCTTTCCCTGCATTTCTTTTCCGATACAAAATTCACTTGTTCGTTAGAAGAGAAGAAAGGCTAGAAAATCAGTTGCATATTTTTGCAGCCCCAACCAAGCCCATCAGGGGTCTTAAATTAGGGCAAAAGGATTGAATAATTAAGTAAAAGTGCCTTGATCCAGTTTAATAGCACTGCAAAACGCAACTATACCTAACAGGTTTAGCCACCAAATATGCACGCATTTTCTTGCTCTTTCATTCTTTTCTGCCCTTATTTTTATATCACTTTGCACAAAAATAGAGTCCACTTACAAAAGTGAGTGACATGACATGGTTTTCTTGCTGTCGAAAGGCTTAAATAAGAGGGCTTTTAGCTGCCCCGCCGTCCTTGCGCAGGGTGCTGTGGTCTTTCATTTTACATTGAGTTCTCGGAGCCGGAGTCGTCAGCCTGCAAGAATCACGTGCATAGTTAGTGACTAAGGCATTGTGAGGGTTGAGAGAGTACACAGCATTTATGGCACTGCTAATCAAACTTGTTTATTTCTGTGAACATACAAAGTTAGGCAGCAAAATTAAAAAAATAATGAAGAAAAAGAAACTAGATTAATTGCTTGTTAGGCCAGATCAGGTACACAAACACCGCCGAATCTCTTATATGAATAATTACGTTTTATTGAAAGTGACTAGTAGAAAAATATTTTCATTCAATGTATCTAAAATATCTTTCGCCCACAGTGTGTTCACAATACTGAGCGAGAATTTTTCCTCGTCAGGTCAGGTTAGCAAAATGCTCGCCCTTGCATAAAAAAAAGACTTGCTAAATGCTACAACTATGACAATAAGTGCTGGAACCGACTTGAGTAACTTGCATTACAACTAGGTAACATCAGTTCCAGTGAAAGAAGACTCATGGCTTTCTGGCTTCTTAAGCCAATAGGACATTGGAAAATTGGTTCCAGAACTTTACGAGCTCAACCGCAAATGATTATGGAGTGTTTGTTTGTTTCCTCCTCCATGCATAGGAAAGTATGAGAATATCACAAGAAGAGAAACCAATTAGATCCAATGAAAGATCACAACTGATTTTTGTACACTACATCAGGAGTGATGTAAAAGTCCACAACATCACTTGGATCTACTACACTAATTTGAAAGTCGCCGGACTGAAGGATATGACCAATTCTCGGAACATAGTTGGCAGGCTTGGGTAAAATGAATAATGGCCATTTTTTGGGGTCCCTGCCAGCACATTCAATGCCTCGACCTTGCGACAATAAACTGAACAAATAACTATTACTGGCTTGCAACTTTTTAGGTACAGTGAGGTCGAGCTTAAGGTTGCCGTTCTTTTTCTGGCACGATGAGCACGAGTCCACGTGGCACAACTCAACTGAGCAGTTTTTAAGGTGCCGCAAGAAGAAGTGCTCAACGTATGTGCTGACAGGGAAAAGGAGATCGCATACCTCGCATCTAACCTTTTTCTGAGCTCCACCACGTCCCGTCATTGGTGCCTTGGCTGGTTGAGGTATGATGGTGATCTCGTCATTGATCTTCAAGGGCTTTAAAAGGGAGTCGGAATTTGTTGGGCGAGCAGGCGGTCCAGAAGTCTTCTTGTCCATCACCCGCTTGGCCACAACACTATGGGCGGAATACACGTGGTTCTCAAACTGCTTGTACATGCCAAAGGTGGCCGTGCACACAGTGCATTTGTATGACAAATGGGCTGGCTTAAGCGTCATGTTATGATCCTTTGCCACGTGATTTAGAAGTTTCCATTGATAAACCTAGAAATTTAAAAATCGGTCAACATCAGTTGTGCAATTCTGCAAGTTATTATGCTCAAACTTACCCTGCCACACACAGGACAGCGGCCACCGTCTTTGCCTTTGTTGGAAGCTTCTTGCATACTAGACGTAACGAGGCCGTGAGAACCGAGCAAATGTCTTTCTAAACCCTGATCAGTGAAAAAGCGGAACTGGCACTTTTGGCAATTCAGTGGAGGTCTGTTGTAGATCATTTTTGGATGGATCTTGACCTTGTGGATCCACTGCATATGGTTTCGTAACTGTTCAAGATCCTATAGAAAAAGATTAATTGGAGGATTTACGAAAAAAAGATTTGTAGCAATTTTACCTTAATGTAACCGTCGCATATTTCACAGATAACAAATGAATTTTTGCCACCCTGTTGACCAGGCTTAGCCATCTGGTTGGCTGCGGGACTGGACGAAGCACAAGAAGATGCATTTGTCTGTCGAGGCAGAGGAGTGATTGATATGCTGGGTTGCTGGAGCAACTTAGCCGTAGGAGACTTGTTAGTAGTCTGCAAAAAAATCCAAATTTTTCTTCGATTCCAAGATTAACAAAAAAATTATTTACTTGAATTGTTAATGAGCCAGAAGTAAGTCCTAAAGGAACACTGGTACCTCCCTGCATGATACTCTTGAGCTGAGCAGGCAGGACTTGACTTTGCTGCTGTTGCCAGCGCTGAAAGGAAAAAAAAATTTGTATTGTCGTTGATGAAATATCCGGGATACATACCTGGTACATTTGATTTCCAGATAGCTGGTAGGGATTGGGCACCATCATCTTCTGGTTATAAAGATTTCCAGCTGAGATTAAAGATAGTTAATGAAGCTGTAATTGCAAGTATATTTTAATAAAATACCTTGACGTAACTGAGAAGGAGTGATCGCCTTTGGCATAGCCTTCAAATCGGGCAAGTATCTTGAACCCATTGCAGGACGTCCTTTACCTCGAACGTTGGCTAGAATGTTCGGGACTAAGTTGGCTCCTGAAAGTTTAGGCAGCAGAGGATGTTGCACCAACTGTGTCGGCATTCGAGCATTTGCGTACTGTCCCATGGTATTTACAGGCAACATTTGTCTTTGTTTTGGGACACGAGGAATTTTTGCAGGGGGTTCCCAATCAAGAGGTGGCTCCAAGTTCTTTTCAGGTCGGAATCTCTTTTGACACGAAATCATATGTCGAGTGATCTTGCTCTTCTGATTGTCCTCGAAGGGGCAATTGGGGCATTGGTGGAAGGATGGAGCCCGCTCCATACGGCCACTCTTCTTGTGTTCGGTTTGCATGTGTATGAGCATGTCCTGATTGGTGCGCATTGTGACAGGGCAGAAATTGCAGCAATAGACAAAGTTCTTGAAGTGCGGAATCTCCAAATGGTGCTCCAATACAACATCCGATTCGGTCTTAAAGTTGCAGAACTTGCACTGCTTCATTTCAAACTTGTATGGCTTGTTGTTCTCCTTGCTCTGCTCAAGGTTCTTTAGCAATGATTGCACAGCCACCTGGTTCTCAGCTGAATTAGCACTGCCCTTGTTGAGTTTACGCTTAGTCATTTTCAGCAAATCTGTCTGTACAAATTCCTGGACTAAATTTATGCCAATATTCATGAAGAATTTGCCAAGTGGGCTTTCAAAGTAAGAAGTGGGCTTTGGCGCTGGACCTTTAGCATCACTCAGATCACTGTCTGAATCATCGTCAATCTCTTCGTCCGTGTAATCAGTATCATTAGGGTCCAGTTTGCCATCTTCCCCTGTAGCCTCCAGCTCAGCCTATGAAAGATGAGTCATTACAATTAACACATAAGAAAAAATTTAAATACTTACTTTTTCCTGGGCCTTCTTTTCTGCTCGTTTTTCCCGTTCCCTTTTCCTTCTTTCCTTTTCTTCGTGCCTTTTCTTTCTTGCTTCCTCTCTTTCCTTGCGCTCCTTTTCTTTGACTGCCTCACTTAGTTTCTCAACAGTCTCTTTAAGAGGCTCTTTAGCAGGCTTCTCATAGACATAGGGGACAATAAAAGATGGAGCCTCCACGACATACATATCATCTGTCAAGCCAGCTGGGGCTTTTTGCTGTTTGCCCGCAGCAACTGGTGGCGGAGTCCCTGGCTTTGATTTGGATGTCACTAGCGGATATCCCTGAGCAGTATGCGTGGCTGAGTTGGAATTAGACTGATTTGAAGTCAGAGGAACTGGACCTCTGCCGGAGAGGATGGAATTTGTATCAATTATGACCAGAGTAGGCTCCTTTTTGCCTTCTCGACTGCTGGCAGCAATCTTGGCAAGTGCCTTGGTGTCGCTTACAATTATTGTGTTCTTTTTAGGAATTTTGTCGGCTAAATTTGACGATAGAGGATCGCCACCAGCAGCTACTTTTTTCCCAGGCGTATTCACAGCAAGAGGATCTTGCGGTTCAATTTCCTCTATATCAGACTCTCCAGAATTAGCTTCTGCTCCGTCCGTATACCGTTTGGACCTATGAACATTTCTGTTGCTTCTCCTGGGTGTTAAGTTCAAAGCTTCCTGATTGCTGGCGTCAGAATGGTCATTTTTAGTATCAGCTTTAGTTGGCGTTGTGTCATTGGACGCCTCGTTGGACTCATCACCAGCTTGAGGATGATCATCATTGCTATCTATAGGGTCGCCATCTTCGTTGACTTCTTGTACGTCTCCATCTTCGTCATCATCTATTTCTTGGATTTCTTCATTATTGTCAACTTCTTGGATTTCATCATCATCCTCTTCATCCTCGGCTTCTTCTGGATCCTCTTCACCACCATTAAGGTCGTCCTCGTGGTCACCCTCCAACTCACACACACTGTCATTATCTAAGTCTTCACCATTAAGGTGCTCATCGCCGTTTTCATCCTCCCCATCTTCACTGTCTATTTCTTCGTCTCCATTGTCCACTGGCAAAGGGTCCAGGCCTAGTTCAACTAAAATTGGCGGCTTTTTGCCAACTTCTCCCGAGGCACTGATTTTGGACTTCTTGGCAGGCGGTGGACTGTCACCATCACTGCCGGCGCCATTTGCTTCCCCGTTACTGTGTACTTGAGCAGAAGCGTCATCTGCATTGTCTGACTTGCTTAAAGCTGTCTCGCCACTTGGCATCATTACAGCTTCCATCACAAATCTGCAACAAAGTAGTAACGTTGCATGAAAAATAAAGATTGTGATTCTTTGAAGGCTTAAAATATTTTATTTAAAATTAATAAAAAAGCATTTCTAATTTGAATTAGAATTTACTCGTTGCTAAAATTGATCTCAATGCTTTAAAATTTTGAATGGCATATTAAAAGAAAACATTTTTTCTAAATATCTGCACAGCTCCTGCCCTACAAAATATTCATGTATCTGAATTTGAGAACAATAAAAGAAACTTCCAGCATGCTGGAAATTCGAGGCTAAAAAAATGAAATATGTTTTAAATACCAATTCAAAGGTTAAATAAAATTAAACTAAAACATAATCAATATATTATTTTTACTTACCAAATTCAAGAGAAATGTGCCCAGATACCTAGCATCAACTGAGGCTCATAGGCCTATAGGGTCATGACCTGTGAACAAAGGAAATGAAGACACCAAAATTATTATCGTAAGTTTACAAAAACAAATAATTACAGGCATTAGAAATTCCCATAAGCTATTCTTTATTTATAGTGAAAATGGAATCAAGTAGATGTGGAAGTAGAAAAAATATGAAAAATCAATTTTTGTCCAAGAAAGTGTCCGTATTTTTTTGCCCCTAGTGTGAGGGCACACTTATAGAGTGCAGCACCAACGTCGGTCGGTGTGAACACGCTACTGGCCCTTCCTAATCGCCCGCCGATACCTAATGGTGTCCTAAATTTGCGGCTCACTGCCTAGCAGGACCTAACTAGGCCTAATCAAATGCCCAACGCGGCCGATACCCAAGAATCGGCATTCCCGTTCGAATTCGCCCGCCTAATTCCCGCCATGAGCACACCGTGTGTCGTTCAGCTGCCGCGCGATATACCTAGCCTACCAAGCCTAGGATTAGGAAGGGCCGACTCGGACTAAGTTGGCCGAATCGGCCCGAAAAACGAGTCGGCCAACCTTCCCCACACTCGCCGACACTTGCCATGCCATAAAAATCAAAATTGCGGGCTTACCGGGTGTGACAATAACGTAGTGCTCGAGATATATCATGCACCGACCTGCTCGACGTCACTAACCCCTGCTAAACAGGAGAAAACTGCCAAGATGGCCGCTCGGGGGGCGGTCACGTGACCAAAGGAACCTGTGACGTAGAGGTTGAGTCGAGGGGCTCTGGTAAATGTCCAATCAAGATCCCCCGAACAGGTCACGTGGCGCGCTCGGGGGGCCCCAGCCAATCGACGGCGTGGTCAAAAATTATGCTCGAAAAGTCTCCCCCGGCCTCTGGTCATCATTTTTGACCCCCGGACACCCTGGTTACCGGTGTCCGAAAGTGCCGGTCTGCATGCGTGCTCGCCAGCTGATTGTGACACATTGACGTCATGCACCAGGTTCAATGTGCCTTCAGTGGTCTCTGACCATGCATGCTGCTGCTGCAGCACACCTCGCTGCAGCGGCCGGCACCCTTGGAGGCGGCAATAAAAAAATTTGCGGCCGCCGCCGGTCCGTACCAAGTTGGTTGACCGAGCAGCCGGCGTCGCTGACGCGCCGCGCCCAATACCCTATGCGCTAATGTCAGTCGCGCTTATCTTTTATTTCATGCGAGAAACATTTCTTACAGTTTTTATTCCACATCTATGTTCATCAAATTTTGCAAATTAAACAATTTCATGTTCTCTGAACAAACTCGAAATTGACGGCCTAAAATATATTAGTTTATTATTTTATTTTAATTAAATTTTTTTCTGTTCGATTCGCTTTCAAAAAAGAATTATTTATTTTACCCCAAAATATAAAGATAATTAAATAATATCCATGTTTCACTTTTGCTTATTTTAAAATCGATTACTTGATGGCTCTCTCTAACATGGTATCTCAATTTTGATTATTTTTACATACTGCATTATTTTTACGTAGCAATCTCATTGGATAGTTTGTGTAATTTTCACCATATCTTTTCACTTTCAAAACTTTTTACTCCAAAATGGAAAATTTAATGTAAGCGGCCAGTTGGCATTAAATTACGCGCACCCTCATCAGCTGCGGTTTGACTCATTCACGTGTGTGCATTAATCCATTCATGTACATAACACGTTAAGTCATGAATCAACATTGCTGCACTGCAACCGCATGCACTTCTTGCACTCGCCGCCCATTGATTTAATGACTGACTGCTGTGAGAGAACACATCTTGCAAGGGGCCGCGCGTAAATTTTCAGTCAGAAAAAAAACAGGTCTGTTGCATACACATTTCAATTATGATATCTTGTTATCTTGTCCACAAACATCTGATTATTTAAGAAGAAAAATATTTGACTAGGACTGATTTTCGAAAATAATTTCTATTTATTTGAACTTTTCAAATAATGGTGGGTAAAAAAAGTAATCATTGTAAGTGAAAATAATCGATCAAAAGAGCGGCTGAGTATTTAATGATTACTTGAAATATTTGATCAGATATTAATTTAAAAAATCCAAATTGTCAATTGTCAAAAATAATTTTGACAAAAACATTTTGGAGCTCAGTTTTTTTAAGGAGAAACTTGACTTTCGTTTTGAGTCGTCTGCGCTAATTACAAAATATGTGCTGATCTGCTGATAAGAAACTTCGTCGTGGCCCAACCCGGAAAAGTAAGCAAATTTTGTGAAGTGCCTTAGTGAGTAGATTGCCGAGGGCGTTGCAGAAATTAACGTTGAAGCATTTTCATCAAGTGTTATATATAATACAATTGCAAAGGCCAGAGAAGAAAATGAGATGCGTTCTTTTTCTCTATTATTAGAATTAAGACAAAAAGTCGGCACGCGTCAGGTACTGCGAGTCTCCGTTTCACCAACAAAGAAATATTATAGTTCATATGATTGCCCTGCATACAGAAAAAAATTATGGTAATAAGCCAAACCAACAAAAAATGCAGCTGCCTGCGTAAAACAGTCCCAGGAGGGGTGGTTAGTTTCAGAAGGGACGCGCCGCGTTTCGGTGCTGGTTTTACCAGAGAGTTGGCGAGAGCGAGAAATTTTCGACCCTGTACAGCAAAAGGCCGAGCGATCAATAAAAAGTAACTCAGGCAGCCAATGATTATTTCCGAATGCGCCTGAATATTGATTTTCGGCGTGGCGAAAAAGACCACAAGCATCCCTCATTTTCAGCGCTCTTTTTCAAGACGCAAAATTTTAGCAGAATTTTAGAATCGCAATTTTTAAAATAAAAAAGTCACAATTGACAAAAAATTAAATCACGTCAGGTGAAAGGATTTGGGAAAAAATTAAGAGCCGAAAAGAGGATATTCATGGTGAAAGAAATAACGGCTTATTCTTGGCTCATTTTTGTGGTAAATTTGAGCCGGCGCTGCTAGAGAGAGTGCCACGTTCATTTCCACGACTTTGCGACTTCCACATCAGAGCCGCCAAGTCAATGACCTAAATGTTGGGTTTCAGCAAAGGCTTTTTGCATCTGGCTCCCAACCTAACTGGCAAATAATGCAAACAATATTATCTTTCTTATTTGATTTTGCATATTCATAGGAAAATTCTGTGTGGTTTTAGTTTCAACAGTTATACAGTGAGAAAAAATTTAAAAAAAGTAAATCCCACTCACCCTGCAACATAATTATAACTTTTGACATTTAGAACATTAAAAAAGATTTAAATAAATACCGAGTTATAAATATAGCAAAGCAATATTTTGAGATAGCTAGGATTTTTGAAACGAAACTATTTTCTTACACTTTTTTTGTCAATGTCTTTATAGATTTTTTTTATAACTCAACTTGATGAAAAAAGTAAAAAATGATCAATGTCTTATATTTTCTTTTTTTAAGCAGTTTTATAAGATAAATATTTGTTAACGAATCATTAATCAAGGATTAAAATTGCTGATAATTTTAAATTTGGCCAAAATAACATAGATCTATATCATCTCTGTGACATCACCAAACATTTCTGACTGAATTATCAGCAAATGGTAAAACTTTTGAACATCAAACTGCTGAACATGATTGGCGACCAGAAACCAGAACGATGGCCTTTCCTATCAGTGTCCGCTGTTGGGAAACAGTGGCTACACCCGTTTAGGATAAATGGTATCTCCCGTACTTTCCAACAATGCCGGCCCGCCGGGCGTCTGTCCACATTTTTATCGAAGCACATCATAATGCAAAACTTTAATGAAAACCCATCAATTTCAGTATTAAATGGATTGCATGATTCGAAACGTCCAGGTAGCAATAAAATTTGAATAAAATTGATCGTGGCCCTCAAGTTGGCGCATAAGGGGGCCTAGGGCGCTGCCGCTCGATGGCAGCGGGGGCTACAGGGCTTGCATAGCCTCTCGCTGCCTCATCGTGAAATTCCAACCTACGTCATCACCCCCCATGCCACGTGACGAGTCCCCCTCTGGGAGGCGGCGTCCCCAACCTAATACCTAAACCCAGGACGTACTCGGCGAAAGTTGGCTTCCGCGCGTCTTCCTAGCATGGCCACAAGAAGTGCCGCACTCGCGGCAAACTTATTTATTTGTGGAAATTTTAATTTTCAAATTATTCCTAAAAGTTAACAATTCGCATATTTCTTTTAATCTGATTAAAAATTTTAGTCTGCAAAAACACTAGCACAATATAACAATTTTTTTGTATATTAATTAATATTATTTTTTAGCATAAATTAAATTTTTTTAACCGCAGCAATAATATTTTATTTTGTGAGCCTATAATACTTCTTATTTTAATTTATTTTATCATTTAAAAAATAGATTGCAGGTTTTGCCTGGCATAAATTGAAAAAAGTTTATACAGAATTAAAAAAATCTAGTCTCAAATGAAGAAATGCTTGTAATTAAAAAAAGGGCAAATTGCATTATTAACACTAAAAGTTTAAACCTCTGTCTCTGGTTTTATTTTTTTGTGATTTAAAAGAAGAGATACTAAAATTAACACTTTGTGGTCGAATAGAATCAAATAAAATATTCAATTGTGGAGAACAGTTTTTTTTTTTATAAAAATAGCTTGTATCTTTTTATTATTCGACAAAATTTCAAAAATCTTCTTCCTCGTCATCAAATGACAACAGCTTTTTGTCATTTTTAACCGATTTTGATGATTTTCCCTTGTCCTTCTTTTTATCTATTTTTGCTTTTTTACTATCTAAATTGTCTTTTGAGCTAGAAGGGGTCTCTGTGCTTCTCTTCTCAGGCTTTTTAAACATAATTCGTCCCCCCAGATCCGCAGGTGTCTGGTCTATAAAAATATATAAATATAATAATCCCTTTTATTAGTTTGTTCTAAATTTTCTGTATCTCCTAAATACCTTCGATTTTCTGTTTCTTTTCTACTTCCAGCTTAGCCTCTTCAGCTGTGAGATCACCTTTCTTTAAAACTACAATAGTCGGCGACTCGTCATCTCTATCATTTTCATCATCTTCAGTCGCGGTTGACAGTGTCTCTCGCTATGCCGAGTTATGCAACAAATAAACAATTTCTAATCAATTATAAAAAGATCAAGCACTGAATATTTAAATAATTAGTATATTGCACATGTTAATTAAAAAAAGAAAACAATTCCTCTCATAAATTATTTAAAAAAAAAAATCTCTTTCCTGTCTATCGAACACAAAATAACAAATAAACCCGTATTAACCATATATTTTATGGATTGCGTTATAATTATAAATCACTCAATTTGCAATTCACCAATTTTTTTTGTATTTTATACACATAAGAAACTGACGGATATTAATTAGATTAATTATATTATATGTACATATCTATATTAGTGTGAGCAATTATAGATCGTGTGTCACAAAAGGTGCCAACAACGGTTTTATGTCTGAAGAAAATATGAAGTTACATTATGTAACACATTATTGCATAAATACAATTCTGCGAAATCTACTGACCTTTGTTTCGACATTGGGTCCTTCCGTCCAGCCAATATCCTGCTTCATTTTCGTGATGAACGCAGGTTCAGGCGGTTTGATGAAGCCAACGTTTCGTCTCGGCATCTTGTTTATGGAGTCGTCTCTTCAAGTGACGAGTTGTGTGATTACTACAGTTTATGTATGTCCGGAGATGCGTCAAAAATTAAGATACCAGATGGGCAAATTGATTTAAAGGCCTTTTTGCTCTAAAATGTCCAAGAAACTCTTTAAAAAATTAAAAAAACTCGACCTTTTGAGAATGTTTTGATTCCACTTTTTGCGGACAAAACAAAACAATATGACGAAAAACAAGGAGTATAAGAAGGATAAGCAAAACGGCCTACGGCTGCGCAGTCTGCCCAAAGTCCGCCATTGCAAGGGCGAAAAAAATCAACATAAATTTATCCTCATTCTAGTCCCCTCGACACTGTTTTTTGTTTACGACTTACGAACGACTGCGCCTGCTGCTGCTGGCAGACCGGCACATTTTTGCGAACTGTGCGATTTTGATTTCAGAGACGAAGGAAACTGGACAACTTGGTCTATGCAGTTCTTTGAGGTTCAGAAGACTTTGTATGCAAAGAACTAACAGCGATAGCATCGACTTTCAAGATCGAATTCCGTTCACGCGTTGAATCGTGTCCTCTGCGTTTATCTCACAAATATGTCGGAGCTCAACTTTCTGAAAATGAAGGCAGACTTTTCCGTGAGTTGATAAAAAAAATAACGGAAATAAATTTCATACTAAAAAATAACTTTACATAATTGTAAATGTACATAAATTTATGTCATTTGCACTCATACGTAAGTGGATCGCATTTTGTGTGGATTCTACTGTTCATTTTCAAACAGCATTACGTTTTTACAAAATTTTAAATTTTTGTCGCCTTTTAATTTCAATTTTTTTTTCTCAATCTGAATGATACATTTAAATAAATCAAACATTATTTTCAAAATCATTCATAATCATAATCACAGCATACATTAAAAAAATCATCTTTCAACTCCGCCTCATTTGCAAATCAAAATAGACCTGTTTGCAGGACGCGATACGGAAGAGCGCAAGGGAAGCTTCAATGGAACCACTCCAAGCCATTTTTGCTGCTTACAGTACTTCGTAAGATTTTATTATATAAATATTTATCATTTCATTGTAATGGTCATTCGAAGTTTGCAGTGGAAAATATTTTTATTTGACGTGAATTTCATAATCTCCTCTTTTTTCACATTTAAAAGTTTGAAGTAATTTTGGAACAAAAATTAATTTCTTTTAAAACTTCTATAAAACAAATAATGTAGTCCAATAAGAGGAACCCCCACAGTGGATTTTTGTAGATTGATTTGAATTTATCTAATCAATAGGCTAAGGAAATTACAAAATTTATGATTTTGTGCAGGAGTGATGGAGAGAAAAGGCATGCTTTGGACCATGCATTCCGAGAAAAGTTGTCTAGCATATTGTCCAATCCCAACAACAGCAACATCAGCATTTTTGAAAATCTTGTTCGGCTAAGCATCATGACCAGCAAGAAAGACATGTGCAATGCCACCCTTCCTGTTGTTCTCTTGAGCGACACTTTTGAGTCTCTCACTCTTGATAATTGCGACAAACTCTTCAACTTTGTGGAGGAAAGTGTCAGCATTTGGAAAGAAGACTTCTTTTTCTCATCAGGAAAAAACCACATTCTTCGAATGTGCAACGGTAATACTATTCAGTTTTTAGCTACTTTCAGTTCACACAAAGTATTTTTTGTTCTTCCAAAATCAAAACCTCATTATTATTTATCTATCTGCTTTGAAATTTTACAGATTTGCTGCGGAGGCTTTCTCGGTCTCAAAACACTGTGTTTTGTGGCAGAATTCTTCTGTTTCTCGCCAAGTTTTTCCCTTTTTCTGAACGATCAGGTATCTTACTATCTATTTTTTTTTTTAATTTGCAAATAATTTCTATCTTTTAGGCCTCAATATTGTCAGTGAATTCAACCTTGAAAATGTAACAGAATACAATGCAAAATCAGAAGATGATAGTATTAAAATGGAAACGAGCATTCACAATGAAGATGCCACAAAAAATAAGTATAATTTTCTTTACTAATCTAATTCTTTTGCTTACGTTCTACAATCTAATAGGTTGAAAATTGATTACAACCTTTACTGCAAATTTTGGGCGCTGCAAGATTTTTTCCGAAATCCGAATCAATGCTACAACAAGATTCAGTGGAAAACTTTTATCTTGCACTCTGCTGATGTTTTGGACGCTTTTAGCAGCTACAAGTTGGAGGAAATTGGAGTTGGTGAAACAAAAAAGGAGAAGCACGTTGCCGATCAACAATACTTTGCCAAATACCTAACAAGCCAAAAGCTCTTGGAGCTGCAACTGAGTGACACAAACTTCAGACGTTTTGTCCTTCTCCAATTTTTGATTTTGTTCCAATATCTAACCTCGACAGTGAAGTTTCGATCGTAAGTCTACTTCAAACTTTTAAATTTTTTCTTTATAAAAATAATCAATTATGAAATTTCTAGAGACAACGATGAGTTAAAGACTGATCAGGCTGAATGGGTGAAAGAGACAACAGTTTCGATTTATGCACTCTTGGTTGAGACTCCACCACATGGTGCCGATTTCGCCAAAGCTGTGAAACACATCCTTGAGGTAAGTTTGTATTGCCTTTCAAAATATTTGGGATGAATAACCACCTTCACAGAGAGAATCACACTGGAGTGCGTGGAAAAATGATGGCTGCCATGAATTTAAAAAACCAGCTTCCTCCAACTCGCCTTCTGAACCTCTAAAGAAAAGACCTGTCAAGCGCCTCGGCGACCAAATGAGAGCTGCTATAGAAAACAAGAGAGTCCTCATGGGAAAGTTTGTATATTTTTCTAACATAAAAAGAAGAAAATTGACCGTCTTTTTTAGTCCTGAGCTCACAAAACTCTGGAACCAGGCCTCTAATAACTTGGAAGCATGCCGAACAAAGGATCGAGATTTTCTGCCATCACTGGAAACATACTTCGAGGAGGCCATCTCTCAAGCAAACCCTGCGACCATGGTGGAGGAGAAGTACAAGTGAGATTTTTAATAGATTTTATTGTTGTTCTTGATTAAAGTAAATTTATGTAAAAGGAAAGTGAATGATGGAAATTTTGGCTGGAGGGCGCTGCGTCTGATGGCAAGAAGGAGTCCTCACTTTTTTACTCACAGCAACACTCAGATTAGCAAGCTTCCCGAGTACCTAGAAATGATGATCAAGAAGATTGCAAAAGACTTGCCTGTAAATATATCCTGCTTAAATATTTATATATTTGCCAAAGTTTGCTTAATAAATTAAATTTTTTAGAGTGGTGAAACAGCTGATGATTTGAAGGTGGAGGAGACAGATTTAGGCGGACCCTCTCAAGATGCAGAGGAAGACGAACTGTTGGAGGAGCCAAAGGACGGTTTTAAGGAAACAAAAGAAACTGTTGAGGCAAAGGGTAAGCAATTCGCTGCAATACTTGTCTTAAAGTTACAAAGCAAATTATGATAATAAAACATTCCTTATAGTTGAGCAAGTTGATGACTACGATGATGATCCAGAAGAGCGCACTACGATAGCTTTGACTCAAGAGCTGCTAGATAGTGTTGCAAAAGTCATAGCGGCAGAGTGGATCAAAGTTGCCACAAAGCTTGGCTACAAAGAGGATGAGGTAAAAACACCATTAATTTTAAATCGCTCTTTTAATGCAAATTTTTAATAGATTGAGTACTTGAAAGGGCAGTATGATAATGACATCGACAAGTGCATTCATCTGCTCAAAATATGGAAGCAAGATGACGAAGACGCTAGTGCGGCAGGACTGGCTTACACACTTACTGGACTAGGGTTGACAGATGCTGCTGTCTTATTGCAATAAACAAGTAAAACATGACTATTAAAATATGAATTTTATTAATTAATCTGAACTAAAATTTGGCAACTCTTCAAACATCTGTGGGTCGACAGTGTCAAAAGTATGGCAGGGGGATTCAGACGTTTCTATTATTTTACTGTCTTGTGGGATTATAATCATCTGGGCAGGACTGTCAAAGTTTTGGAAACTTTCACACTTTTCAAGCTCTCGTTTTGCCCAAAGTTTAGGAAAATTGGGGTCAGGACATTTTCTGAACGTCATACAATGCAAATGTTGCAACTTTTCATAATCAATTCTCCAAAAGCCAAGTGTTGCAAGTGAAACTCTCCACTGTCTCATTATGTGAGCATTTGCGGTTGCATGTTTTGAATCTGGGGTAATGATTATAAGAATGCCTCTAGGCTTTATAATGTGATATGCTTTTTCACAACATTGGAATCTAGCAATAGGACTTGGAAAGTATTCCAACAGCAATGAAAAAACTACAGCATCAAAGCTCTCACAAGTTAGGTGCTCGATTTCTCTGTCATTCAATTTTATCTGCCCCTGCTTGTCACACTTTACATTTAAGAAGTCACACTTTTTAACTGATTGATTGCCAGGTGCAATATCAATCGCAAGTACATCAAACTCGTCAAAGGAAGAAAAGGGATTGTAGCAACTTCCAACGTCAAGTAATTTGATTTTGCTCTGACTGCTGCTGCCAGGGTGTTGCCCTAATTTTATAACATAGGTGGAGTCCTTAAGCAAAGTCGACATTTTCCGAATTTCATTTTCTTCACTCCTATCCACGCCATTATTTTTAAAGTAATCTCTGCATCTATCGTAGACCCACTGGATTCTACTGTCTGCAAAATTGTTTACGGCGTTAGGCTCCCAGTGTTTCATTGCCAATGCTGTCATGGAAGATGCGTATTGCTATTATACCAAACATAGTATATAAGAATCAGCTAATTATCGTTAATTTTTTTTTACCTGTAATACATCCGAATTTGAGCAATGCTTAGCCCAAGCTGCATCAAAACCAATCTTGGCAGAGTCTTGTCTCAAATCATGGTGAACTTCTTTAATGTACGACGCCAGCTCCAAATGTTCTTTACATGCAGAGTTTCCTCTGCAAATAGTAGAAATACTATATTACAAAGTTACTACAAGATTCACAACTAGTTACTGCAGATAATTCTTTTTATTTCTCATTTTCAATAAATCATTAATCAATAATTTCAAATAATACACGTTTGTTTGATTACTTGATTTATCACTTACATTTTCTTTTATTCCTTTAGTACACACTTTTGTGAACAATGCAATTATTGTTTGAGTTATTAAATACAAAAATGAGCATTGATAAGTTTATAAACAATTTGTATTTCAAGGTTGTTTATATGTATTTGCATTTTGCATATATGTCGATAAAGATTACATATATAATTAATAAATTTCATTTTCTCTCAGAAGTAAAAAATACAATTAAGCGTAGCACAACTAAGGCCTTGGAACTCTGCGCGTAGGTTGACACACCACGCAACTGATCATAGCGCTTGCAGACAGACATTGTTCGTGAAAACTATGGCGGCAGTAGAAAACGATAAGACCGTCATTGTGGCAGGGATTTTTTACAACACATGGCCTCGAGCACACTCCGCAAAGACTGTCCTCATGAATAGCAACCCCCCTCATTTGTAAAGCGACTTGCCTCTTGTGCAGATTGAAGTAGTCAGAGACAAGTATTTTTTTGCACCCCTCTTGGACAGAAACTTGTAATTGATAATCACACAGCAGCTTCACCAGAGAATTCTTAAGACCCTCGATCACACAGCCATTTTCAATTCGCTTGATAAGCATTTGCGGGTCAATGTACGTGCCGATTTTCTGCAACAAGTACGTGGCAAAATCGGGTCGGTGAACAGTCGAGGCAATCATCTCTTCCCACAACTCAGGGTCATCATGCTCTTTGCAGAATTCCACTGCCTGCTTGATATCTTGCAGCTCTTTGACTATCAGTGTGAGTGCCTCTCTGGTCTTGCCAATCCTGCCCAGCAGGTACACCATTTCAGGATAAAATTTCCGTTTTTGGCATATTTCTAGAGCAGTCTCAATGGGGTACTGGTCACCATGGCGTAAAAATGAAAGTAGCCTGTCTTTTGCGTATTCTGCATACAATTCAACCAGCAAGTGTTGGAATTCTTTCCCGGCACTCTTGCCGTCTCGCCTCTCCAATGCGTCCAAATAGAGAAATAGCAAATACTTGTTGTGTTCTATGGCAGAGACTATCTTTGAAGGTGGCACTTTATTTTGCTCTAGAAAGAGGGCAGTTGCCTTCGAAGCATCAAGTTCCATCAACTGCACTGCTATGTCGAGCAGGCAGTCGTAGTGCTTGTGCTGCTTAATTAGGGAGAAAACTTCTGGATTCTTGAACTTGACTAGCATGCAAAAGGCTTTGCTGAATTTTTGCTGGTGAAGATACAGAATGGCCAAGGCTTCCAGTAATTCTTGCATTTCGTCTTTTCTTTCATGGGGCCGATTTTGCAGCAAGTGCTCCATTACAGCGTTGACTATTGCTGGCAGGTTGTAGAGAGAGGGTGGTAGCTCCTTGACCAGATTGAGAAACCCTCTATGATCTGTCTTAATGTACTCGTAAAGAACCATCTCGTAAACGTGGGGATTCAGTTTGATTGAGTCATGAGTTTGCCTGAAAAATTAAACAAACATTAAAATACAATCAAAATATCATAAAATGTAGTTTTTCTTTGCAATTAATTAATGTAATTAAAATAATAGGTAAATAATAACAATAATAATCTTACCCTCTTGGCAAATATGGACTTAGAGCTCTCAGTTGTTGGTGCCTGGCAAATTTAAAGACCTCCTCCTCCCAGAGTTTTTGATCCTGTCCAAGAATCTTGACACACAGCTGGGCTGCCTCAGTGTAGCGCCCTTTGGCCAACAGGTGCTCAATATAGGAATGTCCAACATCGATCAGCGTGTGACGTCTCAGTTCTTTTTTGTCGGCGTTTGCAACTTCTTCCATGGCAGCTTCGTATCTTTCGTGCTCAATGAGCCACTGGATTCTGTCGTCGGCATCATACGGACTGGCCACAACAACGTCCTTTGGGCTTATGATGAAAAATCGGCTCTCCTCAATGAGACAGTCTAAATGATAATCGTTGCAGGTGTACTGTTGATAACCTCGCAACGAAAGGCAGTCGGTGCTCAACTCATCAAAGTCTCCACCGTCCTTTGGCTCCACCACATACAGCTGAGGTCGCTGCGCCTTCCCATTCTCATCCAGCTCTTTAGGATAGCCCAGCAGAACCAGGTTGTTGTCCAACGGCGCAATTCCACATAGATAAAAGTCAGTGTGAAAATTAAAAATCTGCTCTACTTTAAAATCTGGAAGGTCTTTGTTTTCAGCCACCTCGGCAGGATTTCTTCTTCGAACGAGACACACCCTAACTGAGTCGACCCAGCCGACCAATAGAGTGTGCACATCTTTCCAAAATAAATTGCATCTGAATCGCTCTAGTTGCAAATTGGGGCTTCTGGGCCACTTAATGAGACCTAGAGAACACCTGGCCTCGATATCATAGACTCGCAGGCCAACTGACGAAGCCCAAGCGACAAATCGGCCGCACCATTTGATGTTGTTCACATGCCCTTCAGCTTCGGCCAAGATTGTGGACCGTCTAGAGAGAAATGCCTTTTCGTGCACCATCAGTCTTTCGTCTCCTGTGATGAACCTCCTCCCAGTGCTGCTCTTGAAGTAATAGGGGTCTATGGCCACACACTTGATCAGTCGGTGCAAAACAAGACTCTGGCTGCTCTCTGGAGAGTAAAGTCCGTTGATGAAAACTCTCCCGTCGTCCGAGCAGCTGGCTATGTGGTCCCCGCGCTCGTCTATGCTGATCTGGTTCACCATGACTGTGTGGGCTTGCAAATCTTGAGATCTGACGCTGTTGCCCTGGTGGTCAAACAAGTGCAAAGCGCCCCAGTGGCTTCCTATACAAATGAATTTTGGGTGCACAGCAATGCAGCTCGCAGCGTCCTTGCAGAGGATGTTCTGCAGGTCATTGGTGATGCGAACATACTTGAGTTTCGGTTCGATTTCTTCTGAGCTGTCTTTTTCCTCTTCATCACCAAAATCACCATCTGCTGGCGGCATTTGGCCACTGCAAAACAACCCAATTTCAGGAGATTCGCTGATTTTTGTGTGTGAAAAGGGTGTGAAAGCGATTTTACAAAATACATTAGAGTATGATCTATGTAAAATTAAAAATACAATATGCACTTTCGCAAATTAATTATCTAGTTTTAAAACTAAAGGAAAATAATACCGATGATTCATCATAATCATCCATAAAAGACACGTCCTTCGGGCAGGATGATAACGTATGTATGTAATTTAAATTAATCATGCTATAAGTCGTAGTCTAATACCTTTTCTTCTCCATATTCGCTGAAGAAAGCTTTTCCGATTAGTATCATTTGGGTCCCTTCCTCATTACGGGTTTGGAAAATAGTATAAAATAGGATGTCTGCCAAATTTCGACAGTCCGACAATTTTTGTTTTCAATTTGAGGTTGAGGGGTGTGGTCGAGAGCGCGCGTGACAAAACAAAAGAGCATCGCGCGCATGCCCATCCCACCAAACTTCCGCTTCCGCCGTTGTTTGCCCATCTTGAACACTTTCGGTGAGTGAATTCTCTCCATTTATACAATTTCTCTCTTTCCAACAAGAATATTCCACTTAAAGTAGCAGTAAAATGTTATTAATTTTACACTTTGTTACCGAGAGTTGATAGTAGCTTGATTTTTATTGCGAGGATTCAAAGCAAACTTGTTTTACATTCGTTTTGTTGACACATGCTTTGGTCGGCATGGTGTTTACACGTGGCTGACAGGAGACGCTGACCTTTTTTTGTAATTCATCTATCCCAAAGACGATTATACCCTCTTGCTTATAATTATACTAAAAGTAAACATAAATTTCAGTTCATCATGTCCGGCATTCCAGCCCATCTCTCCTGGGCGATTATCAGGAATAACAATGCTTTCATCATGAAGAGAAGGAACATCACAAAACCCTTCAGCACGGTCAGTAACATAAGCAAGCTGTTTTGGAATTTAAATATCATACTTATTTTATGATGAATTTATTGATTATCACCAAGATCTCTGAAGGTTTATTGATGTGTATCTTAACTGAAAATATGTGGCTTTCAAAAATTTGAATGAGAATTTAAAAACGCAGGACATAATAACTTTATTATTATTATTTTTTTTTATCAGGAACCTAACAATCTTTCCAACCTTGCCTCGTTCCGCTTCAATGGGTTGATCCACAAGAAAACCATTGGCATTGAGCCTGCAAAGGACAACAAGGGATTCCAGCTTGTGTGGAAGAAGACCAGAAATCAGGTTTGTAACGCCTTTTTAATTTGCAAAATAGATTTACAATAATATTGAGTGATGAATTTACCTGGCGGACTTCATGTGAAGACAATTGTATTACCACCTACCCAATAATCTGACTCCTGCCCTCAATAACTATTTTATGATGTGTTCGGAAATGAATTTTTAACAAATTCATCTCATTATAGCATAGGCTGGCTAAGCTGACCAACAAAACCACAATGAAGGCTGGTCCTAGGCGGTCTCTGTACAAGCTCCGCAAATTTATTTTGAAGAATGGATACAGGAAAGACCTGACTAAGGTAATAACCTTGATTCTATTGTTGAATAAGTTAAAGAAAGAATTTTCTCCTTAGGCTGCGTTGAGGAGGGCAAGTGCTGTGCTCAAGTCCCAGAGACCTTTGCCAGCGAAGAAAATTCGCCCCAAGAAAACTGAATAAATTTGTGGTTAATAATAAGACCTTGCTTAATGGGAAGTAAACTATTTAATTTAACATTCTCCTAAATAAAATTAAGTACAATTTTCTTTGATGGTTAAATAGTAATTGAGACAGAATTGTCAATTTCGGACAGTAATCTGTAAAATATTATTTGTTAATTGTGAAATCTTATACCCTTAAGATGCTTCAGAACACACTGCTTGCTGCCTCGATACACATTTTTTAGAGGTAGCACAGCACAAGACTACTGAGTACTGAAATAAAATCGCATTCAAAGATTTCGATTTGGTTGAACAGGGTGATATTGGTTACACTCAACTTACAATTAGCGATTAAATTTTGAGTAAAAAAAGTTAATTTGAAAATTGAGATAACCCAGGTGCAATTTTAAAGACAAAGAAAGAATTATATGACTTCATAATAATAATAAGATTTAATAGGGAGAAGTAAAATTATTGTTGAAACAGTGAGACGATGAAAATTAATTGATTTTTTACTATCCCATTTTTTTTTAAATTGGCTTCTGTCATGGTTTTAGCTTCTCAATAAAAAAAAAGTACATCTCATTATTTTCCGTAACAACTCGCAATTAATTTAAAAAGCACAAAGCAATGTATTACTGCTACAAAATTTTAAAATTATTTGACTAAAAATACTGAGAATACCCTTTGACTTTTCTACAATTTTATATCTCTTCTTGCTTTTTGGCACTCCAAGATTCACAAATGTTCTTACATTAAATATAACAAACATTATAACTGACAATGTTAAAAAACGTTTCATGGTTGCTGGCTACTTATCAATATTCACACAATATAAGCAGCAGATCAAAATTAATTAGCACAACCGCATACTTATATAGAAATGTCTCCCGCACATATTTTAAAAAGCCATAACTTTCTAATGTAATCACAAAATTGTTTCACTGTCAATGATTGCTGGACTATGAATGAGGGAAGGTGGTCCCTCTCTGTTCTTGTGCCTCCGAGGGTGGTGATGGTGATGATGGAAGTGGGTGTGCGTGTGGTGGAACTTGCTGCCAGACTGACTGCTGGTCTGAGCCTGGGAAGATGGTGCATTTGATGCGGCCACCATAGTCGACTGACTGCCAGCAGCCAGCAAAGGTTGCTGGTGCACAATTAGCGTTTGTTGCTGCATGGCTATCAGGTAGCGGCCTGACACATCACTACTGCTCGCCTTTTTGTTCAGCTGCTTCAGAGGCATTGCATGCTGCTGTTCCACTTTTCGAGGAGTTCTTGTCAAGTGCTGAAACATTTACATGTCCCACATTTATTAATTTATTTTTATTTACAAATTTCCTCTATGATAGCAATATTAATTTGAAGAAATAAACTAAAATAATACAAAATTAGATTAAACATAATTTTAGCACACATGCATGTATGGTCAAAATAACACCAAGTGAGACTGTTTATAAATTAAATTATTTATCATAATACTTTTTATAGCAAGAAAATCTCTTTCATAAAAGTTTAAACAACTGCAAAACGCAGACAAATAGCTAAAAAATCAATAAATAAAATTTCAGGAAGCAAACAATTTTTTTTTAATATTTTCATTTTTATATTTACCTGCATGAATTGGTGCCAGCACTTCAGCGTCCTAGCAGACCAGACCCAAATGATGGCGGCTACTCCCGCAGCCAGCGACATGAAGAGCCGCACCATGAAGACCCATAGACTAGGCATAGCTCTATTTTTGAGCCACGCTTCTCTGGACAGGAACTCGTAGACCAGAGTGGCCACAACGCACAATTGCGGCACGGCGCACAAAAAGCACAAAACTCCAACACGCACCATAAGCGCCTCCTGTTGCGCTAATTCGCGCCCCTTAGCTGCTGGCTGGAGGCGGCCGCGGCCCCCGTTCGGGACGTAGACCGTCGATGGGCGCACAACTTGCGATTTTGATTTAGGCATCATCACCATTCCTAGGATTAGGAAACTGAGGGCCAGGCACAAGAAGATGCAATGAGGCAGCAGAACAAAAATCAGCAATGCTCTGCTATTCTGACTGCCTACATAGCACGCGCCTGATTTAAAGAAAGAAAAAACAATAAGTTTTTATTTTAATACATATATAAATTTTAAATAAATTTAATAATCCAATTTCATTTTATGTTTTTAGAAAGAAATTGTTTTGGACTATAGTAAAATGGAACAATTAAGAATCACTAATAAGCATACTGTTCAAACAAAAGAAATAATTTTTTTAAATTATTAATTTTTCTTTCATAGTATTTTAGTATTTGCAGTTATAATTTTAATTACGGTATGTAGCAACTCTTTGCTTGCTGCAATAGTATTGAATTCTCTTAAAAAATGTGAATAACATTTTAAGGCACACAGTATGACACGCGCGTACTGCGGCTAGATTTTTACATCATTATACAGGAATGCAATGAGAACGACAAATAATAAGAAGAAAAAAAAGTTAAGATGTACACTGTACCTGTGAGCTCATCAGCGTCAACGAATTTGAAGGCCAAAACGGCCACCGTCTGGGCAGCAGGAACACCCCACGCAATCAAGTGGCTACTGGACGAGTACCGAGCCAACACCTCATGAGAGATGCGACGGGCCGCGCACAAGAACCAACTTATGCAAAGGATCACCCACCTACGCAAAAGTTAGGTTGTTTGTTAATCATTATTGTGAGCATGAAAAATTTCAATTCAATAAGTTATAATTTCCTAGTTTGCATAAATTTAAAATAATTCATGTATATAATTAGTAACCAAAAATAAATATAGTGTTCGCGATAATGAAAAAAAAAATCAAAATAGATTGTTGTTGTTGTTTGCATTATTTTAAACAAGATTGATTAAATATGCTCTCCCCCCCCCCTCCAAGATGGGAATTTTTGTGGTTTAGATTTTACCCTGATTTGAGCTTAATCAATCTTGTCATTTTATTAAATGTTGTCTGATACGAAAAAAACATAAAAAAGACTTATTCACGCAGAAAAATTATTGCTTTGGAGTTAAAAATTGTGTTTCTGCGCGCTTATTAACCTTATTAACATTTCAGTTATATCCGTCATTTTTCAACTTCAACAAATCCAATTTTTGCAATAATCAATGCACGTTTCAGACGGAATAATCTTGGGAGCAAAATTAAACATGGAATATAAATTTCTGTAGTGACGCTTGTCTTTTCTCATCAATCATTTTTACGATAAGAAGAAGACACATTTGTGTCAACACCAATGAAAGAGGTGTCAAGCAACTCCTATAAAACATGCTTATCATAAAAAATGATATTATATTGTATGAAATTTCCTCTTTTGCTTCAATGCGCCCGACCAAAGTCCAGACCAGAGGATGCAAAGGTAAAAATTATATCATGTTCTCAATCAACATTTTACGAAACGTGTGTTGGCGGTGTTTATCAAAGGAAATAAAACAACAAACGAGATTTCTTACCAAACTAACGCTGCCATGCCGAAGTAGTAAAGGAGCAGGAACACCACAGCACAGTTGGCGTTGCTCAAACCGTCGTGGGACAGCAGCACCGACACAGACAAATAGCCTGCCGACGAAGGGTGCGGCACCGATTCGCAAGCCACGGCTGTCCTCCCGGCGGCCGCCCGCACACCCCAACCGACGCTGGCCAAGTTGTAGCACAGGGCTAAGAAAAGGGCCGGTCGCTCTGGGTATCGGAAGCGGGCGCTGTCCACCAAAAACGTCAGAACAGTGACCAGCGTCGAAACGAAACACAGTCCGGCCCAAATGCTTAGCCACACCTCGGCCAAGCGCTTGTCATGCTTGCTAAACAAAACTTCAGCTTCGCACCTGGAAAAATACAAAATATATGATGAAAAAAATACCTTATTAACTAAAAATTAGGCAAATTTTTGTTGAATTCACTCACATTTAGTAAATTTTTATTATAATTAAAATAAATGTCACTTATGTGCAAAAAATATATATATAAAAAAATTAGCAAACAAAATTTGATACTTTAATTGCTGATTAAATAAAACCAGAAATTTAGAGGCACGTTGTTGCTTTTTTAAGAAATAGACTCATAAATTATATAATATATTATAATTGCTAAAAAGTAAATAACAAAACTTTGTTTCACTATATTAAAATAAGATCAAATCGAAATTTTATTTATACCTGGCCGCACAATAAGGCACAGTTCTATTAATGTAGACGTAAGCGTCCCGCCGCGCGAGGTGTCCGCACCCTGGTGGGGTTAGAAGCTGGGTCGATGTGCGAGGAGTCGGCGGAGGCAGCGTGGTCGCATCTTCAAAGGTGTCCAATTCGCTCTCCGGGTCATTCGGACCGTCCATGCACATCTGCTCATGGTTGTTCTCCTTTGGAAATTTGTTACACTGCAGCCCTGCCGGCCACGGAAGCCCAAAACTTTGGAGGACGGGGTAGCATCGCGAACGCACCGATTCGCACAGTTTTCGGCACGGCCCAATCGGTTGGAGGACCTTTGAATGAGATTATTTTTTTTTTCATATTTATTTTCATACAAATATTCTAAATACATTCTTTTAACCGCGCAGGTATAAAAAAGCGGCGTACTTTTTTAATCTGCAATCAACAAACAACTCTCTCGTCTCGGCGCGACTTGTTCCCGGCGCGCAGAGCCCGTCGGTCGGTTATAAAATATTTTATATATGTGTATGACCTGTTTGCTTTAAGGTCAGGCCAAATAACTTACGGAGAAAAAGTGACATGCTAAATTTATTCTTCGGCGCTTTCCCGTTTTCATCCGAAGAGTACAAGAAGAGAGAGGAGATCAAGAGAGAAGAGAGGAGGCGCAAAACATGTAAAACAGGATTCCTCAGGTAACTAAATATTTAATTTCAGGTGAAATGAAATGACGCACGTGTTTAATATCCAAATGTTTTCTAAGTAAAGAAATGTTGGAATGTTTTGAAATGATACTCGAATAAAAAGTAAAAACATGTTTTTTTAATTGTCGTATATTTATTTATAAAAGTTATTTTATAGATTAATTTTATAAATATTTAATGTTAAAGATAAAAAAGTAATAATGACTTGCAAGCCAAAAGGTTCGCCAAATATTTCAGGACTTTCCCAAATAAGTAAAGAAATGACAATAAAAAATTCTTGATTATTTAAAATAAAATTTTAAGAAAATTACCTTCTCCGTGCACATGGGAACGTAAACGGAGCAGAGGAAGAAGAGCAGTCTGGTGGAGCAGCCGTACTGAATCAAGGGTCCGAAGGTGCGCAGGGTGATTTCGGCGTCGGCCTGCAGCTCGTGGCCGACCAGGTTAGGGTAGCCGGTGATGTTGTAGCCGATGCCGGCGCACAACTCGACCCTGATGGGCTCGCACGAGCGCTGCACCGGCTCCAACAAGTTGGACGTGAAGGTGGCCGTCGGCCGCCCGACGGCGGCCAGCAACAGGAGGAGCGCGAGGCCCGCCGAGGGCCGCATGCTCAGGCGCGGCGCCGCATGCGAAAATTAATTTTCAGCAAGCCGTCGACGCAGCTTGCGACGCCACAGTCAGCACTGACTCTCTAATCGCGCCTGCTATGGCAACCCATTGGTTCTCCCTTCTGCGCGCTCCTCGCCCGCCCGCCCGCTTACCAGATAAAAAAAGCGAGAAAAAATCTCGAACTACAGCTTTTGGTTTAATGCACACACACACACTCACATAGGAGGGGTGACCTTGGATGGATGCTGTGTGATAAACAAATATATTCGTAAGGAAAGAGGAGAATAATGCATGTAGACGTGGACCAGCCGCACACATCGTGCCTCCATCTCCTCACGCCCGCGACTCCTCCGAGGCTTGCAAAAATTCGCAACAACAAGATTCTCTTTTTTTCCATGTAAAATTAGCCTGAAATTTTATTTTTTCTTTGCAAAAATCTGGCTTTTTTGGTCTTGATTTTTTTTTTTAAATATTTTCGTCATTATTTTATATTTTCCGAAATATAAAACTTAATAAAAAATTGTTACTGTTGTTGTTGTTTTTTTAATAATATTATAAATTAAAATTAAAAAATATGAACAATGAAGTGAATTAATATGATCTTTGTACTTTTAATTTAGTTTTCACTTAATCTAATAATAAGGTGTGTAGCTATAGATGGGTGATAAATAATTTTTTTGTTTCCTGATTTCAATTAAAGAATAAAAAAAACCGCCTATTGGGCTGTTATTTATTGTTCTTATAAAGTAAAGACTTTATTAATCATAAAAAAAAAATATAAATGGCCTTAACAGAATAATATTTTGCAAAATTTATTGAAATTTGATTTTAAATATTTTAAACTTCAATGAATTAATATTATTTTTTATTTTTATTTTATAAGCCTTTTATTTATAAGGAAAAAGTGGGGGGAAAGTACAATTTAATCATGAAATTATGATTTATTTTTATAATTCACAAAAATTTTTAATGACTTCAATCATTAAAATCAGAGTAGCTTTTGTTCAGAAAATTTCAATTACGATTTTGATTTTATAAAATAATACAAGAAAGTGATTAGGATTTCTTGATTTTCATGACCTCTTCTTGGCTCAGGTCAAATTCTCTCTTATTTCCCCTGAAAGCCAGCGGATTTTCAGTTGTTCTCTGGTGCAAATCCTCAGCCACCTCTTGCGCTGACGCCTCTCGAATATCCTTCCCCCGACCGTAGTATATTTCCTCGTGGTAAATCCTGTCCTTGCGTCTGTACGTCCCATGGATCTGACAATGAGAGACACACAAGTTGAAATACACACATATGAACGTGACCAGAGCGTACTTGTAAAGTCATTCGATGAACAAGAATAAAAAAATATATATTTAAAAAGTATATTCGTAAAGAGCGTGTGTGTGGTCCCGCACATAAAAAGGCAGCCAGGTTAGTTACCACAAGTCAGTGGCACTTGATCGCTTTGGGAAAGCAAGAGAAGATCAGCAGACGCCTGAACATATTATTTCTCACACTCTTTGCGTCCACAGATAAGATAAATTTATATGAATCTGAATAATATATAATGACTTCATTAAATGAAACTAAGAAAAGAATTTATATAAAAAAATTACAGTTTCGGCACAAAGAAATTTTTGCTTTATTTAAAACTTTTGTGTTTAAATAAAACACAATTTTAATTCTTTTTAAAAGGTTTGCAAATTTACCTTATCCCAAATTGAGCAATTGAACGAGAAATTCACGTGGAAGTACTGATGGTGGTTGTCGTGGAAAATCGCATCCGGCTGCCACGGCTGCCACCAATAGGCCTTAAAGTTGATGCCCGAGTGGTCAATTATTCCATGGTAGTACGTGTACAGACCGATCACTGAATAGGGAACTGGAAAAAGCAATTAGTTGGTTACTGCAAACCAATTTACACGCTCGTCAGTCACCGAACAAAATTAGTTCTGCGCGCACCTTGCCAAAGAAAATACAACTCTTCGCTTCAAAAGTAGGAATGTTGCATTTCATCCGATAAAATATTAAGAAAAATGTGTCCTTTATTATCAAGTTTTAACGAATTGATATGGTTTTTTTAATGGAAAAAAATAGAAGGTGAAACAAAGCAGAAAGAATTATAAATAAGCTACTCTTGTTTTTGCTAATTTTTTTTTAGAACTTTTTAAGTTAAATTACTTATTTTAATTTCTTCTATTATAAAATAAAATACCAAAGATAAATTAAATAAATAAATAAAATGGTAAACTTGTTTTCTTATTGTAAGAGAGAACCGAAAATTAAATTTTTGCGTGTAAAACTGATTTGCGCCTTCAAAGAAATAATAAGTAAAAATAAGTGTGCAATTTTTAATTTCACTTACCCCAGTGAATGGGAAATAGGAACATTGGGGAGCTGAGCATGAGCTGCATGTGCACAAATTCAACGGGGTGAATGGCTGTGACCGAAAAGGCAGTCGGTTGCTTATACTTGTGGTGCAGCTTGTGGAAATTTTTATACAAAAATGGTGTGTGATACATCCTATGGTGCCAATAGGTCATGTAATCCTGGAACGAAATTATTTTTTATTAGTCCGACAGGAAGCTGGCGAGAGTAAAGGGCTCTGTGGATTCAGATTTTAGCTCTTGTTTCTGTTAGCCTAGACAAGAGGTGTCGGGGTGTTGGGGCAATTAATCTCGGCTTGGTGCGAGATTTATTGCTTCAATAATATTACACATATGTTAGGAAACATTTTCAAAGCGGTTTGAGCAGGGGCAAGAGTAAACAATTAGAAGTGCTGCGCGATCAACTATAAATAAATTATGCTATAATTTATGGGTTCGGCCCAGGGAGGCCCGCAGGAAAATGAGGAGAGAAGAGGCCGAAATGTATGCACAAGCCCAAAAAAAAAAACACACACACACGTGGTGCAGCAGAATATATCTTCAAAGGGGATAAAAATAGATATGGGCTCCTGGTCGTTGCTTAGAAAAATTTATTTATTCAATAAGAGCGCCAGAAAGGGCGCAAAAGATTGCTTTCTCCAGTCAAAAGCCTCTGTGTTTTGGTTACATTGACACCACAAAAGCAGAGTTTCTTTTTTCCTTATTTTCAGACTTCGTATCGTGATAGTTTAAAATGAATTTTTAAAATTGATACAAAAAAAATGAACCTGATATATGAAAATAGCAGGCCACTGCAAAATGGTCCAGTACCACGGGTAATCACTGAAATTGTAATAGACCATTGACCAGCCGCCGTTCAGCACGTGTGTGGCGAGTATGGCTGAAATTGTTGATCCAATAACCAAGCAAAACGATCCGATGTAAATTTCGTGTCTCTCGAGATCAGGGGGAAGCCAAGTGTTTGGCTGGCACTTCCATTCTTGCGCCTTATCACGCTGCTTGACATAGAAGTACCACTGCAGAGAAATGAATAAAAAAATCAATTATAATGATTATTTCAAAAGGAAAATCGCATAAATAGCAAGTTTTGTTTTATATGCCGTTGTATAATTGCTAAAAAATTGTACAAAAAGTAATGAAGTTGTCAACTTCAATTTTTGCATACATTTAATTGCTCTTAATAAAAGTTATTATTACATAATATACTCAATTGAGACATACATGAAGGAAACCACCAATGCCAAAATACATAATGTAGGAAACAGCGGCTGAACTTAACCAGATGGTCAAAAAACCATCCGTTTTGAGTCCAATTTTTGGCATTTTGATTTCGGTGAAGTTCGAGTCTAGGCCTGCACTTGTGTTCCCAAGGAGCGCGCCATCCTCAAGGCTGAGCGACCGGATGAAATGGACGAGCATTAAAACCCACTCTCCTATCAAAATTATTGAAAATAAGGATTGATCAATAAAAATGCTCAAAATAGTAAATGAAACAAAATTTTTTCAAAAATATTAATTATAAATAAAAAGGTTAAATAAATTATTTTATTTTTCTATGAAAAGTTATGCATTTGGAGGAAAATTAAGTTGTGTGATTATCTAGAAAGAAAATTCTGCAATCTAGTAATTGGCCCTTGAAACAAATCAATAGCTCTCATCAAAGGTGACTCACCATTAACTGTAATGCCCATCATAAATATTGCAAACGTAGCAATTGCTGAACTGAGAAATTTTGGTAATTTACTCCAGTACTTGTCGATCGAGTCACTATATTTCTCAGTCCACGTAACAGCCATGGGGTCCTGAAAGGGCCCCCTTGTTTCGGCGGACAAAGACATGCCTGTCTGCCCTATTCACAGCCACAGAGATGTTGAACAGACAATCAATGCAGAAAAGAATGATCATTTTGCAGATTTATTGTCGTGGACGTTGGCCGCTGATAAACAGCAGCGAGATCGTGAATTCAATCACACAACCATGATTGTTTTTTTTATCAATTATCGATTGGGTCTGCAGGTGTTTTGAGTCGATATAATCCATGGGTACATATGAACTTGAAATATTTCCTTCTATATTTTACTGCAAAGCACTGCAAAGGTGCTGTTAAAAAAGTTTTTAAAGCAGATTGAAAAGTTGATAATTTTCATTAATGATCGGTGTCCAGAATTAATCAAATGATTCTTTTAAAATACAGACAGTTAATCCGATTTATTTTTTTCCCTAAAAATTTTGCCATATCACAAAAATCAGTTTTCCCTTTTTCAACATAAAATTGGAGATTTGGAAGCTACATTTCAAATCTGGTAAAAAATATTGTAGCAAAGTATTGGAAAAATACAGCAAGTATTATTGACGATGAGATAATATGGTGCAGCAATAGAGCAGCTAAACATTTCTGTTAGATTCAGATCTCGATAAAAGATATTTCGTTAATATAATATAACCATATTAAATCTTAGGCCATTCACAACCAAATCAACCAATCTCAATTAAAATTTTAGCAATTTAGATACCTTTTGCAACCAAATAGCTTTTTAGCAACAAGAAATTACAATATTATGCCAACTTTATATAGAATTATGATAACATGATATAATTTGCAATGCCAACACGTACATTTTTCTATCAATTAAATTATGCTCTCAAATTGGTCCTCCTACTGACAAAAGATTTGGTAAACAACAACCAGATGATCTAGTAATAAAAATATAATATTTTGCAACAATAACAACTGAAACACAGTCAATTATACCAATTATAATTAATGCAAGAATAAGAGGAAACGCTGTGAACACATGGATTTATGAGCTTTTTTGATCAATAATTTCATTTAGCTGGAGCTTAGTTTTGTACAGAACAATTATCATTGTCGAACAACCGAAGCACTTGATAGTAATTTAAGATTGCACTCGTCACAAACACGCACAGGTTTTGCAGAACTGGGCAGAGGCATCTGATTGTCTGAACAGTCGTTGCAAAATATTTCACCACAATTGCGACAGTGATGCTGTGGAAAGAAAAAAAACTAACTTTTTTGATCCAAATCAAAAGTTTCCTTTACCTTCCGTTTGGTAAGATTGAAAGCAGTGTGGCATGCATGACACTCGATAGCTGTGCTGTCTTTGGCCCATTTAGCGTTTAATTTCAGACTCTTCTCCCTGTCTTCCTTCAGATCTATGATTTGTAGCTTTGACTGGCTTAGCTGAGAGCCCATTTCCTCTAGAGTCAATTCCTGCTCTCTCCTCAGCATATGCAGGTTCTTGATTTCTAGATTAGCTGTCTGAAGCTCCTGTATTTTTAAAACATAATAATAATAATTTCAATAAACACAAAAAAGGCACCTCTCTGAGTTGATCGAGCTCGGCATTCATTTCTGCGAGTTTGTCCTTCTCTCGCTCGATAGCTTTTTCCAGGCTCTTTCTCCATTCTCTTTCGATTTTCAACTCCTCTTCCAAGTCGTTGCTTGCAGCGACATACTTTGCCTCGTCAATTTGACCCTTACGTTTGAGTTCCTCCACTGCAAGCTTTCGTTCCTCTATATCTGCCGTTCTTCTAATAAAGCAAAATAAAAGTAAGAGCGAGTTTGTTTGAAATAATAAAAATTTTAAATAATAAGTAAAACGGTGAATTTGAAACAAAAATATTTAACTTGTGAGCCATATTTGAATTGAAACAACGCATTTACAATTTTCATATAGCTAATAGCTTGAAATAGAATTATTTATTATGTTCATTTATTTATAACTGCAGTAACATACTTTCCAGAATCTCAACTTTATGATGTACACAGTAATGAAACCTTCCTTTCGTAGACAACATGATTAATTCATTCAGGAATGATTTATATTTAGTGCAGGTGAAGACGATCTCTCAGTTAAACTGCCAAACGTTTGCGATGAATATTTCACATGTATAATGCTGACTTTTATGAATGACTAGATAACTATTGATGTATTATTATTATTTTTGCGCAACGTTGATCTTTATAAGAATTGATTCTTTTGCGATATCCTAAGGCTCCACACAACATGAAAGGTGTTTCAGAGTAATTTAACATTGAGACTTTTATGTGAAAGGGTGACTCGAGTAATTTCACTCGTCAGATACCTACTTCTCTTCTAACTTTTGAATTGTATCTGCCATGGCTTCGCTCTTGCTTTCCAGCTTGCTAATAAGTTCAGTTTTATGTTTAATTGAGTTATCACATTCCTGAAACATTATACCACGCAGAATTACTGGAAGTTTAGCAATGGGTATGCATTAGAGGAAAAGTGTAGGTGGTGAAGTCTCCCGTTTACACAATTCAAAGCAAGTTAAATGGATAATTAGCTTTTCGAGTTGAGTTTTTCAGGAGGGCGAGTAGCAGAGCTTTGTTTGGAATTTTGCAAATCAGTGGGCGGACCGTCCGGACTTTGAGGAGTCGGAAGGTCTTTTGGTTTGAATGGGGGAATGTTCAGCTGCGCTCTAAGCTGAGCGATTTTCTGCGTGTCTTTAGTGCTACCGCCCTGCTGATTACAACGCTCGAGATTAGTCAGAATTTGTCCGATTTGCGATGTCTTGGCGTGCAGTCTGTTTACCATCTCCCCTTTTTGTTTCAGTTCCTGCTCGCACTCCTACAATTTAAGAGAAAGAACACTTAGAGCATTGCACCAAAAGCATAAGCACAGAAAGGGGTGGATTTTATTCGTTTTTATATTTATTTCACAAAAAGCCACAACTCCAACACAACAGATATTTATACTATCTGGGGATACACACTCTAATAATGATTGAATGTATAGCAGTTGTCAAGAAGAAGTGCACAAAGCAGAGAAAGAGACAGGAGTATGAAGTGGCATGCGCCTGTTTCAAGGAGTGAAATTGAGGGCCAATAAAAAGATTTAAAGAAGTGATTAAGTGTGAGAGAGTTCAAAGTGCATAATATATAGTGTGACTGGCTGAATGTTGGCACCGATGTGACCTGTTGAGAGAAGTAAAAGAAATAAGCCTACCTCTAACTTCTTGTACATTTCAAGATTGATGAATTTAATATCGTCGAGCTGCCTTCTAAGTGAGATCACCGTATCTTGTTTCTCGTGGATGTCCTTTTCCAGCAATTTCATAGCCACTTCCATTTCCGCTTTAATACTCATCTATGAATAAAATTTAACTCAGTTTTACGCAAGACCAAACAAAATTTTCAAAAAACAAACCTGCAACTCAAATTCTTTTTCAATTTCAATCCGTTTGCTCCGCTCCAGATCCAGCTGCCTTTTCAAATCTTCCATTTCTTGCAATGTTATTCTTTTGACAGATTTTTCAGCTGCACTGCAAACCTGTAAATTCCTTATTAAAATTTTCTTCCTATTACAAAAACACACTTCATCACTTGCCTCGTCTTTTGATTTGTGTCCGTGAGGATTTTCAACACTGAGTTCCCTCCTGAGCGCTTCATTTTCGTCCTGAAGGCCTTTCAGATTATTTCGCGCAATCATGAGATCTTCTTTCATCAAAGCATTGGTCGTCGTTAAGGATTCCACTTTAGCTTGCAAATTGGTAACTGTTGCGCTGGACAAGAATAATAAATAATGAAACAAGAGCATTTTTTTTTTTTAAACGAAAGAAAATTTACTTGAGATGCCTGTTGAGCTCCTCTATGTAATTCTTCTGGTCGAGAACTGTGCTTATGTTGTCCAAATCGCCCTCCTCGGTCTGAGGTTCACCACTTTGGCTTGTGCTTCGCAAATAAAGAGAGAAATCGATAACCCCCTGCTGACTGTCTAAGTCTTCGCCCTAAGTGTTAAAAGTTTGGTTAAAACAAATTTAATACTTTTAAAAGAAATCTCCATGCCTTGAGACACAAATTGCAGTCGATCACATTTAAACCGACAAGAAGACCCATTATAATGACCGACTCTTCGCTCATCATGAGAGCCTCCGGTTCGTAAAAATCTAGCATCATTCCTTCGCGGTGGTCGATCAGCACCTTGACATAATCGGCCAACTTTTTCTGCATCAGAGCTAGTCGAAGCCAAGCCCTGGCCCGACCCATGTGTGTTCTGTAAAGAAACATTTTAAAATCTCCGGAAAATATTTACGTTACAAAAAACAATAATTCAATAGCTATTGTGCCAAGTAAATTTCCGTCTGGTAATCAAAGGTCAAAAAGTAAGAATTACCTAACAGGGAGGTCTCTAACACTGGCTGTGATGTCAGCAGCTTCAGCCGTGTACCTCTCAACCATTTGCAAAACATCCCACAGTTCCTTCTTTGGTCCCAGCAAACCCTTTTTGTCATAATCATTAATTATTTAAGGGCGCCAAGATTTATGCAAAAATCACCTTTTTCGGTTTCAGGCCGTGCCTGATGACATGTTCAAGCACAATAAAGAAATGCTGCAAGGGCATGTGATCGGAATCGAGCATTCGACCATGCTTCAATGAGGTTTCAATCAACTCTTTTACCACTAGTTTTGAGATGTTGACCAGATTGCTGCGCTCGACGGCTGCCGGGTCGCGAGCTGGAACATAAACCGTCAGGTCAGCCACTTGAGAAAGGGCCAAGAAAGATTTTTCCTGATATTTTTTGTTACCTAAATTTAAAATTTTTGCAAATTAAGCATATCAAAGGCCGCGCATCAGCTCTATTATGTTGGCCAAAAAAAAAGATGTCTTCCGCCCGAGCCATAAGGCCCCATGGCTCTGACGGCAGCCGTGTACCAACATAATTTTGGGATGCGCAGCCTTTGAAGCATATTATATTTTCATTATTACAAAATACAAAGTGTGTGTGGTTTTAATTTAAAATTAATACAAAAAACTTGAAATAATTAATTTTCAATAGCTTTTTTGATATTAAAAACGGAAATTGAAATAACTATATTTCATCCTAAAATTAAATTTTACCCCAATTGTGGAGATACAAATTTTGAACTTACTATCAAAAAACTATATAAATTTAGTCCAAATAAGGTGCCAACACAGTCCGATTTTTCGTTAATTTTCCTAACACCAAAAATTAAAGGTTCCCGCCTTTTAAATGTATCAATTTTATTATATATCAACATAATCACTCATTCCTAGTTAGATTTTGCTTTTCTGTAGTGAGGTGTTCAGGATTATTATTTTTGTTTTTTTTATAATAAATTATTTTTAAATCCAAAGAATATATTATTGTAAAATCGACAAAGGCACGTAGACACTTTTCATTTTCACACATAAACAGATTATGTATGAATCCTACAAGAAACGTTCCGTCTAGACTCGTCTTTTAAAGGCTTCCTTCCGGCTGGAATTACACCAACATTTTAATACTAAAACGCTAATTATGTAATTTCCGGTTTGCAAATAATAAACCGCTGGCAAATTTTCTGTAGACAAACGCGACCCGGATTTTAAGTTACCAAGGAGCGCGGGGTGATCGATCGTGGGGCTGGTCGGGGAAAAATGTCCAGCGGCGCTGGAAAACTCAACGTCCTGCAACTCCTTCAGGCAAAGCCACTCGCCGTCGACCGAGACGCGGAAGTTGCAGAGGTAGATGGTGTCTTGGGCGCCCGCGATTTCCGAGCCGACCATCGTTACTTTCGTCAGAGTTTCCGAGTCCAACTCTAAGTGCGATGGATTCTCGTGTGTTCGCAGTCTCTGCTTTCCAGTATTGATTTTCCGAACCCGAGCGCCTCGAACGAGCGACCAACAAAATACAACATTCGGCCTCGTGCCCTAAAACTCGGATTTTATTCAACTTCTTGTGCTTATTTTTTACAATAATTAATAATATATTAAATTAAATAATAACTTTTTTATTGAAAATTTTTACACCACCGATTTTATATTTTAAAATGCCTCGTTAATTCTTAAATAAAAGTTTTCATTGGATTAAGAGTCTGAATCTGAATCTTCATCTAGGTAGGTCTTGATTAGCCGAACCCGAGGAAATCAGATTTTCATAACCTTTAATGTTGATTGAACACAATCATACTTGATTCATAGAAAATTCTAGTAAAAACACAGATCCAATAAATAATTGAATGGAATTATTTTCCTGATATATTTGCATAATTATGATTTAATTCTTATTTGATTGTAAATAGGTATATTATTCAATGAATTTTTCGGATTTAAAATCTTACATTCTATAATTATCATATTTTTAATAAATGAACCCAACAAATTTTGCAGAGATTGATTGCTTTGTTTGCCGCGTTTACTTCCAAAATCAGCATCAGAATAATATATATAATTTATCACTTTAATATTACATTTTAAATTTTAACTTAAAATGTAATAAACTGCATGATTTAATTAAAAATGTTCAATTAAACAAAAATCTTATTAAAATTTAATTTATATACATGTTGAATTTTAGAATAGTTTTAAAATCACACACACTTAATTTATTTCTCTAGAGAAAAAATCTAGTACTTAGAAAATTAAATTTATGCTGCATAATATCATAGTTATTTTTACAAATTACATATCATTTTTACTTGGTATTTTTCAGTGGCAAACCTGGACCAGAGACAAAATAATTGCTAAATTTTGAAAGAAAAAAAAATTAGCTTGACCCTTAAAATCCAATATAAGGCTAGTTGAAGATGAGGTTCATTGCATTAAAAAAAAACAGCAAAAATAACTGGAGCAAAAGACATGCAAATGCATAAGTACAGTCCATGCAAAACAGACATACAAATTTTGCAGATTTTCATTCTGTCTGCAATCGATGTGCGAGTGATTGGATTTCGCTTCGAACGCAGGCAGATGGCGGCTTACTCTTTCAAATTCAAGTTTTGGTGTTTAAAAATTTAATTCGCGATGAATGGACAGCTGCAAAAATTGAACAAATATTCGAGAGATGATTGTCGACTCACGTGAGGTTACTCCCCTGCGTCCATTGAACGAGAGCCACCACTCTTCGCGAGCCACCGTCGGCGACAAAAGGGACGAGCTGGACGTCGAGAGGGACATGGAACTGCCGCTCGACTCGTTCACACCATCCGACATGCCTCGAGTCCGGCGGTGATCATAGAACGACACTTTTCAAAATATGGTCCTTCCGAATTTTAGAAATCAACAACCCATTCACAATTACGTACAAACTTTGTTTATAACGTCGCTGCTGCCCCCTGGCGCCACTGACATCAAATATATCAAAGGGTTCGCTGACCGTCACAAAAAAGCGGCAGAAATAGGGAAGATTCTGTGGCTAATAAATAAAAACTACATACTACAAAAGGGGGTAAAAATTTCTCATAATTTAAAAGAGACAAAAGAGGGGAAAAACACGCCTGCATTAATAGGTAGCAACACTTGCGACATTAAGGAAGCGGAAATTAAGTGAATAAAGGGATATTATTAATTTCAATAAAAAAAATTATTTTGAAAATTTTATACACCCGCGCCTCTGTATACAGTTTTAATTATGTATAAAAATTGTGTCCTTTTAATCTCAAGCCTATACACCCAGTTAAAACAGTACGGCTGCTAAATTTTACTTAGTATCAGTATATTAAAAGAAAAACTGAAAATTGGTACAATTCTGGTTTTCTGTGAGATTTTCGTCAGAAATAAAATTGCCCCGCACCCCCTACACCCCCAAGATCCAGCAAAATATTATAATCATATTATACATTTATTATTGAAATTAAAAAACACAAAATTCTTCAATTTTTGCATCATTTTGCATTTTTAATATTGATTTTTTTTTATTGATATTATAACAAAAATTTTACTCTAAACGCAAAACTTGTGCTTCTATATTATAAGATATTCACTTTTAAAAATTGTGCTTATTGTGACTAATAATTAAGCCATTGCATGGAGGAATAAATATTCATAATTACAAAATTCAGAAGATATGTTTACACAAAAACTGGAAGTTTTTTTTCAGGAAATTATGGTTGAAGAATTATAGATAGGGAATTTAAATTATTATCAGTTATAATTTATTCATTTAAATTCACTTGAACACAATAAATATTTTTTGTATAAATTTGTAGGCACGAATGGCAAATAAATTAAAATAGGCAATTAATAAGTTAATCATTATGTACATCTTTGGTTTCGCTGTGGTAAAATTTTGTCGGCGCCAGTCTTGAACTCCATGGTGGTGTTTAAGGCCTCTTGCAGACGCACTCGCCCTTGATTTGGTCATTGATCCAGCCAAGGTATGTGGCCACGTTGGTGTAGACACCAGGGAAGTGAGGTCTGGCACATCCGCGTCCCCACGACACAATGCCTGCAGAGATAATTTATGCATTAAATCTTATTTGAAAAAATTATATTATTTTTCCACCAATGAGTTCGGTGATTCCGCCGCCAACGCTGATGTGCATAGGGCCGCCGCTGTCACCCTGGAAACGAAAAGGTTTTAGCGAAAAAATTCTAAAGTTTTTTCTCTCTTTACCTGGCAAGCATCCTTCTTTCCTTCTGGGTACCCGGCGCAGATCATGTTGTCAGTGATACGGGAGGCTCCATAGCCAGAGTTTCTGCAATCGTCCATGGTCATCAAAGGAACATCAACCTTCATGAGCTCAATGGCCGTAGATCTTTTTTCTCCAAGTCGTCCCCAGCCAGACACTATTCCAGACTCGCCAGAATAATCCGATCTCGCTATTTTTATGAAACAAAAATTTTACACCCAAATAAGTTTTGTTTTTACTTTCTGAGGAAATTTTAAATTTTCATTTACTAACCCATATTTTCAAATATGATCTGTTATGTTAAAATACAATTTTAGGAAAAATTTATATTCGTCGTCAATAATGAATTTACCTAGCACATTTGGAACAGTAAAGTAAATTCCGCCTATTTAAAATGATAATTAACAAAACAATTATTGTGGCTAATGGCATGTGATTCAATGAAAATTAAAGCGCTGTATTGAATTCAATGTCGAAGCGCGCTGAATTGTTTTCAAAGTCAAATATGATGTGGCGCAAACAATGAGTGCAAGAGCCTCACCTTGCGTGGGCAGACATGCGGGTTTGATAATTCGAGTGAACTCGACCTCCTCGTCCAGGTGCAGCAAGGCAATGTCATTGTCAAACGAGAAAATGTCAAACTTGGGGTGCACCACTGCCTTGTCGATTTTGCGAATCAGCGTCGTCTCCTTGTTCATGTTCAGCCTGTTGTGCACTCCCATGTACACCTTGATTTCGCGGTGGTTGAAACTGGAGAGAAAATATAATAAATTAATATAATTAATTGAATGTAATGAATTTAATATAATATATACCTCCTTTTAAGTATTTCTAGCAGAAAAATATAATCAAATATTTTAAAATAAATTCATTCAATAAATATGATATAAGAAAAGCATTCATTACACATTAACATGACTAGATTAAAATGTACAAAATTACTTTTACTAAAATTTCTAAAGATTTCATTTCTATATTTAATAAAAATTATTCACCCGTCGATGCAGTGAGCGGCGGTGAGAACGTGCTTGCTGGAAATAAGGGTAGCGCCGCAGTAGAATTTGTTCCTCCTCTCAAGTGCAACCACCCAGGGGAATTCATTAGGGTGGGTGACGTTTCCTCCTACCACTCGTGTTTTTGGGTTGGGCACACCGCAGACTAAATTTTGTAATTTCCATATTAATAAAAAAGTATTAAAATGCACGGAAAATTAGAATAATAATTTTCTGCGAGTTTTTTTTTTTTTTTTTGTAATAAAAAACCAACGCTAGAGTGAATTCAAAGCCGTTGATTATAATTAAACTGGAGCAAAGTGGGAAAAAGACATCCAGTATAATGAAAAGCAGGTAACTCGTATAAATCACTGTATGTTTAGAAACCCACCGCAATCACAATCAGGAGCCGCAGTAGTTGCATCAAAGTCATCATAATAGACCTGTACGAACAAATCGTGACACGCAATAATCATCAGTCACAATTGTAAAAGTAAATCTTTCTTCAAATAAACAAAATATTACAAACGCTTGAGGAAATTTGACTTTATCAGATGTGTCAAAGAAAACTTTCTACAATCCACATTTTATGATTTTACTTTCAGAGTTGACAAGGAAGAAAAAGAATCCAGCAGAATCCAGTTAATAAAAGAATATTTTACTGGAGAATAAAATTCATAAATTTTTCAAACAATTTAAATGAAAATAATAAATAAGAGTTGAAAAATAATAAAAATCGAGCTTCCTAAAGATTTTTACATACCAAAATATTTGAATTTTTGGCAAGTTTTTATGTTTGTTTTATTGATTTTTTCCCGAAAAAGGAAAGGTTATAATTTAAAAATTAATTTATTGAAACTATGCACGAGAAATGTTTAACAAATCAAATTCTAAATCCGCAATCATTAAAAAAGTGCGAAAAAATTAATTCCCAAAAATTAAGAAGAACGAAAAAAAATTATTTCATAATAACAAAATCAAAGCCCTCATCAGCATGTAACGAAATTACGACAACGCGGCGAGAACGAGAGCGAAAGTTACTGCCGGCAATCAATTAGCGCCAGAAAGGAAATCGGAAAACAAAATTTACTCACGTCGACCTGCTTCGGCTGAGGTGCACTTTGCACCAGGGTGAGAGAAAGCAGCAGCAAGAAACTGCACCTCCGCAGATCCTTCATTATTGCTTTTTTGGAGAGCGCACGAAAAGTCAGAAACGAGAGAAATATGGAACACTGGCTGCGTTGTTGTTGTTTCAAGTTGCAAGATGCAATGGAACTGATGTGTACCTCCAGAGCGGCAGACCATTTATATACAGGTGGGACAAATGCACCTTGACACTGAGGATGAATAAATTGTCGTTCAGCTACCAGCCAGCCGCGTGCGCTGCACAAACGAGCAATTACAAATGTTCCGCACTCCAGCACCAATATGGGTCACGACTCTGGTCAGGGACGAAAAAATACGAAACAACGCAAAATGCACCACCATGCATCCCGTCAACTGCACTTTGAGGAGGAAAAGAGATAAGCGCGAGCAGCTTGATTGGGCGTATTTTTTTCGCTCGCCCCCGGACAAGGAGACGCGGCGGCTTTTGGCGAAGAGGGGACCCTCGATCCTCTGCTGGGGCAGGTGTTTGTTAAATTTGCCCTTCGACCGGTTGACTTTGAACACACTAAATGACGGTTTGACATGAAACGCCTGCATTGTTGTTCAATTGAGGAATTGATTCGCTTTGTGAAACACATATCTGTGTGGTTCGGCGCTCGACAAAAATTATTGTTTTAAAAGTGCCTCTGCGAAGCGCGCGTGCTTGCAATAATTAGTCACTGCTTGTTTTGGGGGAGCGGCAAGGTTGACAGCACGTTAATTTTCTAATCTCTGCTGATGTCAAATTAAATAGTATTTCAAGTTCGTTTGGTGAAATATAATATAATATATCCTCAAACCATTGAATTTGTCGTTTTTGGAGCAGCCCAAAGCACACATGTCAAATGTTTGCAAATATAATGAGCCTTGGGATGGTAGCGAAAAGTTTGCTGATTATTTATTGTTTCAAGTTTTGAAAATTTACCTTGGATTGATAATCTCAAGTACAAGTGACATGATTCAAGAGATGGCCTACAAATGAAATTGAATCAATTATCTCTGTCAAAATTAAGGAAAAACTGGTATAAAAGAGAATACACAAAAATATTTTATATTTAAGCATTTGATTATAATTTTGATCTAATATTATTTATCACCAATTAAAGCTACTCTTCAACTTTCGCAAAATCCATTAAAGGAGTTTTTTTTAAACAACAATTCAGAAAAAAAATATATAAAATACAACTGAATTAACAATACCCAAAATTATTTTAATAAAATGAAACCAATGAGGCAAAAATATTGCCACAATAATACAATCCTCGCCTTTACTTGCCATTAATGGGTCATGTCAAAAGCCACCCAACAAAAATTTCAAATATTTGATACTAATTCTAAATTTTTTTATTGCTGTGTAATTCCAATATTTTTTTCCTTATGACTATTGACGTTCTTTTTAATGTAAAAAAAATCATTCTGGTTATAAAAATGGTTTTTTAAACCATGAAAAAAAATTAATTTATCATTTTTACTGGATCAAGGTTATCCTAGCTCCGATGACACAGTGTTGTGATTTCATATTTTACATAATAATAAGTGCGAAAATATCCGAGCGCAAATTCCCAGAAGTAGAGTTGGACTTTCCTCTTCGAAAATGCAGTCATTCAAGTCTCCGAGCGCGCATAACGTCTGGCATTAATTACATCACACGCACGTGGCTTTGCCGGCAATCAAAAGGCCAATCAATTAGACCAGCGTAAATAATACAAAAGAATGCCGCCAAGAGCAGATCATAGAACAAAAAGTGCTGCGCGTGTGGAAAAAAAGTAGAAATTATGTTTATAGGCTACAATAAATAATTAATGAAAAAATCTGACTGCAAGAGCTAATTATGCGGGCGTGAGTGATGGCTGAAATTCTCTCGCTGCATCACATTCCCACAAGCATGTGCGCGTAAAAAAATCCTGCACCTTCACCGACATTCAAGTTGCAAGCCCCGTCAATGAGGATAAACATTAAACATTTGCATTAGATAAGTGGCGATAATCGCCAATGCCTTTCGCGCGCGAAATTGGCCAAACGGAGTGAATGAGTCGTCGTTGTTGTGCGGTGGTGGTGGCTACGGCGGCGGTGGAGGTGCCGTGAAAACGTCACGGTCAAACCCTTGACCCGGCAGCAGGGCAGAAGAGCGGCTGCTGATTACCTACCGCCGTATAAATGCGTAACTCGGCGCCTAAGTGGGACATTCGACAACCGATTTCCATCTCACCACCATGCTGCAGCTCAAATCGCTCGCTTTTTGGTCACTCGCGGTCCTGTTGCTGGCGCAGGTGCACGCCCGCTTTTCTCCACTGGCGCCCAAAGTGCGGCACAACCTGCGGCCCATGTTCAACTCGGAGGCGGAAATCCCTGTAAGTTGAATAATTTCGCAGTTGTTGATATTCACAGTTAGGGCTTAAGATAAATTAGGAAATTTTGAGGTTTTTGGCGTACACGATATATTAGTGTTAAATTATTCTCTTTGAATACTGCATAAAATAAGGAATATGGGGAAAGTGAAAAAAGTGCTTCAAGCTTTTTTTTCATTTTAAGCTACTCAAAATTTTTATGAACACTAAATAAATTTTGAAATACTTCTACTCATTTTTTTGAGTTAATTATTATTTTAAAATTTCCTAAAAATAAACTAGAGAAATCTTATTGAAACTTGAAACACTGCCTGATAATTTATTTGATTTACAATCAAGATTTCACGTTGATCGTATAATTAGGAACGTGCTTGAATGCAAACACGTTTGAAAGTTTCCAAGCAGGACAATTTTCGAGCTCGCGCACTTTTACATAAACTTTGGTGCTCTTGTTATTGTGAGAGGAGTCACTTTCGGTCCAGGAAAAAACACAAAAATATCCGGCCTTGGTGGAAAAACCAGTAAAACGCTGTGGGCGCGCACACTCTCTCTTAATCTCCGAGCTTACACAAATCATAAAAGGGTGTACTTTAGTAATAATCGGAATTCAAGGTCTCGATGTATTGTGACAAGAGTGAAAACTGTTATTGCTCCACGCACATTTTCCCCGTAGGACCAGCATGATTAACCCAAAAGTAGCAATATCAAATGGCAGCCCATCAATTAAAGCCGATCAAACTCGAAAAGTGGCGCAAAAGCAATTAAAAGTAAAAACGATACCAGCCGCCTGTTGAGGAGATCATTTCATTTTGTGGCGCGAGGCGATCGAGAGGCTGCTGTCAGTGCACCTGAAGAACACGTCCTAGGGACTGGCATTAACTAACAAAGTCTCTCGGTCCATAAGACATTTCCTCTCCATTTGCATTCCAGTTACATGTAAATCGGCCTACTTTGCGATGCAGTTAAATTACCTTGGGCATGCCAATCCAACGAGAAAGAAACTGCCTTTTTACTCGCAGAACTTTAACGAAGCTGCAAGTTTCATTTCGCTCTCAATATCCTCTTTCACTTTTCATTTTCGCCATCATCTAATTGACAATAATGCGTCTTTTCACTCCCTTTGAGTACTTATGTATTGAATCCTTTGACGTAGACTTAATGTTGGTTTTAATCAGCGTTTAATAACGAGAATAGCTCAAAAACTTGAAAAAGACAACGCCATGATAATCTAAATGTTTTTTTTTATCGAGTTTTGAGGGATGGAGGCCTACTTTTTTCTAATTATTATTATTATTTTTTATTTTTAATATTCAATTCGATGAACAAATTTAAGATTAATATTTTTTGAAATTTGATTTTGTAAAATTAACTTAACTCGTTTTTAATAATTTCTAACCCCAGATTTAAATTATTTTAAAGGCTTGGGTTCTGATGCACTACAACGTTAGCGAGATCAGCGAATTCATCGCCATCAAAAATGCCACTGGCGTCAGCAAAGACGACAAAGGAGTCATATCTTCCCTGTGGAGCTGGATCTTCAGCGGCGGATCCGGAAGCAGCAGCTCAACCGGAGGAACCAGCGGCGGCAGCAGCAGTGAAGTTTCCGTGGAAGACGCCGAATCGGCCGGAACACCAGTTAACTTTCCCACGTGTGATTGCAGTAAGTTGACTATTTTGTTCGAAATGGAGAGCAATTAGCACCGCGACCATAAAATTGCAAGCGTCTGACTTAATGAGGGCGCGCAAATACCAACACCTTCACAAACCAATACACATTGCATATTATATACGAGTTGGATGTTCACACGTGGTTTTTCGTGCCGCGCACGTTTTCTTACGCCGCTGCATGTGCGAAATCGTGCAGCTCTCTTTTGCAGGAATAAATAATTAGCTTCAACTAATACGTCAAAATGAACCAACATGAAAATGAAAGTCATTCATTGTTTGACTACAGGAAATTTCGCATTTTTTGTTGCATATAGATTTTTTATTCCTCACAAAAGAAAAAAATATTGACCTGCGATTTTAAGTTGCATTACATTTGATTGAAGCTCATCATTTTTTATTGCTATTATTCCTGACCATTTTCTATCAAATGGTTTTAATTTCAAAAACGGATTTTTTTATAACTAGGCAGAGTTACACCAGATTCTTAACAGAGCTAAAGTGAAATAACTGGAATTAAAATTTGGATAATATCAAAGAAATAAAACCGAATTTATGATCAAACGATCTGGCTAATACAAGAATTGGTTAATTTTTATTGTTTATTACTTTTTTAAATTTTTTGTTTCTAGTTTGCTGATTTTTATTTTATTTTCATTGCTCACAAAATGGGGAAACAGATCAAGGCCAAAACATCAAGAGCCGTTTTATGTTTTAATATATTAAATGGAAGAAATTGTTTTTCATAAAAAAAAAACATTTTTCTTCAATGAGAGGACGCTCGTTTTTTCTTTTCTTGAACGTTTTCTTGAGCGCCTAACTCTTTTCTTCAACAGAGCTCTGTTTATGGCCGCTCACGATGGGATAAAGCTTTGTCATTGGAAAATAAATAAACAGTGGAAGAAAGGAGCTGCATGTATAATCCATCCATAAAACAAGTCATAAACTCGGTGTCACCGCACTTTCACCATGTGTGCTTGTACACAGACGACTAATTCTTTCTTTTCGATTTCTTCCAGAATGCGGAGTAGCCAACTCTAGGTTGAGGATCGTGGGTGGGCAGGAAACAAGAGTCAACCAATATCCATGGATGGCTATGCTTTCTTATGACGGCAGATTTTACTGTGGCGGAACTTTGATCAACAAGAAGTACATTCTCACCGCTGCCCATTGCGTTAAAGGGTAATTTAAAAAAAAATAATAATAACAATTTTTTGAAATATTTCCGCGTGTAGAGTACAATTCATTACGATATGAAAGAAACAATGAACGACCTTCACATAACCATTTTTACGCTTTGTTATTTGCAACAGTGTATATCAAAGTAATTAGCTTAGTAAACGGCGGGACTAATTAATGCGTCGCATTTACAGCTTTACTGCAAATCGCATGAAAATCAGGCTACTGGAGCACAACCGCGATTCGTCCTCTGAAACCAGCATAGTCGATCGCAGCGTCGCCAAAATTATCCACCACAACAAATACAACCCAAGCACCTTTAACAATGACATTGCTCTGCTGAGGATGGACAAGGAGGTGCCAATAAAGGGCAACCTTTTGCCTGCCTGCATGCCTACGCCAGGTATGTTTAAAAAAAAATGATAATAATAAAAATAATAATTATTTGGTAATATTCTAGGAAAGAGATTCACAAATGAAGACGCGTTGGTCACCGGATGGGGAAAAACTGCCGAGAACAGACCAGTCTCTACCGTTCTGAGGGAAGTCACCGTGCCAATTATGTCCAACTCGAAATGCCAGTCTTATTACGGTACAAGCCAAATCACAGACAACATGCTCTGTGCGGGGTTCAAAGAGGGAGGACGAGACTCTTGCCAGGTAAAATAATTGGCTTGAAATTAGATTGTCCGCGAATTTTGATTTTTTTTTAAACAATTTTTAGGGGGACAGTGGCGGCCCTCTCATTGTGAAGAATGAATCACACTACCAAATTGCTGGTAAGTAAATTTTGTTTTCTTCATAATTTATAATCTTTTGACGTTAAATAAAAATTCAATTTGTGTTTCCAGGAGTTGTGTCTTGGGGCGAAGGTTGTGCCAGGCCTAACAACCCTGGAGTGTACGCCAGAGTGAACAGATACCTCACATGGATAAAAAGCAACACGCCTGATGCTTGTTTTTGTAAATCGTAAAGGCTGGAAAATCTCTCATTCCAATAATTTATTTATCATATATCATGATATTATCTTGATCATTCCTATTTTGTTTTGCTATGGGAAAAGTCGTTGTGTTCCTCAGTGCATATCAATCTATAAGTTTTTTTGTAAAATTATTTATATGAAGTTTTCTAATAAATATTTTATTTGAATAAATGTGTTTTTTTTAATGAACTAGTAGCTAATATCTATTTTATTGTTTCAATTATATTATTTTTTTATTTTAATTTAATAATAATGTTTTTCTATGCTTGAATACGGCATATGGCATAGTATAATAGTATAATGTGTCTGAAACTGTGGGAATTTGTTCAACCCAAAGGAGGCCGGAGAGGAAGAAGAAGAGACTGGAGGGAAGCCGGATGACGGAGAGCAGCTAAATGATGCCCCTAATTCGCAGACTGTTGCACCCAGGGAGAGAAGCAAGCGCAACTGTGGTGCTCGTGAGAAACTTTCTTTATAGATTTCCCTTGTCGAAACAGCGACGTGAGTAACTTAAAATTAGGGCTTTGGAATTGTGAAGGGCTTACGAAAGCATATGAATCTCCGATTGCAACAGAACTGCAAAATTATGATATTCTTCTTTACACGGAAACATTTTTAAAGAAACCACTTCACATTCCTGGTTTTTATTCAAGGCAAGTTTTAGCTTCACAAAAGGAGGCAGGGCGACCGATGAGGGGAATTTCCGTGTATTTTAATTCTAGGTTAGGAAATTTACTAAATGTGAAATATTTGGAAAACTTCATAATTCTAAATTTTGATGACATTACAGTAGTAACATGCTATTTAAATCCGAAGATACGTTCTACAACAGTGACTAATGAACTTCTCTCAATCCTTAAATATGTTGAAAATTTTGAAAATTTCATTTTGGCTGGAGACTTTAATTGCCGACTGGATACTAAAAACAGAAAAATTGACTCGCTGCTTGATTTTGCTGAGGAAAACAGTCTGACAATAGTAAATGAATATCCATATAAAAGTACCTACGACTGTAGTAATGGTCATAGTGTGGTTGATTTAATCTTCAAAGGGCCAAAAATTTACACCGAAAATTTTAAAATTTGCCCAACCATAAGAAAACATAATTTTATTTCAATAGAATTTAATTTCACAAAACAAAAGAACAGAAATGGGGACATGTCTTTGAATAAGAAAAATTTTAAATTAGATGAAAACATACTTAAAGAGCTTATTGAGACTAAATATAAAAATATTCTAAGAACAAATCTGGAAAAGGGGGACGTTGAAGAGTTTTATAAAAATATGATAAATATTATGAAAGAGGCCGACATTCCTCGTAGGCAAACTGAACGGATTAGTCAACCGTGGTTTGATTCTGAATGCTACGAATTAAAACAGAAATTGAACGAATGGAGAGAGTGCTTGGAAGTGGCTGAAAGTTTAAATGTAACTAGTATAATCAAGATTCTATTACCGCACTATACCGCAATAAAAAGAAATTACAAAAATGTGTGTGAAATGAAGAAGAACGCTTTTGTGCAAATGAAGGAGTTGGACATTTTAAAAGAGGCGGAGCAGAATAAGTGCTATAAAATTCTCAAGTTGAGCAAAAGTTTTTACAATACAAACAATATAATGATGGATGAATGGGAGTGCAATTTTGAAAAAATTTTCAACGAGAAAAAATTGAGTGAAAATGAATCTTTAAATCTGAAAGAGATGATAGTAGATTACAGAAATGATATAAATTTTTCACCTATTATGGAAGAAGAAGTTTTGTTAGCATTAAAGAAAATGAAAAACGGGAAATCCCCTGGACCTGACAAAGTGAAGAATGAAAATATTAAACTACTTGTTGAATCCTTACTCCCCGAAATAACGCAATTTTTCACCAAATGCTTGGAGCTAGGAACATGTCCAGAGGAATGGAGGCAGTCAAATCTAAAACTCTTGTATAAGGGAAAAGGGGACGCGGAAAATACAAATTCATATAGAGGAATATGTATTAGTTCGGCTTTTTACAATCTGTTAGATCGTGTACTGCATGCACGTATCTACTCATCTTTGATTCACGAGATTCCAGGCAATCAATATGGTTTTGTGAAAGGAAAATCTACTCTACAGGCAATTAAGTCCTTAGTTAATAACATTCAAGAGACAGTTTATAAGAAGAAATCACCCTTATATGCCTTATTTTTGGATGTAAGTAAAGCTTTTGACTCAATAGATAGGGCGTTTATTTTTAAGAAGTTAATAGAAAGCAAGAAGCTAACGTTCACGGAGTTAAATTATTTAGCTCACAACTTAGACTTAAATTTCTTGAGAATAGTAGATGGAGTAACAGTATCAAAACTTATTACACAATCAAATGGGGTAAGACAGGGGGGATGCACGTCCCCATTTCTGTTCAATTACTCTTTAGCTGATATAAATAATATTCTACGAGATTTGCCAAACGTGAAAGCCATTTATTATGCAGATGATATTGTTTTAACCTCAGAAAAATTAAGTGACTTGAAAATTGCTTTAGCCAGAATGAAAGAATTTTTGTTAAAACGCAGTTTGAAACTTAACTTGGAAAAGTGCAAATTCATGAAATTTAGAAATAAGGGTCTAGGAAAATATGCATTAAGTGACCGCCTAGATTTAGGTGGAATTGAAATAGAGAGAGTTGCTGAGTTTACATATTTAGGAGTTACTTTTCAACCATCAGGAATCTCTTTTGGAAAGCACATTGAAAAAAGAACAAGAGCTGCATTGCTGGCCACTTATAATATACGAGAACTAAAACAATTATCCATTGAAACAGCACACAAGCTATTTGATCTAAAAATTTCCCCAATTGCGTCCTACGGCATTGAAGAAATATGGCCTTTCCTAACAAAGACTGATTTTGAAAATCTTGAAAAAGTCAAAACAAGATATTTAAAAAGAGTTTTAGGACTGTCCAAGTATATTAGATCTAGATTTGTGTATGAATTAGTTGACACTGATCTCTTTGTATCGGACTTACAGGTAAAATATTCTCTAACTGAAACTGAAGCATTCCAGAAATTTTGTGTGTCTAAATATTTAAACAAACTTGAGATATGTGATGAGTTCTACGAGACAGAAACTATGAAGAATAAAAATTGGCAATGTGCAATGTTCAGTGATCGCCAAGTGTTTACGAGATTTGCCTGTCACGGGTACCACTATTTATTTTGTAAGAATAAAAATTTTCATTCTCAAGCGACAATAGATTGTGAATGCAAGCACTGCGGTAAGAAATGTTCACAATATCATATTCTTGAATGTAATGAACGAAAACTAAGCCTAAGAGAGGCTGCAAAAATCAAAATTAACTAATTTTGTACTTTGTAATAATTATCGAAACAAGCTTAATTGTAAAATTAATTTTAGGAAGACAAATTAGCTTTAGACACCCGTTGTACACCTAGTTGTGTTCAATAAATACTCTATCTATAAATTTGTTAGTTTTTGACGGAAAGAGAATATAATGGGACTGAGGCATTTGCTATTTTTATATTTCCATGACTATAGGAAACTATTCAAAATGTATACTATATACATGTACTGTAATTTTACCCATTATTCCCCATACGCATAATAATGAAGTTTTGCTCGTAGCTGACGATGGTATTGACGTAAAAGCGTTTCAATTTTATCCTGCAACGTGCAAATTTTGAGGGAAAATAGAAAAAAATCAATGGAATTACGTTGTACTGTATGGGAAACACATGAAAATTTGGACTCATGGCTGATGCTGACGACAATATAAATTATTTTGACGTATTTTTAGGGCGAGTCTCGTTCCGGTAGTTGAGTGGATCCTAGTGATCCTACTATAAAAACTGGCGAACGATTTCCTAAGGCCATCATTAGAACTTTCAGTTTTATCAAAATGCGCCAAGCAATAGCATTTTGCCTAGTGCTTCTCACTCTTCTCAGGCCAGGATTAACATTTAGTATTTTTAATCCATCCAGCATTGGCAACATTTATTTTCAAGATTCGCAAGTAGCAATCATTGAAGATCATAAAATTCAGGCAAGTTGCAACTTATTATAACAAATTTTGTGACAATTTAATGGCATTTTTTCGTGGATTGGACTTTTTTATAGCTGCTTGATAAATAATTTCTAATTAAATTTGTAATTAGGTTAAAAATTATTTATTTAAACATTGAGAATTAAATATTAAAATTATTAAATGTGAATTAATATTTCAAATATAAAAAACATTCGCCAAATAATCTTAAAAATATCTCTTCTGAATATTTTAAATAAATTTTAGATTCTACCACCGTCTGTTGTCACAAGCTCGCCTGGAAACTGCAGCTCCACTGGAGAAATCAGCGGAGAAGATTCCGTTGAAGACATTGATTCCGACTTAACATGCAACTGCAGTAAGTTAAAAATTTCATTCAATATGAATGCGAGCGTTTGCCTTTAAAAAGGGTCTAGAAAAAATATATTATTTGCAAACCCGTACGTGCAGCATGTTTCCACGTGGTTTTTTCTTCCGCGCAAGTTTTCTTATGTCGCTATGCATTTGAAAGAAAGAAATAATTAGCAGTAAAATATTTCACAAGGAATATCCCTGAAAATAATAGTTGATTTGGCATTTTGCATTATTTTAAAACGTCATCCGACTAATCTGAAGGAAAATAATAAAATTGATATTGAATTAAGTTGGACAAATTAGCAGCAATAAAAAAAAGTGTTTTAAATTAAATGCCAAATATTTGTGCCAGTTAATCTTTGTTCTTATTAACTATTCTTCATGGCAATAGCCCAAATGCGTAAATTCAATTTCCTGTGTTTCGTTCTAAGCATAGGCAATATTGACACTCTTAGATCTGTATTTTATTTACTAAACAATTATTTATGTTTAAACTATATGAGATAAAATTTTAATATAAAAGAGCTTCTTGTATTCATAAATTATATTTATTTTAAGAGTAAATGAAAAGATTGTAAATGTTCTCATGTTTTGAAGGTATTTGGGGATTAAATTTATGAAATATGAACTAAATCATTAGAGGCTCTGCAAGAAACAATTGAGTTCTGGCATAGCTCTTAAGAGAGTAACTTACTAAATGTCACGACATATTCTAAGCAAAGTTAATTTTGAATGACGACTTACGATGGAAAAAATCGTTGTCATTGAAATATAAATAAATAAACAGAATAGAAATAGGAAAGCTACATAATCCATCCATATAACAGGCAAAAACTCGAATTTAGCACTTTCACTGCAAGGTAATTAATGCTACCAATAAATATTTTACCAATTTTTCCCAGAATGCGGAATAGCCAAAACGAGAGCGAGGATTGTTGGAGGCCAGGAAACGAGAGTCAACCAATATCCGTGGATGGCTCTGCTTTCTTACAATGGCGAGTTTCTCTGCGGTGGAACTTTAATCAATAACAAGTACATTCTTACTGCTGCCCATTGCCTTACAAGGTAAATAGAGAAATTAAAATTTTGGCATCTTTTGTAAAATTAATTATTGTACAACAAAAGAAATAAAAAATGAAGTGATTGATTAACACAATATAAGCTTTTACTTACAAAAGTCTATGCAAGTGCTCAAAAAGTTAATTAATGCGTCCTAATTACAGCATAAATATGACTGGACTAAAAATCACGTTACTGGAGCACGATCGAAGTTCGTCCCTTGAAGCCAAAACCATAGATCGCAGTGTCACTAAAATTATCGCCTACAACAAAAACCTGGGCATTGATGGCAATGACATTGCTCTGCTGAAGATGGACAAGGAGGTGCCATTAAAGGGTGACCTTTTGCCCGCCTGCATGCCCACGCCAGGTAAGATATACATTTTGAAGTTTTTAATTTAATTCCATAAAATAATTTGGTAATTCTTCAGGAAAGACGTTCACAAATGAGGACGCGTTGGTCATTGGATGGGGAAGAATTGGAGAGAATAAGCCACTCTCAGCCGTTCTAATGGAAGTCGCTGTGCCAATTATGTCCAACTTGAAATGCCAGTCTTATTACGGTGCAAGCCGAATCACAGACAACACGCTCTGTGCGGGAGTTGAAGAGGGAGGACGAGACTCTTGCGAGGTAAAAAAATTAGCTTGAAATTCAATTGCAAGTGAATATCGACTTCTTATATCAATTTTCAGGGAGACAGTGGCGGTCCTCTCATGGTGAAGAATAAAGCACAATACCAAATTGTTGGTAAGTAAAATTTTTCTAGTGTTATTCTTAAGTAATTTGAAATTTTTTATATTAAAAAAATATCAAATTTTGCTTTCAGGAGTTGTGTCTTGGGGCGAAGGTTGTGCTAGACCAAAAAAACCTGGGGTGTACGCTCGAGTGAACAGATACCTCACATGGATAAAAAGCAACACAGCCGATTCTTGTTATTGCAAACTGTAAAGGCTCCACAAATTCTCACCCCAATTATCCTGCGCCTGTTTTCTTTTGGCGATTGGAAAATTCAATGTTTTTATTTTTACATGTCATTGCCAGTGCAAATCAATCCATCCAAATCTATTTATGCTGTTTTCTAATAAACCTTTTATTTTACAAAAAGTGGCTGGTTTATTAATTGAGTGATAGATAATTAACTGACTAATAAATTTTAAGAATATTCAAAGCTTTCTTATTAACAGGGTAATAGATTACTTAGCTGAAGAAAATTCAAAATGCCAAATTTTTAAATTATAGAACAGTAGCCTCTAACTTTCAGATAAAATAAAAAGTGTTAGTGAGGATATTGAATTTGTCCTTGATTTAATCTACCTTGGAGTTAAATTCCAAGCATCGGGTATTTCTATCTTGAATCCTAAACATATTTCAAAAAAGGTCAAAGTTGCAATTTTTGCAATATTTTCCAAACTCGAAAAGCTTATTTTGTGGGGGGAGGAGAATTATCGATCGGTCCCCTTTTTTGAGCTTGCAGAATAAGGCAAGCTCCAATATGCTATTTGGGGTTTTTTATTATTATATATCTCTTTAAATTTTTTGCTAAGGTCAGGTCAAGACAAAGCCTGGTTGGCCTCAGTTTTGGCCCGTGCACTTTATTAGTGGTGCAGAGTTATTACTCCCAATTATTATATTATTTTTATTTTATTTTTCGAGTTCAATGTTTTAACTGGCATATCCTAAATTATTGGTCCATGCGATGATGATGATGTTTATTTACGAAGCCTTCATGGAAACCGTACTGAAAGTTTTCATCTTGCTATTGCGTCTGTAGCAAGTTAAGGAATAAACTGGGAATAGAGATGTATTATTGCCATATTTATCTTTAAATAATCTTCAGAAACGAATTAATTTTTTTTCTAATCAAATTTAAAAAAAAAAAAATAGTACGCGATGGTGTTTTGTAAAATTTTAGGACAGGCTTGCCTGTCGAGTGCTGCCAGATCGCCAGAGCGAGTGGAGCACCAAAATGATAAACACACTTTACAATGGTGCGCTCGACACGCTCACACTCGTTCGCCAGTCGTTCCGGCGACGCGGTGCGCAAAATCGGCGGAATGGGCGTCTAAGGCTCAACATTCAAGCGTCCGTCGTGCCAGGCACACAGAAATCAGTAGCAGGCTCCGCGCCTCATCAAGCAAAGCTTTCTTCACAATAAATTATTTTGAGCAAGCGGTTCCAAGTTAAGCCCAATTCAAAATTTCAAACACAAATGCTAGGTGCAGTAATTTTGCATAATTAACAAACGAATGGCACCATTCTTATTAATTATTTAATTTTTTTTACCAACATGAGAAACAAAATCCACTGAGGACAGCCACAATTAAATTTTACGATATAAATTGATATATTCTTTTGTTCTAAATTTCTAAAAGCTTTTGCTATACTTCTAATGTAACCGTAGATCATAATGCAAAAAATATTCAAAATCGAGAAATATTATATTTAGGCAAAAATGCATCAATAGAGTGATTTTTCCGGATTTTTCAATTTCTAATGCTTTAATATTATTTCTTTTAATATTCTCTATGGGGATGATTTTTAAAGTTTATCCATACGGGACGGCTTCCGGATGACACTTTAGTTGTTGACTTTTTAATTTGAAATTGACCGAGAACGAGAAGACACAAAGGTACAGTGCCACCACCTCTGCTCGTTCTCCAACACTATAGACAAGCCTACACCGGCGGCGTTCGCCATCACACTCCTTCGCTCGGTGCTTGGTGGTCAGAGCGTTCGCCACGAGAGTCAGCAGGTTTCAAAAATCTATCAGGACCACAAACTACCATAGGCGGTCACAACTTGCAATATTATGATTCTAATAACAAAAATATTGAATGTGGTGACATAGAAATTATCGGAAATTTTGTTTGTTTGAAATTACTTAAATAATGTAGCTGATGCAGTTTCTTTTCAAAACACAAAAACTTCACGCTAGGTTTTATTTAGTTAAAAAAACTTAACATCGCATTTCAAGTTATTATAGAAAGATATTGAGTTAAACAAAAAGGCTATAGAAGTGAATTTTTTTTGGGCAAAAAATTTTAAATTCTGAATAACTGGTAAAAATGAATTTAAAACTATGTTACTGAGAACTCAACATGTAGAATGTAGTTTGATAGACCTAATGATTAATTTCACTGCAAAAAAGCCTTGCGATATTCGCGGGAAGATTCATAATGATGATGTGACGACGCAAGCAAAAAGGCGCATGAGAAGCGTTATTTTGACTCGATCAATGATTGTTGCTATCAGGAGCTCATGATTCAGCAGTGGAATGTTTCACGCAGACCTCCTCTTCCCTCGAGGTTTGGTCGCTCTTCCGCGCGCGCTCTTCGCAGTATTGACGATTCTTGGAAGCAATCTTGATTCAGTATTGGGAAATATTTCATTTACGAATTGGGTCACGGTGTCGAGCGCACCAAATAATTAATCTTAGCGGGGAAAACAATGACGTGTTTACTCGATGACGGTTTCTTTCTTGAAAATAAAATTTGCGAAAGGTGTTTCCTACAATTATATATTTTTGGAAATTGACACGTCATAAAAACTAAATTTCTACTTTCAGGAGTTGTATCTTATGGGGCACCGGTAAAGCCAGACCCAAAAAACCTGGGGTGTACGCCTGAGTGAGTAGATACCTCACATGGATAAAAAAGAACACTGCTGATGTATTCTACAATTCACAATTTCTTAAATAATTGAGCAAAATTTTCTTTATTTGTTTTTGTTTTTTTACAGAAAAAGTCTTTCTCAGTAAAAATTAACTGTATGTCTCTTTTCAAATGTACATATTTTTAGCTTGTTCTTTACCTTTTACATACAGTTTTTTTGCTGTGTATTCATGACTCATGACTGTATCAAATGGAGAATACATTTTGTAAATCAAATGTAATCTATTTAATAATTTATTAGAAGTTTTATAAAATAGGTGATAATAAATATTAAAAATAATGTTCAATATTTTTTTTTTGCCTAATTTACCAACAAATATTGTCTTATTGTTAGTATTTATGTAAATTAAAATATAAAAAATCCATATAAAACAAACAGACTTATTGTTACATTATCACGCCACCACGTTTATATTGTTCAATTTCTTTTCAGCGAATTCATAACAAACCTGTGAAAATACCACAAAATGATAAATAATAATTATCCATTAATAATTGTCTTATAAACTGGCCATTGCACATTTTTCCTACGTCATTCTAAAATGAATTTATTCAAAATCATTTATGAGTAATTAAATAATGAATAATTATTGTTGCTGACGGTGATTGTGACGTAAAAGTGGTCAATCATATAACATATCCAAATGAAAATTTAGGGCAAATATAGAATGGGAAAAACGTTATAGGAGAATGAGTAAAACATAAGTATAAGACAAGATAAATTATCTATTTGGTGTTTTTGAGGTTGTCTCGTTCCGGGAAGTGTGTGGCTGCAACTATAAAACTGACAATTGACTTCCTAATGCCATCATTAGAACTTTCAGTTTTCTCGACATGCGTCAAGCGATAGCATTTTGTGTTGTGCTTGGCACTCTTCTGAGGCCGGGACTATCGTTGAGAATTTTTAGTCCATCCAGCGTTGGCACCAGATATTTTGGAGAATCGCAAGTTGGGATCATCTCTGATCATGGCATTCAGGCAAGTTCTCTCTTATTTCACCTTCAAGATTTGATGAACACAATCAATCTCTGACGTTGTTCTTATAAATATTTCTTTTCTTCATTCCTCTGAAAATTCATTCTAATTTATTTTGTTTAGATGCCACCAAGTCCACCGCCAGTCATCAGTGCTTCACCCGCGACTTCTCGTCAAATTCATAATTCTAACTGGAACAACAATAATTACAATATTCGTCGTCCATCGCGATTATCCAATTCAATCGTCACATCAAAGCCCTTTAGTCTGAATCCAACCAAATCCCCGTCTCAAGATAACGAGCGTTTGCAGTTTGGAGGTTTATACAACTCAATACCCTCAAGACCTAATGCGAGGCCCAATAAATGGTCGGCATTCATCAATTCCATCAAACCTGTGCGACCAATTAGCACTGTTGGTAATAGGCCGACAAAATGCAATTGCAGTAAGATTATATAATTTTTTTTGTTGACTCGTTTTTAAATTGTAATGAATCCAAAAATTTGTCTAGAATGCGGTGTGAAACACGACGCTTTCAAGGTTGACGATTCTGGTGCACCGCAAAGTATAATCGGAGGGAGGGAAGCTCATTTACATGAATATCCGTGGATTGTCAGGATGGCGGTGCAAGGTCGTACATTCTGTGGTGGTGCTTTGATAAACGCCGAGTACGTCCTGACAGCAGCCCACTGCGTGGCCAAGTAAACTTTTGGGGAATTCCTTAAACTTTATTTGACCAAAAAAATATTTGGTTTCTAGTCGGAAAAAAGAAGTGATGCAGGTGGTGATCGGTGACCACGACCAAACAAAAACTTCCGACACAATACACACATTGATGCGTCCCTTGTCCGAAATCCATGTTCACAAGCAATACAATTCGCAAAACTACTCGAACGACATCGCGCTCTTAAAACTGAGCAAGCCCGTGCAGTTCAATGTAGGAATTCAGCCAGCCTGTTTGCCTAGTTCTGCCAGTAAGATTTGACTTGAATTTATTGATCTCGCAAAATTTTAAAATTTATATCCAAAGCTTTAGATCCTCCAGCGAGAGTTGGAGAAATCGCTGGATGGGGCAGGACTGTGGAGAAGGGAAAAGGTTCGGACAGGATATTGAAGGTGGAGGTGCCACTGTTGTCGCAGAGAGAGTGTCGGTCGATGAAGATCCGATCAGGAAGAATCTCTGATGAAATGCTTTGTGCCGGTGCAACAAACAAAGATTCTTGCCAAGTAAAAATTTAACTAACAAAATTTTGTATATTAAAGATAATTAAGATTTTAAATATAAATAATATATTCAAATGAATAGGATAGCTAAAATTATATAGGAGGAGGATTCTTTTGAAAGACTCCTTCCACTTCTCAAAAAATATTGACTATAATATCCTTTCCATTTTAGATATTAAAAATCTTTAACCTTTATGAAATTTAATTTTGTCCAAACATTCTAATGGTCTCGTTTTTTTAGTGTTTTTAGTCAACATTTAAATGAAAAAATTAGATCATGAAATTTAGTTCAAGATTGTTTTGCCCTATATTTAACAAATATTTTATTCACATAAGGGTTTCAAATGTAATGGATGTGATTTTATTTTAGGGTGATAGCGGCGGCCCTCTTATTGTTCAGAACCGAGTCAACGGGAAAAACGAAGTTCACGGTGAGAGAATTATATTATTCAAAACTATAGGCTCTAATTTATTTGATTTGGATCTGCACTCGTTTTAGGCGTTGTTTCTTGGGGCATTGGCTGCGGACGCGAAGGCTATCCTGGCATTTATACAAGAGTTTCTAAATACACTGAGTGGATTAAGAGCAAAATGCCCAACGCCTGCCTTTGTTCATAAATCAATTAGTCAATAAAATGTTTCGAGATGATCTGCTGATTTTTGCACGTTATAACTTACTTCTTGCAAGTAGTTTTTTTCCTGTCGTTTGTAATGTAAAAGGCTATGATCAAAATACCAAACTATAGCTGCTATAGTAATATTCTGTTGTAATGGAACTTTTTCTGGCTTCTTCACCTAATCTTCACCATTTTTTTTTTATATGTAAAAACAATCCTTGGATTACTCGCGCCAGTTAAAATCATTCAATAAACAACAATAGCATTATTTTAATAATAAAATTTATGTATTTGTTTAAAACAAGTTACTCCTAGCTGGTCATGTGTAAGATAATATCAAAATTTTCCAATATAAATTGTTAATTATTTTATTATTTATTTAATACCATATGCTAATTAAAAAAATACAAAAAAAATATAAGTGGAGTGAATGCCAATAGGTTTAAAAAACTGAAATATTGGTATTTCCATTTATGTAATTGTGGTTCAATAAAAGGCTGATGATGATAATAATAAAACAAAGAATGTTAAATTAGTGGACTATTATTTAACGCCCAATTATTAAATAATAAATAAATAAATATCATTTGGAACTTATGACCTGAAGTTTAAAATAAAAACACAGTCAAAATATTTCTATTTTCATGGATAGTCAAGAATAGTCAATCGGAATAATCAGAATGTATGAAAATTAAATGATTGCAAAATAAGATTGATGAATATTCTTTCTCACGGCATTTTAATATTCTAAAATAAACGGGTAATTAATATCGTAGCGTAAAATAAGTAATACAATTGAGGGAAAAACGTTGAATTTAGGGAAATACGTTAAAATGGAGAATGGATAAACCGGATAAACCATGAGCATATAATTCAAGATAAATATTCATATTGTTTTTGAGGTTGGGTTAGTTCCAGGAAGTGAGTGTGGCTGCAAATATTTTAGAAAGAAGATTTTGTTTAGTTTTCCAGAAATGGTGCGAGCGAGAGCATTTTGCCTGGTGCTTGCCACTTTTCTGGCAATGAGGCCTGGACTTGCATTGAAAATTTTCAGTTTATCCAGCATTGGCACCAGATATTTTAAAGATTCGCAAGCTGGGATCATCACTGATCATGGCATTCAGGCAAGTTTCCACTTATTTTCACTTACATAATTTTGTCAATAGCGAATCTCAAATAATTAAATAATGCATTTTTCTTTATAATTTTTATAAAAATATTTATTCTTAAATTAGAAAATACTTGAATATTTGTGAGAATATTTTGGACCTATTTTTTTGTAGGTGCCACGGCGTCCACCACCAGTTGACATTGACTTAACCGCGAATTCTCGCCAACTTCATAATGTGGAGTGGCACACAAAACACAATATTCCTCTTCCGCCGCAATCTTCTAACAAATCCATCAACACAACAAAACCCACCAATTGCAACTGCAGTAAGTTCAACGTTTTTATCGTTTTTTTTTTTAACTTCATCATTTTTTAATATAAACTTCAGTTGACTAGATTTTGAATTTTAATGAAACAAAATAATTTCATAGCATGTGGTGTCAAACAAGATGCTTTCAAGGTTGACGATCCTGGTGAACCGCAATTTCGTATACTCGGAGGGAGGGAAGCCCATTTGCACGAATATCCGTGGATCGTCAGGATGGCAGAGAAGGGTCGTACTTTCTGCGGTGGTGCATTGATAAGCGCCGAGTATGTCCTGACTGCCGCCCACTGTTTGACCAAGTAATTCTTTTTCATTTACCTGAAATGTTTTTAAACCGCCTAAAATACCTATTTTTTTTCTATAGTCGAAGGAAAGAAAATGTTCAGGTGGTGATTGGTGACCACGATCAAACAATAAATTCCGAAACAATACACACGATGATGCGTCCCTTGTCTCAAATTCATGTTCACAAGCAATACAATGCGCAAACGCACGTAAACGACATCGCTCTATTAAAACTGAGGAAACCTGTGAAATTCAACGAAGGAATTCAACCAGCCTGTTTGCCTAGTTCTGCTAGTAAGATTTGATATGATTTTGTGATTTAAACAATTAGTTGTATAAAAATACAAAAAATGAATTTGTTTTCAAGCTTTGGATCCTCCTGCAAGAATGGGAGAAATCGCTGGCTGGGGGAGAACAATGGAGAAGGGAATGGGTTCTGACAGAATTTTGCGGGTGGAGGTGCCACTGTTGTCCCAGAAGGAGTGTCGGATGATGATGATAGGACCCGAAAAAATCACTGACGAAATGCTATGTGCAGGCGCAAAAAACAAGGATTCTTGCCAAGTATAAAAATAAATAAATAAATGATTTTAAACTATTTGAAAAGCATAATTTTTAAGAGCTTTTTAAATAAACGGTGGTGATTTTATTTTCAGGATGATAGCGGTGGCCCACTTATTGTTCAGAACCCAAAGAAGGGAAAACACGAAGTTCACGGTAAGAGAAATATTGCATTCAAAATAGGCTCTTATTTGTATGATTTTGATCTGTACTCGTTTTAGGCATTATTTCTTGGGGCTATGGCTGCGGACGCGAAGGTTTTCCTGGCATTTACGCAAGAGTTTCTAAATTCATCGATTGGCTTAAGAGTAAAATGCCCAACGCCTGCCTTTGTACATAAATCAATCACTCAATAAAATGTTTGCGCGCGGATCTGCCAATTTGTGCATGACAAAAACACTCTAGTGTCCTACATCACCGTCGTAGAGTGTATGAGCAAATAGCAAACCAGCGGCAAAGAAAGAGAAATTCACACCGTAATAATTATTGTCTGTTGAGTCGTGGCGTTCTTACCTTCTTTTTCTCAAAACTTTATATTATTCCTCACACCTCAACTTCATAAAAAAAAAAAAAATAAATAACAATCAACCCTCAAATGCAAAACACAAAATAATTCAATTTTTCTATAGTTGATATGGGCAAAATATATTGAATTTAAAAAACACGTAAAAAGGGAAAAGGAAATTATGGAATAATATTCTGTTATTTGCTTTTTGATTTTTTTTTTTCAAAATACACGCCAATAATAATAAAAAATTTAATCAGAATCATTCTGGAAAAGGTATATCACACTATTAAAATTTTACCTCTTGCTGAGATGGATGTAATCAATTTATTAATTTTTATTAAGGAATTCGTTAGAAGATGAAGATCAAATATAAATAAATTTTCGAGAAATATGAATGAATTTATTGTAACTCGTTTGCAGCCTAGAACATCGAAAGTACAAGATCAAATAAGCTTGAACGTGTGGCTTCTTCTCGTTGCTTCAAAGCACTGCCTTAAGCATAATGAGTGTCATTGTCAAGGGTGTGTTGCATAACTGGAGTCAAAGCGCAGCGTAAGTTCTTAGTCACGGGGACATTGTCATTAATTTGTTTCATTTCTCATCTCGCAATTAAAAGGCAATCGATGACTTTCCAAAAGATTTTGGGCATTTGCGTGCACCAAATTAGTCACGAAGAAAATACTGAAATGGACTAACGGATAAAAAAAGCGTGTGAAAAACAATCGAACATTGTTAGATTGGACGGGGCAGACGCCTCTGGGTAATAATGAGGGAACAAGGTCAATGCTTTCTAATGCCAAGGACAGAAATACTCAAGGGATTGCGGCGTGTGCACTCCACGCTCGCACCGGCTGCCGGCCGGAGCCTCTTTCAAAATCGGCAATTTTAACCTCTGATGTAGAAAATTCCCAGAAACTCGTAAGTGGAAAGCACCAAAATGAGAGAAAACCCGCAGATTGGTCAATTTAGCAATTATTGCGGATTCTGGACAATCAGTCGATTAATTGATAATTACAGTCTGTTAACAATGTTAATTAATGCAGTTGAGTTTTCTAAAAAGTTTTTTTTTTATAAATAATAATGTAAAGTTTTAAAGTTATTTTTTATTTTTACTTCTCTGACCTTCTCACATGGCGCAGATTTGCAAATCCATTTATGGTGAACTGTGACCCATATTTGGGAATAATTTTGCTTTTAATGGCCAGTCGATGTTAATGAGCTGGATGGACGGAGAAGTGAGACGAAGAGATGCGGTGGAAAGAGAATTTTGAGAGTGCGAGTGAGAGTTGAGGCTTGCGATGTCAGTCTCGCAAGTCCGCTCGCCCGAGCTTGGTTTGCCTTGCTTTCCTCCTCTCCGCGCCGCAAGAAGAAAGTAGAAATTATTATTTATATATGGAACTAAACGCGAGGCGGCAGTCATCAAGAAATGGCTCAAAAGCAGAGCAGCACAACCTTTTGCCTTCTCTGCTCAGCGGTGTTTGTACTTACGCTTATGGTGCAGCAAAATTTGGTGCTCAGTGGTCTAGTCAACGATAACTTCAAGCACTGGCGCAACAATGATAAGCTGCTCTCGCTCAACAATCACGCAGTCAAATCTTACAGCGACCACAAGGTAAGAAAAATGATGTTAAAAAAAATACCACAATTATGTCCGTTCAAATTGTATTTTTTTTCCCAATATGTGGAAAAATAAATGTAACAAATTGAAAGAAAAATGGAAAAAAAGGTACAGCTGAATTGTAAAAATTGGATTTTTTTAAATATATTTTTGTCAAATTAAAATATGCATAATTATCATATTTTTTTTTTGTAATTGAACATATCAAATCAATCATCATCTCTATCAAAAAAATCTCTCTCAATCCCTCTGGTTTTTGCTAGAAAAATGTGGTCATTTCCGCGAGGCAATTGATCTTGACATTCAATAATTTTTCTTAATTTGTTCAGAAAAATTACAAACTCTGGTACTGTTGGTCTCACATTAAGACATTAATTGTAAGTTGTAAAACTTGTAATTTATTTTTAAATAAACCGATTGAGAGCACCACCGTCAGAGCAGGTCCATAAAAATATTTTATTGCAAGCACTTTTAAAAATCAGCTGGTGGTGTGAAACTTCAAGCAGGACCTGCTAATAACGCTAATTACGCGAGGCGTTTAATCACCATCTGCTATAGAGCCGCTTTGTTTGCGATCGCGTGCTCGGCGCAGATGAGTTTCACTTTTTTGTCGTCTAATAAACACGATTGTTTCGCTCCATAGCACATATACCGTATCATCGCAACGCGCAGCTGCTCAAAAGTAGATCAATTCGCATTTGCATGGGAGAAAACAATGTGAAACGATAACATACAAAGTTAAATTGAGCGCGTAAATCACGCTAGAACGAAACGAATGGATCAAAGTAAAAAAAGAGGAAAATATTATATAGATCACCGATTGTGTCGCGTCGGCCTCGATGCCTTTTTCGCGCATCGAGAGTGAAATTTCTTTAAATGTCACGCCGCACCAGCTGCAGTAATAATTAAACCTAATCGGCGGCTATTTTCCTTTGGAACGAACTAGGAAAGATACTTTTTCACCTCGAATTACTTGGTTCCTATGTTTACAACACGTTTAACTGACTGCCCCAAATTTCTCTAGCTATATTAAGAAATTAAATAAATATCTACTGGCCAGATCCGTGTTGGGCAAAACTTGACTGTGATTTAGAAGTATCTCACTAAACGATGCGTCAAAATATTCGCGCAGGTTTTCATCTCAAGTCGAACCTTGCAAAGAAGTTGATTAGAGAGTGAAATTCAGTATGTATCACCTACATTCTCACACATATATGCAAGCGTATATACATATGTATGTATGTACTTAAAGGGAAAAACTGTTATTATACCTTCCTTGACCTTGAGAGAGAGATTTTTAAAGTACAACGCGTACGACGCTGTGAGACCGACAGGCTTTCATTTACAAAAAAATATGCATTAAAAATAAATCATCAATGTTCAAAGAAATTTAATTATAATTTTCTTTTTTAACACGTCTTACTTTACTTTAAATAAATTATTAAAAATTTATTTTCACTATCTTGAAAATAAAATGTGTGGATTTATTAACTTATCGATGTATTATATTTTTCTGTTTAGCTGCAAATGTCAAGGAGAAACAACTCAGACAGACTATTCTTAGATGATTTTTTTAATCTTTTTTCCAATGCTGCCTCAGCAGCCATCGTTGACGGAGACGATAGCGATGATGATGAAGAAGACACGTTCAGGAATTGCACTTGCAGTAAGTTTCATTAAATTGTATCTACATTTAATAAAAATTCATTTTGGCAAAACTTTCAACCATAATTAATAAACATTTCACAAAATTTTGATATAAAAGAACTATAACTCTTCAAGTAAAATAAAGAAAAAATTTTTTTTTTATTCTTCTTCGTTCCAACAAATGTAATAAAAAACTGTTAGATATTGAGCTCCCTAAATTTTGTTAAATTGTAAAATTAAATATTTTCATCTTAAAATAATTTCAATTCGCAATAACAAAATGAATATCTTTTCTGCAGACTGCGGTGTAGTGAATCAAGAAACCAGAATTGTAGGTGGCCAGATAACTGGGATTCATCGCTATCCCTGGGTTGCGAGACTTGTCTACGATGGACAATTCCACTGCGGCGGTTCACTTTTGAACGCTGATTATGTACTTACAGCTGCTCACTGCGTCAGAAGGCAAGCACAAATTTTGATAGATAAAAATGTGAATTTAATCGGTTGTTAACCTTTGCGTTGACGTAGGTTGAGACGATCCAAGTTCAAAGTGGTTTTGGGCGACCATGACCAATTTTCGACCACCGAATCGCCGGCAGTGATGCGCGCGGTTTCGGCCATCATCAGACACAAGAACTTCGACGGCACAAACTACAACCATGACATCGCCCTCCTGAAACTTCGGAGGCCTGTCACCTTCAGCAAACAGGTGCGACCTGTCTGTCTCCCCTCCTCAGGTAAATATTTTTCTAGAAAACGCCGCTTTTGCGATAGCTTTTATCATATTGAGCATGGCCAAGGAAATTTTTAAAAGCATAGAAAGTTTTTAAAATTTCAATGACACATAAAAATTTTCAATTAATTATACTTTTAAATTTAATAAAAATAATTAATTTTCAGGGACGGATCCACCAGCAAAATCAGGAACGGTGGTCGGTTGGGGTCGTACGTCAGAGGGTGGGGTCATACCTTCGCATGTAATGGAGGTGCAGGTGCCGATTTTGTCACTGTCCGACTGCAGAAAAATGCAGTACAGGCCGTCGAGAATAAGCTCGTACATGCTCTGTGCCGGAACTGCAAACAAAGATTCTTGCCAGGTGACATTTTAAAACTAAATAATTATACTTCTGCAAGATTTGAAAACAATTTTTTTCAATTGCTCAGGGCGACAGTGGTGGTCCCTTACTGATCCAGAACGGAGCCAAATATGAAGTTCATGGTGACAATTTTAAATGAACAAAGGTGTAACAAGATAAATAACGTTTCCATTGTTTAGGAATCGTGTCCTGGGGAGTTGGCTGTGGGCGTCCCGGCTATCCCGGCGTTTACACACGAGTGGCCAGATACTTGGAGTGGGTCAAGCGGAACATGCGTGATTCTTGCCAGTGCGTTAAATAAATTATTTCATCTCATGACTTTAACAATCTAGACAAGTGTGAGTGAAAAAATTATGCTTATACGTTTGAATGTACAATTATACGAGTGATGTGTGTTGCGTGCAAACCGAGCGGCAGAGACTCGAGCTGTGAATTTCGGTTGAATATTTATGAGAAAACTCTTGTACAGATAATTATTATCACCACGATTTAAATTTAAGCGTATTCTTTGTCAGGGAATTTTAGGCATTTCACTTGTAGAACATGTTCTTAACAATATATAATTATTTAATGTTAAACTAGTACTGTAAATGTTTTTCTTTGTACCGCAGTCCCAACTGACGCAATTAAATTCCACTGTGAGAATCATTTAGAGAATCTCAATTTTTGAATATATCGCTTATCATGAGACGCGTTGACAGACAATAAATTATTCATGAAGCGACAGCATATTTATTGTAACTAGCGAGAGACTATCTAGCAAAATGAGCTGCTGGTCAACGCTCCTTTGCAAGGCGATAAGCCTACACGGAAACGCCATATCCAATTCATCAAAAAGAACAGATAAATTCTGCGCACCTTATCTCAATTCCCCGGCAGCGGAGGTGCCGCAATTTTGTTGGCAAAGTGCTATTGATAAAAAAGCAAACAAACAATAACTGACTGATGCAAACAATAATTTCTTGGCGGAAGGTCACGCAAATATTGCAGGAGTGCCTCGGACTGATAAGGGGAATACCGTTGCTCGGGCGCTTTTGGTAATGAAATGGCACGGCGTGATTTTTTTTTTTATCAAAAAGTCAAAATCTTTTTAGACGGCCTCGTTCCAAAAAGCAGCGAAATTTCCACAAAAGTAGTGTAAAGGTTGGGGGAGGAGCGCGTAGCTTTCAGCGGGTACAATATTTTAATAAGAAGTGGACAATCGCGCGTGCATAATTATGATAAAACTGAGGACATAAATCAAGGAAGCGCCCCACACATGCGCCAGTCCATCTTGAGGCGAGAGTGTCGTGAACATGCCTCGACTTTTGCCCATTGCGGTGTTTTTCCACTTTTCTATTCAAGGTAGGTGTAAATTTTATGACGGCCAAATTTCAGAAGCACGCCGTAATCTCAAACTCTGAATGTTTAAATTGAACCTAATTTGTTCTTTTTGGTGTAAATAAAGATTGAAAATTTGGGAAAAAGAGAATCTGGGGTTTAATTGATCTTATAAGTTTAATTAAATTATTTTTCCAAAACATACGTTATATTTAGATTTATTTATTTATTTGTAATAGGAATGGAAAATTTTAAATAATTTCAAACTTTAATAGTATTTAATAGCAATAGAAGCATAATAAATATTTACGGCTTTGATATTTATATTCCATTTTTCAAGTGGCATACAAATTTAAACAGTTCTTTGGCTCTTGAATTAATTTAGGTGGTTCGTGTTTAAATAATGCAAAATTTGACAGCATTGGCTAGGCCAGGCTTGGAAATACTTCCTCCAGTGTTAGCTCCTGTGGGCGCAGATGACGAAGATTACGACAACGAAATTGAAGATTCGTTTTCTTCATTGCAAGCAAGTCCTGCAGATGGACTCGAATGGATGCTTTTGCCAGGGGCTAATGGCGAAGTTCACTTGGCCGTTTTGTCGCCGCCTCCCGCGATGGATGCCGCAATGAGATACATGAGACCAACAGACGTGGAATTTTTCCTTTATACCAGGTATATGAAATCTACGGACCGTGAATTGAATGTCAAGAATTAAAATATTTTTCAAATTTTTTCGTCACTTTAAAATTCTTTCTAATTTTTTTTTCAGAGAGAATGCAGACACTCCCGAAAGGGCATATTTTCAGAAATCGTGCAAACCAAATTTCAAGTACTTTAAATCAAGCCGGCCAACAAAAATTCTAATTCACGGATTTGGAGACGGCGTGAATACATCTCTGATGTACCCGATTCTCAAAGAAGGTTTGAGTATGTTGTTTAAAAACAGATTATAGCTAAAAAAATTTATCCCCAGCCTTCCTCACAAAGGAGGACGCGAACGTTTTCTTGGTCGATTGGTCGCAGCTGGCGGGCACCCCTTGGTACAAAGCGGCCGTGGGCAACACGCGTTACGTGGGCCGCAGAGTTGCATACCTCATCGAGCACTTGGCCAATTCGACCGGCGCGAACGTGGTCGATTTTCACATCGTTGGGTTCAGTCTGGGGTCGCACGTAGCTGGAATTGCTGGAGCGAGGGTCGCTTTGCTCACTGGGCAAAAGCTAGCGAGGATAACAGGCGAGAAATTGCCTTATTTGAAATATGTCAAGATTAAATTTTCTATTCAGGCCTAGACCCTGCGAGCGTTTTATACAGCGGCTCACCGTTGGACGAAAGACTAGACTCAACCGACGCTGAGTATGTGGAAGTGGTGCACACTTCGGGTGGTTATTTGGGCTATTTAGACCCTATTGGTAAGGTCGATTTCTTTCCAAACGGCGGCTCCTGGCCTCAACCGGGTTGTTTTATGGATTTTGTAGGTAATTATAATTTATTAAATTAGGTAGATAGATAATTTTTTTAAACACATCACGTGTACAACTTTACAGGAGGAGAAATAGAATTTAATTATATAATAATTATAAAATTAAAAATTACATAATTGCAGAAAAATTGTAAAGGCAAAATAAAACTTTTAATTTAAAATGAAGTTTATTAGTGTGCCACAAGCCACAAGGCCAATTTTTAAATATGCAAAATAAATCGGACAAAAAGACAAAAATCAACAAGCTCATACATTTGCCTCAAAACTTTTCGGTAAAAAGCAAAAAATTTAAATTGTCTCTGTTCCTATTTAAATAATTGAAATTCTAATTTGATTATTACTTGTGTACTTTTAGTATCTAACAGGGTCCTCATTTTGTTTCAGCTGTTTGTAGTCACCGGAGAGCCTACTACTACTTTGCAGAAGCGCTCTTGACAGATAATGGTTTCAAAGCCGAATCTTGCTCGTCTTGGCACGCCTATGAGCTAGACAACTGCCCTGAATCGAATGACGTATACATGGGAAGCCATGCGCTTCCTGATAATTCCGATAGGTGAAGTTTCTTAAGTGCAATAATTACAGCTCAGTGTTCTAATAAAAAGTTTTCACACAGTTTAAGTGGCAATTACTTCATGAGAACAAATTCAGAAGAGCCGTACAACGCGGAACTATAAGGAATCCTAAAAGCCACGCAAAACCAAAGTTGTGAAATCCAAGACGCTTGGATCAAAACCTACAATTAAGTTTTTTAAGCTCACGTCAAACCTTTTCTGTTCCTTAATCCATTTCTAGGTAATCTCAAAAAACACTACTTGCTGATATTTTCAATACAATGAAAGGCGTACAAAGTCTATAGCATAAATATTTCATAAAATGCTGTTTTACCAGTTTGAAATGGTTGTAAAAAATTTAAGAAATTTAAAAAAATATGAATGTATTTGTAAGCTAATAAATCTGGTCACATAAAAACAAATCAAGTTTTTACTTCTTGTTGTTGGACAATTTATTTCGTTTAAAGGTGAAAATAAAGATGATTATTATTTAATTTACTTTATTTTATTCATCCACATTTGTCTATTAAAAAATTCCAGGAGCGCAGTCTCTATAGTATTTGTATAGCATATTATGGCAATTAAATAAATATGATAAATAAATCATTCAAGAAATTTGCAAATATGAAAATAAAAAAATCACCGAAAATTAAAAAAAAAAATTAAGCTATAATTATGCTTCTTCTTTTCATTTTAAATTATCATTATATGGATGCAGAATTGCAGATAACTTTTGTCAAATTTTAATATCACATAATTAATGAAAATAATTCTTAATACGGTTTTATTATGTCTGATCAATGTCTCTAAAATTGACAAAAACCAAGTCATTTTTTCTTTCAAGTAAAGTAATTTTTTCTGAAAACCTTTCTTAACTTCTGATATTATTTTATCCTTTGGGTTTCTACAATTTAAACATTTAAAGGCTTAAAATTTCGGAAATTGTAAGAAATTTTGGTGTAAAAGAAACATACATGTTATGAGAAAGGGACTATGGCGTGTTTACTTTTGTCAGATCATAAGGAAAAGGTTCATTGTGGTTATGCGCTGTGCGTACACTTTTTTTGAAAGTGCAATGTCTGATTAGAATTCAAGTCAAGTTGGCACTTTCCGCTCCAGATTTAGGTTGTTGATATTAAATTTTGCTAATTGTCACATGGACTTGGACACGGTAGACGAGTGAGAGTGGAGGAAAATATAAAAGTAATGTGTGGTGGGTGCCAAAGCAGCGCATTATTTATTGTTTCTCTGGCAGTCTTCGAAGCAATTACACGGTATCAACATGCCTTCGGCAGTAAATTACTCTTATCCCGTGACAGTGACTCTTGTGATCATTGCCTTCGTCTTACTATCAACACATGCATTGCCTCAATTTTCAGGTGAGCAATATTCCGTATTAGAAAAACACAAAAGAAAAATTCTCATTTACTATTTCATGAAGATCTAGACAAAACTCTAAATTTAATGTTTTAGCAAACTCGAAAAAATCAATATCACGTTTTTTTATTGTAAAATTTGCAAAATTCTTAATTATATCCCAAATTTTTAAGAATGCTTGTTAAAAATGCACCTTAAAAGTTTAAATTTTTAATGCATAAATAAGTGCATTTAATGACATTATAGTCTAATTAAACAGGTCATTAGAAACTTTCAGATTTCGCTAACTTGTCACACGTCGCGAGTCAGTTTGCACAAACGGTGCATGTCATGATTAATGATGTATATTTATTATCAATGACAGCTTACCACCTCGCAATACACAACAAAAAAGAAAATTAAAAGCTCTTCTTAGATAACATAGCGGAATTCCATTAGCTTGTCGTGAAGTGCTAATATTTCTGAGAAAAATGTCTGGTGAACCCGTCTCTCGACTTTTTACTTCACTTCTATTTACATATTTTTTTGTTATTAAATAGGAATTTATTCAGACGATGCAGAAGGTCTGGAAAACGCTAATTTGCCAGAAGGAGAGGCGCAAGAAGAAATACTCGAGAACAGGGATCTCCGAGACTGCTTTACAACAGATTTAGAGTGCCCCAATGAAAACGTCACCTTTCACTTGTACACCAGGTAAAGTCATCTACTGACTCCAAAGTACAAGAAAAAAAACATGATTAACGCTTAATTACCTTTCAGAAGTAACCCTGAGACCCCATATGACTTAAAATTGGATGACAAGAGCATAAGAAATGCTCCGTTTGTGAAAGATAGGCCTATCAAAATTTTAATTCATGGTTTCACTGGCAACAAAGACTTTTCACCAAACACAGAAATCAGGCCAGGTACTTTTTTGCAACAAATAAACGTATATTTATGCGGTGCATTTGATGTTAATAAACGGATTATCTCTTTGATTAAAATCATAATTGTGAAGAATAAACGATAATACTAATTATAATAATTAACAGGCTTGCACTGAATCAACAGTTGGATTTTTAAATATCTTTTAATAGTATCGAATTTTCTTTAGCTTTGTTGGAGCATGGAGATTACAACGTTATATCCGTTGATTGGGGGAAACTGGCTGCATCTCCTTGTTACTTACAGGCCACCTATAATGTAGAAGCATCTGGCAAATGCACGGCGCAATTGATTGAAGTGCTAGTGCGTAATTATCATGTACCCCTCAAGTCCATTCACGTGATTGGATTTAGTCTTGGAGCACAAGCGTCAGGCCAGGTGGCGAAGTATCTCAAAGAAAACAACGTTGGGAAATTGCGGAGGATAACTGGTTACCTAATTCAAAATTGTTTCCTCATTAAAAAATTTAAAGACGTGCTTTCTTCATTGATTTAGGATTGGATCCAGCAATGCCCCTATTTGCCACATTGCATAGGTCGTCAGTTTTGGACAGAAGCGACGCGCATTTTGTTGACGTCATTCATACTAATGCGGGAAATAAAGGTAAAATATAATTTTTACAAGCACAAATAAAATAGAATTCGAGCGAATAATTTAAAATTAGGAAAACTCGGTCCGAATGGTCACGTAGACTTTTACGTTAATGGAGGAACGGTCCAACCAGGGTGTGCTGGACCAGAAGTCTATGGTAACTTTCTAACTTGATTTAGTATGCTTTCAATTTAATTTGTAACCCAAGACCCGGCAAGCTGTGCTCACGCAAGGGCGCCGATTTATTACGCCGAATCTATCGGCACCAGTATTGGCTTTTGGGGCAAGGAGTGTCGAAGTTGGCTGGCTTTCCGATCTAACCTGTGCGACTGGTCCACAGACAGCATAGCTCTCATGGGTGAAAACGCCGACTCGAGGTAGAATGACATTAAATTTTGGCAATTTTTACATATTCAGTATAATTTATAGAAAGCATGGGCAGTTTTTTCTGGATTCGCAATCTCATTCACCATTTGCTATGGGTATTGAAAATATGTATGGAAAAAACTACTCGCCAAGAAATGCAAACGCAACTTTAAAATAAAATTTTTTATATTGTTGGAGGAATAAATTAAATATTTTCAGATCTGTTTCTTTCATTTTATTATAAAAAACTTAGAAAAATATGAGGTTTTTTTGTATTTTGTGGTAACTTAAGGTGAGCATTTGTATGTACACAATTATAGCAAAATTAAGAGCTGGTGCGTTTTACAACTTTGGTATAGACAAAAATACAGCCTGACATTTGAGAGTTAATGGCTCCGTCTTCTGTACTTCCGTCCATGTTGAACAAAGTGATTGTTGTTCGTGGCATAACCAAAGTCGTACTGGCCAGGAGCGTTCTGTAACAATAAGAAGAATTATTTTATTTTATTTTTATAGTAAAAATAATCAAAATTTTAATAAATATGCAACCTGCCACGCTAGCATGCCGAGCCGGTTGCATAAAACTGAAAATTTATGCTTACATTTTGCCACTCTTGTCCTTTGCTTTCTTCGATGCTTTTGAAGTAAGCTTCATCGGCCAGTTTGCTCTGCTGGAAGTTTACCAAGGGAAGGGACTGCTCGTGCTGAACTTGAGGCTCGTAGGTGTTGGCGTGAACGATTTGCTGCTGTTCTGTGTGAACGTTGTGACTAGTTTCGGCTGCTTGAGGAGTAATGTGGAGGGATTTGTAGCGAGAAAAAGAAGTGCCAGATGCATCTGCGCCAGAATTGTGGTTGACGACAATGTTAAAGTTGCCTTGATCATTTGATTCTGATTTAAAATTATTGAATTCCGGCACGTTAATCAAAAATTGAGAGGCTTCAAGATTTGGGTTAGCCGCAATATTTTTCAAAGATTGAGCGGCAAAGTTCCAGCCCTGAAGGTTTGCGCCGTAGAAAATTTCAGGAGGGAAAGCAGGGGCCTCAGGCTGCTCAGCCGCGGGAGCTGAGGGTGGAATTTCAGGTGCAGGGTGAGACGCGGCAGGCTCGGCTGGGGGAGCAGGGTGCTCATAGGCAATAGTAGTAGGTGGTTCTGGGGCTGCAGTCGTGGTAACAGGAGCGGCAGTTGTGGTAACAGTGGCGGCAGTGGTTGTGGTTGGTGGCAGCGTCGGCGCTTCGGTGATGACCACAACAGGTGTGGCGGTCGAAGGTGGTTCTGGAGCGGCAGTGGCCACAACTTCTGGGGCCGGGGCGGCAGGAGCAGCAGCTGGAAGATTCTGGCTGAGCAGAGCCTGCAGGAAGTTGAGAGCGTTTGAGTTGAAAAGATTTCCGGCCAAACTCTGGGCAGGCAGGGACTGCTGGCTAGATCCCAAGTTCAGGAAGCCGCCGTGCGTGATGATCGGCTGGACGGCGATGATTCCTTGAGGAAAACCCTGGCTGGGCTGAATGCTGAGTACTTGGGGCTGAAGAGCAGCAGGGGCGGGAGCAGCAGCTGGGATGATCTCAGGAGCAACAACGATCATGGGCACTTCCGGGGCGGGAGGTGCAGGAGCGGGAACCTCCGGGACTTCAGGGATCTCAACGGCCGGGGCTGCAGTAGTGGTTGGGGCTGCTGTGGTTGTGGGGGCAGCAGTGGTTGTAGGTGCAGCAGTGGTGGTCGGAGCGGCAGTGGTTGTGATTATGGGTGGCAAGGTAGTGGGCGCCTGAGTTGTTACAGGAGCAACAGGGTATTTAGGAATAGGTGCAGAAGGCACAAAGGGAGCCGGGGGAGCCACAGGTGGCCGCTGAACCTCGTTCAGAACAACGTTTCCATTTGTCGTGTAGTAGGGGATGAAGCCTCGTTGGGTTTTGATGGTTGGTGACACGCCAAGGTATTGCGAGTGGCGCAGGTTTTGGGTCAGGACGAACTGCCGGCTGTCAGGGTATCGCAGAAGGTGTTGCCTTCGCACATGAACCGTGGCAGCGGGCCCAGAGTTCAAGGGGAATAAGAACGATGAGCATGGTGAAATGAAGAGGAAAAGGATAGCTGAAGCCACCTGAAAAGATAAATTTACAAATATAATAATTAATAATGTTTGAAATTGTATTTTTTAAGTGTTAACGAAAAAAAATATAAGCCATAGAAGTTTCAGATATATTCCAATAACTCGATTGATTAAAACAATTTTTAAAATGCAAATGACTAATCTTCTAAATTAAACTTATTAAATCTCACTTACAAAAAATTAATAAAATGAATTGTTGAAATAAGTTCAAGTAAAATTCTAAATAGTAAAAACATAAGAATTATTTTTCTTCTTCAAATTTTTAGATTTCATTAAATTTTGTTTAAAAAATATTTACAGTAAAGCCAAGAAAACACTGCAAAGTATAACTGTATATTTAGCGTGCATGTAAATAAAGCGAATTGCAAACTGACCTTTACTTTGCTAGGCCGGAGCTCCATCGTGATTGTCGACCAGGTGAAAAGTACAAGAAAAACCACCACATTTCTCCTATTTATAAAGAGTGCTCAGGAAGTGGTGACACTTGCGAAGTGGTAGTATTCAACGTGATTTGATCTCCCACGACCCCACCTCTACAGGATGAAATTGTTCTAAATTTAGCACTCGTTGGAAAACGAGTAGCCCCTTGCTCAGTTAATTATTCTTCACGGAACTTTCTTCTTTCCCCTAAAACGCGACAAGATTCGATATTCTCTCCAAATGAATTCAACAGGCGGGGAGCTCACATGCATTTTTTTTCTTTACGACATACACTCCTACCCAACCCAGAGTACATAGGAGCTCGTGTGTACTCAAATGCTATAGCCAATAGGAGTCGCGTTACACCGTGCTTTGTAATTGATCCGCAATTTAGCAAGCCTCTCAATATATCCAATTAGTTGAATTCAAGGCACAAGTAAATAAAGCTTTTTTTATGGTACGTCTCGCTAGTTGCTGCAGGAACCAGTTTAATGTATTTTAGGGAAATCTCTCTGCCAGGCATTCAAGTACACACTACGACGCCTGCTGGTCCGGTCTTTTTTTATCTGAATAGATCTTTTAAATAAATTTTCAAATATTCTTAAGTCAATGCGAGTCATGCAAAGTAGCCTCTTGTGCTAATGCTTTGCTCCGGGCTATTTGCTCTGTAGATTGCGTGAGTGGGATATTTAATTGATCAATCTCCCATTTCCTTGATTTTCTTTGCTAAATAGTAAAAAGTAAACTGCAAATCAAATTACTCATTACTGAAAAAAGTTTTAACACTTGTTAATAAAAATTCGGTGTAGTTTTTTAATGCCTAATATTATTGGGTTAATTAACTTTTTTATTGTGGATAGGGCACAGCTCCCCCATGTAGGTTAATAATGATTACAAAAATGAGTAGTTTCAAGTTTACAGTAATATTAATTTGAGTGGCGTTGAGTTCAATTTCATTTGTCAAACTGAAATCACTAATTCACGTTGCTTTCTAGAGGTCAGTAAATAGTACTAGCGCAGAAAACAGACAGCTGACTTATTGATTGGTTGATTGATTTACTATTTCACATTCCACTTAAGGAGGGTCGCTTTAATAAGAAACATGTGCTCTTGATTAAGGTCTGTCTAGCCAACAAGATTTGCCGCCTGCTAGCAACTACTCGTGAGTTTTCTGCAGTGAGAAAGTTTGTCCATTTTCTTGGCATCTAGATATGATCTTATTAAATGAATTAAAATTCAAAGAAAGCGCGAAGTTCATAAAAGGCGAATCATGTTCATATTCAGCCATGTTATTGCAGATCCAAATAAGCAATTTAAAAGCCCCCGTGGTTACGTTAAAATATGTTAGTTTTGGTGAAGTAGGATGTTTTATTTACAATGAAAATTAATAAAATCTGTTTGGAAAATAAAACATTTTTTACAACAATATTTAATTACGATAAAAGCTTTTGCAATTTTTAGTAACCAACAAACGCGCAGAGTCATGACTACAGTGGTAAAAAATGAGCAACTAGCGGCAAGGTATATTTTTTTATATATTTAAATAACAGATATATAATTAATTAAGACATTTTTTGCACCAAAATATTAAAAATGCCTCATTAGGGCAGGCACCGGCGAGATTCAAACTAACAATCTCAAATTTACTAGACAGGAGCTTTAACCAACGAAGCCACTGCGCCGTTGTGTGGAAATTGCCAAAAATGTAATCTTGTTGCAAAGCGCATTCAAACTTAAAATTTTAATTGCACTCGGAAGATACTTTGAAATTTAATCTTTTCAATGCATTGTTTATTTTTCACTAATCAGTTTATTTATTTATTCTCCATTCGATACAGTCATGTCATGAATACAGCAAAAAAAAAAACTATACAGAAAAAGCTGAAAATACATTTTAAAAGAGACATACTGTTAATAAGGGGTGAAGGGTGAATTGAGAAATGGCTTTTCGCTAGCAAACAACTTGCTAAAGCACAGGACCCTCTCCTTCGAAAGAGAGCGTACCGGCCGCTAGAGCCATCAAAAAAAAGGGGGGGGGGGAAAATATTACTACACACTAAAATTTTGCCACAAGTACGCCTTGCACAGAGATGGAAACTGTGCCGCGGTACTACCCTTTACTCAGGATAAGAAATTACAAAATGTGAAGTAAAGTAACAAAACCTCTAGCTAAAAAAATAACTTTAGTAGCAAAGTGTCTTTATTGATTGTATCAGAAGGCAATTACTGCCCAGGTACATCATACATACTTTAACTTTAAAACGCGGGGGAGAAGTCTGCGCTGAAATTGACCGTAAATGAATTAACGTGTATCAAGAAATAATCACTCAAAAAATTCTGCTGCCACACAAGGCTTTTGCAAATGAATCAAGTAGTATGTAAGAAGACGCAAGGAAATTTTGCTTGGGGATCAATTTGCAACACGAAAGCTCCAGCAGGCCCCTAATAAATTTGTCCTACCCATGCATGTTTTATTATTTAGCACGCAAGAGTGATGTGTGTGGTCAACGGCGCCCACGTCATAAGTGGAAAATTTTGAAGCTTCATTTAACTCAATTATGCTGACACTTAAATTACATTAACAAGCACCTCTGGACTTGAAAGCGAGCGAAAGTTAAAGATCGCGAGCAAATTATACAAAAATTATGAATGATTTACAAACTTTTTAACTATTGTACCCTCCTAAATATGCTAATCAGTCAATTTCCAATCAGTCTTGTAATATTATATTAGCAATAGCATAAATAGTTATGATCCTAAAATATTTTTAATTTCAATAAGCAATTTTATGGAAATTCCAGGTTATTTTTAATCGAATGCTATAAATTATAGTCGGGTCATAATATAGTGCCAATAGTCATGCACGAATGAAGATAATACGCATAAATTTATTTACATATCAACAGATTTATTAAGATATAAAATTTCCATTTGGATCTCAGCCAACTGCTGTGAAATATATGTGGTCAATTAGCAAGCTTGATAAATAGAGTGAAAATTCTTTAGCTGCCAACCTGGGAGGCTCGCTTTATTTAAAATAACACTTATATCATTTTTTCAGTGGCAATAAACGCCTCAATAACCATAAAATGAACTGCGTGATGCGAAAGAAAACGGAAGTCGGCAGTAGGTACTTTGCCTGCAAAGATTCAGTATTTAAGTTCAGGAAAATGCTTTCACATCGCTGCTTGGCGACATTTTTTGTAGCTTGTTAAAGGAAAAGCAATAAATAAAGCGCACGAGTACTCCAGTAAGCGAGACAATCTGGTTTTCACCCTTGCTTTTATTTTGCAAACCAGTTCTCTACATCCAAAGAAGCATTCCTGCGAAGAGTGCGTGTGCAGCTAGTGAGTCAACAATGTTTAGTCTGAACTAAGTGAAGAATAAGTATTTTTTTTTTGTCATTGTTCTTGAGCCACGTCTAGTTATGGGAGAAAGCTGAAATTTTATCTTGCATTCAACATTTGATACTTTTAAATCTGTTCTTCTTTTCCCATCCATGCTTCTCTCATTTGATTTGATTGATTATTTATATTTAATGAATTAAAAAAAAAAAATTACAAATTTTCTTCGCTAAAAACTAAACTAAATACTTATTTTGCAAATGACTAATGGTTCCGCAAATTTTTTTTTTTTAAATCAAAATGTGCAAAACAAGTACTACTTTTTTTATTTTGAAAGCTTTCTCTTCGATTAAGAAAAAATTATTTTATGTTCCTGTTAGAGTGGTCTTGTTATCCACAATGCTCGGAGACGGTGTGGTCAATGGTTCGTCGGTCTGCTGGACTCTGAACTGAAGCAAGATGATAAGACTGCTCAGTAAATTCCCCAGCATCTGCAAAGCGATCGCTTTCAGAATAACGATCTGAAATTTATAGGTGGGCGAAAAACGTACATTGGTCAGCCAACTGCGGTTGATACAAACGAAGCCGCCAATGTCAACGACGTGAGGCGCGGCGACGGCCACGTCCAAAAAAGTCGACATCTGCAAAAGTGAAATCCACCTTTCAGCACAAGATGAAAATAAAATTAAAAAATATATGTGCTCTCGCCAGTAAACTGATACACGTATTTAAAAGGAGGTGCTGAAAGCTGAACACACTTAATGTATGAACTTTCGAACCTCTCGCCTCACTGCCTCCGCCGTCTCGATGGACGGTATTAGGAAAAAAGGGTCCCATTGAATGTCTTCAAACTGGAAATAAGAATGGTTCAACTTTTCAAACCGGCTTTTTGTTTTGTAATTTGAGTTGGCTTTATGTCACGGACACACAAGGGCTTTATTTCGAGTTCATTAACAAAACAAAATTTAACCTTTGTAGTGCAATAGTGCGCTGCGTTTGCCATCAGCCAAAGCTCCACCAAGAAAAGGATCGTTCCGATCAGGCGCATATTTTGGTTTGTGGACCAGGGTTGTCTGAGTCCGTTTAAAAGTCCGTACAAATTGAGGGTGAGCATCAAAAAGACGTGCAACGCGTGGTAAGTGAAGGTCATGGTGCTCACGTCATTGTTCGACTGAAGTGCCTTTGAAAGATCGAGCCAAAGTGCGCGGTACTCCCTAACTAAGTACTCTTGCATTGCAGAATCTTTTTCTACCCTTCATATGCAGTAAATTTGATTTTAATTAATTATTATTTACAAATAAAATTAATTTCTTTATAGCTACTTAAGGATTATTTTTTTATTTAATACATACTTTTGAAATTTGTTCTTGAGACTTGAAATGAGTCGCTCTGCAGTTTTTCCCAAAATCATTAGCGGTGTGCACCATAAAAAGTCCATCCCAATTGTCACGACATAAGTCGACCATGAAAGGAGTAGTGTTAATATGTTCATGTTCATTATTTCATGCATGCTACAAGTTCATTGAATATTTATATAGTGTCGCTTTTAACGAAGCTTTACCTTAAATAGTAATAAAGCACAATGCACGCGCTGAAAACAGGAATCCCCGTAGCGATGTAAGGCGTGTACTTCTCCCATTCCAAAACTATAACTTCTCCGGTCATGCGAAAGAAATTCATCTACAAAGGAAAACGGCGGAGTTTTTTTTTTATGGAACAAGAACTAATATTTGCTCACGTGAAATTTAAAAGTCGCTTTGAAAAAGTTGCTGACTCTGCGAAATGGCAGCCAAATTATGAATGGAACAAGAGCCACCTTGGCATAGCTGACCAATGTTCCCATGTTATCAACTGAATTATCCAGCGTGCCTGAGTAAGAAAAATTGAGCATTTTTTTAAATTTAATTAATGACGCAACAAATATGAATAAATTTTAACTAATCTCGAACCTGAAAAGTTGAGGCTCTTTGGCGCTTCTTGATAAACGGCGTACAGAACGATACAGTAGAACGCAATAGAGTAAACCACGACGAATTTCTTCAAATTACCATAATTAAAAAATGTGTAGCAAGTTTGAATACTTAATTTACATTAGCTGTCACATCACCCCTAGGATTTAAATCGTACGGCACGCAGCCCAGGGCTCTCAACAAGGTGTAAAATGGTCGGTTTGCCTGTGTTAGAGAGGGAATGTCGTCCTTATAGAAAGTAGCCTTTGGCGAGAAAAAAGTGGAAGTTATTTAATATTAATTAAAATGCGCATAAGAGTGGGATTTAAAACACCAATTCAAACTGAATTTCAACTTTTTATACCTGGGGTGTTTTGAGACTCGGCGCAATCTTGTCGTCATCTTTGGGTGGTTTGAAAGTTTTCGTGAAAAGCACGTCGTCATTTGCATACACGCGGTCCATTAAAATCCGCCGAAGATATGCGTCGGTTTGTTCGGAAAACCCGATATTGTTTTCACCGTTGTTCGGGCGACTCGCCATTGTAAAATAATATATTATTCTAACCAGGGTGCTTGCAAGTGACTGAAAGAGACAATATTTTGTTGACACTCCAGTGACCCTCTTGTAAGTTGCGCAAGGCGAATAATCATCATTAATTTTATTTCAAGAGGACGCGATCGAATCTTTTTTAATATCAATTTCATCAATTTCTTAGCGCAGTCCAGTGGCGACCTTGCACACACGCCAGAAGCATTACTGTGAAGTTGATGTATGACATATGAAGCACATATTGAGTGCAATGAAAAATTGTTCACCTGTAAAAATTTACGAAAAATATTTGACCGCTGCAGTAAATTACTAGCAGATAGATAGATAAATATAATATTACATAAAATTTTAATTATTTAATGATTTATAAACTTTTTTCTCTAGGAAAACAATTTTGAACATTTTTTTTTTTCGTAAAAAAAGGTTTGAAAATTTATTTTTCTATGGAATAAATAATTCAATGATGAATAAACAAACTTAATGCATAATAGGTACATGGCCGTGAGGGGAACTATTATTACGTAACTTTTTACAGCTTCCTTAATAAATATTCTATTTATAAATAGAAATTACACACTTCCTGCTTGTGGCTAGATTTCAAGTAGCCAAAAATAAAATAAATCTATTGGAGGGGATAATTTATGTATTCACGCTTTTTCATGCAGGCGCACCCGAGCGCACCGTTAGATTCCATTACTGGAAGCTCCCCTCCATATACAATAATAAAACAAGCGGCGACCGCGTTAAAATGAAATCACAGTGGTGCTGAGCCTTAACAAAGATAGGATTGTGGAAGAGAACGTTACTTTTAACTGATTTCGGCATGGAGACGCTTGTAACAATAGGGCAAGGCACCCTCCAGGGCAAAGTCCTTCAAACTAGGCATGGAAGACCCATCTGGGCTTTCCAAGGCATCCCTTATGCAGCTCCTCCAACCGGAGATCTGCGATTCCAGGTCAATTAGTAATTATATTTGAAATTCAAAATGTTCGTGCGAGTTTTATTTTTGCACCTCGATGTAATGAAATTTCAAATAATTTGCCCAAAGGATCCAAAAAAGCCTCCAACCTGGACTGGCACTCGGCCTGCTAAAAAGGAAGGCAATGACTGCATTCAAAAACATTATTTCAAAGGAGAATTTGTCGGCTCTGAAGACTGTCTTTACCTCAATGTGTACACGCCAGAAGCGGTGAAAATAATTCAAAATTTTAAATTATTTGGATAACGCGCAACGCGCATGAATTATTTATGAGAAGAAATTGCTCGTGTTTTTATATAAAGTTGCTCCGATTATAACATATAACTTTAATTTTTGGCAATAAAAATTTCAGAGCACAAATAGGGAAGCCAAGTTGCCCGTTATGGTATACATCCATGGTGGCGGCTTTTTTGCCGGTTCAGGAAGCACTGAAATGTATGGACCTGAATTTCTCCTGGATCATGATATTGTTTTGGTGACTTTGAACTTCAGACTGAGCACTTTAGGTATTATTATATTAGCATAGAGTTTCTAATGATTACTAAAAAAAATGATTTTTCCTTTTTTTTTAATTTTATGGTAATAATTTTTTAGGTTTTTTGAATTTGGGAACCACGGACGTGCTCGGTAATTTTGGCCTGAAAGACCAAGTTGCAGCTCTTAAGTGGGTCAAAAGCAACATAGCAGCTTTTGGTGGGGACCCAGACTGCGTTACTGTGTTCGGAGAAAGTGCAGGGGGCGCCAGCGTACACTACTTGCTGATTTCGCCCTTAGCTAAAGGTATAATTAAATTATAACATCATGATGTGCTAAATTGCATTTATTAGCAAATTTCTATAGGACTATTTCACCGTGCAATATTACAGAGCGGTTCTGCTTTCAATCCCTGGGCTTTTCGTTCTCTTGAAGAATCTGTAGAATTAAGTCAAGAAATTTGTGAAAAACTTATTGGAGAGCCCTGCTTGGATCCAAGCTCACTTTTGAAATTAAAAGAAGTCTCCGCCCAACGGTGCGCCGAGGAAGGAAAAAATCTCAAGATGAAATATAAACTCCAGGCTGAATTATTACCTTCAGTCGAGCGTCAGAATTCAGAGAGTGCATTTTTGACAAAATGCCCCAAAAATTTGAAAGTGGCAAATGTACCAATAATGATTGGCGTGACTACGCATGAGGGAATGCTAGAGTTGGAAGGTAAATTTTTTTTTCTGAATTCCTAACTTTACAAATGATTTCGACTTTTTCCAGCTGGTGCAGATTTGGAAAAGAGATACAAAGACAATTTTGCGCATTTCGTGCCCTACCGTGAACTAAATATCGCCCCGAATTCGCCGCAATGCAGGGAGACGTGGCGAAAAATTGACAAATTCTATGACGACATTTCTAATGGGGATTTCACTGAAAAATATATCCACGTCAGTATAAGACAGAATAGATTGAGATTTAATTTTACTTTTAAATTACATTTTTAGATCAATTCTGATATTGATTTCGTTTGCGGAGTTGACGATTTAGTGCAAAATACGGTAAAGGACCCTGAAAGAGGTGAGCCGGTGTTTTACTATCAGTTTTCCTACGACGGAAATTTGGGATTTTACAAGAAAAAGGCAAAAATAGAGCGGAAAGGTAGATAAATACAAGTCTATTATATGTTATTTAATGATTGTGGTAAAATCCTTGTAGGAACTTGCCATACTGACGAACTCTCATATTTGTTCACGCGTCAGATGACTCCTTGGAGCGACGTTGGGACACAAGAAGACTTTCAAGTTATTGATAATATGACAGAGCTGTGGACAAATTTTGCAAAATTTGGGTAATGCAACATTTTATTTTTAAACAATTCATAAAATAATTTATAAAATATTTTTTATTACTTTTAGTCCTAAAAACCCTTTAAATAAAATTATCTTTTTACATGTTATAAAAAATAAAAAATAATAATTTCAGGAATCCAACACCTTATCCTGTTCAGGGCGAGAAGTGGAACGCAGTATCAAAAAATAGCGATGGCAAGGAAAGTGTCATGACTCAATACTTAGAAATTGGTGCCATCTTGAGGATGCATCCCGAGAACATGTTCAAAGAAAGAATGCACTTCTGGCGAAAATTGCTAGGGAATGAGTAGACGTTGGAATTCAAAATATCCCGAGGCTATTTTTAAGTAATAAAACCGAGCGAGAGAGAAAAAAGGAATTATGAAATAAAGTCATAAAAATTGTATTTTAATTATTCACCAAGCAACCAATGTCAAGGATAACAAATACTTTAGCAAACGGTTGCGAATGCAATAAAAAAAAATTTTATAGTTTGTGTAAAATAATTTGCTTTGAATCTTCCTCAGAGGTTAAATATTAAAAATAAATTTATCCCTAACAGAATATTTTTGTTTGTAATACAGCAAAAGCCAAAATTAAAACGGACACGTCGAACATTTTTTATCTTTCCCATCAGTTATAGTCGTATCTGAAATTAGTGATAAGGCGCTCGTAAAATTATAAAATACATGAAGCGCGAGAAATATTCCCCTCTTTAATTGTAAGGAAGCTATCAAATAGCATTTCAGTGCTCAGCCGGGAGCTCCAACTCACTCCATTGAGAAAGGTCTGCTCAGTGTGCTCTAGACCAAAGGCCATGCGAGTTGTTGTGATAGTGACATGCCTCGTGCTGGGGTCGTGCGGGGCCTCCAGAGACCCAAAGGTCACTATCAAACAGGGCAGCCTCGTCGGGAAGACCATGACATCGCGGGGTGGAAACAAAATTTTTGCATTCCAGGGAATCCCCTATGCCGCACCACCAGTGGGAGATTTGAGGTTCCAGGTAAATTTTAATTTTTCAATTTACTCTGAAGTTACTTAATATTAATATTGATATAAATGGATGAATACATAATATTTAATATTTCTTCTTGAAACGACTTTGAAAATAATTTAACTCTCAGAAGGACTTCTTATCGGTTATCGGCCGAACCATAATTTTAAAAATACACAGAAAGATAAGAAAACAAAATCAAAAAACAAATTATCATGCTGTTGCCGTGAAGACAAAATATTAAGTAAAACCCTCCATATTAAAATTTAAGGTAAAAATCTACAGTTTGATTGAAGGAATTAAGCTACTATAATGTTTGTATGAAAGGCCGTCAATGAAATTCGCTAGTGACATTTCTAGGAAATTGAATAAATGACCTTCAAACAGGTTTCATATTTTTATTTTCTCATTGCTTTATTTCTCAATGAAACACATAATAATATATTGATTTCCGCTGTGGCTCAAGGAATGAAATTTATATGTAGATTTGTGTAGATTTATGGTAACACATTTTAAGCTTGGATTTAAATTCTTTTATTCTCCCACAAGTCATCATTTATTTTTATTTTTTTTTCTGAGACTCTATAGCCATAAAAATATTTTCCATTATAGTGTATCATTCTATATTGCTGTAAACAATTGAAAATACCAAAATATTAATCAATATAATTGTAGGTGAAAAACACAATTAAATTTAAATGTTCATGATAATTACTATTTGATGGTTATAAATTGAAGAAATGATTAGAAAAAAAAAACCGTTTAATAATAAGTGTGCGCAATTCTCAAAATTAGCTTTAAAATTCCAGGAACCGAAGGAAGCCCCGAGCTGGACGGGCGATCGGATGGCAAAGAGAGAGGGCAATGATTGTACCCAGCGGCACTTTGTGCTGCCGCAGTTTACTGGGACTGAAGACTGCCTCTACCTAAATGTTTACACGCCCAAGGTGAGCACCTCTAACGATCAAACTGAAACCACAAGAGCCAATTTTCAATGTAATATTTTTCACTCAAGACCGACGCAGAAGGTCTTCCAGTTATGTTTTGGGTTCACGGCGGAGGATTTTCTTCTGGATCGGGAGGCACGGAATTGTTTGGCCCCGAGTTTTTGCTAGACCATGGCATTGTCCTTGTCACAATAAATTACAGACTGGGAATGCTCGGTGAGGATTAGCGCGTGATAGAAATCCACTGTTGTGTCACAGCAATTAATACAAATCATTTTTAAATTAAATGTGAAGGTTTCCTGAACCTTGGTATTCCTGAGTTTCCTGGAAATTACGGACTAAAGGATCAAGTGGCGGCTTTAAAGTGGGTTCAAAACAACGTAGCTTCTTTCGGAGGCAATCCTAATTCCGTGACAATTTTCGGGGAAAGCGCTGGAGGCGCTAGTATCCATTATTTACTCATTTCTCCACTGACAAAAGGTATGGATCATGTGTGTTTGGCATCTAATAATTTGTTTTCTTTCACTTTTTTTATAATTCAAAATTTTTTGGCTAAGAAATTTAATTTTGAAATATGCATAAATAATAATTTGCATGAAAACAAAAAATTTAAATTTTTTTTTTTATAATTTTTTTTAACAACTTTTGATGCAGGATTGTTTCACCGTGCCATCATTCAAAGCGGCTCTGTGTTCAATCCCTGGGCAAGTCTACCAGACGCCGAAAGGATAGGCCTTGAATCTGTCAAAAATTTAGGCTGTGACCAGGAAAATCTGAGCGACCTTTCCGATTGTCTACGGAAGATTAGTGCTAAAAGTTTTTCCGAGGAAGGAGTCGCGATGAAAGCAAGAGAGCGCCGTATCGTAGAATTCACGCCGAGCGTCGAGCCAGAGGGAACTGAAAACGCATTTTTACCACGCCATCCAAGCGAACTGCCCATGGCCGACGTGCCTGTAATTACTGGTCTTACTACGCATGAAGGAATGCTGCAGTTCGTGCGTAATGATTTTGTTTTCAACAATTAACTGCTTGTGTGACTAATTTCTTTTGTTGTAGTTAAAAGGCCGCTGGATGTAGAAAAGGAATTTGGTGAAAACAAAGACTTTTACGTAATGAAGGAGTTGGGGCTTCTCGAGAATTCGCCGCTGTGGCTCAAAATATGGGAGAAAATTGAGAAGTATTATAAAAGTCTTCCAGGTGATGCAATGGAGCAGTATCTGCTGGTAAGTATTTCAAAATATATTATTTTAATTTTTTTATTATTTATTAATTATTTAATTTTCGCAGCTTGCTTCTGATGTTGATTTTGCGGTTGGAGTCGACAGAACTTTGCGAAAAGCAGTGGCTTCGGATAGAAAAAGTCCGATTTTCCTCTACGAATTCACGCACGACGGCACATTAGGTTTGCTAAAAATTATGGCTCAGATAAAACGACCAGGTAAATTATTTGAATTTAGAATTAAATTGAATTGCGTTGATTATAATATTTTCTTAGGAACTTGCCATGCTGATGAGCTGGGATACCTTTTCACTCAGGGCATGTTAGCTGGTTGGAAAAAAGCACCGCCGAGGGATAAGAAAGCTATCGATGTTATGACCAAATTGTGGACAAACTTTGCAAAGACTGGGCAAGTTAACCTGAATTTTCAGAAAACTGCAAATACTTATTAATTCTCATTCAGAAATCCAACTCCCGATGATTCATTGGGCGCACTTTGGTTGCCAGTGGAAAAAACAAGTTCCAACCCTGAAGAGCTCAAAACCCGTCATTTGAACTTGAGTGAAAATCTGGTCATGAAAGAGGAAAGCCTTAATGAGGATAGAATGCGATTATGGTCCAGTATTTATCAGGAAAGCAAAAGAGCGCGCAAAGAAGAGCTCTGATGCAAAAATAATGATTAGTGTACATTATTAAATGTGAAAAAAAAAATGTAAAAAGGCTGCTTAAATAAGAGCTATCGAGTAATATTTATTTTGGTGAGCAGGATTGCTAATTAAATTAAAAATATTACAAACGTGTTGCTTCATTATGCTGAAAAAAGACTCATTCCGCGCCCACTGAAAATTCATCATTCCAAGCGCTTTACTTATTTGCTCAACATCTATAGTCTAGCTCATCGTCCTTGTGAATGAAAACTAGCAAATAGTAATATAACTCATTCATACAAAAAAAAACTACGCTGACTTTTAATTTTCATTTTTGGTAGCACCCGAAACTCTTTGAAGAAAATTATAACGCAAAAAGGAGCGTACATAAAAATTGGCACTGTTTGCTTAACGAAAATAAACATATGATTATTTAGAGACCAAACTTGCCACATTACAACAAAATGCTTACATCATAGTGACTGGTAAAAATAAAATAAAAAATGACTAAAAATGCAAATAAATATTTGCTATTTGCAATATAATATTGATAAACAACAGAACGAATAGTAAAAATGTTTTTGCATAAAATTTAATTTGCAAAATTAAATTTTTTGTGCTCACATCGACCATTAATTTGTCAATAATAATTACATAAAAAACTGGTTCCTGGCTCTAATGGATTCGAGATGGCAAAAGCCAGAATTTTCACATTTTACTATGCGCAAACCCCCACTCATTCCTTGCGAAAGTGAATTCAGATTGACAAGATTTCGGCTTGCCCCGCGGTTCAGTCATTCGTTCGGATACACTGTGCAAAAAGGATGGTTCACTCATTGCTATAGCAAAATGTATCTCTTGCAGAATTTAATTTATTTTTTGCTTGGGTCAATCAATCCAAGCCGAGGACCAAGAATTACCATTAAGCAGGGTACCCTGGTAGGTACTGTAATGGAGTCCCAGAATGGAAGCAAGTTTTATTCTTTTCAAGGGATACCATACGCGGCCGCACCAGTAGGAAAACTTCGATTTCAGGTAATCATGATTTAATTTTAATCACACTGTAATCAGTGGTTCATATACCATTGAACTGGTCAAAGGATTTTTTATTTTCTCGCACAAAAAATTACCGCCTCAAATTTAATGAGGTTGCTTTTAAAGGAACAAACATTTTTATTTTTTAACGCATGATATTAAAGCTGTTCAATATAATCTATGTAAATAATTTATTAAAAACTACTTTTTCAAAAAAAAAAAAAAATTTCCATCCATGCTTCAATAGAACCCTACAAAACCTCCAAGGTGGACCGGAGATTTCATGGCGGTAAAAGAAGGCAATGAGTGCATTCAAAAAAATGTCGTTTTCCCTTGGATTACAGGCGCAGAAGATTGTTTGTATCTAAATGTTTACACACCAAGTGTACGTAATTCATTAAATTTGCAAATTCAATTTCATACGTAAAAAAATTCCAGGTGCACGAAAATAATAATCTTCCAGTGATGGTATGGATACACGGAGGAGGTTTTTCGCAAGGTTCAGGAGGCGCATTTTTATACGGCCCACAATTTCTTTTAAACCATCAAGTTGTTCTTGTTACTTTTAACTACCGACTGGGCATGTTGGGTAAGTAAATTTTACGATATTATGGAAATTTCCTTGTATTTTGATATTTTCATTTAATAGGTTTTCTCAATATGGGAACCCCAGAGATATCTGGAAATTACGGTTTGAAAGACCAAGTCGCCGTCTTGAAATGGGTGCAAGAAAATATTAGGTATTTTGGAGGAAATCCAAAGTTGGTCACAATTTTTGGCGAAAGCGCGGGAGCTGCTAGTGTTCATTACTTGCTAGTGTCACCCCTTGCTAAAGGTTTGATCATTAATTATTTTGAAAGTTATATTTCTTTTAAAATTTTAAGGCTTGTTTAGCAAAGCAATTGTTCAAAGTGGATCAGCATTCAATGATTGGGCGAATCTGAAACAACCTCGGAGAGTCTCCTTGCGAGCAGTAAGAAACGTTGGCTGTAAAAGCAAAATCGAGATTGAAAATATCAATTGTCTCCGGGAAACTGACGCCACCAAATTTGTGCGCGAAGGAGTTGCGCTGGAAAAACTCGAAAGAAGGATCGCTGGATTTGCTCCAAGTAAAGAACACAAAAACGCCGAGATTCCGTTCCTGAATAAAGACCCAGAGCAACTGCCTGTGGCGGACGTACCAATTATGGCGGGCATGACAACTCACGAGGGGATGGTCCTGTTTTGGAGTAATTTTAAAATCTGAAGGGTCAGGTAATAGCAATTAAAAATTATTTTTCATTTCAGACAAACGACCTCTGCGAATAAAAGACGAGATGGGCAAAAACAAGGACTACTACATGCCGAAAAAGCTTAAACTTGTAAAAGACTCTGTGGAGTTTTACCAAGTTTGGACTGAAGTAATGAAATTCTATAAAAACTTGAGCAGAGATTATTTTGAACGATATATAATGGCAAGTAAATAATAATTATTTTCTCAGCCATAAATTGAAACCAAACATAAAAACACAGCTTGCTTCAGACGTCCACTTTGGAATTGGAGTGGACCAAATGATAACGAGTTTAGTTACGAATGAACGGAAGAGCCCACTTTACTTGTATCAGTTTTCTTATGATGGTTCACGGGGAATAAATAAATTGTTGACAAGGATTAAAAGACCTGGTTGGAAAATTTTCATTTTTTTCTTCTAATATTATTATTTTTATATATTACTTTTTTTAATTCACAGGTGCGTGTCACGGCGATGAGTTGGGCTATTTGTTCAACCACAAAGTTTTGAATATCTTTAAACCTATCAGTAAACAAGACCTTCGAACGATTAACATTATGACAACAATGTGGACCAACTTTGCAAAAATAGGGTGAGATTATCTCAATTTCAGAAAATACTTTTAGCAGGAAAAATGTCTTTCAGGAATCCTACGCCTACAAATAACCTTAAAGCTCAATGGCTACCACTGCAAGTTGGAGCACCAACGCAAATTTTGGAAATTGGCAAAGAATTGATAATGCGCAACCAAAGTTTTGACGCAAGAAGGATGCAATTTTGGTCTTGGCTTATGAAGAAAATTCCATAAATTAAGAACGCCGCCTCTAATTTGAAAAAAAAATATTTATTAATGTACATACCTATTTATGTCAAGTACAAAAGCAACAAAACATTAATTATCATATATTTGAAATTTTTTAATATAATTCAAAGAAACAAACAGCTTTACCAGTGTTGGTTATGATCTGAGAGACCTGTTTCGTGAGCAAACGCGGTGCTCGCAGATTTACTAAAAGATTGTATTATTTAGCAAGCAACACATTTGCTCATGAAATTTTATAGGTTCCTAGACCGTGACCCAGCACACTGCGAGAGAAGATTACTTTATTTTTCTTCATAAAAAGCGATTTTCAATGAGGAGAGCCCCTCCACAAACGTCTCCTAGAAAGCAATCTTTTTCACTCGAGCCAAACGTTGGATTAATTTCCATTTTTGGATGTAGCAGGAAAGTGATTTGAATTGTAAAAAATGCCCTGCTCGATTATGTTGCATGTTTTATTATTTTCAACACCAAGTTTCATCATTCAAACACTTTCCTTGAAACCACCGACACAATAGCACACTCCTATCAGACATATTTCTGGCTAATTCCTCGCCAATTCCCAGCCTTGCGTCTTCCTGGGTCTAGTAAAAGGAGGAAAATTGTTAAGTTAATTTCAATCTCAATCAAATCTTTTCTTCTTGCCATTTTGGGTGGAAAAATTCTCCTCGCTTTAAACTTGTTCAGATGTTCTCTGTAAGCCATTTTTACGTCCAAAGCAAAATCCTGACTCATGCAAGTGGAACAAAGTTGACAATCATAGCTGCTGCAGTTTGTACATTGTAAACATATTTCAGGGAAAACCATAATATTTCTGTCTGCAACAATCATATCTTTCAAATCCTGCCGCCTATATTTTGAAGAAATTTTAAAAATTCAAATTATGATCAAATTAAACGCACTTATGAAACGGAGGGTGTAAATAAGTGGAGATGCCGACCAGAGAAAAAAGTGTCTGCAGCACTTGTTCATAAATAATTGCATTTTGTTTGTACTTCATCGAGGAAAGATTCGGAGACATGTTTGCCTTTAAATATCTTCATTATTTGGATAAGATTGAATTGATTTATTTTACCTCGAGGGCGTGCAGATTGAAATTGTCATCAAGGAAGAAATCAAAACGAATAAGCTCAAAAAAGTTTCGGTAGTTTCTGTACTTTGATAATTCAAAAATCATATATTTTTCACGTGCCATGTATGATGATACTATAGCTTTGTCAACTTGCTCCCAAACAGCTCTAGGATCTGCACCTAAATTTCGTGACAAATATTAAAAATGAAAACTTAATTTTCTACATATTTATATTTCAAAATTAAATATTTTAACTCCTACAATTTCTTTATTAATAGCAAAAATTTTCCAAAAATAAATACAAGCAATGAAAACTATTTTGGAAATAAAAGGAAATTAACGTACCAACTGATTCTATAGTGGCTTCAAAAGATTCTTGAATTGAGAAGGAAAGTTTCAAATATTTCTTCATTTCAACTGATTCCCAGTATTGCAAACAGTCATCAGAAATAACATATTGAGACAAATTATTTGCATCCAACGGGTAGTATGGATATCTTGAGTACCTGTTGCGAATTTTGAAGGACATAAATTATTTACTCCTTATTATAAAAAGGTGTTTAACTACCGTATAATCATGTCTCCTTGGATTCGGTATAATCTTAATGGGTAAATTGATGTGACCACAACAAAAATTCCAAATTCAAATTTCCTTCCATCAATAAGTAATGGGTTGGGAATAAATTCTTGGACAAAAGATTCACTTGACTCCAGATTGATCTTATTAGACGGCACCAATTTTATGGATCGATGCCGATTGTCTTTTACGAGAAACTGGCTTTTTGGGTTTTCCTTTCTCTTAAAAGATAAACTGAATTAGTTGAAACAAAATTGGGCTCTTTTTCAAATATACAAATTGGATAAATTTTTCCCTGTCTTGCGGGAACTGAAACGCGGGGGGAATGAAGAGGGCCCCAGAGGTTACGAAGTTGACCTTGAGGGTAATGTACGAGTGCCCTGGCATTTTATTCACAACTTGGTGTGGTTTCAAGTTCTCCAAAATGTCTGCCATACTGATGAACGGGAAATCGTGTGACCACAATACGTCCCATTCAGCATTAACGTCGTCAGTCACTTTGTAACCGAAGCGTTCAAAAACGTTCCGCACGTGCTGTAAATGAACTGCGTCCACCTTTTAACCCAAAGAGCAAAATGGAACAAAAGAAAGGATATTCAATTTTTCGGTACCTTTGGGTGGTGAACAAGTACAGTCAGCTCGTCTGTTTTGTTTACGTTGTCATTGGAATAAGAATAATTGTGAAAATTTTCTCTTTCCAGTTCTAGACCAAAAATAAAGATTCCATTTCTCGCAAAGAACGTCCAAAATTGAGAAGCGAGAATTGTCAAAATACTAATAGCGCACAAAATTTTAGGTAAATTCCACTCATATGCCTAAAAGGAGACATTTTTTCAAGTTAAATTTAAAACTATCAAATTATTTTTACAATTGGCAATTCATGCTTTTTACAAAGTAATACGTTTTGAGCATCGCGAATAATCCTTTCACGTTTTCGTGACTTTACGCGACCCATTTATTCCTGTGTGGAAGGGCGTATAAATAGTTATTTAACAAATAATATTACATATTTTCCATACCCTTGTAGAAGGAACGCAATTTCGCAATTATCGCACGGTGAGAGCGTGGTAGAATGCACAAAAAACTGAGCCAGACAGTGTCCTTAAAGGACGAACGACAGAATGCGATAAATACATGAAATTTATTTCATGTGCACAATCTGAAAACGGTAGACAGGAAATGCCATGAGAAGTCACTTTTGATAAGAAATAACTTGGGAATAACTATGAGATTTCTATACAGGGGGGAGCTTTTAAACAAAACTTATGAAAAATTTTAAAATTAAGAAAAATAATTTAAAATATAATACTTGTCAGAATAAAAGAGACGTGTGCTGTTTGACATTTCAATCATAAGCGCTCGTCACCCTCGTGATGCAAATTAGTGCAAATGCGAAACATAAACAAGTAACAATGAACGTCACTGACCAACAAGGTCTTGACCAGCGAGAATCCAGTATAGTTTTCAACCTCAAATAGCAAGGAATGAAAATTCAATTTCTGTAACAAATGTAAGTATACAACAATTTATCATCAGAGATAAAACTATTTAATATGCCAGTTAAAAATCTGGAAGTTGAGCTACAAAGTTTTATGAAAGCACTTTAAATAATTTATTTTCAAATAAATATTTAAATTTTCAAATGTTAAACTCTTATTCTTTTGTAATTACTTAATTATGATGATAATTGCGTTTAATGATTATCAAGCTATTTTTTTTTACAAATAAACAAGTAAATATAATAATTTAATTATTTAGCAAAATCTGTTTCATTGCCTAAATTAAATTTGAAATTAATATCGTTTTTGGCAGATTACATTTTACTTTATATAAAATTAAAATGATTTTATAATTAAAAATTTGGATTTAAGTATTTTGATTTAAGCAATAGATTAGCAGAATTGCACATTTGTCCAAGTAGAAGGTGAAGATTTTAAGTGCTCCTCGCGTTTTTATCTGAATCGTTTATCACGGCGATAAGTCATTGCGGCGTTTCATCAGTGTCACAATGCGCGTCTGCAATGCAAAAATTGATAATAAATAAAAAGGGAATATTAATACATAGCAAATTTAATAATCTCTGCCATTGCCTACTTATAAGTGTCTTGCCTAATTCGAGGTTTTCCACAGCATTGATGAGCTGTTGCAACATTCAGATGCACAAAACTTGTATTATTCAAGTTACGAATCACCTACGCTGACAATGATTCTAACAAGCGGCTGGTTCGAAGTGACAGATTCGTTAAGCAAACAGGTGAAAACCCGCTGGTGCATTGTCGAAAATGGAGTTCTGTGGATGTTCAAGTAAGTCGTCAAAATTTAATTCATTGGATATAATTATTTAAATTTTTTTATAAGTATAAGTTTCGGTGATAAATTAAAATGTATCTTGCAGAAATCGCCTATTTAAAAGTTCCGTCTAAATTAGGCCCGAAAAAAAATAATCCGCTGATATGTGCTAAGCTTTAATTAAATATGTGTCCTGTTAAGATAAGAACTGATCAAATCTCGCTTTAATCGGCGCTAACGTTTTATTAATTTGGTGTCGAGAGTACGTTCGTCAAATTCGCTGCATTTAAAGATTACGGATTGAGCTTTTGTACTCACCGGACAGGAAACCTGGATCATCCGAGGGCAAGGACGGTCTGCCTCTTCACGACGCCGTGGTCGGCGAATGCAACCCACCAGTCCATCTGCAACTGGCCATCAGGTGTCGAAGGTCAGGTCGCGTGTTGGCGCTCAAGGCCACGTCCAAGGACGAGTACTCGCGGTGGATGGTCATCCTCAGCGACATGGCCAGACTGTGGAGTGACAAGCGACGCGCCAGCATCCTCAACAAGCAGTTGATGGCCATCGGTGAGCTTGTAATTTTTGCAATTATTAGACTTTTGAAAAAGGAGCACGTGTAGAACACTTTGCACTTATAAATCGCATATTAATCTCACATGGCACTCGCCTTGGTAAACGAAAATTTACGTATTAAAGTCACAAAACAAAAACAAATCGACGCGTACACCGACTCACTGAAGGAAAGATTGAAACTATATTGTTTTTATCATCATATGGTGGATTAGTGACCGTTGCTGCAGATGCAGAAGATAGCAGAGGGTGAACTAGGTGGAGGAGTGACTCGGGAGAGCCTCGCGTTGGAGGGGGATTGTTCAGGAATTCTGAAAACAAGTTTGTGCAGGCAAAAAAATAAGAAATAATAGAGAAGGGAGTTGGATCTTGGATGAAAGTGCAACTGCATGAAAATATGAGACTATGAGTCAGCGGGCATATAACATAAGGGAATGGGGACATAGATGAATTTGGACTTGGAGAGCCTCATATTTTTATTTAAAAATAATGGGGGATATTCAAATGCTAACTTGCTAATGGGATTTTTGTTAGTGCTAGAGTTTAGCATGTGAATATCACCCAATATGTTTACAATAATGCTTGAAACTAAATTTTTATTTCTTAGATGATTTTTACTAATTATAATAAATACAATTTATTTAATTTCGGGAATTTAAAAACCAAAGAAACCACTTGAAAATAATTAAATTAGTAACATGACTAATCGCCTTTACGTGGAATCAGGTTTTGATACACGAGATATTTGAGACGAAACCAGTGTAAAAAAGATAGAAAATTCCTGTTGTGATAATAAAAACATATTAATTGAGGGCGAAAATATTTCCAAAAATTCGTTAAAACCTCCCCAATCTGTCCGTACTTGTTTTTTGCTGGACAGAGCTGTTTCGGCTACTGAAGCCTCATCAGCAGCATTTTAACTAACAAAGCAAAATTCCAGCCACAGCGAGCTGCGAGAAAGTTGTTGCTTTGCTCGGCGCACAAAATACGACCATATTTTCATATTAATTTTTGCCCTCAATTAATATTTTTATTATCACGACAGGTATTTTCTAACTTTTGTACATTGGTTTTGTCTCTAATATATCTTTTTTCAATCGTAATTCTACATAAAGACGATTAGTTAAAAGTTACTAAATTAAATGCAATTTTGTTGTTTAATTTTGTTAAAAACTTGGCGATTTTGTACGATTTTGCAGAAAGAAAACAGTGAGACGTATAGATAATTTCCAACTGATTAGAAACGTTTGATTTTTTAATCACATCTGTCTTTCAATCTACCGTTTTATAAATAAATCAATCATAGGAAATTATATTGTTACTATATAAGTTAATCACCAGTTAATCTCTTTTCAGCACTTGAAAATGAGTCAAATAAAGAGGAAAGCGTTTACTACTCTGAAATCGATCCACTGCCACAAGAAAGTCACAAGTTTGCTGTAAGAAAATCCCATACTTCGATAATTTTTATAAATTTCTGTTTTTATTTATCTATATCACAGCCGCGGCGTAAGAGTGAAATAATACAGCACGACAGCGCCATAACTTCAATCGAAGAAAAGTTACACAATGCAAAATATATTCGAAAAACACTTAAGGAAATCGTTGAAGCGACCGAAGACTTGTCGCAACTCCGGTGGGCCAAGCTCCACGAAGTTCAGCAAAGTGGATTGCTTGGTATATTTGATCCGCTTATAAAATAAGTACAAATAATGAATATGAACTTTTATTTCAAAAAGGTGTATTAGAGGAAGAGCACGTGGCTTTGGAGGAATTAAAATTCGCAGCTCTCATTGAAGAGTTCAGGTTTATGGACGAGTTGAAAAATTTAATTCACTTAGCCACTCGTGCTGTCAGTTGGAACGATCCTGCTGTACCCGCTTACCACAGACGAGCCATCGTCAACAGTTTGCACAAGGGTATTAAAATTTTATTGATTTACGGGCGGAAGTTCATATAATTGGAAAAACTAGTGAAAAAGAGCTCAGCGGTTGTGTTGCGAATGGCTGAACGGCACTGGAGCCAAAAGGTCACAATGCAGAATGCAATTTTCACTCTTCTGGGCCACGAAGCGCGGGTTGCAGCCTGGCAGCAAACCTATACCGAGTATTGCTCTCACCTGTCGGAACTTCGATCAGTTTTCAATCGCTCGAGGTTATTTATTTTTAAATATTTAATTCAGCTTGCCAATGGAAACTTTAATTATGTAGGTTTACTAGACCGGAGATGGAAGAGAAAATATTCAGTAAAAAGTATGACTTGGAGTTAGCACTGGTTCCTCTGCAACATCTCACATCCCAAAGGCAATTGATACAGACCATTTTCGAGTTGCTCTCTCCCGGTTCTGCGGAATTCTCGTCAGCTAGAGGCACCAGAGACTTTTTAAATGAGGTTTTTATAACACCAAATTTCAATTAAAAAATTATTTTTTATTGTATTATATTTTTTTATTAGATTTTAGATAGTTGCTACCAAGAGCTGACAGAGCTCGATGGCTCAGAGTATGTTGCGGAGATGGACAATGCATTGCATTTTGACTTGTCTAAAATAAATCCCATCGCTCCAGGCCCAAAACTTTTACCCCGACAATCCATAAAACCCCCTGCAATTAAGTAAGTTTTCTAGTATTTTATTTGTTAATTTTTCAATAATTGATTATTATCAAGTGCTAATGATGATGAAGATGAGGAGCGCATTTTGAAAAAAATGGCGAAGGCAAAAAGTCGACCAAGTATTATGTTTGGAGCTCTAACAAATGCAGTACGGCGCTTCACTTCTGAGGGTAGCGCGCTTAATGAAAGGCGGCGCGCGTCAATGCCTGCTTTTGAGTATCCAACAGCGCAAAGTGATTCAAGTAAAGAAACTGAAAATATATGTGTGTTTTTTTTTTATTTAATATAATTATTCTTTAACAGGCGAGAGTGAGAATGAAGCGGAACATGATGAAGCAGTGGTGGTTATTCCTCAGAAGACTCCCATTGACGAATATGAGCCTGGAAAAGTGGTGCCACGGTTTTTCATTGGCGAGCCGTTCTATCAAGATTATTTACTTGCAATTGCCGAGGTGAGCGAAGAGGAGGAAGATTTGTAGCGTCCGCGAAATTGTGAAGTCTTGTACATGTTTCGTCTAGTCGGTCTTTTATTGTTTGTGAAAGTGGAAAGAAACTGTTTAGAATCGTCTCTGTGGATATAAATTAATAAACGGCGTTGACTAGGAAAATGCCGAAAAACTCTTGCAAAGGGGAATGAATGAAGACTCAGTTTACGAGGTGGTGCACTCGTTCGAAGAAAAGGGCTGCACTCAGTGGTTTAATAATTTCAAAGTGCAAATATCTGGATTATTAGGTGACGTGAATTTTTTATAAGTACTGCGCGTAACTAGATTATATTGAAATGAACCGAAATTAGGCAAATTAAGTGATGACGAACGTGAGCTTGCGTCTATCCTGTATGAGCTTGTTGCCTCCGAAGCGGCATATTTGAAGTCGCTCCGCACTCTTGACCTCCACTTTGTTCGCAACACAGATTTCTACGATGACGCTGTACTGTCACCTGAGGACCGCCACTTTTTGTTCTCTGGCACTGCTGATCGTAAGTTTGCAAGAGTGACGCAGAAGAGAATAGAATTAATTTGGCGCGACGAGAGCTTTATTGATCGCTTTGTTTGCCCGTAGACATAGCAAACAGCCAGCGACTTTTATATGCGATGGAAGGCTGCTGGGAGAAGGACTTGCTTCTTAACGAGCTGTGCTCCATCATCCACAATAATGCGATCAGCTCATCAGCGAGAGCATTAACTTCGGCCTGCTACAACCAAAGAATTGTGGCACCCACATTAAAAAGACTCATGTAAATATGAGTACTTTAATTTTCAATTAATAAATACTCCAGCTGAACACATTTATTTCAGGGAAAATTTAGAGTTTTCTGAAGCTCTTATTAGAATGGAAAACTCGCACGTTTGCGGCAGGCACTCTCTGTTGTCATATTTAACCCTGCCTATCAAACGGTTGGGTCGGGTGAAACTTCTTTTGGACGCCATGAAATCCATTTTGGCAAAAATGGATGATCCCGAAAAAGTAATGAGTAATAAATTTTCCTATTTCAACTAAGTTAATAACTTTAAATTATGTTATTATGAGAAATATTAAAACATTTTAAAAGTTTATATATATGACTTGAATTTGAATATTAGATGGGCCTGAGGGCTACTTGCGAAAGTGCTCACGCAGCTGTGGATCGATTGATAACGAGAGCCGAGTTGGGTGCAAAAAAGGCGCTCAGCGATCAGTCTTTGCAAACCCTAGCTTCCCGGCTCTCTTTCAATCGTATTCCCAGTTTGGCTCTCAACGCCGAGGGTAGACTGCTGGTGCACCACGGTGACTGGCGTATTTTAGGACGCAGAGAAAATGGCAGGGGAGCATTTAAGCCAAAAGTGCCCCAGAAAGAGTTGCTTGCTTTTTTACTCACGGACATTCTATTGCTGGTCGACCCTTTGGCGTAAATTTATATTGCAAGCCATTCTCACGCTTTAAATTGCTTGTATTATCACAGGAGCTCTTCAACTGGCCGACTTGAGGTCTTTGAATACTCGGCTAGGTCTGATATCCAGTTGAGGACAATTGGTCCAGGCTGTCAAGAACCCATGCCGGGCTATCTTTCCAACGACCCTGCAGCTAAAAATTCACTCTATTTAAGTTTTCGAGATCAGTCTGGAAAGCTTGTAGAAATGGTGCGTATTTTTTTTTTTTTTTAATAAATTTATATGATTTTTTTACATTAAATCAGGTAATTGGATGTGACAATCCAGCCGATAAAGCCAGGTGGCTGGGAGCAACGCGAGATGAAAGTAATAGCTCACGACCGTCACCCCCGCCGAGGCGCAGAAGACCTGCAATTTTAAAAGCAGTAAAAGCATACTCACCCTCTTTGCCAGACGAATTGATGCTCACTCCAGGCGATATCATTGCTCTGTCGAGAAACCCCGGAAATGGTGAACCTTATTTTTATTTAAAAACTATAATTTTATTTTAATGTGCGCCGATTCTTGTTTTTTTTTTATGTTGCAGGCTGGGTTCAGGGAAAATGCGTCTTAGATGGATTCAGCGGTTGGTTCCCAAAAGAGCTGACGGTTCAATTGTGCGCTGGTCGAAAAAGTGTAACATTCCTTGTGGATGAAGATGATCAGCCTCCTCATTATGCAACCATTGCTTTTACTAATCGATCCTCTGTCGCATAGAGAGCTCTCTCATTTGTAATCTTCCATAATGATTTTATAAAATCCTGTTTGAAATAATTATTGTTTCAATAAAAAGAGCTTATTTATATTTAATTACAGAAAAAGTCAAATTTTCGCGCATTATAACCGTTGGCATTGCATTTTATTGTCATAGTTTCATTTGTTTCATTACAAGACTTGGTCCGAATGCCTGGAAAGTTGAAACGCAACCTGCAGCACTTTTCTGTGTTTCAGGTTGCATATAAGAGGCGAACACCGCGACGACAATATTACACACATAACATTAAATTTAATACAGTTCACATTTTGCTGTTCGCTTTTTGAGCGTCACCTGCATCAAAATATAAAACGAGTGTGCCAATTTTGATTTTACAATTCTGTTCAATTAACAGACACATCGTAAAAATCAGAAGTTATTAAAAAAAAGAGACAATTCATTCCAAGAGCCTAACTACAATATTGAAAAAAATCTTAATGAAGTAAAAAAAATATAATTCCATATTTAACTACACTCATTTAAAATACACACATTATATAGGGTTATGTGGGTTATTTATTTCATATTTCCAATTAACATGTATCATGAAAATGGTATTATTCTGGTATTATTCATATTTTTGTCTCATAAAGTCAAAAATCAACACTCCATTAAATTATTTGCCTTGATAATATTTTTTTATTTTAAATTTGATTTGTTCTTGCTCTTGCCACAATACTGTTTTACTGAAAATAAAATATAAATTGTACGAATGAATGTGGAAAAATCTAAAGAATATTATGTATGATTTAAAATTTGCTTTTCATATCACATCTTTGAAAATTGAGGACCGCTTTTATTAAATAAATTAAAATGTAAACTATAAAACATATTTTTCGCGCTCCATGCGCTATTAAACTACCAGTAGAATTTCATAATGAACATGAATATTTTTTTATCACAACAAACGACATCATGTATCTTTGGCTGCTTATCTTTGGTTGTGCTTTTAAGACTGAACACGTCGGCAAGTATAGTTGCTCCTTTCCTTACACATAACTTTGACAGTACAATAAATCGTATAACATGAATTTACAACTTTGACTGTCTGAGCTCATAGTACAGGATATCTAAAATTTCCCACGGTGGAACTGAAACTTTTATTTTTTTTTCTTATTCTTGCTTCAAGGGTTGCAAGGAGAAGGGAACATATATATATAGGCTAGTATAGGAGCACACGCTGATATATTATGGTCGCTGTCGAGGAGGAGATTTGTAATCTTACTCACTCTGGAAAAGCTGCGTATATATTTGTAAACCAAAGTGGGGTGGCGGTGGAGCGAAAGCCGGCTTTCCTGTGTCAGGGTCCAAACGGTCAGCGTACAGTAACTCATGCTCCAGTGTAAGTCCTCTCGACTTGCAAATGCGCTGAGAGATCGCGCTTGTAGCGTCAACCTGTGTAGCAGAAACCAAAATTCGTGTAAAGATTTTGATCGAAATTTTGCAAATCAAAATTATTTTTTAATAATAATTACCTTGAAAAGTTTGAAACCGCGTAATTGGGCCTCTTGAATACTCTGGTCCAGCAGGATTCGAGCAATGCCTCGTCCTCTGTACTCAGGATCAACAGACAAAATGCGGCATTCAAATATGTCGTGGACATTGTATTTGCCAAACAGATTTATCTCCCTGTTGTTTTCATAGAGCATAGCAAAAATGCCACGAAATTTTTTATCCCTGGAATTGTAAAATAATCAATATTTAATTGTAGTATTTCACCCCTGTTGATAAAAAAAAATATAAAATAAAATTAATTTTCTTATCTGTAATATTGTGCCACATAAATTTTTTTATATAATAAAAATCTAAATTTAATTTATTAAAGCTTAAGGAATATTGGACCTTGGCGTCACTTGGCGTGCAGCATTCAAATTTTATGTACACCTACGTTTCAGCGTAAGTCTGCTCGATGGCCTCGTCAAGCTGCTGCCTACTCTGAGAACCATTGAGGGCGCAGCCCACGACTTTTCCGTCGCTCAGGGCCACTATAGACAGACCGTCCTGAAGGGTGTCTAAGCAAACCGCTTCTAGTTTTGGGTGGCCGGAACCACGGGCCTCGCACAGGCTCACGCACACATTGAGCGGTTCCTCCCAAAAGAAAGTGAGCCGCAAGTGTTCCATCACCGCCTCGTAAAGGTCGGCCTCGACCGGGCACACAAAGTCGATATTGCTCGACATCATTCACCTTTTGAAATATACATCGTAAGAGCTCACATCAAAACTCCAAAAGTATAAAATTTTCATTTTTATTTTCTGAAAAGTGCAATAATTGGAGTTTGCTATAGTTAGAAAAAAATTTGTTATTTATTTTTTAATCAAACAAAATGCAACAAATTCAGGGTTGTTCTAAACATTTAAAATCTGTGATCTGCACCATGGATTTGCTGTCTGCTCACCTGTTGCCCAAAATGTACTGCCGGGAGCTGGGAGCGAAGAGCTAGACAGCGTCGATTCCGTGGGTGGTTGCTGCTTACTGCAAGGGTTGTGGGGTGCGGTGCAGCCGTCAAAACAGCGAGGCGCCGGCGTCGTCCAATAGACCCAGGCAACCCCCTGCGTGTTAGAAGAATACTCGCAGTAATTGCGGAGCATTCTTCGCATACTCTCATCTCTTTTTTGGTCCGGAAGGAATTTATTATTCGCACTTCTCGCAATTCAGCGCCTCGTTTATTGCAGGGGCAAAGCACCGAAAATATGAAATAGCTCTCGCAGCTATTGTGCGGGTGGGGCAGCTCAATATTCTCACTAGGGCTTTTTTTTAAATTTATATTGCTCATGTCTTTTCAACTAATCCGTCGGAATATTACTGACGTCATGTGGAAGTGACCTTAAAAAAAATTTGGTGGCTTATCTCTTCTGTCTCGCATCCTAGTTTTTAATCAGAATCAGATTGGATTAGGAATTTTAAAAATAAAAAGATGTTAAAAACCCGTGAAATTTTTAAAAATTACAATAAAATGACTATATTTTGTATCTTGCCTTCCTGTTGCCTTCATGATAATAAAATTAAATAAAAATAATTAATAATGAAAGTATTTGAAATTTTTAAGGCATTTTTGTCTTTAAAAATATATTTTCCTTTTTTTTTTTTAATTTAAAACGTTGAAATTCCCAATCTGTAACTGTATTCTTCTGCAGAAAGGAAAATACAAGGAATAAAATCGATCGTCATGCCGTGCTACTCTCGTTCGCTGCTTGCGGACGGCGATGCTTCTCTCCACTGCGCGCACTCGGCTCCAAGCTCGGCTCTTTTTCCTGCTTTGAAAGCAGCACGTAAAATTTTAAGAGCGCACGCGGCTGCTCAGCCGCGTCCCATTCTCAATTATTGGCGTAGATGAGGTTCTTGGCCTCTAAATGTAATACTTTGCCGTGTGTGAGCGCAAAGCAAGTGAAAAAATCACTCGAGCGTGCTTTCAAAGCCTACGACGTCTGTACGTCGGTATCATGCGCGAATATGAGCTCTCTTCACGATTCCTTTTGCCCTGGATTCCATGATGGGTAGAAAGGCGAGTCCCAAGTCCCAACTGGTCCCAACGTATCAGCTATAATAGAAGAGCTTGTACATTAAATAATTTTGCACCAGGCCATAATGAAAATGGACCATGAAATTTCAGATTTAAAAAAATATATCCAATAATTTAAATTTTAGATCAGTGGAAATTATTGTAACCAAATGAATGGTTTTTTGTTAAATATCAGTTAACATAGCAAATTTTTACGCAATTCAATTGAGGTTTAAAAAAATGCACAATTTTTTTGCAAATAAGAAATTTAAGATTTCCGGCAGGATGGGATTTGATTTGAATGGAACATCCAATGGTGGCAGGTGATATTGCAGACGGATGGGCGGAATATAATACGAGGGGCTTCTCTTCTCTCACAATCGACTTGGCTCCACCGCACAACCTACGTGGAATAAGGCGGGTGACGTCATAACCCTTTTTTGGATATGCATCCAGAGGTTGTTTGCTCGTCGACAGTCTGCGAGTGGGTTTAATAATTATAAAGTATCCCGCAGTTGATACTGAATGCGCGACAGATCCCTCGCTTTCTCCAGTGTTAAATATTCAACAGTATTTTAATGCTAAAAAAGGGTCACACACCTGGGCATTACTTCAAAAAATTGGGTGCTTCTCTAATTTTTATTTTTATTTACCAACAGAAAAAGGAAACTACATTGAAAAATACACATGGTGATAATGAATGAATTCCCACACTAAAAAATTTGTAATTATAGCACCATCATATTTACACACTGTAATTCTTCAGTCTACAAAAAAAGTTTATAAAAAATTTGGTTTAAAATTTTTATTTTCCTTCCTACAAAATTGTCAAAAATTATAAGTGCGACCCTATTAATCACTATTAATAAAATAATGAAATAAAGTTTTTCTTCTGCTAATTTTTAATTGATCTCCTTTTTCAATTACCAGAAGGCCTGAAGAACTGAGGGCTGATGTCATCTCCAAGCTATATACTGTTTTTGCCGTAAAGGGTTTTTTGTTGCGTCACAATGAGTCACACTGCGACTTCGAGCCGCCGCCGCATTGATATCGACCCACATGAGCAATAACACAAACCACCCAGTGCCAGCCAATAGACTGTGCTTTTAGCGAGGTACACAGGAAAAGCGAATAAAATAATTCAAGATTTGCCCAAAATTTTAATCTTTCTTTGACCTAACTAGATTTTTTTTTGTTATTTAATTATTTAATTTATAAACATAAATTTTGTTAGGTAATGTCTTTTACCACTTTGATATTATTTAATAAATTAATTATTATTAAAGCTATTACAAAAAAAAAAAAACACCAATTTTCTGTGAGGTAGTTAAAAAATAATTATAACTTGTTGGTAAGAGATGAGAGTATAGGAACTAAATAGATAAAGTATATTGCAGTATATTATTGCATCTCTATTTTAACTGAAATGAATATTAAAAATTGAGATGATTGAAGAATTAAAAAGGGAGCAGACGTTCGGCAGTTAAAGCACTCTAATAAAAAAGCGCCTATATGGAGGACAAAATTCAATTTATCAAATTTTTTTTACATATTACAATTTACTCCCCATGAATTATTATTTTGTGCATCAAAAATTTTTCAATGATTTGAAATCATTTAAAAATTTAATTTGTTCGTGAATTTATTAATTTATAATTTAATTGTCCAAAAGCTTGTATGCAGATAAAAATATTTTTGGCTGCGATCGATTGAGCTGGAGGACCAGAATTGAGAAAACTTTCAAAGGCTCCCGCGGATTTCTTCAACATCGCCATATCAAATAGATCTCTTGCGCTCGTTGAATAATTGATCTTCTCTAAATAAAATTCTTAATCAAAATGTATTTCAAGATCTGTCTAGCCGTATTTATCCTAAATTTTGGACAAATTTCTTCTAATTTTGACTTTTTCAAAAATTCTTTCTGCAAAGTTCGGAAGAGATCGACCAATGAAAATGTGGGACGCTGTTCCATATTAGGAAGTAAATGGAAGGCAGCCAATCGTTGCCCGGCAACGCCTTGGAGGGGGCCCGACTATATATACCCCACTCCAACGGAAAATTTTTCATTGCTATTTGAACAGACGAACATTACTCCGTTCTGTCTTATAGCGAGATTACTATCTCAATTATCTTCAAGTCATTTGAATTTCCGCACCTAAAACTCAAACAAAATGGTAAGTCCTCAACTTCAGCTTCACTTTGATGTATTTTTTAAAGCCGTGGACCGAAATTTAGTCGAAGAATTCTCGATTTGAAATATTGACCGCACCCGACCGAAGCCGACAACCGCCATGATGGCGTGGCTTACGTGTAACGTAATCGCCGGTTTCCTTTTTGGGAAAATCAATGTTTAGTTGAAGTATTATTTTGAATTTGGTTTGTAAGTAAACCTCTTCGATGCTTGTTAATCGTTAATTTGAAAAATTCTTGCCGGAAATGTTAAAATTTTGGGCCTCCACGAATTCCACGATAATTAAAATTGAATTTTTTGGCATGGAATTTTCTAGATTTTTTTTGTTATTGACCAAGATTGGTGATTTTCATTGAAATAAATGGAAAATTGAACAATCTTATTCCTGCAAGTCCTGCAACACGGGCTTCGAATTTATACCGGCATTTTTGTATCGCCGGCCATCTTGTCCTGACATAAATTTATAATACATATTTCTTTCTTTCAGCGTGAGTGCATCTCTATCCACGTTGGCCAGGCTGGAGTCCAGATCGGCAATGCCTGCTGGGAGCTCTACTGCCTTGAGCACGGCATCCAGCCTGATGGCCAGATGCCCTCTGACAAGACTGTTGGAGGTGGTGATGACAGCTTCAACACCTTCTTCAGTGAAACTGGAGCTGGAAAGCACGTCCCCCGTGCTGTCTTTGTTGATTTGGAGCCTACTGTCGTTGGTGAGATATTTTTATTTTTTCATGAATGTAAATTCAATAATTTGATGAAAACTTTTACATTAATTAAAAATTCGGTTTACTGATAACAAATTCTTAACTTTGTAGATGAGGTTCGTACCGGAACTTACCGCCAGCTCTTCCACCCTGAGCAGCTGATCACTGGCAAGGAGGACGCCGCCAACAACTACGCTCGTGGTCACTACACCATTGGCAAGGAAATTGTTGATCTGGTTCTCGACCGCATCCGCAAACTGGCCGACCAGTGCACTGGTCTGCAAGGCTTCCTGATCTTCCACTCCTTCGGCGGTGGTACTGGCTCTGGATTCACCTCTCTATTGATGGAGCGTCTGTCTGTTGACTACGGAAAGAAGTCCAAGCTTGAGTTCGCCATCTACCCCGCACCCCAGGTGTCCACTGCTGTGGTCGAGCCCTACAACTCCATATTGACCACCCACACCACCCTGGAACACTCCGACTGCGCCTTCATGGTTGACAATGAGGCCATCTATGACATCTGCCGCCGCAATTTGGACATTGAGCGTCCCACCTACACCAACTTGAACCGTCTCATTGGCCAGATTGTCTCAAGCATCACCGCCTCCCTGCGTTTCGACGGCGCCCTCAACGTCGATCTTACCGAGTTCCAGACCAACTTGGTGCCCTACCCTCGCATCCACTTCCCTCTCGTCACCTACGCCCCAGTCATCTCGGCTGAGAAGGCCTACCATGAGCAACTGTCCGTCTCGGAGATCACCAACGCCTGCTTCGAGCCTGCCAACCAGATGGTCAAGTGCGACCCTCGCCATGGCAAGTACATGGCCTGCTGCATGCTGTACCGTGGAGACGTTGTGCCCAAGGATGTCAACGCCGCCATTGCCACCATCAAGACCAAGCGCACCATCCAGTTCGTCGACTGGTGCCCTACTGGCTTCAAGGTCGGCATCAACTACCAGCCACCCACTGTCGTCCCTGGAGGCGATTTGGCCAAGGTTCAGCGTGCTGTGTGCATGTTGAGCAACACCACCGCCATTGCCGAGGCCTGGGCTCGTCTTGACCACAAGTTTGACTTGATGTACGCCAAGCGTGCCTTCGTCCACTGGTACGTCGGCGAGGGTATGGAGGAAGGAGAGTTTTCCGAGGCCCGTGAGGACTTGGCTGCCCTCGAGAAGGATTACGAAGAGGTTGGCATGGACTCGGTTGAGGGAGAAGGTGAAGGCGCTGAGGAGTACTAAAAGTGCTTTTCTGCTTGTCACTGGGCACCCAACCTGAGGCTTGACTGCATTCTGGCGCACCTTTAATTTTGAGTCTGATTATACCATTCCAAAGATGTCAAGCCTCTTGAATGAATAAAAATGACAAAAAAAAAAAATCATGTAATTTCATTTTAATTTTGATAAGATAATTCCTATTATTCAAAAAATGATACTTTTTAGAGAGCTTCAGATTTCAGTGTTAAAAAATATTCAAAGAAACTACTGGCTGCGCTTCATATGAGACTGGTAAAATTATTTTGCACTTAAGTCTAATTGTAAATAGTAAACAGCTTTATTTCACTGCGCACAGTTACTTCAGTCAAAAAAGCTGTGCTGTTATAATATATAGTTAAAGACTCCTTATTGATGTAGTCAAATCAAGTCTTTGCAACAATAGAAGCAATTTTTGGCAATTATTGTAAATTTAACAAACCATTGTTGTACAGACTTGATTTGACTGTATCAATAAGAAATCCTTAATAATACTAGTGCTGTGCTCAAACTTGGTACATAAATAGCTACTGTGAAAATTTATGATGTGATTTAACAATTTGGACGAAAAAAAAATATATATATTTGGATATTTGTTGGAAAGGGTAAATTTTTATTAGCCAACTAATTTGCTTGTAAATCACTCTTTATACATCTTGCTTTTTGGGAGTTTTCTGTCAATTTTATTTTAGAAATTGACAATTTTAGCAAAGTAAAAATAATTAAATTTAACATACATCAAGCATTGTCAATTCTTGATCGTTGCAAGTAAGCCATATTTCATTCACATTCTTCATTTCATAATTTGTATGTAATAGAATTAAGGTTCTGAAGGGTATGAACACTATGAACTTATTTAAAGCTTTTAAAGTAAACTAAAACTCGCTAAAACTGTCATTATTAAACTGTCGAAGATCTTATATATTTTTAAATATTAATAAATCGAAATAAATGAAAGATCCTTGACTTAAGTTTTTAAATAAAATATCTATTTGAGTAATATATCAAAATTTGTATCCAGATTCCAGATCAATAAATTAGGAAAAATTATAAATGAATAGTCAAATTTAAATTATACCAATTAAACCCAGTGGCCAGTGCATTCCGTACAATTCCGTGTTCGCGCCGTTCACGTTCTTCTAGTGCGCTCGGATGCACTCGGGTGGTTGCAACTTAACAGTACAGACATCTAGCGTCGGATTTGGGTATGAAAAATAAAACATTGGTTCCAGAAAACGCGGGCAGCAAACCAGCGTGAGCGTGAACTTTCGCGGCATTCGCCATATTTATTTGTTTGCCCGGAAAGTTAAAACGTTTGCTTGTGCCCTCAAGAGTTCGTTGATTTTTTCGAAATTCGGCTCGATTTATGGTGTGATCATCGCCGACCAGCTTTCCGATCCATCCAAAAATGGGCTCGAGTTACAAATTGGACAAAGACGCGTTCTCGCGCAGACTGAAACGCTTGTACGACATGTGGAAGGTGAGACCATTCGCCGACAACATGGGCTGCTTTTAGTTTTGGCGAAACCATAAATTAAGCTCGTTGCCTGTTACCCTTAACCATGCAATTTCTAAATTATAGGAGCCTGATGAAAAGTGCGAGGGCGGCTTCAAAAACATGGACGCATTAGTTGTTCCAGTCGGCAACACGGAGGAGATAGTTTACTGCAAATCAACCTCACTGCAAGTAAAACAAAAACAAAATTCAATAATTTCAACAACTATATAATATGCTATTATTCTGTAACCAGCTCTGGCTTTTCGGCTATGAATTAGCAGATTGTGTAATGGTTTTTGCTGAAAATGAGGTCCACTTCTTAGCATCCAAAAAGAAAATTGAATTCTTGAGTCAGATAGCAGCTGTAAAAAGCGAGGAGGGGATGCCTACCTTTAAATTCCATCCAAGAGACAAGGTAATGTAATTTTCAAACAATGAATCGCTTAATTTTTAATCCTGTGATTTTCATATTCAGTCTGATGAAGACAAGGCCAATTTCAAAACTTTGATGAACATAATCAAAGGAAGTAAAGAAGGAAAAGTTGTTGGGATGTTTGTGAAGGACAAGGATGGTTTTAACGACAGCTTTGTCAAATCTTTCAAAAATACCATGAAGGGAGAAAACTTTGAGATCGTAAGTGAAAATATTTGGTTATCAAGGAACTTTTAACTGTAAATCTCCATTTTAAAATTATAGTTTGATGCATCAACAGCAATGTCATATGCTATGGGACCAAAAGATGATCAGGAGTTGAGTACGACAAGAAAAGCCTGCCAAGTTTCCAGTGATCTGTATAACAAGTACTTGAAAGATCAAATTATGGACATAATTGACTCTGAGAAAGTAAGGAAAGCCTAGACGTTTAGTTTAATAACCAATTAATTACTGTCTTTGGTCGCTTAGAAAGTGAGGCATTCAAAGTTGTCAGAGAGCACTGAAGGGGCCATGAGTGATAAAAAGTATATTTCTGGCTACGACACAAATTATCTAGACATGTGCTACCCTCCTATCATTCAATCTGGCGGAAACTATGCTTTGAAATTCAGTGCCGAAAGGTAACCGATTGTGCTGTACATATTTTTTTTTACTCATAATTTATTTCATGCATTTTCCTTACTAAAAATTGTTGTGTTAACAGTGATAAGAACTGCTTGCATTTTGGAGCTATTGTGTGCTCTTTGGGAGCTAAATACAGGCACTACTGTTCCAACATAACACGAACACTTCTCGTCAACCCATCGGATGAAATCAAAGTAATTTATATTCATATTAAGATACTCATATAAAATCATATTTCTAGGAGTTATATGAAATTGTTGTGGATCTGCAAGAGGAGGTTCTAAAACACCTTGTTCCTGGAGCTAAGCTGAGTGACGTTTACGAAGCTGGAGTAAAGTTCATCAAGGAGAAAAAACCAGACATGCTTGACAGATTCACAAAAAATTGGGGGTACTTTATTGAAAAAGTAAAGTCGATTTAATTTAAACCTTCATAATTACAGATTTTCCATGGGTTTGGAGTTCCGAGACTCTTCATTGATTATTGGGCCCAAATCAACAGGCTACGCCAAAAAGAACATGGTATTCAATGTCAACATGGGAATACAGGACATTAAAAATCCCAAGGGTTCTGACAAAACTGACAAAACCTATGCTATTTTTGTTGGAGATACGGTTGTGGTGAATGAGGTATTTAAACAATAAATATTTTTTTATTTTAAAACTTTTCATTCCAAATTATTAGACTGGACCAGCAACCATCTTTACCAACATCAAGAAAAAAATCAAAAATGTTGGAATTTTTATAAAAGAGGAAGAGGATGAAGAGGAAGAGTCTGAGAAGGAGGACAAAAATGATGAGGTTCCAAAAACTCTTCTTGGCAGGGGCAAAAGAACTGCGGTGCTGGATAACAAATTGCGTGTGGAATCGTCAACAGAGGAAAAGAGAAAACAACACCAAAAAGAATTGGGTGCAGCCATGAACGAAGCAGCTCGTCAGCGTTTAGCTGAACAGGGCAGTGGTCAGCAAGTTGAAAAGGTCAGGAAGTCAACCGTGTCGTATAAGAGTGCTTCTCAAATGCCACAGGAGAACGAAGTGAAAGAGCTCAAAATTTTTGTTGGTAATTTTTGTTGTATCATGTAACTAGCCTCTTATAATATAAATTCATATTAATTTTTCAGATCGAAAGTATGAAACTGTTCTACTTCCCATTTTTGGCCTTTCAGTGCCATTCCACATTTCTACAATTAAAAACATCTCTCAAAGTGTGGAGGGAGACTACACCTACTTGCGGTAATGTGACTCCTGTTATAATTAACTGGAATTAATTTAAAATAATTTACAGAATTAACTTCTTCCATCCTGGCGCCACTGTAGGCCGTAATGAAGGTGGTTCATACTCTCAACCAGATGCAACCTTTGTGAAGGAGATGTGAGTTTTTCAGCGAATTTAAATGTCAATTGTGTTTCATAAATTCATTTCTCAGGACGTACCGCAGCACAAATGTTAAAGAGCAAGGAGAATTGTCTGCTCCGAGCTCTAACTTGAGCACAGCTTTCCGTCTGATCAAAGAAGTCCAAAAGAAATTCAAAAACAGAGAGGCTGAGGAAAAAGAAAAGGAAGATTTAGTGAAGCAAGATACTCTGGTCATCAGCACCAACAAGGGCAATCCTAAACTCAAGGACCTGTACATCCGTCCTAATATTGTCAGCAAACGAATGACTGGTGAGTGAATAAGGTTGATATATTGGTTGGACACAAAATAAATTTGCAAATTTAAGGCGTGCTTGAGGCTCATACAAATGGATTCAGATACACGTCTGTTCGAGGAGATAAAGTTGATATTCTTTACAACAACATTAAACATGCTTTCTTCCAACCATGTGATGGGGAAATGATTATCCTCCTGCACTTCCATTTAAAGGTTAAAAATTGCATTAAAACCCCATCCTTTTTGCATTGATTCTTGTTTTTTAGCATGCCATTATGTTTGGCAAGAAAAAGCACATTGATGTGCAGTTCTACACAGAAGTTGGAGAAATCACCACTGACTTGGGTAAACATCAGCACATGCACGATCGAGATGACCTGGCTGGCGAGCAAGCTGAAAGAGAACTTCGCCACAAATTGAAATCTGCATTTAAGAGCTTCTGTGACAAAGTCGACACTATGACAAAGCAGGAGGTTGACTTCGACACTCCGTACAGAGATCTTGGCTTCCCTGGTGCTCCATTCCGAAGTACTGTGCTCCTGCAGCCAACCAGCGGTTGCCTTGTAAATCTCACTGAATGGGTATGCGTGTTGTTTCCAATCTTAGCAAAGATAAAATTACAAAATTATTATTGTACAGCCTCCTTTTGTCATCACCTTGGAAGACGTTGAGTTAGTTCACTTTGAGAGAGTGCAATTCCACCTTAAGAACTTTGACATGGTGTTTGTCTTTAAAGACTACAGGCGGAGGACTGTTATGGTGAATGCAATTCCTATGAATATGCTTGACCATGTTAAGGAGTGGCTGAAGTAGGTATTTTTGACAAAATAAGGCCTTGGTCGTAAATTTGTGTGTTTTAGTTCTTGTGACATCAGATATACTGAAGGTGTTCAATCTCTTAATTGGGCAAAGATTATGAAAACCATTGTGGATGATTCTGAAAATTTCTTTGAATCTGGTGGTTGGAGTTTCTTGGATCCTGAATCAGGTTCTGAAAAGGAGCAGGAATCGTCAGAAGATGAGGAAGATGAAGTCTATAAGGTGAATTTAATTTCTTGCTTTCTATTTAACAAGGATCTGAACATATAACTATTTCCCAGCCAACTGATGAAGAAAGTGTTGAAGAATCAGAAAGTGACAGTGACGACTATTCTGAGTATTCTGAAGACTCTGAATCAGCAGAAGGTAAATTTTTAATTTCCTTTCAAAATTGTATGTACCATTTTTAAAATGCTTTTAGAACTTGGAAGCTCAGAGGAATCTGGAAAAGATTGGTCTGATTTGGAGGCTGAGGCTGCTGCTGCTGATAAAGAAGATTCCCTCGTTGTAATAGCATTTTTTTTTTAAACCTGCTGCAACTGATTTTTTTGTTATATTAGGACGAGTTTCCAAATAAAAAGGGATCAAGTAGCAGTAACCAGAAGCATGGCAGTAGCAGCAAGCATACCAGCAGCAGTAGCAAACATCACAGCAGCAGCAAGCATAAGAGCCCTGAGAAGAGACATGGTTCATCCAGGAGCCACAGTTCTTCACCAAAGAAGAGCCATAAGGACAAACACAGCAGGTAGACTACTTATATAATTTCTTAAAACAACATTAGCTGATACTTTATTATGTTCCAGTCCTAAGAAGTCTTCTCACAGCAGCAAAGACAAATCAAGTTTGAAAAGAAGCCATGGCAGCAGCCACAGCAGCAAGGATAGCAAGCGATCAAGGAAATAAATTATTTTTTATACCTCTGCTGTAGACCATTCCGTATAGTAGTATCAATCAGTGTAATTTCAACACAGCCAAAACCATTACTTTTAATTGTCAGATTTTAATTTCCATAAAATTTTCATTCTTATAACTTTCTTAAAATTTCATTGATGTGCTCTTGCAAGGAATAAAATAATGATCTTAATTAATTATACATGACGTGCAAAATTGTTTTCATTAAACTGAAATGTTCCAGTTACTTTAAAAAGACTGCTTATTAATGTAGGTAGTAAAAGATATTTCAAATTTTTTTTTCCAATTTTGTACTGTAATACTTAAAATTTTCATGTGTAAAATTAGTGTTTCAATTTATTTATCCCAAATTTATCCTATGTTATTTTTAAAACGAAGTGTTTTTGAAGGATTTTTGAGAATATAAATTTGGCTTTTAAGTTTTAGCTATATTAAATGTTTACAGCATTAATAAACTTAAGTATAATATAATCACGTATCATCACTTTGCTGATTAATGCAAATCATTATTTTAATTAAGTGATAGAAAAGCGGGAAACATTCTGGTAATTGTGCTCCTTTGTAGACTCCCCACTTGCTCCTCCCACTTGCTTCAAGTGGTGGTGGTGGAAGTGTATCATCTGGAAAAAATGTTGAGTTCATGTTGATCATGTTTGTTCGCCTCGTTTCATTGTCAACAAAAGTCCTCCTGTTCGCGAGATTAATTATTTTTATACCAAGTTATGAGACGAGCAAATTCAGTAACGTAGCTTAATAGTAAATGTTTCCGAAAAGCGAGGGTATGTAAATCATTTTTCAAAAACAGCAACAAAAACAAAACGCATCAGCGAACAAAGCTTTGACACACAGCAGAGTGGCAGCTTTTTACCTGAAATTGGTAAGGTCAACATTTTTTTTATAAATATTAATATGTATTATTATAATTGATTGGATCTTTTTTCCTTCTGAAGAAAAATTTATGGTCTCACTTGTGTTTGTAACACACGCATAATAAAAAGTGCTCATATCTGCTTGCAATGATTATAATGTTTACCGATGTTTACATTATTAGCCTGTTAAAAGCTCTCCTTGAAGATTCATAATTGTGTGGACGAGAGGGTTATTATTAGTACACACCTCAACTGATTTCATAGGCAGACAAAGACAATAATGAAATATAGCTCAACAATATGTATTAATTATTACAAAAATAAAATTTCCCCATGGTAAAAATGCATACAGATATTTTTGTCCATGAATTTTACAGAATTAGTTTATTTATTGGAATGGTTTTTCATTATAGTACGTTAATAATAAGAAAGGTTGAAAAACTTGAAATGAATTACATCTGTATTTGTGCTTAACTAGAACTATATCCCCTTCTTCAAAGTAGAAATTACAGATATTTCAGCTTTGAAAAAATTACGACTGCTTTATGAAGTCAGAGGCAATACAAATTAATTCAATTCTCATTTTATTATTTATAAACGCTTTTTTTTATATCTATGAAAGTAATAATTAACACATTTTTCAAAGAATTCTATGGTTGATCCCTGACGATGCTATTCTTTTATAAATAAATTATTTAATCAAATTCAAAATTTATAATAAGAATAAAATAAACAAATTTTTTAAAAGGAAAGACTCATTGAAGGCCAATTAACCATTGTTAAATATTTTCTGTAGAATAAGATTTTTGATGGAATCAAGAGAAGTTTCTGAATGTTTTAAATTTGATTATAATTATAAATTGATATAATTATATTATTATTTTGGGGAAAAGTTTAAGCAAACTTTGGATTAGTTACATAAATTTAATTATTATGATTAAACTTATATGCCCAAAATCAATAACTTGTAATGTAGCGAGGAAACGTGCCAACTAGCATTAAGGTTTTTTCTTTGACGAGTCACAGGGAGCGTACGTACTATATACAATCAAGAGGGAGATAACATCCTAGCATCTCATTAAAATTTGATATATGGAAAATTGTTGATATTATGTAACAGTGCTGCTAAATTTGCAAAAAAATCTAAATATAAAAAGGGATGAATGAATAAATAATATTGTTATTTTTGCCAATTGAAAGTAAAAATTTGGTTAGAATCCTTCACTTGCTAATGGCATGCATTTTTTAATTACTTTTAATAAATAGCTATAGGGAATTAATGCATCAAAATAATCTTTTTTCAGAAATGACTCTTTAAAAAATGGAGTACACCAGGCCCGAGTCACCAGGGTCAGAGGAGGCGCGTCCGCCTAAAGTGCCAAAGGCTCTGCCGGTGTTGCAGCCATCCGAGCTGGACTCGGGTGTCTCAAGTTGCATTGAGACCAATTATTGCATACCCTCGTATCTATCTGAGGCAATGAAGGTATGGATATTTTTATTTAAGACAATAATTAAGTCAAACACTACTTTAAAATATGAGAGAAGGCATTTGTTGTATATTAAAAATCAGATTTCAATATTGCTGAACTCTGAAATATTAATATTTTTTTCTAAAACTGGCAATAAAACTTTTACTTTTCTTTAGAATTTAATTCAACCTCATTTAAAACCATAGTAATAAGTAATTACAGCAGGAAATACATTATTGTATTTCCTGAGCTTTTTAACTTAACTATGTTGAGTTGAGTATTACAAATTTTTCAAAATTTCTGCAGAATGTGCTTATAGAGAACTTTTATATTTAAATTTTCAAAGGTTATCCAAGTCATGTCATGAGCATTTTTCTAATACGACTTGTGAAGGGTAGGGCGAATCAAATTCCTTAGTCATGCAAGCATGTCATGCAAGAGCGAGTAGTGCAACTCATCCTGCGCTCATACTGTGCGCTGCCGGCGGAGATTTTACTTTAATATCTGAAGCCGCGCTGTTGATAAGATAGCATTAGCTAACTTGGCGAACTTTTACTGTCATGATATTAATTAAAACCGTAAAAACTTATTGACGAAATTTTTTGTAGAATTATCTTTTAACTTCCTCAATCTTGATTTTTATTGGCGTGATACAGATTCCTCTGATTTTTCCTCTAGTCACGATGAGCAAGCAAGGAAACTTGTGATGAGATACTCATTGCTCATGCCTATATCAGCAAATTTCTTTACACCGCATTCTGCGAAAAATATCTACAAAAAAAAGAAACAATATTAAATACAAAATTGCTATTTAAGTTTGCGTTCATCATTAATTTATTAAAAAAAAAATGAAATACTTTTTAATTAAAAATACATTAAATTAACAGAAAAAAAATGCGTTTAGGATTAAAATCTATTGAAAGTAAAAGTATGCGTCCATATATTTTACCAACGTGTAATGCTGAGGAATAAAATATTTCCAGATGATGCAAATGATGCGCTCTCACAAAATGCTGACGGATGTTGTGCTCGAAGTTGGCTCAGAACTGATCCATGCTCATAAAGTGGTTCTCGCCGCCGCTAGCCCTTATTTTAAAGCTATGTTCACTGGTGGTCTGCGAGAATCTGACATGGAGCGAGTCAAACTGCAGGGCGTTTGTCCCACAGCAATGGCTGCCATTGTCCGATTCATGTACACTGGCATTGTGAATGTGTCCGAACTCACCGTCTGTCAACTCCTACCAGCTGCCACTATGTTCCAGGCAAGTAGACTTTCTTAAAATTTACTTCACTTAAATTTGGAAAACATTAAAAATAATTTTTCAGATTAACGATGTGATTGACGCTTGTTGCTCCTTTCTCGAGAGACAGTTGGACCCTTCAAATGCAATTGGCATATCATCATTTGCCCAACAACATGGCTGTGATGACTTGTTTTGGAAAGCACAGCACTTTATTGAGAGATATTTTACACAAGTACCATAATTTAATTTTATTTGATGGAATTTTCTAATGTCAGGTCCATCCAATTTTTAAATTAGGTGTGCCAAGAGGAAGAGTTCCTTCAATTATCTCCCACACAACTAGTGAACCTGATCAAGAGAGATGGCCTCAACGTTCAAGAGGAGATGCAAGTTTATGAAGCGGTGATCAAGTGGGTTCGTTATGACGAGGAGAACCGATCACCAAAAATGGAGAATATTCTGTCGTCGGTGCGATGTCAGTTTCTCACACCAACTTTTCTAAAGCAGCAAATGAACAACTGTGATGTTCTTAAACGGCTTCCAGCGTGCAGAGAGTATCTGGCTAAAATTTTTAAGGTATGACGTTTTTTTTAAATTGTCTCTATATAGATTTGTACTTGATGTAACACTATTACAGGACTTAACGTTGCATAAAGCTCCGTGCGAAAAAGAGAGAAAGCCTAACACGCCTAGATTAATTTACATTGCTGGTGGATACTTGAGGCATAGTTTAGACAAATTAGAGGCCTATAATGTTGATAATCAGACTTGGAGAGAGCTTGCAAAATTGCCTGTGCCAAGATCAGGTCTTGGTGGAGCATTTTTAAAGGTAAAGTTTAAAAGGCTCCAAATATTCTATTTCTGTAATTATAAAATAATTAATAAATTGCTTGCATAGGGGGTCTTTTACGCTGTTGGTGGCAGAAACAACACACCTGGCTCTAATCAGGACTCCGACTGGGTCGACAAGTACTGTCCAGCACAGAATCAGTGGAAGAGGTGTGCTCCGCTCTCCGTCCCTCGCAACCGTGTAGGTGTTGCTGTCATGGATTGTCTGGTATATGCAGTGGGTGGTTCAGCAGGGTGTGAATGTCATAAGTCTGTTGAGAAATACGACCCTGAAGAGGATAAATGGAGTCCGATTGCTCCAATGCACCAAGCACGTCTGGGAGTTGGTGTTGCTGTGGTGAATAGATTGCTCTACGCTATTGGTGGTTATGATGGAAAAGATAGACTGGACACAGCCGAGTGTTATCACCCTGAAAATGATGCCTGGCACATGGTGGCGTCAATGAGCACCAAGAGAAGTGGAGCTGGTATGTAGATTTACTGGAAAGGATTCTCGTTTTTATTAGACAATTTTTGCAGGCGTTGTAGCCTTGGGCAACATGATTTATGTTGTTGGCGGATATGATGGGAGCAATCAGCTCAACACTGTCGAAAGATACAACACACAGACCAATGAGTGGGAACAAATTGCACCAATGTCGGAAGCACGCAGCGCTTTAAGCGTGACTGCCTTGGATGGGAAAATCTACGCAATGGGTAATTTATTAGACAATTTTGATTTTGTGAATTTAAGATGTTTTAAAATTTTCAGGGGGCTATGGTGGCCAAGGGCAGTCATTTTTGACAATTGTTGAAGTGTTCGACCCAGAAAGAAACGTGTGGCAGCTTGGCACAGAGCTCACTTGTGGCAGGTCGGGTCACGCGTCTGCCGTATCATACCACCAATGCCTGGTGCATCGAGACCAACAAAGCACAAAACCAGACTGACGAAAAATGAAATAATCTTAGATGTTCAAGATGCAATAACCCTCTCAATTTCTTCCTGCTGGCTCTTAATGAATGTGAGAGACACATAGTTTTTTATGAAGCCCTCTCCTCAAGGCATTTTTGTGAATGATGAGCTAGTCAGTTAAGTCAGTGTTTAAAATACAGTGTGTTGATATGCAATGTATTTTTTTTATCTGTTATTTAACCTCCGTTTTTGCAAGCTATTGCAAATTTCCTGACTTATTTTATAGATATAGGAGATAGGAGTTATAGGCAATCAGATAACAATGTTTACCATTAGATGATAATAATAGAACCTCTCTGATGCTCTGACCTCTCTCGTGATTAATCACGAGATTTTGATAATATCTGATTTTCAATTTTTCGTGTAAAAGAAATATTTTTTAACTGACATGATCGAATGACAAATAATAGGCATTGATTAAATTTTTACATTATATTCTGATGCTTATCGTTCTAAAACTATTATTTGATATTAATAGACTTTTTCTTTTTAAATTTGTTAATGTTTGTTAATATATTATCTTGTAGCAAATTTAAATTCTTATTGCAGACCAATAATTATTGCATCCTTGAAAAGAAAATTTACATATTTTATAAAATATCCATAAAATCATCTTTGTCATTCTATTTTTCCTAACAAAAAAAAAACGTTTTTTTACAGCCAAAAAAAGTGCAAAAAATTTATGAGATAATGTAGAGGCGATAATAAATTATTCTCAGGTAGAATTAAAAAAGAACCCTTGCTTCCTGTACTGGCTGTACTTTCTGTAGACTTCAGATTTTATTAGGCGGTCATCACTGTGTCACCGAGTTGGATTTATGATTTATTCAACTCGTGTTCTTGCCCGTGTGCCCGGTAGAGTCGAGTCCCTAAGGCCTACGGTAGAGGGAGGGAGGAGAGAGAGAAAATCAAAACAATCAAAGATGGCGGATCATGAATGTGGTAAGTTGAGATACCAAGCAAAATTTTGCAGAAAATGCAATTTTCAAGCTGAATGTACCAAATTAATTACATGGAACATATAAACCAGTTTATGAAGAAAGCTTTGAAACCAAAATTTCCCAAATAAAAAGCGCCGCGGCTGAAAGCATCCTTCAAACAAACCACCTTTCTCTGGGTCGGCTTTCATTTCTGTTGATCAATGAATCATGTTGATTTTGATGTCAAATATCATCACATTGTCGGCCAACTTTCTCTGAATTTTTTAAATTTATATCTAATCACTTATCACAGTATTTTTACATAATTCTTGCATGTTTGCTTTTGCAGAAAACTCATCCTCAGCGAGCACATCTAGCTTGGGAGAGCAAATCGTAAGCCAGATTATTTTCTGTTAAAATGTGATCATACAGTTCTTCAGAATTTTCTTCTCAATCTTGCAACCTAAATATAAAAAAATTTTCAGGATGGTCCTAGCAATGAGCCAAGCACAAAGATTGTGATTAGTAACGAACCGAGTTATAAAGAAGATGGTATGTACATAACATACTACCATATTTTTGTGTTTTATAATTATTTTTCTGCAACAGATGTCAAAGAAGATGACGCAGACTGTAAAGGGATGTACACTGCTGGTACTCGTGGCTTCCCACCCTCGCGATTTGCCTCGCGAGGTAATGTTTCCAAATTTATGCTTTGCATTTGCAATTTAAAGATTATGAAACATATATTATTTATTTTATTTAGTGGCATTCGGAGGTCCACACGCTTTGGGTGGCAACCCGTTTGCAGCCAAACCCACTTTCAACCGACCTTCAATGGATGAGGGGAGTCCATCATGGCCAGGATTAACGCCAAGCAAATTGGGAGGATCGTTTGGCTCTCCAGCACCTTCCCCATTGTCCTCAAAATTTGCCCTTAAACCTTCAGCCTTTGGTTCACCATCAAGTGCAAACAGTTCTCCAATGGCTGCTGCTCCTAAAACTAGCTTTCCCTTAAATCCATCAAGGCTAGGAAATACATTTGAAAATAAAGGTATAAATTTCAGCATATTAATATATACAATTTTTGTAATTTAAATCTTTTAGCGTCGCTTGAAACATGCAATATGGACGAAGAAGAAGAAGAAGAGAAAAAGAAAGACGAGGCTTCAGAGGCAGTTGAAAAAGCAAATACACCTGCCTCTGTAAAATTTGTTCCTCTTGGCACACCAGGCGGTTCAACTTCTGTGTCCAATGAAAGGTATTATTAATTGAAATGGGTGATAATGATTAACATTTATACATAATGATTAAAATTCAAAGTTCATCTGCCAACGTCATTTCAACTCCAAGTAGTTTTGTCTTCGGCCAAAATTTGAGAGAAAGAGTTGTGGTAAGTTTTATATCTAAAAATAAATGGGGGATTTTCACATGCTAAGTTAGCACCAGCAAATCCCATAATAAAGTTAGCATGTGAATATCCCCCAATATTCATTAAATTAATAAAAATAATTAGGAATCCAATACACCAGCAAGTAGAAGTGGGGAAAGTACTTTCCAAGAACCTTCTTCTCACGAGCAAAATGTAAGTAAAATAATTCAAAGACACTGGTGAGTGGCTTATAAAAAAATCTCTTGTTAGGGCACGTGTTGTGAAGAAGCCAAGGAGGCGGTGCCTGCTACTAATGGATTGTCAACTGGAGAAATGCTTTTTTCCGCTGTACTAAAAAAGGACACTCCTGGAGATGCAAGTAATGTAAGTTGCAACAATTATTTTCATTTATAACACTATCTCTTTTAGAGGTTAATTTGAAAGTATAAAGCATCATTAATGGGAAATATTTATTACCTTTCTTTGTCTCTTTAGGATTTAGAGGGAACACCTGCAAAAAGTTTATCTGAAGCAGCCCGAGAGTACGAAGAAAGCCGAGCAGTGAAACGGAAGTTTGATGAAGTTGAAGTTAAGACGGGAGAGGAGGAGGAAACCAATGTTCTGCAGATCTCATGCAAATTGCACACATTTGATAAATCAAAAGGCAGTTGGGCAGAGAGAGGTCGTGGCCAACTTCGTCTTAATGATAAAGTAGAGGTAAAATTCCAAGAAGCACCACACAAATCTTGTCTGATAATTTAAAAAATATTCCGTTTCCAGAATCACACATTGTTGTCCCGCGTTATTATGCGCACTCATGGCAGCCTCAGAGTTGTGCTGAACACTAAAGTTTGGCCTGAGATGGTGGTTGATCGTGCTAATGTAAAGAGTGTTCGCTTCACAGCAATGGACGATGACCAAATCAAAGTCTTCCTTGTCACAGTAAATAACAAACTCTTGTATTTTGTATTACTTAAGACCATGAGTACATTGCAGGCGACTCCAAAGGATGCAGAAAACTTATACACCGCCTTGGAGAGACGGGTCACTGCGCAACGCATTAAGACCACTTCAACACCCACTCTAGATGCTGATGTGCCATCACCTGATGCAGCCAACTCCGATGTGGAACAGACCAGGTCATGCATGGATGCTAGTAATCTGCCTGCAGATGAAGAGCCTTCAGCCAAAAAGGGCAGAGGAAGTATAGTGGATGAGCATTCGAATGAAAATTCTCGGGTTGACGCTTCTGACACCACTTAAAGAGTTAAGCATTGTTCGGATTTGGTAAGCTGAAAATTACTATTTTCCATTTATATAACATTGTTTCAAAATGACGAAAACTACTTTTTTAAGAGTGGTGTTACTAAATATCTGTTTTCGGCAAATATTTAGACGATACTGCTATGATAGATGACTAATCTTCTCTCTGAACGCCTATAATTATACATTACAAAACATTTATAGCAAACTTGTTTAACTTTTTAATCTGTCTTTCTGATTGCAGGCTGCTGAACTGACATGAGATTGGATGGTAGCAATTGTGTTTTATTGTGAAAATTTCCCTTCTATATGACTTTTAAAATGAATGCAATTCACAACTTTGCCATTCCAGGATTATGACTAATTGCGAATGTTTGTGTTGGATTAGTTTCATCTTGAGTACATGAGTACAAACTGACGAAAATTCTTTGCATATATTTTGTATTTAAGTTAAAAAAAATAATTCTGTGCATTACTAATAGAAAAACCCCAATTTATATTTTACTATAGTCCACATAAATGATGTTCCCTGTGGACAACTCAGAAAAAGCAATTATTCTCCTGTTTTAAACGCACTGTTACGATGATTGCATTGAATACAAATCTGTTTTAAGTATGAATGATATGAGATGTAATTATTTCTCTTTCCTTTGTCGATGAAGATAATATACAGGTCTCGGCCGTGGTGTTATTACAGCGGCTGGCTGGAGCTACGTTTTAAATTTTTCCAGCAGTTGGCCCAAAACTGAATGAAGTCAGAGAGTCCTTATTATTGGCCAAAGGCCGAACGTCCCATTTTTATTTTTTTCTCAATCGGCTGAAATTTATAATGCCTCTCAAAAGACAAAAACCCTCAGCCACCAGGCACCAATTTTTGCAGTGGCTGGTCACGTGACCCAATAATAAGCGACTGGCTGAGACCTCTAAAATATTTCAATTATAAAGTCTGATGGCGCGTTCTTTGAAACAATCGGAAACAATGATTAATAACAAAAAATTGCTATCCATAATAGAGCCGAAAAATTACTTTCTCTTTATTTAAAAGAATTAACTTTAAACTTACGGAGAAGTATGTTTTACAAAATAATTTTTTACTTGTTAGTATTATAATGTTGTTATATTTTTGTAGTAATAATTTACACGCTGGAAAAGTTTTAAAGAGCTCTCCAAGTTAGCGCTACTTTGAACCAATCGGGGCAGTTGAGGCATTGCGCACTTGCGCAGGAAAAACCCCATGCTTTCAACAATCCCATGCTGGAACGAAACAAAAACAAAATAAAACTTGTTGAAACCCGAAATCAAGGAGCCCAAAATTGTGATGCCGACGCCGGCGACGCCCGTTCTTGGCGTTCTTCTTTGCGTTCCTCTATCTACTGACTGACATTATAATGAGCTTCTCTTTTACCTCGAAGGTTTGAAGCTGACCGACAAAATCGATTTCCAAAGTTCAGTTTCAGTTCAGCCGTAGAGCAAACCAAAGCAGTCCAAAGGTGAGGTTGCTTTTTCACCAAAACATAGTTTTTGTCGTTTTTGTTTTTGAAAGTTAACGATTTTGATAAAATTTCAGAGAAAACACAGAACATCAACACGTGGTGCGCTGAAAGACACGCGTCAATTTAGAGATAAAAGGCACTGAAAAAAGCACATAACACTAAAATTAAAAGGTATTTATGTACTACAGTATGTATGTAAAAAAAATGGTAATTGGCCGGGATAATTGGTTACTTTTTAATCTTTTGAATGCTGATGTACATAATGGATAATGGAATGGAAATGCACTTGCAAACTTAAGTGTTTGCTCCATAAATCGGTTCAATGACAACTGATTTATGTATGAAGTGACAAAAACAATATACATTTTACGCATTTTACTAACAAAACATATTTTGCTTTCTGATATTTAATACAATTTTTAATACCATGTTTAAACTGATCGCACTGTATGATTTAAATTATATTATTAAATTATTTAAAATTTGTTATAGTTTAATATATTTTGCGAAGAGGTTAAATGAAAAAATGCAAATGTAATACATTTGTGAAAATATTTTAGGTCGGGGCCTATAGTCGCTAAAATGGAGAAGAGTCAAGCTGCACATGACTCACCAGAGAGCCCTGACTTCATGTCAGATGATGATTGGACAGACATCGAGGAGGCGGATGAAGACGACAAAGTTGACGAAGAAAGTGATGAGGAGGAAGAGGACCAAAGAAAGGAGAAAAAGCAAGATGAGAACTGCTACATGCCTCTCTGCATGCTACCCATTGGCATGAGCAGTGTCCTGTGGCAGCACTTTGGATTTCCAATGTGGGATGAGCCTGCTGGATCATTGGTCACAGGAATCATCACCAGAGACTATGTGGTGTGCACTTACTGCCAGCAGATAGTACTCTTCCAACCAAAAGTCTTTCAGAAAATGCGTGAACACTTAATAAAAAGCCATCCGAGGGTGCTCAAAGGTGGTTTGGCTGTAGAGCTAGTCCACTCTCCACTTTCTGAACTCAAGATGCTGCCCAATGTCCCCGTAAATGACAAGAAGGGTGAAAAAATTGATGAAATGAGGCTGAATAGACAAAGGAGAACGGAACATTATGACACAGGAAATAATGTTAGAGATCTTGTGCTTGGATTTGGAATTGGGATTCTGGACCTTCCATCTCTTGTCTATGATTCATTCAAAGCTCTCACAGATACTTTGAGCGAAGGTGCTTCAGAGTCTGTTAAGAAGGGTTTGGATTTCACACTTGAAGATTTAGAGGAAATGCTAACAATGAGGTACTCTGTTGTCAAAGAGCGGGTGAAAGCTACCCTTGCAGAGTGCATGGAGTACAGTGTGAGCGTTGAGGAATGGCTGGACGAGGAGAAAGATGCATTTCTCACCTTCTCTGTGAATTACACTAAGAACAAGAAGCTAATCAATTCAATCTTGCTTACTAGACCCAAATACCTGCCAGAGATGAAGATTCACATGAAGGACTTGTTTGAAATGTGGGACCTTCGGAAAGAGAAGATTACAGCTGTTGTCAGCAACACTGACGTCAACTTTGCAGAATACTGGGAATTTGACCCCAAAACTCAGTTCATCCCTTGCTTCTTTAAAGTTCTCACGTCAATTGTGAAAGACAAGCTGCTCCGCCTGGCTCATATGAAGAGACTCATGCAAAGTCTGGATCTGGATTTCTCCTCACAAGACGACTTCGAGGATATGTATGATGCCATTCAAAGCAGGAATGAGAACTCAGTGGGATGGGACATCAGCAGGGTGGAAAAGAGTCTCTTGAACAATTTGGTGCAAGTGCTATCAATTTTGAAACTCTGCGCTGACACAGTTGCCATGGAGCGCCCCGCTGCTCTGATGTCCATGCTTTGGCCTATGCTGCACCAATTGCAGAAGAACTTTCTAAATGCTGATCTCAACAAGGATGAACCAGAGGTGTTTGAAATGAAGAATGTATTGATGACGTCCCTCTTGGCTGCATATCAGCATGCTTTGCCACTCATTCAAACTGCCACTTTGCTGGATCCTCGATTCAGGTACACTATTTTTTTTTTTTTTTCATAAATACAGTCTTTGAAGTTTGAAATGAATTTTGTGCATGCAAAAAAAATATTGCACACCTTGTGTTTAATGAATGTAACAAAATTTTATATCTATACCTATCTATAAAGTTAAATATAAAAATCAGCTTAATCAGCACATTTTATAGTTACAAAAATTTCCTTTGTTCTAGGCTGCTTGGATGCCTCCCAGACTGTGCTGATTTGCAGAAGAAAATATTGCTTGACCTGGAAGCTATTGTCGATGACAAGCATAAAGAGAAACAAGCTGAAATTGAGTATTTGGCCACCTTCCGTACGGAGCAACCCTTGGACTACTTGGTCAGTCCTCTGATCTGGTGGCAGCTTCCTGATCAAAAGAGGCTCTTCCCAAACTTGAGAGTGCTTGCAAGGAAATACCTTTGCATTCCAATCACATGTGAGCCTCCCCGTAGAGTTCAATCTGAGTGGAAGGATAGTGATGCAGAAGGAAATTTCATACTGAAGAGGAGCCAACTCAACTACTTCCAAACTGACCCAATGCTCTTCCTGTGGTCCAACAATCACAATTAATGAATTGACTGTGAGTAACACTTTCAGGATTTTTTTTTATGTGCTATGCCAAAAAGCTGACTTCGGAAGCAGAAGTGTTTCTTTTTTTGTTTGAAATGAAATTCTCAACATGACGCACAAATACAGCGCAATCATATTTTGCAAAATTTAATTTTGAGATAAAACAGCTCAATTTGTATTCGGATTTATTTAAACTTTCTCATTACTAATAATAAAAAAAAAATTGAAATTGAAAATTTATGCATTTGTTGCAATTTTCCTTGCTCGATTGTCTAATTTTTAGTTCTCACTAAAATTGAATATAAACACATTTTTTCATGGCCCACAACCTTCAAGTTTTTAATAATTAGAAAAAATCTTTGATATATTCACTTCTACTGATCGATGCACACACTGCGACACCAATAATTTCGTCTGTGACGTCACCTCCCGATGCGCTCCTTTTCGTTTGCTTACTTTCCATTAAAAATCTCAGCCACCTGCGCTCACTTTTCTCTTTCGTTTCTTTCCTCTCGCTGCCACTCCTGTTTAAACTTAAACATAATCTCAATTGGCACACAGGCAAGAGTATAGAGACGAGAAAGCTAAATTTTGCTGCAGGGTGTTGCTGATCTCTCTTTCACTTCTTTTCGCCTGGTCTGCTCTGCTCACCGTCCACCTTAATTGCATTCATGTCTTGTTTTCTCTTTCTAAGCTGTGGCAAGCGATTTTCGGTTTGAACTTTTTTCTGTTTCTCTTTTTTTACATTTGAAAATTTGTAATAATTAACAATTTTTAAAGTTGAAATTCAAATGTGCAAACTGCACTTAAAAAATAATTAAGGCACTTAACAACCTAAAAGGAAAACAACAAGATTGTTGTGTTATAAGATGCTGAAATCCCATCAATCTAATTTAATAATGAAAATTAAAAAGATCAGACTTGAAGAAAGACCACACTCATTAGGAAACATTGTTAAAAAAATGTTGCGGCTGACAGATCTTTGCTTCTCTTCTAGAACAAAGGTCGATGTCCAAATAATCTGAGTGCGTGCTTATTTGGATAGTTCTAAAAAAAAAAAGACAAAAGTGCCAGAATGCTAGAGTGTGCTCACCTTTTAGCGCGTTCAGAAGTGTGTTTGTTGATCAAAGAATTTCTCCACTTGACTTTTCCCTCCGGAGTAACCACAGACAGTTACAAAACAGCATCACCCCGTGTGTAAAAATGAGATCACTGCTTATTTTATTTGCAATATGTTTTAAATTAAACATTTGATCAAAATTGTTATCACGTATTTTACAATTTATCACACTCACATCCGAATTAATTATCTGCCGACCTCCCCAGTGACCATGGTGGAGGTCGATAATTATTATACCATTGAGCAGACAATTGCAAGTTCAACACCATGCCTGGCAAGCACAATGTGCACGTGCTGTGATGCATTTATCAATTATTATTGTTGCGTGTGTGCCATATAACTAGGTGTGTGTGTGGAGCATAAAAACATGCACACTTCCTTCGATGTCGTGCAAACATGGGCTGCGGTATTAAAAAAATAGGCAGAACCACATAGAGTAAAAATAGAAAAAATTATCAAAAAGTAAGCATATTATAAAAAAGATTTGATACATAATTACATAATCGTAAAGTTAAAAAATTCTTTTAATTCATGACTGCTATTTTTGTTTTATTAACACCTGAAAATCGTATTGATTTTTATTGGTTCCATCGCCATAAATACATAAATTGATGGTGATGAAAATAATCAAAAAGTTAATTTATAAATAAATATTTATACTGCTGAGCTTAGCTGTAGGAAATTAGATAATTATGTTGCTTAATTTGGCAAGTTCTATTGTTTAATATCATTAAAGGCCGCAGAGCTATTTGTTTCATTCTTGATGAAGTATGTATTGGTATTTCAATCAATCAAATGCGTGCCAAACAAATTATCAATTTCCTCAGACGCGCTGCAAAAAAAAATAAATAACGCCGTGTTTTTAAGTATTGGGCTATGCTGGCAATCAAATCGAAATTAACGCGACGTATTTTGAAATTTTGCATGCAAAAAGTTGGTTATTATGGACATTGTTCGCGGTGATCAGGAGCCGGCGATTAATTCGTTACAAAATTGTGAACGAGCGCGACCTGCACTTTTATACAGAGAGCCGAGAATTTCTCTGTGCTCGGCGGCGGAGAGCGAGAGTGATTTCTTATCTAGCTCAATGTCACGGCCGTCGAGAGTGCAAGTGAAACGAACGGAGCACAAATAGCATTTGCCCGCTGCATCTATACCACGCTGCACCATACTGGTGTAACTACCACTCTGTAAGCTCTCGTCTTGCGCAACATAACTGTGTCACTATTATTTACTTCCAACCAGGCTAATTGAACACCTACTTTTGCTGCAGTTTGAATCGGGGGTACATAGACGTGGAGTCGCTCACGTGTGTGAAAGAAAATCCTTGCCGCAAGATCTCCATAGATCGGAATCCGGTCTTTATAAAATCATGCACGCGGTTTTATTTTAAAGGAGAATTTGTGCGTCACAGCTCGCCGGTGGTAATTGGAGTCTTAAATTCAAGGATTCTCTCTATATAAACATTTGGGATTGTAATTTGTGCCGTGGCGCGCAGGAGAATAATTATAATGCCGTCGCGAAGGTTTTACGTGCCGCTGCTTCTGAGAGAAAAAGTTAACGACCTCACCGACCTAAAATTTATCTTTTGTTACGAAAGAGCGATTATTTGGGAGAAAAAACAAAACAAAAACTTCAATGCACTTATGAAAAAACCAAAAGCTTATAATATTTCAAATACATAAAAAAAAATGAAATGAATTCCATTATAAACTTAAAAAGCTTCAGAGTTAATTGTTAATTGTCATTTAATTATATACCACGACCCACGACCTTTGTTATGTAACTAACTTTTTTGCAAAGAATGAAAAAAACCTTATTATTTCTCGTGCTAATTTTGAAAAAAAAATGGTTTTTATTTTTTACTTAAAAAACTTGAATGTGCTTTTAAGCAAAAGATCATAAACCTGAAAAAAGTCTTTTACTGCAGCCATATGAAACAAAAGTTTTTTATCCAATATCTCAATACAATGTTGAAAAAATCTCACCTGAAAGCTGCAGTCAGAGACCAATTCAAATTTTTTTTAGCACAATGTTGAATAATAATTAGAATGTTCTATACATCTTCTACTTTTTCCTCCAGTCATACAAATTAATTTTCTCTTTGTCATTCTAACAGTAAAATAAAACTTATGTTCTTATTTCACTAATAATTTCTCTTTCTTTTTTTTTTAACTACATATTTAATTATTTGATGGATTTGGCCTAAAACTTCAAATGAGAGGCTGAAGTCATCAGCAAACAGAATAGATAGTTATTGTACTTTTTTGAACTCTTCAATTCTATTCATCTTGACACAAATGCCAATGTACTGTTAAGCTCAATCAAAATCAGAAAATCCACAATAGTTTTCTTAAACACATTGAATGTGTGCAAACTTGACATTTTTTTTACTGCTATCAAATGACATTAGATCAATCAATATGTCATAAATTAATTTTAATTTGCACCCGGCTTGCCTTCGGATCTCCGCCGAATCGTGCTTGTTTGCATTCTGACGGGCGACCTTTCCTCAACGTACAAACATATATTTGGTGGCGCCTCAACCGGAATCTGAAGGCCACGCGCGAGATTAACTCGAAAATATCACGATTTGGTGCGAAAGCAAAGAAAAAATTGCCACTAGACAACAACAACAAGCGACGTGATCCGTGCTAGGAAAGAATTGGTGTCAAGCAAGGGAATTAAAAAAAGAGAGATAGCAACGGGCAACGGGGTTATGCAAGCGTCGAAATCTCCGCATGCAACAAGAAAGTGAATGAGCGAAAATATTCGCGAATGACGATCATATTTTTATTGCTGAATCAGCCACGCGCCGCGAGGAATTGAACAGAATTAATGTGCTCCGCTACTCACAAGCATTCTGTTATTTTTTTTTCAACCCGGCAGCCGCAGTTTCTCAAATCTGCTCATTGTGATGCGATTTTTTTGCGCGCTTATTGCGCGAATGCGGATTGCAGAAGAGACTGTGTGAGTTTTGAAAATGAAAGTGCATCGTTCTCGCTCTTTTCATTTGATTATTGTGAGACTATGATTGCCGGCGGAGAATTTAAACTGCATGCTGGTGAATTGCTATTGAGAAACCTGTGGCGGAACTTTAATTCAAATGCTAATTTACTCCCTCAAATTTGGATTCGAAAATCAGCACTTCAGCTTTTTTATTTCTATAAACTTTACTCTGGCATAATTATAATGTTTTGCAATTAAGGAAATTTAATCAATTTGGTTGCAATTTTCTAACTTGTTAATGGGACGTGCAAATTATTTGTTCTTTCTATAACATCCAATTTAGACACTGCTTTAACTATTATTAACGCGTGCTTATTTATAGTTGGGAAGTTTTTATGATTTCCTTCCCATCTGACATTGAGTTTGACACTGACTTCCTCTATAAAATCACCTCATGCGTGATTGGGATTTTTTGAACATTTCAGTATAGAATTTGAGGAACTTATACGAAGTGCAAAATCACCAACGAGAGATGTAAAATGATTTTTATTTCCGTTAATATTTTTATCAGTGTTACAAGAAAATCCATCCTCTGGCATTTATTTTATAACATTAAACAGGCTGTGAATTTTCAAGATCATAGTACAAAAAAAAAAAACTATGAGTTTAGCAAAAAATAACTTCTAATCTAAGCACTGGTAGATTTTCTTTTACAATTATGGTGAGCATTTACGTTTGTGACGGGAAGTATTTCATGTTGAATTGGCTTACTGTTTTTTTTTTCTGCTCAGCAAATGGGGAAATTTAGAAATAGAAACACATGTCGTCAAGCGAGCTTTTTTGCTAGCTTTTTTATCAGTCCTCAATAGATTTAGATCAGTGGATGACGTGTGTAATTTACGGTTGCAAAATTTTTACTTTGGAGATGTATGCAAGACCGCATTATACTCTACTTTCTACCCTTTCAATAGTCGAGCGCAGGTGTACTCCAACACACTTTGCAAATCATACTGCTCCTTTCCTTATTCCCACAAATGTGCAATTTGCCGTAGGTGTTCAGAGGCTGATTTTTTTTAACAAGATCTGTATCAATTTGGCAAATGTGAGCACTTTCTTTCCACTAAAAACTTCCTATGCTCAACAAAAACTATAAATAAAAAAAATTTGAGCATAATGAGTATTTTACAAATAAAAAGAAAACGATTGCCTGCATGAATATATTATAGTTTCCAATTATATTTATGGACGACTCATATCAAATAGAATTTTCTTCTGATATATCTAGTTAAATCAATGCATTGTTTGATTATTGCCTATGGTTGTACTCTGGAGTTAAATCTGGTTTTGATTAAATGTGCGGAAAAAGGTAAAGCAAGCCCCTCATTTCTCTTTGCCATAATTTTCGCTGCATTTATCTTTACGGACTGTGCAATTTTGAGCCAAATTGATTGGGTCATTTTTTAGCAGTAGACGCTCCTTATAAAAACTTGCAATCTTCAGTAGTAGTAGTAGTAACCTTAAATTTCATTTTATTTGATATTTAACTTTGAGTTTAAAAAAAATAATCGTGTTCTCCAATCTAAAAAATTTCACTTTTTGGCAGAACAAATAGTGAATGAAAGCGGTTTTGGCTTTGTGATGTTTATTCGTTTGCACAGAGAGCACTGATTAGCGAAAAACACCTACTAACCAAGTGGACCGTCTCGAAGGTAAAAACCGACCTATATACAAAAGAGGCGAGCAGACGCAGAGAGCAAGCGAATGTGTCGAGAAAATGTAAAGGAGAGCAAAAAGTGAGTCAGGTGAGGAAGCGCATCGGCAGGTGAGGTAGCGATCAAGCAGCCAAAGGAAGCTGCGGAGTCAAGGTGAGAAACTGGGCGGCGGACGACCTTCTCGCGGCTGCCGCGGCGGCTGCGCCTTGGCGCTCAGGAGGGACCCGCGCGGTGGTTCGGTGGAGACGGGTGGAGATCTCGCAGACGTAGATTTCAGAGTGTGCGATGCGGCCGGCGTGAAAGCATGCTGTCGACGGCGGGCAGCGCGATCGTGGACTCGTTCAAGCCCGAGTCGGCCGTCCAGGTGGTGGGTGAGGCCGGCTTGGCGGCTGTCGCCGCGCTGGGCCCCATCTCCGAGGGCTCCGTTGGGCCCCGCCACCTGGTGCGCTGGCTCTGTCAGCAGGCCGACCTTTGGCTCCTGCTCTACCAAGTGATCGTCCGCGTGCAGGAACCCATCGAGCGTAGCGCCGAACACGTTGAGCAACTGCTGCTCCAGCTGGGGCCCCTGGAGGCCGACGAGCCCCCCGAGGAGCCGCTCAACTGCGAGACCCTGCCCCCAGAACGGCCTCAGCAGCAGCGCTTCGTTTTTCCGTGGTGGACGCAATCGGCTTCAGCAGGTTGGTTCTTTACTTCCCTGTCTATCTATCAGGAAATTTTTACTCGTATATACGCAGAGCTTGTTAAGAAAATTGTAGACTTACAGCGCGCTGGTTATATGTATAGGAACAAGTTTTTCTTGATCTTTCGCACACACGTTGTTTGAGGTAGGCTGACACTTTGGCACACGCAATCTCCGCAGTGAAGATGCTCGTTTTGCTTTATAAGAAAAGAGTCGTTGTTTACTTCCTGCTTTATTTAAATTAGCAATCAGTCTCTGAAGTATAGTAATAGAATAAACTTAAATTTATTCAAATGCATGCAAAAAAATAATAATAAAAATGTTTAAATAAACGGTGTCGCAAAAAGGCGTAACGTGGAACTTGCGAAACACTAAATCATTAAATTTAGCTTGTCATTCTATCTGTATTATATTTTCAGCTAATTACTAATTAGAACCGGGCAAAAATTATAATTTCTTCAAATTCCCAGTATTGGTTGCTTGTGTATAACAGGTTGCATAGCCAAATCTTTAAGGTCGTAGAAATGCAGAACCAATTTTTAACGACTTCAAATAATTTGTAAAAAGCAGTAATTTTATCAAAACAGAAAAACATAGATTTATAAGAAATTATTAAAAAATTTGAAAGATTTTATTATTCAGAACTGTTAACAGTTTAAATAAAAAAAAAATATATATATATTTTTATTAGTTATTTTTCTGATGCCATTGTTAAGTAAAATCAATTTGTTACGTTGTAGAAATTTTAAATTACTGCTAAGTATGAGCATTACAATTATGCAATTTAGTTAAAAGACCACTTATAACAATGACAGCTTATCACAGCATTATCCACCTATCAAATAAGCTTAAAAAAATCTCAAAAGCAGGCCAGTTTATTATGTATGTACCTCCAATTTTACATAATATATTTATTTATTTTATTCTCGGTCGTAATAATTGTAAATAATGCACTTTTAACGATGCACAAAAAGTGAAGTTTTCATTTGACGTCGACTCTTGAACTTACTTGGCGGCGAAAAGTGCGTCTATATACGTCAGATCAAAAGAGCACTTGAGACAACATAGAATTCAGCAGTTGTCTTTTGCGTCAGATAAAAATCGCCCTCCCAGCCCAGCATGGGACAGGAAAACTTATCCCGCCTCTGACCCGTCGCGGGACACATTATTTTAATATTCTCTTTTCCTCGCTCTTTTGCCTGGCAAGTCGAGTGGTGACCTTGCTTTTTAATTCGCATATAATTTTCACGTGTTTGACTCTTGGCGCATATGGAATATTAATGTTGTAGCTGGCTGTAGCCTTCGCAGAAAGTCACATTCCCAACACGCTGCGATTCCTCATTCAAATTTTTATATTATGCATACACGCACATTTACGTTACCAAAAGCTAATTAATTCGGAAAATTAATTTTTATAAGTCTCTCATCATTATTTCATTTTTTAAATATTATTCTTTACCATTACCAAAAAATTTTTTGTACCTCATAATATTTTAATACCATATTAATTAGAATTAATTTATTTTGCAAAAGAAAACTCAAAATTATGATGCCATGCTTTTTACGTAACATATAAAAAATTAAATTCCTTATAGTCGATCGCCATGATATATTTAATTACAAGAAGTTCGATATTTTTGAAAGGACTATTTTTTCGTCAGAGGGCACCGCGATCACCAAGTTTGAAATAATTCGGAGGTTTATTGAGCTGCGAACTTGACACTTAACTTTGCATAAATCTTTTGAGTCTTTACAACCAAGCCATTCGATTCCAGTACAGAGGTTATTATCATGATTTTCATGACATAATGCACCGTAAATGCTGACACCTGTCAAACGCATTTTCTTATAATATATATTAATCTTTGGCTCAGCTGTGCAAAGAGCAAAAAGCGCTTTTCACTATTAAATGCACACAAGTGCGCGGCACTGCTCCAAGGACGTTCTTGTTCAAACAGCCGCGGAGCGTTTATTGCAATTGCAAATGAGAGTTAATGAGAAATAATGCGTCGAATGCGGTGAGCAATGTTTATGCTTCTTGCAGGTCAAGTCATCGGCCGCGTTTACTCTTATTCAGCACTGCCACTGCATTACTTCAAATGGCGAGCAAAGTCATTATGCAATTGAAGACTGGGGGTATAGAGCGTGCAGCATTTCTTTCTACTTTTTTTCAAAGCAATGCAAAACGTGAGGCAATAATTTAATCCGACAGTTAGGCTTTTGTTGACAATTTCAACACGTAGAAGCTTGAAATTTGTTGTATCATACGATTGCAGTAAAAATAATAACAATTATTGCTAATTATACAGAGATGATTAATTTAATAAAGTGGATTTGAGCAATCCATAAGTTTTATACCGCTATTTTACGAAACCATGAGTGGAAGTTTCTTGGTATAAGCACAATTTTTTTTTCTTGTCCTTCTTCTGAGAGTTTCTTCTTCAAAATTACTTGATTTTATCTCTATATTTATTAAACAAATTGAAGTTTAAGCTCCAGAATTTGAAGCTACCTTTATACTTCATGGCTGAACATTGCGTATACAATTATTTGTAACAAATCATATACGTTTAAAATACGTGTTTTAAGACTGCATTCTAAGCATCCATTATAAAAATGGCTTCAAAACAAATGATTGAAAATTTTAAAAAAACAAAAAAAAAAAAAACTCGAACGTTTTTTGCACTCACTATATTATGATGTTTACGTTGCAGCTTAACTGGATTATTAGTTGTCATCTACTGAATTAAACTGCTATAATTTTCTGTTGTGCTCGGAGGTCTATGGAAAAACGAGTGGCCCTTAGCCAAAAACTAACGAGATTCAACGTTGTTTTTTTTAAAGCAAAAGAATAAAATAAAATGCTGCCCAAGGTTAACAACCTCATCTTATGCATACATGACTTAAGTTTTATTGGGCCGTCAGTCGCAGTCATCACGCTTGGAGAGAAGTTAAATTTTAAATTTAAGCTTGGTTTTAAAATGTGAGGGGTTCAAATTGTAATATTAGTTATTTATAATTTCATTTGGCCGGAAAAGATTAAAATGATGGTATAATATGTTGTTTGCTGTAAATTATATTTTCTTTTCCGTTCATTTTCGAGTCTCATAAAATCTCTTCAATCTTAAACTTTACATCTGCTTCATATTTCCTAAACCATATCGATTGCGTTACAAAACAAACAAAACATTTTACAATTAGAAGCAAAGTTAAAAAATAGTTATACATTTCTGCTGGTTTGGCGAATTTTGTGAAATGATAATAATGATATTATTTCGATTATTTCATTAGCGCAATTTTTCAATTAAAACTTGGTTCACAATTAAATAAAAAATAAGCGCAAAAATAATTTTAATTTCAAAAATCTCAAATTAACATTTCTATAGCAAAGTCGATTGTGGGTTCACCGTGGCGCCCAAGTCTCTTTTCAATTTTGGGCGTTTCAGGCGTTTCAGCAGACATCTGTTAGTTCCCATTTTCTCTTTTTCAAATTTCAAATTGTTTGTATTAACTGAGTGTGAATGAGAAGAATAAATATTAATACATAATAATTAAGGCCTTTTTGTGCCAATTGCAAAAATTAATATTTTTGACCATTATGACTGATTATGACCGCTATATATATGATTACTTTTCATGATTTATATTTCTTATCACATCTAAATTTAATGCTAAAAGAGGCATAGAGAGGTTTTCCAAAATATATAATAAATAAATCAACTTTGCTGCAATGTGGAGTTATTTCTTTTTTTTACGCATTTTTACGCATTTATTTCGCGCTCACTCTAGCCGCTGACTGGGCGATTTGCTGATTGGCCCGGCCCCCGCCACAGTCTCGCCGTCTGCGCACCGCAGCAAAATAATTAATAAATAAGAAACATGGCGGCCATGATGGAGTCCAGTTAGGCAGTCTGTCCGAATTTCGCACATTTCCAGCTGAAATGAACAATCTCTACTCGAAAATGTCTGCGAAACCGGTGGTGAAGCGCTGTCTGCAGGACCCCCTGTCTGTTTCGCAGACGAATGCTTGGGTTAACGGTGAGTTCAGACCAGCCAAATCGAAGAAGGTCACCAAGGCCCAGAATCGCGAGAGAAATCGCAGCCTGGTTCCTCTCCTAGTGCCGTTGTCAACTGGAAAATAATATTTTTTATTGTCACCATTACCCCCGTGCATAATGTATTTTTTCATACATACTTATATATCTGAATTTAACTTTCCATTTCCCTAATTATATGGGTATAAATATATGTAGTTTTAGTTTCACGATTTTTTATTTAAATTTATCTTCATTAATTTTTTTTTTTTTTTTAGTTTTTATGTATTCTAATAATGTTTTTCACAATTACATTTTTAGCCGAAAGCATCGAAAGTGGTTCAGCGAGCGGCGGAATCTCTCAACGCGAAAGCAACATTCTGGTGACCCAGCCGGCCAGTCTGCCCAATTCGCCGCTGGCGTCGCCAAATTCCTTGACGACGACCTTTAACCTGTCACCACCTGTGTCGCCGCCACCCCCTTCACACTCCACAGATGACCCCAACTGGCAGGCATGCAAGCCGTCTGTGCGAGAGCGAAATGCTGCCATGTTCAACAATGAGTTGATGGCAGACATACACTTTTTAGTCGGATCTCCTGGTAAATGGAAAATTTTAAAGTAAATCAATTCAATGCTAAATTTGAAAATTTCCAGTTCAAAGCATTCCTGCGCACAAATATGTGCTTGCCACGGGAAGCTCGGTCTTCTATGCCATGTTCTTCGGCGGCTTGGCTGAGGAGCGGCCGGAAATCGAGGTGCCCGACGTGGAGCCTCTGGCCTTCCTCGCCATGTTGCGTTACTTGTACTGCGACGAGATCCAGCTGGAGGCAGACACAGTGCTGGCCACCCTGTACGTGGCCAAAAAGTACATGGTGCCCCATTTGGCCAAGGCATGTGTCAGCTACCTGGAAACGAGTCTCACGGCAAAAAACGCGTGTCTGCTGCTCAGCCAGTCTCGCTTGTTTGAGGAGCCTGAGCTGATGCAGCGTTGTTGGGAGGTCATTGATGCCCAGGTAACTTCAATGAGTGAAATCTTATTTGAAAAAATTTATTTTTTGTGCTTAGGCTGAGATGGCTCTTTGCTCGGAAGGATTTGTCGATATCGACTTAAACACACTGGAGTCAGTTTTGTCTCGGGAGACACTGAACTGCAAGGAGACGGCCTTGTTTGATGCGGCCATCAACTGGGCTCGAGCCGAGTGCTTCAGAAGGGAACTGGAACCAACTCCTCACAATGTAAGATGTGCCCTTGGAAAGGCCCTCTTCCTTGTGCGCATTCCCACTATGGCGTTGGACGAGTTTGCCAATGGAGCAGCTCAGCAGGGTGTTCTGACGCTGAAAGAGACCATCGACATTTTCCTTCATTTTACGGCTGACAGCAAACCGCTTCTTTCGTATCCAACTAAACCTAGAACTGGACTGAAGCCTCAGGTTGAACTTTTTATATTTACTTTATTAAATTTGTGCTCCTTGTGGCTAAAATCTAGTAAAGCCCTATTTGATGTCACAAACATTTTAATAAATTTTAAATTCAACTAATAATTTCTTTATGTTTCAGGTGTGCCATCGCTTCCAATCATGTGCTTATCGCAACAACCAATGGCGTTACCGTGGCCGCTGCGACAGTATTCAGTTCAGTGTGGACAAGCGCATCTTTGTGGTGGGCTTTGGTCTTTATGGCTCATCGAACGGTGCTGCCGATTATAACGTCAAAATTGAACTAAAGAGACTCGGCCGCATTCTTGCTGAAAATGAGACGCAGTTTTTCTCTGATGGCTCCAGCAACACCTTCCACGTATATTTCAAGCATCCCATTCAAATTGAGCCAGAGGCGTTCTACATGGCTTCCGCAGTTCTAGACGGCCAAGAGCTCAGCTACTTTGGGCAAGAGGGTATGAGTGAGGTCAGTGTAGGCTCGGTGACCTTTCAGTTCCAATGCTCGTCAGAAAGCACCAATGGCACTGGTGTTCAAGGCGGACAAATCCCAGAACTTATATTTTATGGACCGCAGTCAGTGGCCAGTGATGAGCACTAGTGGTTGAATTTTGGGGATATTTAAATTTTTTGGATTAAAGCTTGCAGCTAGTATTCTCTTTAGGCAATATTTATCGAGAATGCCATTCTCAAAACAAGGGTCTTATGTTTTTGGCTCTGCAACTTTGAGAATGCCTTCAAAATATAGTGAAATCCAAGAAATCTTCAGCCTGATCCTAAACTATTTTGTGTGTAAATATATCAAGAATGAATAATACAAAAAATTCAAATTGGAGCTTTTTCATGATATTATTATGTGGCAAAATATGATATTCTATTCTACATTGCTGGTAAAACTGCTTGTATTATATTGGCGGCCAATTAAGTTACTTTATATTGCCATGCAACGCCGCCTTAACACCAATCAAAATCTGGAACCTTTAGTTCGACCACAGCCGATGAGTATTCCACGCAGTAATTTTTGGATTTGTGATAATATTTTTAATACTTCTTTTTAGTTAACATTTCCCAGTGACAAATTTATGTCAATAGTCCTGATGTTATTAATTTATAACCATAAAATCACAGACTTAAAATTGACGGATAACTATGTTAAAAATCATATATTGTGTAGATAGTAGTGAGGTAAAAAGTCATGTAATTTTTGTTAAATAAAACTGACGCAATCGCTTAGTGTAGAATGAATGTTGTATTTATTTTCTATTTATGTCTTGTCACATCGGATGATCATCATCTTATACAAAGCCTTACGAATGTACCGTATAAATAGAGTTGTGCCCAGATTTTTGCAAATTTACATACCTCACTCTGTGCGGGCAACATAGTGAAGCTTTGTCTCCACTTTTCTTTAAGAAAATAGATGCCACATTACTGTGTTTGCTTGTTTACTGGTAAGCAATAATTTATAAATCTACACATTTCATAATCACAACAACAGCAATTTTCCTTATAATATTTGCAATGCATGTAAGACATTCAAGTAGAGTGCGCATACGGCTTAAGACCAAATTTACATTGATAACAATTACATCACAAGAAAAAAAAAATAGATAAATCAGTAAGACTTCATGAGTTTTGGAGTAAAATTAAGAGTTTGCCTAAACAAAAATTGCAGGTTGTCATCGTACACAGGCAATAGCAAGCAAGCACACCATCAGTCTTTCCTTTAGTGTTGTGATGAGGCTCTTTGAACAAAAGTTGCAAATGAAATGAGTTAAGTGTTTATATAATAAATTTGACCAATTATTTTGTATGTGAGGTAGAAATTGCGCTTAGAGGAAAATCATCACAATGGATTAAGCAGCAATTACAATTCTTGCAGCAGCTTTGGAGACCAAAAGATGCAAGCAAAATATTAAAGAGTTAACATATTTGATCTCCTGCACTGCAAAAACAACTATGATTAATAAAAATTATCCACATTTAATTCTGTGTTGTTTTACAAACAATAAAATTAGAATTACATTTCAAATATTAGTGGTGGAAATCTCTAACAAGGTACAAGTGGGGTGAAAAATTGTTTGATTTTATAAATTTTTATCTGGCCCTTCGCTTTTACAATATAAGATTTCGTCTACTCAATCTTTTTTCATAATATGCAATCAATATTTTAAGAAATTCTTGTGTTATTAAGCGCTCCATTTTCAATAGATTCCAGGTTATACACTCGTGCAAATTTGGAAAAATATTGTTCTTTTAACTTTGATAATTGTGTTTCAAATATTCAAGGTAATGAAATGGAATTTTTGGAACAAAATGGGCAAAAAGTATACAGCATTGGCAAAAATCAAAAGATTACTGGCACAAGTTACATATCAAGTAGATAAAACAAACATAAGGCGCCCAAAGAAACAGAGCAAACAAGAATGAGAATATCCATTCATGCAAACAACAATCACAGACTGGTTGAAAAATAAATATAGCATTCACCAAAAATACTCTAGCGAATGTGGCATGTGACACAAAGTCTAGTGTTTGGAGTGATGCAATCGTCATGGCAGTAAGCACCACATTTCTGGCACACAATCATCGCTTTCAAATTGCACACACAGGACTGCGCTCCCGGAGGGACCCCAGGATGTCCTTTCCGCCCAAGCAATTGCTGTGGGGCCTTCTCCTGATTTGATGTGTCGACACTTGCTGGCCGACCACAGTGAGGAAGACCAACAGTTGCTGGAGGCACAGGTGGGGCGCTAGAGGCCCGAGGAGGTGCTGGCAATGCCGGCCGTTGCACCAAAATGTACTGGGTGCCCCCTGCAGTAGATGCATTCTTGTCCACTACTTGTAGGGGTGGCAAAGGTAGAGGTCGTGGCGCTCCGTTGGCCGAATTTCTTCGGCCGGCCACAGCAGCAGCAACCTGGTTGGGAGGCAACACTGCCATTGTGACAGGCACGCCCTGAGGAGAAAAGACCTGCCGAAGTACTATGGAAGTCATACGGTTTGCATTTTGAGGAGGAACTGGCAGCTTGGCAGGTTTCGGTGGCAGACGTGGTCGCTGAGGAGCCTGGTTTGCTCGAGAGGGTATTGTGGCCTGCTTGTTGACCAAGGAGGGAGGTAATTTGAGTTGGCCTTGCAGCTGCTCGCGATTGGGACTGTTTTGAATCACCGCCTGACAGATCTGGTAAGACCTTTCCAAGTTGACAGCACCTGGTGGAGTTGCTTTGCTGTTCGACCGAGAACCACGTCCACCCTAGATAGAAATTTGTAAATTTTATTATTCAAGTCAATTATTTTAAAAAGAAAAAAGGTGGAAAACCCTGAATAAATTAACAAAAATGGATTCAGTAAAAGCTTCGATCAAATTATTTTCACACTGATAGATAAAAACAGTAACATTTCTTCACTGGCAGTCATAAAAGATTTTTTTGACAGTTTTTTAATCTTATAAAATGGGTAAACAGTAAGTACAAGAAATTTTTGAAAGGCAGGTGCTTGACTGAAATGGCTTTCAATCTGCTTCAAACTTTACAATGCGTTTAGTCCCAGAACCTCTTTAAATCCAACCAAACAACCCGTAGAACTGACGTGCAATTCACAATAAAAATTCTTTTGAACAAGATATGCTTGCATTTATGTTAGCTCTTAATTAACTTTCTATTTCATACGAATTCAGATTTATCTTCCGAGAGAGCTAAGCTAAGTGCGAAATTTAATAACCATCAAATTCACGAGTCTTCAAAAGCATAAATCCAAATAGAAAAATCATGACCCCCTCATGCATTATTGGCAACCTTTTTACTGACGGTAGCCGCACTGACAATATCCGTTACCTCGGAAGAAACTTTGGACAGTGTAGAGCAGTATCGCAGAGCAAACCAATCACACAAGTTGAGCTACCGTTTGTTTTCGTTTGTGACAATACCTGGGGCTTTGTTTTGACAGGGACTTTAACACTGGAACCCACCAAGGCTGCTGAATTGTTGCCGTTGTTGGCACCACTCATAATGGGTCCAGGTGAAGTAGAGGTTGGCTGTTTAATTGCCGTTGTCGTAACATTTGGTATGAGGTTTGCAGGAATAGATGGACGAACAGCTGCCACACAATTCACAAGCTGTGGCTGTACGGTCGAGATTACCTGAGCCCTCATGTTAGGTCCTAGCAATGGCTGCATCACTGGTAGTGTGTGTTGTGATAGCGGAAGAGGAATTGGGGTCATGATTGGGGCAGCTGATACTTGTTGCTGCATTGGAGAACTGGAGTATATGGGTTGGGATGGTGCAAGGGGTGTGGGAATGGGAGGCATCTGCAAGGGTTCAGAGCAGTATGCTGGTGGTATCAGGGCAGAGGGTATAGATACCGACGGAACCATGGGTGAAGTTGTTGTGACAACTTGAGGTGAAAAGTTCACTGAAATTACACAATTTTAGTGGTACTGTAAAAGTTTCACTTTCTGCCACATACTGTCAAGCTCAAGCTTCGAATGATCCGGCAAGACATCAGTTTTTTGAGGCACATACATGTTTAGCTGTGTATCCTCCTTGTCAGACTGGAGATTTTGCTGCATGTTTGAGACGTTTGCGTTGCTATTCGTAAACATAGGCCACTCAACTGATGACATTCCAACATTATTAACACCGTCCGACATGATTATGGACGACTGATTCAGCTCCATGTCTTTTACAATCTGGCCAACAACCAGCTCCATCTCGCCAGCCAATGCCGCCACGTTATCAACACGATCATTGCCATTTCCAACCTACAATTTTTATTTAAATCTTCTTACATATTTTTTTTATATTTCTTACATTTGATTCAGAGGGTGTGCCCAAAAGATTGGCTGAGTTTTGATCCATTGACCAAAACTGAGCTTGCAATAGTAGATCCGATTCGGCTTGCTGAAGAAGTTCGGTATGAACATCATTATTAGCTAAGCTTTTGACTACTCCCTCTTCCTCAGCCTTGAGCACATCCTCTATCACTTGGTCGTGATCAGCATCATTGTCTGAAAATTAAATATGATTTGCAAAAGAAAATTATACTCCCAGATTCCAACGTTAAAACTAACCATGTGAGATCTGTTGGGCTATTTCAAACAAATTTGATGAGTCAACAGTGCTTTGAGGATGATTCTGTTCCAAAGGCACCACAATTGAACTGATTGGTGTTTCGATCACAGTATCTTCAACCACTTCTTCCACCACATTTACACGGAGTTCTGCGATTGGCTCGTCCTCACATGCATCCTCTTGCTTTGGAGGATCACAGTCGCCAGGAATTTCAAATTCTGAAGGAGATTTTTCTTTAGCTTCTGGCTGCATTTCTGCAATTGGCGGCTCAGCAGACTGTGAAGCAAAGTTTTCCAAGTCTCTCTGTGCTTCGAGACTTATTTCTCCATTCTTCAAATCATCAATATTTTCCAAATCTTCATTTTCCATCTCTGCTGGAGAACAAGACTGTTGAACTAACTCTTGAGCTGGAATTATTAAGAAAAACATCTCCATTAAATGATTCAAAATTAAATCAATGCCTATTTTTGTAAAGAAAAAATAATTAGCCTTATTGAGAAACTATATAAGAATTAATTTTGATGCAATAAACGCCTACCATTTGCAAAATCTGCCTCTAAAGAATCATTCAGTTTTGCCTTCTTTGTAATGCTCCCTGCGTCTTCAGCTGGACGTTTTTGAGGAAGCGATGGCTCTTCTGGAGGAGGCGTTAAAGCAGGCACTGGGGGCGACTCAACAGGTGACTGTGTAATCACCACTGGAGAAATGCAAGGACTGGTCTTTTGTTCAGGTAATATGGACACTGGAGGCGTGAGAGAGGCTGGCAGACAGTTGAATTTGTTTGAAGATGAAGTACTTGGAAGTGTGCACAAAAGACCTTCTTCTAACGGCTCTCCCACTCTCTCACCCCAAATGGCTTCAAAGTGTTTACTCTGAAATGAAAGAAAATTTAATCTTTGGTCGTTTTAAATGCTACCCATCTAATAAGAAAGTGCACAAAGGTATAATTTCATAAAGAGGGGTAAATTAAATACTATCAACAATCTAATTACCTTCCACGGATCGAGTCCTTTCCTTCTCTTCTCAGACTCAAATTTAAGCTTTTGTTGGCTTTCAGAGCTGAATTTGCCTTCAGCTAATCTTCTTCTCCATTCAAGACAAGCCTTTGCAAAAAACTCATTGCTGAGACCAGTAAAGTCCTTCCTGCAAACATTAGAACATGAGCTCAGGCAAATTACAAATATTTGACGTTTTACTTAAAACCGCTGAATGAAGAAGGGCGGTCCACTTCCGGAAGTAATTGTAGCAGCTTTTGTTGATATAATAATGGAAGCTGGGACAGTGTCTCTTGAGTCAACAGTTTGGACAGATTCAGCACAGCAAATATCGAATCTGGTGTCTCTAGGTCTACGAGGCCCTCCTTGGTCTGCTCCAACTGTGCGGCTGCCGAGAGTTTTCTTGCCGACTTCTTGCGGTGCTTCAGGTTGAAACCTGGAATTGATGCCAAAACTTCCTGCATGGTTGAAGCTTTTGGAATAGCTGGAGGAGGCACAGGTGATGAGCATCCTAAAGAGGAGGTTTTCACCACTAGCCTCGGGATCGGAGCAATCGAGTTTCCTGATGCAAATGTGGTGTTTTTCCTTCGTCGCTTGGCTTGCTGACGCAAGGCATGTTTGATCACCTATATTATAATGTCACATTATTCAGTATTTTCAAAAGAATTAATTTTAGAAGAAATAGTGGCACCAATAAGTACCTTTTTACTGTGATTTTGAGAAAATAAGTGTCTTGAGCTGAGATCTTTTGGGGCAAGATCATTGTTGTTGTTGGCAGCTGCTGAAGCTGCATTGGCTCTCACAAGAGCAGCTGCCATTCTGCAGCTCCTCCGAACAGGGCGGACCTCGGGAACTGCCACTGATTGTTGTGGCTGTTCCTCTTCCAATGGGACAGGTGGCCCTGAAGTATATGAGATGACGTATTCTGTAAAAACGCACTCGTAAGCTTAGATCGTCTAAAACAAGTAACACAAATTTATGCATAATTCATACTCCTTTTCAAAAATTTCCTAAACAGTGTTATCTTCATTTTCCTGAAATGATTTCTCTTTGAAATTTTCCTGAGCACACGTCATTTATTTTGAATTTTACCCTAGCAGTTTTCGTGCGTCAAAAGTAATGCTTATCACTCACCAGCATTTTCTTGCGACTCTGATGTTGGTGGCACATCCTGTGGAGGGCACGCGTCAATGGTGTCGTTACTGCTAACAGACTGCGCGTCGCCGACTTCCATCACGCTAGGAGCAGCATCCCTTGCGTCCTCTTTAATTAAAAAAAATATCCATTAACATTTATGCAAAGGACAATTGCGGTACACTCACATTAGGGTTGCAAGAGTGCCTCAAAATTGCACTGTGCAGAAAAAGCAACGACCAATCGGACCAATACGTTGTTGCTATCGACTCCAACTGCAGAAAATGTTTCCGCAAAGTGGGCCGAACTCGGCAAGCTTTCCACGGAAAATTTCTACAACACTATTAAGTGCTTTTTCTTATAACCAAGGTCATCAAGGACGATAAAATAATGTGAAAAAAGTCTCCAATGTACTTTGATTTCTGGAAAACTCACTAACAAAAACAAACTTGAATTTTCGCCATGTTTGGCTTCTGCACATTTATGCCAACATGATAAGTTTTCATTAATTAATGTCGCAGGAGAAATGATAATACACTTTAAAAGTTTAAGCCCAAAATGAATTGAATAATCTAGAATTTTGAGGCTTCTAATAGTGTCATTAACTTTTTCACTTATTTGAATAGTTAATTAAAAACGTTTAATTGTAACGTAGTAATTTTTTAAATTTTTTATTAAACAAATTTATTACGTTGGCAGCAACCTTAACGCCATCCGCCTTCGCCATTTATTTCGATTTTCGATTCGCAACTTCACAAGTCCAGTCGAGCCGACGAAAGTGGAGCTTGTTTTCAATTCCGCAAGTTGAATTTTCTGCCTCCAACAGCATAAACGGCTTGATAAGAACCATGGCTTGCGAAGATGATGTCGTAAAAATTCAAAAGAAGCTGAACAAAATCGTCTCTGGGGAAAAATCGGTAATTTTTATGTTAAAAACGCGCATAAACAGGCGGCGCGAAATCATGCATGCATGTTTTCAACTCAAAAGGCCGCTGTATCAAATTATAGCTTGCGAATAAGTAAACGCAAGGCTCCGATCTCTTTCTTGACGTGGCCAAGTGCACGTTTATGTAATTTACTCTACAATGCTAGCTACAAAATAAGTAAAGCTTACAATATTGTTTGCCGAGAAGCTTTAGCGAAGGGCTTTAATTTTTTAATCTTCACTGATCTTCACATTTAAAATAAATAATAGCTACATAAATTAATTTAAAGTTTTCAAAAATGTAGTATCCTGTAGAATACATTGTTTATTTTATATATTTAAACCAAAACGTATTTTCCACAGGATCATCCTTTGGAGCTCCTCAAAGCCCTGCAAAAACTGCCAGTTACATTGGACATCTTAACACGAACGAGAATAGGAATGACGGTAAACGCTTTGAGGAAAAACAGCTCAGACGATGATGTTATAAGCCTCGCCAAATCCCTGATTAAAAGCTGGAAGAAGTTCCTCACTAGTATTATATATTTATTGAACAACCTTCTCGGAATTAATATTTCAATATTTTAGATTCGCCTTCAGGAAAGGACAAGGAAATGAGTGGAGGTGGTTCAGCCAAAAAACCAGAGAAATTGGAAAGCAAACCAGCTAAGCCCCCCATTAAGGAAGAGAAAAAGGAGAAGGCACCTGTTCAGACGACATTCCCACAAGTGTCTGCCACCACAGATTCCGTCCGGCTCAAGTGTAGGGAAATGCTGGCCACTGCTATCAAAGGAACTGGCGGTAAGAATAATAATAAATGATTTGATAATAATTTTTCATTAATTAGTCACTTTTTAAAAAATCAGAATACCCAGAAGGCTGTCAGTCAGCAGAGAGCCTTGGTGAAGAACTTGAGGAGGCTATTTATGCGGATATCAAGAATACCGACATGCGTTACAAGAACAGAGTTCGCAGTCGCGTGCAAAACCTAAAGGACGTAAAGAACCCCGAGCTGAGGACAAATTTTATTTGTGGTGCAATTCCAGCCCAAAAGCTAGCAATCATGACTGCTGAGGTGCGAAAATGTTTTTGATTAAGTAACTATTTCTAATAATTTTATTTCAGGAGATGGCCAGCAATGAGATGAAGTTTTTGAGGGATAGGTTCAAAAAAGAGGCTATCAATGATGCCCAGCTAGCTCAGGTGGAAGGTACAAAGACTGACTTGCTCAAGTGTGGAAAATGCGGAAAGAGAAACTGCACATACAATCAGGTCTGTTGCAATTTTGTTTTGTAAAGCAAATCTAATAAACGTCTCTTTCAATAGATGCAAACAAGAAGTGCTGATGAGCCGATGACCACTTTTGTCCTGTGTAATGAATGCGGCAACAGGTGGAAGTTCTGCTAAGGTAAAATTTCCCAAGTTTCATTTCGAGACCATTATTTTCCCAAGTTTTTTAGTTGTTTTTGTTTTGTTTTATGAAGAAACAAAATTTTCAAGCTTAATTTTAAGTATTGAATTAAATTATCCCCCCTCCCCTGCCGCCATTGTGTAAAAAGGACCAAAAGTGAAACTAATCTCCAGTTATTAAAATATTGATCGTTTGGTCATTACCAAAACTTAGAAACACGACAAATAAGAATTTACAATTAATTTTTTTTTCCACTTTGGGAAATTGAATTATTCCCTGCTTTTATAAAACTCATCTATGTACTGTAGGATGTTGTTTCTTTATTATTAAGTGACATTAAAATCATGATGTTTTAATCAGAGAAAAGTAATTGTAAAAATTGTGTTGTTTTATTGAAACAACAATAAAATTTCAATCTTCTGCTGACAATGTTGATTTATAAATTAACGAAGTTTCCTTTAAATTGGTTACGGCTAGAGGTAATGGTTTCATTAGGCCTGGAAACAAAACTCATTAACTTTTGAGGGAATTAAAGCAGTTACTAAATATTCACCTGAACCTTGAGGGGTGCAGCTTTTTGGGCAACCCAGAAAGTGCCACCATCTCTGGCAGTGGTCACGCTGAAAAAAACAAAGCCAAATAGGTAGAGAAAGCCAAATTGTTTTTTTCTCTTTCTTACGTGAAGATGACATTTTCGGAGAGCTCAGGGGGAGCTTCCCAGGCAACAGTGACCTTGGTTTTAGCCTGAGAGTTCTCGTGTGTTGCTCCGGTCTACAATTTTTAAATTAATTATGAAAGCCATATTAATTAAAAATAAACCTACAGCGACGCCGTTTCCGCAGTTTACAAGTTTGACTCCATCGGCAGGGTCAAATTTACCAACAGCGGTGTCACCAACTCTAGCCTGAATGAAAAATCCCTTAAAGCTGTCTCCTTCCTTAGCACTCAAAGTGACTGTGGACAAAATATTACATATTTTAACATTAAAAGTGTTAATAATTGAATAATTGAAAAGGTCTTACCATAGACCTTGCCTTTGGGCTTGACAGTGTTTCTGTTGATGTCAATAGCGAACGGAGAAGCACTAGTTTGAGGTGGGGTGTGGTGCTGGGGCACCATGTCCCCGCAGGCGCCCTCGGGAGCGCCACCTCCATAACCTGCGGCCAACGCCACAAGGCCAGTGAAAAGGGCAACAGCAAACACCTTCATCTGGAAAATTAAACAAAAATATTTCAATTGCTTATTTTAATTTAAGATTTTAAGTTAATTTAATCCAAGACACAAGCCAATACATTGGAGTATTGCTGATAATATCATTTAAATGTATTACTCTCCATTGTAAAATGTTATATTAAGAAAAAAAACTAATTGCCCCTCACGTTGATTTCTAAATAATTATATTACTGTGCAATGATTTTCATTGCATGAAGAATTTTATATTATATTAATATAATTTCTCGCTTGAAAGGGCCTTTTCAGAACCATTCAGCCGTGACTGTTTGAATGTGTTTTGTGTTTCAATATCTTTCAATCTTAAGACTGCCGTCGAGAATTGCTAATTATGCAATTACAAGCGCGTGAATATAATTACAAAAGGTCATTTATTTACACGGAGCCAGCAGAGAAATGGAAAGTGTGTTGTTTGCATCTATGGCTCAATGAACAAAAAGTCTGCCTGGCTGTCTCCGTAGACTGTCTGTCTATTGATACATCAAAAGTGTCACTTCTTGCGTCTGTTCATGTTATAAAATATCAGAATTCGCCATTAAGAAGATGATATCCTTGGCCCCTATTCAAAGAAACAACTGCCTTGCAAACTGGTTCTGGCGCTTTTTTTGTTGCCATGCTGACAAATTTTGCTCTTTTTTAATAGTCTTGATGATTTGGGTGGAATTCAACTTTCACACATGTTAAAATTTTCCCACTTAGTTTTTGAATTTTCATTGAACAGCTAATTTTATCATGATATGAATATGTACTGAACTAAAACTAAATGTTCAGAACTTCTGCAAATATTCAATTTTTGACATTAAACTTTTTTAACACATTTCAAAACAACTGGCGCGGCCGTTAAATATATAGCTTTCAAACCTTTATCTCATATTATGTGAACCAACAGCTTACATAAGAGTGTCTTTCAACGTGAGAATTTTGAAAACAATGCGCAATAAGCAAAAAACTCATGCAGCGCACCTGAATGCTTGGCTGCACGTCTTACATTTAAAGTGAGCAATTTTCTCAATTATTTCCACATTTTTGAGGGAAGGAAATAAAAAGAAAAGAAATTTCCTTTCCTAAAAGAGTGTTTTGAAATTTTTCATTTCGGGTAATTTTATATTTCACATAAATTTTAATTATTTTTAATGGCCATGAATCTAAGGCAAGAGGAGGTTATCCTTGCTCTTAAACATGCTATTTCGATCAATTTGGAGGCATTGTAAGATTTGAGTTTAAACACTTTCAATGTCGCTGTTTATGTTAATTTTGCGGCCTTTCACTTTGCTGACCAGATTCTCTCGGAATGAAAGAAGCGCCATCCTTGCTTCCTGTTTGCCTGTGGCAATTTGAAAGAGCAATGGCCTTAGATTTCCAGGAGGTCAAATAAATGGACATATGAAATGGAGACTCTCACCTTCAAAATCAAGAATAGATTCCGCGCTTAACATAGCGGTATTTATCGAGAGGTGCCTTTAATTTAAGCTTTTCTTAGCTTTGCCTATAAAAAGCATTTTGCAAGGATCAAAAGTTTCTCACTTTTATTCGCTTTTATTAATTAAAAAGTGTATTGCTCCTAAGTTTGTAAAATTAAAACACGAAAATAGAAACTTAAAATTGAATAATAAAATGTAGATTTGTTGCAATAATGTATTTTTGCCAACCTATTTTGGCAATTGTGATGAGAATTGTTTAAGCAGACCATTTTGCAATCAGAAGAATGAATCATAATATTATAAAAATCCGTAAAAATCGATGATAATAATAATAATAATGAAATAAAATAAATCACAATCAACCTTTCAAATGAGTTTTTAAATTGTTTTCTGGTTTTTGTGAAAGAGAGATTGAGGAGTGAATTTACTGCATTATTATATCTTATAAAAGTAATCCCTTACAACTCAAAAAATTTTCAAGTAAAGATTCTCACCTCCCAAACTAGGCGGTCAGCGCTCAGGGTTGTACTGAAAGATTTTTGCGGAGAACCTACAGTTTTATAACCTTCCAAGGTCTATAATTCTACGTGCTCCCTCTACCACAGTGGCAGGAGACACATTCGTCGCTGCTGGCTACTTTTTGTAGAAACCTGGTTCTCACTCCGCGCGCACTCTCCCGAACAACCTCCTGAAGTTGAAAACGACTTACAACAAGCCACGTTAAATATACTGCAGAGTGCAGGAAATTGAGGAAATAAATACCAGGTTTTGAATAGCAACAAATTAAAAATTCAATACAAAATATTAAATAAAATCTCATATTAATATTTTATTAAAGATATTATATTATAACAGCAAAGGAATATGAATTTTGCTTCATATTTGTGCACAATGACACTGCATAATATAGCTTATAACAAAGCATTATCTAATAAAGAAGTAATTAAAGTTCAAGTGATAAATTTCATTAGACCAATATTTATGCAATAAATACATAAAATACATGTATGACGTGATTCAATATATGAAAAAAAAATCCCTTGAGAGCGCTGGGCGCCCAAAAAATAATCAGTTTGGCGCGTCTGCTCTTGGTAAAACCCAAATTTAATAAATACGTCTCCCATAAGTCATACTATATTTTTCAAAATTTTCCTTGTACAGATCGCTCGGATTGACCCTGGGCTCAAATTGTTAACGCCGCTTTGCCGCTTTTGAGTGAGCTGCGCTTTTCACTCGACGTATAGTTCCTGCGTTTATCGCTTGGTGTCGTACTGTCATCAGCGCAGCGCATGTTCGTCGACAAAAGTTGAATGACGAAACACCCCCTCCAACAATAAAATTTCCTTTCGATCAAATTCCAAGTGAAAATCACTCGTCTGTGCTTCGAGATCACCACTTTCTAGCCAAGTACAGCGTTTGCGGCAAACCGAAATGCGGATCTGGACATCAGAGCACATTTTTGAGTAAGTCCGTCGTCAGATTGAAGCAAAAAAAGGGGTTTTTCGGGATGTCTTTTACCATATCAAAGTGGTTCAAGTATTTCTAGAACTTCTGACCCGCTCCATGCTATTGATTAAATGGCCATAAGTATAATTGATGTTTTAATTAATCTGCCATGTACGAGGCAAGTACATACGAGGCATTCGATTTTCATAAACTTGATGAGTTTCATCGCACTTGAACTTGCAGACAGCCGTATGCACGACGCTTGAAATGGTTGCATAATTAATCAATGTCACCCTGATGTGCCCTTAAAAAAATTCATTATTTTAATTGATACTAAATTTTGCAATCTTTTACAGTCACCCGTGGGAGACTGTGACGCAGGCTGCATGGCGGAAGTACCCAAACCCAATGAACCCAGCGGTCATAGGCACCGATGTCATCGACCGCGAAGTCAAGGACGGCGTTCTGCACACCCATCGACTTGTTAGCTCCAAGTGGTACTTTCCGGGATGGGCTCGAAAAGTAAGATTTTAGATTTTCATTGAATCTTGCATTTTGTTCATTTGGAATATATGAGACTGTATTTTGACCCAATGCTTATCATCCTTATCAAAGCTCCTTTATACTTTTAAAATAATCAGCTTTTTTATTGTTCTTAAAAATTTGACTCTGAACCTTTACGACGATACACGGCGTATATATTTCTTTAGTATTATGTAACGCTAGCTGTTGCTGGTCTTATTAAGTGACGCCAAACTCATGCCTGTGACTCGTTCATCACCTTCCCACATGCTGTGGCTTCCTTCGTTTTTAGAGTTGGCTATTTATGTTAGACTCTATTTGAAGCTGGCCAAGTGCCAGGCATTTGGAAACAATGATTTATTATTGATTTTGCTTGCTGATTCAATCGTCCAATGTCAAAACGTCTGCGAATTGCAACAAAATCATTTTCATAAGTTTATTTCTTAACAACAACCTTAGACATTTATTATGTAATAGGTCAATTTTTATTATATTTTTTCTGTAGGATTGTTTTCTTCTTCTTTATAAAAGCTTTACTGCAAGATCATATAGATCACCTGTTATTTTAATTGTTTATTTTCACAACTATTTATTATCTCTGCTAAATTTGCATGGAAAATTAAATAAAAGTTATTATTTGATAAACTCCCTTTAACTTCATAAAGTTTTCTCAGAATATCAATTTTTGGAATTTTATAACTTATATGCCCATTTTTTAATATCGTAGCTGAGAATAGATCGATAAAATTGCAATTGCAAAATATGACCATGCAATTAGTGCGCAATGCCTAAATGAATGGCGCAATTCATTGGTCTGATTTTATCCTTGTTTACAATAGACAACAGTAATTTGCACATGATCTAAAAGTAAACTTGTTGTTTTTGCAGATAATTGGATCAGCTAATGTCTGCTATGCCAGTGAATGGTCACAGGTGGACCCTAATAACCGAATGATGACACTGAAAACTAGAAATGTTAGTTACAAGTTTACCGCCCCTTTAAGTTGGTTTTTGTTATTTAATGATTTATTTATTTTAGTTAACTTTTGGAAGCTTTATCTCTTGGGACGAGCAGATGAGCTACAATCCGCACCCGACTGACCCTCATAAAACACTTCTCAGACAAGAGGCAGTAATATCTGTTCAAGGAGTTCCTTTGACCAGTTACATAGAGGAAATGCTCACAAGCAGAGTGTCTGCCAATGCAGGAAAGGTAATTAATTTCTAAGATCTTAAAACTCTGTGTAAATAATTTTATTTTTCAAAAATTCAGGGACGTTTGGCTATGGAATGGGTAATAAGCAGGTTGGACGCTGAAGTTAAGGAAATCACACACGAAGTTAAAGAGTTCACGACGCATGCACGCAAATCAACAGATGACTTCATCAAGACAGCAAAAAAGTCTTTTGACAACTTGTCCGTAAAACAGGAGGAGCAGCATCAATAGCTATTGCTGTGCCAACGGTGCATTACCATGAGGGGTTTCAAATTCTATATTGACTGCTGTTAAACCACCTTAAATTAAATTGTGATATTTATCAAGAAAATTAGTTCACAGTTTCTATGAAACTAAAAGAAAGGTTGACAGCAGGCAAATTGATTTTGGAATCCCTTTAATGCATGCAGATCAGATGATGAAAAGTCTTTTACCACTTGATTGATAGCTAACAAATGGCTCACGAATTGTGCGGAATTAGTGTTATTTGCAAAAATATTTACAGTCATTAATCACGTAATAGTTTTTATAACATCAAAATTGTGTAAATCAGAACTAGTTGGGACTGATCACACGATATCTGTAGCCTGTTTCACTCTGCACTGGAGAAAGTGGCGGATTTGTATATCCTGAATGGTTACCTAAAATAGCCACATAGGATATGACACATTGAAAGACTTAAATAGCTTATTATGTGTATATTCTGTCGTGTAAGTGGGTTTTATGAACGATGGGACTCTTGTAACGACATAATTCAAAAGTCCGAATGTGTTATTTAGCGTGGAGTGCAAGACATTCCTGTACAAGTAAATCACTATAATGTCCCCTCACTCCCAGTTTTGTTAGCCAGTTGCCGCTGGTCGTTAGCTGCGTTAACATAATTTGTGTCTGTGTCACTATAATTTGTATCTGCAGAGCCATTGAAGGACCGATCACTAGCTTAAATAACACTTTAGGATGCAATAAAGTAGGTGACGTGATCGTTCCTCATTGCTTCTGTATTTCGACTGTAGAGTTACAACAGGGAACAATGCAAGAGAACATTTTTGTGTTACTGTGTAACATTTTCTCCAAAATAAAGAATTGCATTAATGTTGGTAAAAAAAATTATGGAAGATTATTGAATTTCATTGCATAAGTTTTTTGAATAATCATTTTATTGAACAACAAGTACAAAAATTCAATTATATATGTTCGTCACAGTTATACAGCAAGGAATGCACACAATCAAGTATTCCTCTGCGCCAAAAAAATAAGTAAATAAATAAAACATCAACTCAATTATCCAAAATATATGGGACATCACGTTTGAAGGAGAAAAACTTTAAAATTGTGCGCCAAGGTGAACACCATAGTTGTTATACATTTTTGAGGTACATGATTAGAAAATGCCCAGCAAAACAATTTTGTGATTTAAGACTGCGCGGTTTTCTTTGGTATGACTTGCCATGCTTGATCACCAAGTCCCTGGACGCGTCGGATGGTTCGTTTTCCCCAACAGGTAAGCCAAAGTAGGCCTAAAATAACACAGAAAAAGCTTTCCACATAGTATCCGTCAACTTCGGTATTGCAAACACCACCAGCGTCAGTGCAGAGCTGCAATTTTTATTGTAAATATGTTCAAATTAAAATATACATATTAATATAAAAATTGACTGATTTCAAAAACTTGAAAATGATAAAATAAAATTTACCTTTTTAAGCTCATTGCCGACACAGCTGTCACCGTTGAGGGTGCCTCCTTCACATGTACGCCAAGTAAGCGAGTCAACACCCCAAAGTGCCAAGGTGGATGGCCAATTACCACCAAGGTTAGCGACTGTGTTGAGCAGAGTCATGTAAGTGCCTCCTACGGCAGGGTCACTGACTTGCGCAAAGAATGCCATCACAGCCACAAACATGCTGTAAACTGATACCTGGTGAACTGCATACACCAGGACTACACCAACGTAATAAATAAATGGCGGAGAACCATCGGAGGTAAAGTACGGTGTGACCCACACCATCAATGCTGCTACGAGGCCCATGAACAACCTGATAAGAAGGTATTAATTTGATTTTGTTGACTTGATTTTATATTCAGTACCTATAGGGTATAGCTTTAACGTAAACATCCATTGGCCGAGGGCCTGCAGTATATTTGCTTATCACCAGGGGTAAAATAATTTGTAACGGCACCAGGGGTACAGCTATCAAAGCTAATTTTTCCTTCGGAACCCCTCTCTCGACCAGCTTAAGTCCAGTGACTGCATCACATGCAGCGAAACCAACCTAAAAAGCATTTTTTTTTTAAATTCATAAATTTTTTAAGTATATTAATTTTAATTACTCTGCATGTCAAAAGTACGCAGATGATTGTCTTTATGCTTGGGAGTTTTAAAATGGTCCAGAGCAATTGATAAGACTCTCCAACACCTAAATCGTGTTCCTCTTCATCGTCACGCTTCTTTTCAGACTTGAAAAAGCCAACCAACGTAGTTGTTACCAAGAATACAATGCCCCAGAAATAGAGAAAACCTGCAAAAACGTTGGTGAATACTTTCAGATTATAGAAAGTAAGAAGTAAAAACCTGCTAGGGTAAAAATACCCTCTGGTTCAGGCACTGATCTTAAATAAGTGTTGCAAAAATCAGCAGACTCTAGTGCCATGAACAGGACATAGCCCAGAAAGTATCCTGCCGTTTGACCAACACTATTGCAAGTTGAAGCATGGCCTACGTTTGATCTGCAAAAAAATTATTTTCCCGTGGTTGAATATAAATTTCTACCATTTAAGATTTAAGAGATTATGTGAAAAATACCTTTTTAACATAGTGAGTGCCCATCCATCAACTGCAATGTCTTGTGTAGCGGCTAGAAAATTGAGACAGAAAAATATAACAGTCAACAGTGGCACGTTGGGAGTTCCCTCGCCTAAGAAAATACAAAATCAGAATTACTCAATGGTTTAATTTTATATAAGATAGAACAACCTAAAAGTGAATCAACACAGGTAGAAAGTATGAGCATAAAAAGCCCAAGAAGGTACTGAGTTGGAATAAGCCACGTCTTTCGGCGTCCAAAGCGGGCGGCAAAACACGAGTCCACAATCGGTGCCCACAAGAGCTTCAGACTGAACGGCCAGTAGACGAAGCTGAATTCGGCCTGCTGCTTGTAGCTGGCACCTCTGTTTAAGAGAATCATGGGCACCGCTGCAGTGAGACCAAGTGGAATGCCCTGAAGAAGGTAGAGCAGGAAGAGGAGTGCTATGTTGCTAGTATCGCTGCGGGCTTCTTCTTCTGGTGAATCCCTCTTGTCAGGGGGCAGCAGAGGCTCCGAGGAGAGGCTTTGATGGTCCTCTCCTCGGCCACGGCGACGGGTGCCCATCTCCACGTCCTGCTGCCTGTCTTTCTCCTAAAATATTAAAAAAGTTTTCATTTGTGTTGATTTCAATAAAAAAAGATAAAAAAGTATGGATCAGCATATCAGCATCTATGTAATATGGAAAATTTAATACCTGTTTTTCAAGCAGCGCACTTGAGGCCCAATCTCTCAAAAATTGCAGAACTATTGTGAGATTTCGCACTATTGGAGGAAAAACAGCTGAAAGTTAAAAATTATAACACGTCACTTTTATTCAACACACATGCACCTGTCCAAAAACATCAATTTTTATTTTATCTATTTTAATGGCTTCTTTATTTTTCTCACTGCTGTAGTTCAGCCCTGAATGTTTCTTACTTAGTCTCGAAGACTTCTGGCCCTAACTTAATGGCCCTGAGGGTTTCTACCCTGACTTTTTCACTAAAATCTCTCGGACTTCTGAAGTGAAACAACTCGTGTTCTTGCAGGAAAATCAAGACTAAAGTAATTTATTTGTCTGCCGCTAGAGGGCTCACAACACCTCCCTCCTGAGATTTGAACAAATATGCAAATGAGAATGGAAATAAAAATTGGAAATCAATTTAATTCAATTACTTGAAAAGTTATTGACGAATTTTAGAAGTTCGAACAGGAAATTGTACAGTATTATTTTCTTGATGTGTTTCTTGCTTTACAAAATTAAATTTAATTTCTCACTTCACTTAACTGAATTATTTCTTGGTCACAATGAAATCTTTGAATTTAGCAGGCAATCCGGCAGCTCTTTGAGAGCGCCTAGGTGGAGTTGGTTGGACTCGAGTGGGACTCGGCACCGACATTGGTGATTTGTCTGGTGGTTCGCTCTTCGCCAATCCACTTCCCAGGGGGCCCTGATTCGGTCCATCCTTCTGCTCCGAATCAAGGACAGGATCAGGGGCCACGTCGGGGCGGACTCTGGGCACTTCTTGGACCACTTGAGGTGGCTCTGGCGGTGTCTCGGCAGGTCTGATGATTTTCTTGATCTGGTCAGTGTGTCGCTCAGTCAAGCCTGCCTCTGTCTCCACCAGCACTCGTCGAGGACCCAGCTGGGTCACCACGGCTCCGGCTTCCCATTTCACTTTAGGGTTTCGGTAGCTCCGGAGGACCACTGGCTGGTCATCTGGCACCAACTTCAAAGGCTTTTCTGCCACGGCAGCTGCCACTTTCTTGTCCCGAGCTGCCTTTTGGTTTACGACAGCCGACGCTGGACGAGTCTTGTCCAGAAGGGTGTGCGGTCGTCGACCCAGGTTGAACTCTGCAGGTGACACTCCTCCCAGTGCAGAACTTGGAGTTGAATTGTGTCCCAACAGAAAACTGTCCAGTCTTAGCTCCCACTCTTTCTCAGGCACTTTCTTCAAGAAATATTTCACAGTCTGCACAGTCTTCTCTGCAAGTCCGTTAGTTTGGGGGCTGTACGGAGGAGAGTAAATTAGTTCAATTCCATTCATTTCACAGAACTTCTTAAACTTTTCAGCTCGGAATGCAGGCCCATTGTCACACACCAAAATGTCACATAAGCCCTGCACTCGGAAAAGCTTTCTGCAGTACTTGATAGCCGTCTCAGTCTCCAAGTTGTTCGTTCTCTCGGCATCAATCCAGTTGGAGAGTCCATCAGCTGCAACAATGTAGCTTTTGCCATGCACCACTTCGAAGAAGTCCAGATGCACTCTGCTCCATGGACGATGGGGCACCGACCACGGAATGATGGGCGCCTTCGATGGCGCTCTGTTGGTGATGGCGCAAGGCATGCACGAGAGCGTAACCTGCTCGATTTCCTCGTCCATGTTTGGCCACCAAAAGTACGTCCTGGCCAAAGTCTTCATTCTCGTCTGGCCAAAATGATTCAAATGTAGAAGTCCCAAGACTTTGCTCCTCAAGTCTCGGGGAATCACTGCCCTTCCTACAAAGGTAATCACACCATTAGTGGATTTCAAATCTCTCCACCTTTTTCCAAATTCTCCATCTTCACTTGTTAAATTATCAGGATGTGTACCTTGAAGGATTTTCTGTTGAATACGTCTGAGCTGCTCGTCCTTCTCAGTGAACTCTCGCAACTCTTGCAGCGAAATGTGGCTCTGCGGCAACTCGATAGCCTGCAAGAAAGCTACTCGAGCCTCCTCTTCCTCCTCTTCATCTTCAAGGACGGGCAGTGGCAGCCTAGACAGACAATCAGCATTGCAGTTTTCTTTTCCAGGGCAAAACTTCAGCTCAAAATTATATTCTCTCAGGAACAAGCAATACCTTTTCAGCTTGCTGGAGAGGTCATCAGACATTAACTTTCCTTTGCCAAAAATCCCCAGCAGCGGCTTGTGATCCGTCAAAATTTCAAATTGTTGTCCCCACAAGTAATTCTTCAGCTTTTTCACGGCCCAGACAATCGCAAGTGCTTCCAGCTCAACCTGCGAATAATTTAATTCACTTTTCTTCAGTGCTCGTGACACAAACATAACTGGTACCTCTACCATTCTGTCCTCCAGCTGGCTCAGTACGGCGCCCAGCCCCTTCCTGCTGGCGTCGCAGGCCAACCGAATTCTTTTCTTTGGGTCGAAGTACGCCAAGCTGAATGAGTTGACCAGCAACTTAGTCATCTTGTCCATAGACTGCTGGCACTCAGGGGTCCAATCAAATGGAACGCCCTTCTTCAACAACCTGTAGACCGGAAAAAGAATTTGAGCTTTGTTTGGAACAAATCTGTCGTAGTAGTTGAAATACCCTAGCAAGGCTCGAAGGTCTTCAATACTTTGTGGTGGTGGCATTTTCTCCAGCGCCTCCAGCTTGTCCTTCTTGGGCTGGATCCCCTCTTGAGTGAAGGAATATCCCAAGTACTCCAACTCTGGAACGCAAAATGAGCACTTGGTCAGTTTCACTTTCAGCCCATTTTCTATAAAAATTTTCAGGACTGCTCTTGTTTTCTGAATCAGTTGTGCTCTGGTAAATGCAAAAATCAGGAGGTCATCAAAATACACAATCACTCCGGAGATTTTGCAAACTAATCCCGAAATCTTCTTTTGAAAAATGGGGGGACACACGGAGAGCCCTGGGGGCAATCTCAAAAATCTGTAAGTACCTTTGTGAGTAGCAATTGCGAGCACCTCCGATGACGCTTCATCCACAGGGAACTGCAAGTATGCGTCTGCCAGGTCAATTTTGGTGAAGAAGCACCCCGGCTTGACCTCGGCGAGCAGTTTGTCAATAGTGGGTAGCGGAAAATCAGCTGCTGAGCACAAAGGGTTGACGGTGGCGCTGTAATCAGCACACAGGCGCACTCCCTCCCCCTTCTCCACATACACTACCGGTGTAGCCCACTCGCTGAACATCACTTTTTCGATGACTTTTCTTCTTTCTAACTCATCAATTGCAGCACTCGCTTTCTCCTGCAGTCCGAACGGCACACGTCTGGCGGAGTGCCGCACCGGTGTAGCTCCTTTCTTGAGCGGAATGTGAACCGGTTCTCCCTTCCATTTTCCCAGCACCGGTTCAAAAACTTCTTTGAGATCTTCAAATTCTGGCGGCACTTGTGTCATCTTGAAGATCTCCGGCAGTCTTTCAGGGTCAGGTGGCTCCTTTTTCAGGTCCACTGTCTTCAGAATAATGGGCAACTCCACTGCAATTCCTAGCTGCTTGAACCAGTTCCTCCCAAGCAACGAAGGTCCACTCTGCTCCATGACCAACAGTTCAAGGTTCACCGGCTTGCCACCTTTTGGAGTCACTTTCACCTGAACTTTTCCTGCTGCCCTAATTTCCCCTTGCTGACCCCACGCCTTCATCCGCACATTGCTTGGAAGCAACGCTTTTCTGTCTGGGAAATATTTATCATAAGTGGAGAGTCCAATGAGCGAAAATGTCGCACCAGTGTCCACTTCCAACATCAAGGGCTTGCCATTCAGCAGAATTTCCAACATCAGCTTCTGGTCTGCTGAAACTGGTGGCTTGCTTGTGGACTCCACTCTTAGCAGGTAATTTGTCACTGCCTGCAATTGTTCTTGGCCATCGCTTCCACTGGCCTCATCTTCTCCCTCTTCTTGGTCCTCCAGATGGTGCGCTGCCTTCTGAGTAGAACTTCTGCACACTTGCTCAACGTGCCCTTTTTTCTTGCACTTCTTGCAGGTTAATTTGTCTCTGACCTTGCATTTGAAGAATTTGTGCCCGTCTTTACCACAGGCGAAACAGGTGACCTGTCCATGCTGCTTTTGGTCACTACCTTGCTGACCTTGACCTTTTTTCCACTGGGACTTTTTTTCTTGGCCAATTTTGTTCACTGTACCCTGCGAGCTACTCAGCCCAAGAGCCTTTGCGGTCAGTTCAGCTCGTTCATGTGCGAGGACCTTTGTCTTTACAAAATCTAGAGTCAACTTTGCATCCTCTTCAGCCAGCAGCGTTTGCTTCAGCCGCAGGTCTCGCAACCCTGAAATGATCTTGGGCACTAGCAACTCATCCGTTTTTGAGAATTTGCATTTCTTGGCCAAACTAGTCAGCTCAGCTAGGTATACTGCAGCTGATTCATCAGGTCCTTGGACTCTCTGGTTAAACTCATTTTTATAGACAATAGTCTGCGGCTCTGTTTGTCTATAATAAACTGCCAACCTCTCAGTCAGCTTCGCAAAGGTGATGGCCTCAATCCCTTCAGGGTCACTCACCTTGCAGAAGACCTCAAACGCTTCTTCACTTTGATGATCAACGAACATGTTCTTCTTGTCTGCGTCCTCTGTCACCTTCTTCACAGCGAAATGGAACTTCCACCTGCTCAGGTACTGGCTGAATGACAGAACCCCTTTGGGGTCAAATGAACCAATTACTTTCGCTTTATCACTCATGTTGGATTCAATAAATACCCTGGGAAAACCCGGATGACCGCTTGCTTTCTTGATTTTCAACGATTAAATCCTGCTTCCACACACGCGAATTCTCTCTAACGATGATGGCGGCCACACGAGGTTCAGTTTTCTTGCTATTTCTCCCTTAGACTCGTCGCCACTTTGCTGTAGTTCAGCCCTGAATGTTTCTTACTTAGTCTCGAAGACTTCTGGCCCTAACTTAATGGCCCTGAGGGTTTCTACCCTGACTTTTTCACTAAAATCTCTCGGACTTCTGAAGTGAAACAACTCGTGTTCTTGCAGGAAAATCAAGACTAAAGTAATTTATTTGTCTGCCGCTAGAGGGCTCACAACACTCACCTAAAAGAAGATAATGCTATGATGAGATTCAAGAGTGTATAAATAGAATTTCCTGATAAAATTATATCTTCAATGCCCCTCATCTATGCAAAAATTCTTACTTTGCTTTGCTCAATATCCGGCTTTCCATTCGCAAATGAAAATAAAAGGGGGCGAGTCGGCTAAAATCATCTGCCATCCTTTCCACGTGGACATGCGCAAGAGCAGGATTATTACGTGTTATGCAACTTTCTTTTCTCGTCAGCATTGCCAGTTGCCTACATCGATAATGTTAAGTTAAGAATGTATTTTCAAGTATGAAATTTTGATAAAAGTAAAATTGAGAAAAATATAAATTTTTTATAAGTGATATTTCAACAAAACTTCATGATAAAAATAAAATAATTAACTGTAACATTTTTTGGGCTATTAATATATTTGAAGTTGATATTGTATAAAATTTTTATTGAAAGTTAAGAATATGAAATATACAATAATTTATTTCTTACTTCTTACAAGTTAGTGTAAAAATTATAATATTATCATTAAATAATAATGTGTATGAAATTTGTTTCAATTTTTAATCATTTCTAATAAATTAAATTTTCATACCAAAATTTAGAATAGTTTCACCAATTTCTTGCTTAAATCGTAAATCACAAGAATAAAAATATATTCACCAAATAATTCATATTTTTAAATACTCAATATTTCCTGTGATAGCAGTTAACTTTAAATAAAAAACTGACGGATTTTAAACAACAAAATTAAAGCCCCTCTAAAGCAAGGGTTGAAATTTGAGTGGTAGAATTTGAGTTTTGAGAAAAGTAGAAAAAATAATGAGAAGTTAAAATTTGAGAAAAATCAGAAATAAGGAAAAATAATGAGAGCTGAAAATTGGGAAAAAATTATGTCACGACGAGCGAGTGGACGGCGCTCGGTAGAGCAGTGGAAGTAGCCGCTGGCCATCGAGAGGACGGCAGACGAGAGAGAACAGCGGCAGGACGACGGCGTCCTGCAGGTGGCAAGAACCGGGCACCCCTGCTGTGGTGCCTACTCCAACACGCTCTCCGCCTCCGTTCACCGCTCGCGGAGGCGCCAGCCTTGTTCGGGGCCACCTTCGAGTCACACCGGGGAGGACCCCGCGGCTCGGCGCACCTGCCCTGTCTGGTGCGCGCGTATGCAAATTAAGTCGGGCTACCCTTCAGGACCAGCAAGAGGGGTGCGATTTGATTTTCGCAGCGCGCGCCGCACGGCCGGGCAGATCAAAGGAACAGAAAGCTAGATTTGCAAGAAAAAGCACAGCATTCAAGCAAGGAAAGCTAAAACAAGCAGGATATAACGTTTATAATCTATGTAGTAATTTTTCCAAACTACAAAAGCTAAAGTGTCATCGAAGTGTTATTTTCGGTTGTTTTATCAACAAACTTCATGATAAAAATATGGTTAGTTGTAACGATTTTTCTATGAAAATTTATATATACAATTTTATAATTTTAACAACACACTGCTAATAGTTCATTTTTTTGCTTCAATCTAATTATAAAAATAAAAATTTTGTGATTAAATAAAGGGAACGAGTAATGTGTTTCTCCTTTACCTTTTTTATATTTTTAATTTTTTTTTTTTAATATTTTAAAATTAATTACATTTATCGACATAGATTAATAAAAGCCTGGATATTCGCAGGTGTTACTGTTATGTAATATATTTAAACACACATTTTTCTCGTCCTTCATTCTCCTCCCACTGGATTAAGAGGTGGGGTATTTTGCAGAAGCTTCAATGTCAAAATTCTTGATATCCGGAAGGCTAGTTTAGTCTGATTTAGTCCACTGTGCAAATATTATTACTGATGGATCCAGAATGAAGATGATCAAAGACGCTCCCAACAACTAGGATCAAGTCTCTCTGGACGTTGGATGATTCGTAGTTGTTAATTGTATTATTTTTCTTATCGATCGGTATTGCGCTTAAACTAACAAAATAACAAGAATTTAGAATTAAGGATTTTTATTTATACTCTTGCGAATTCTTGAAATAGCCGGGCAAAATGCAGTAAAATTTCACAATATTTATGTCTTAAAATAAATAAACCACAATCATTCTTTCCCGATCAAGTAATTAAAAAAAGAATAATAATTATAGAAATTACCAAGCTTTTTAATAAATAAAAGTTCCCCTTTGGTGAATTTTCTCATTTAAAATGTAAATTAGAATTTAACCACAACCACGTATTATTTTATTATACAGACTAAATTGCGCGTTGTTAAATACTTTGGAATTGACTCGATCCCAATTCTTGCAAAACAGGTTGGTCCACCACGCAGCCTCCGTCTGCACCAAAAAATCAACTTTTTCCGCAAGTGTACCGAGCATCACATTCAAGCACGCTAGAAACGAAAATCACTTTGCTTAAATCACGTATTCTCGTCTCCTCAAACCAGAGGAGGTGAAGAATAAGCAAAATGCCGCAGCCAATGTCTTGCGAGCACACTGTGTCCATGGCCGTTGCCTTCTTTACTCTTGCCGCGTGTCAATCGCTGTATTCCTTTTCTTGCATTAATGAGGTAAAAACTAATTTATCTTTTTGATGTATGAATCTATATTTATGATATATTTCTGTAACTTTTCATGGAATTTTGCAGTTGCAAGAGCGAAAGTGGACATTGACCCTTTGTGGATTTGTTTTGGCCACTGGTGAACTCGGCCTCTTACTCGTCTTGTGCTTATCGGTTCGCTCGGTTGGTTAATTTTTTAAGTCATTCAATAAGGAATCTTAATTTAATAATCGTCATATTTTTTACTTTAATTTCAAATTAAAATAAAATGAAATGAATTGATTTTTTTATTCAGATCAATTGAGATAAATTTAGCGATTTTATTATTTACTTAAAATAATAATTATTATTTTAGGTCCAAGTGTTTGGCACGAGGCTGCTTATGCATTATGGTATTCTTGCTGTCGGAGTCTCGTTCATTGCGCTCGCGTAAGCCTCTCACTTCTTATTTAAATGAAAAATTTAATTTGACGTTGAAAATAATATCATATATTATATATTTATTTTGACATGTTGAACAATCGCTGTAGAAATTCGTTCATTTATTTAAAATGTAAAGAAGAATTCCGCTACTTTGTCTGATAGATTTGCCGACAGCTATGCATCTGAGGTGTGGTTTATAATTCTATCGTTTTTTCTGCGCGCCCTCGCAGGAGTCGGCAAGACTGTCTCCTATTTGGCATCTTTCGTATTTCTCCTGGCCTCAACTCCACGTAAGACAGCCATTGTGCGTAATTTTTGTACAAACATTTTTATAATAATTGAATTAAAAAAATTACAATTTATGCTAAATAAGAGAAAACGATTGTTATTTTAGCTTTCCTTGATATCTTCGTCTGCATTGGGAATGGTTTGTGGCTCTTTGTTTGGTGCGATTGACTCGCAAGTGAGGATTTATTGCTTGATTATGTTTGCCCTATTGTATAAATTTTTACTACTTCTAGACAGATGGCTTTGATCTCAACTTTGTCCTGGTCGGTCTCACCGTGATTTGGATCTCTTTCGTGGTACCCACCAATTTGCCTCTTGACCAAGATATGCATCTTATAGTCTCTGCAGAAGACACACTTAAACCTCTTTCAGGTAAAACTTTCAAAAAATTGTTTACTAAAACAAAGGTGAAAAATCCAGAAAATTGTAATAACGATTTTTTTTTCAATATAATATTATCAATCATTTAATATAATATTAAATATTATATTTTTTGCATGAATTTATTTTATTTATTTCAAGAACGATTGGTTTACACATTTTTTTCTTTTTATGTCTCACAAAAATTGTTCACAAAATCTGTTTCATTTTCGGGCAACTCAAGTAAAAATTTATTTTTAAAATTCATATTTATTAATTTAAGTGAGTTATTTTTAATTTAATTTTAGCTGTGTACATCAGCGGAGTGCGCAAATACCCTGCGCTTTTAGGCTGCACGGTAGTGCTGATATCTTCCTTATGCTTCAGCCTAATGACATTAGCCCTGGGACCAATTTTGCAATCCGAGGTACGGTTTCATTAAGCGGCACTCTAAGCAACTAAGTAAATTAACATTTAGGTGGCGTTCAACTCCTACGATGTCGGTTTTGCGTTCTTATTGATGTACGTCTCTGCCCTGGCTGGTGCCGTCGCCTCCAGTTTTCTCAGCTTCAAAGAGGCGCCGGTTGCTTTCGTCACTCTCACAGGACTGATATGCATGCTGGCCGGCCTTCTTTTACTTGGACCTGCAAAACTAATAAATCTTCCATCGTAAAATTGCATTTCTTCGCCAAAATGCTTATAGTAAGATTTTTTTTTATTATTTTCAGAGGGAAGTACGTTTATTTGATGGGCATCGTTGCCTTGAGCATCGGCTTCTCGACGTCGCTAGTGTCTGTGTCTGTCTCACTGATAGAAGTAACGTGAGTTGAATTCAATTATTAAACATGCTTAATATTCAATACAGTTAATATTTTGCTTAGACCGCGGTGTAAAATGCAATCGAGACGCGAATATTAAGCGAGACTAGATTATAGGATGCTACACATTTTGCGTAATAATACAACAAAACTCCTCAGTGGATCAGAACAATTTATAAATTCTAATAGTTTAAGTGAAATTCATCTACTTTTTTTGGAAAATTTAGTTAATATGGTTAATTTCCAGCCGCAAAAAAACTAACTTATCTTAATTTTTTTTAGACTGATTTTGAAATAAATTGATATATTTATTTCAGAGTATTTTGGTTTTTTTATGCGTAGCTTAAAAATGTGAAAAACGGATAATATAATGTTCAATAATTATGATGAATAATAAAATAAAAGCGCTCCCCTTTTTGTGTACGTAAAAGCATGCAAAGTAAAATGCATTGTGGTTTTTTTGTAAATGTTAATATTTATTTATATGTATTTAGCACGTAGAACTTTGAATTATTATTATTAAAAATTTTATTCAATCATTCCTATAAATATTTTTGTTTTTATGGTTTTTATAACTTATTTGCCTTACTCATACCAACTCATACATTTTCAGTAACAAGAGTAATATCCAGCCATCAAGCAATAATGCCTTTGGCACAACGGTTTGCCTAATTTGCATTACCTTCATGTTTGGATCTTTTTTTGGCTCAGGCTTGTTTGGCGTTCTTGTTGATCTTGTCGGCTTCCAAAGCTGCGTTGACACATTAGTAATTGCAGTTTTAGTCGCGGTAAGCATTTGAAGATGACATGAAATTGCATTTAAACTTCTCATCAAACATTTCAGGTGGCACTTCAAATAGTGCAAGTTCGCTGCGGCTGTATTGACGATCATTCAGATGGAAGCCTAATCGAGGAAAGTAGAAACAACTCTATTTTATACGGCAGTATTGATTAAGTCTGATTTTTTTGTAATCAATTAAGTCGAAGAGGGTTGTTTGAAACAGCAAAGTTAAAACTCAGAATAATGAGCAGCAACAATGATTTATAATATTTTCTACAAAATTATACAGATGTGTAATTAATAAAAAATAAATTTTAATATGTACAATGAGTAAATAATAATTATATTTTCTAGCTCTCGCCGTGAAAGCAGCAAAATTATATATTCACTGCAGTTTCACAGTAAATTATACTTTATTTTCCTGCGCATTCTCATTTTCTACGCAGGAGAATTTACTAGCCATTTTCCGTCTAGCCAAATTAACAGTCCACAAAGTGAAGAAAACGAAGCACTCAAAAACCAGAGTCCCAATCGCCACAAATGCTGCTTGCCAGAAATGATTCCAATCAAGAATGTCGTAAATGTAGGGTTGATCTTGACGGTTGATGCCGCCAAAGAGGAAGTAAATTAAGGAAAACGTGACGTAGCCCAGCCCTAGGGCACCTACCTGGTACAGATGCAGCAGCCGCATTGGATGCGCGCACACGAGGACGTCAATTAGCACGATTATGGTGAAAACCGCATGCTCTCTCAAATTCACATAGTCCAAATCATGGATTTCTAAAATCAAATTGATCTTCAAATTATATATATGTTGTTGTCCGAACGCGCTGAGTTGACTGAATGCATTCAGCCAACTCAGCGCGTTCGGACAACAACATAATTTATATACATATATGTATATAAATTTTTTATGCTGGAATGAAAGTAAAAATTCTAAAAATTAGAGTTTGCAGAAACAAGAAGAATTAAGCAATATTTAACTATACCTGGTTTGTATTCGAAAATCCAGAACATGCATGTCACAATCGGCGCTAGTCCACTAGACATGTTATAAAGCGTCCAGTATGCTTTGTGTATGGCACTCATAGTGTTGCCTGAAAATTAAAATATGACCTTTAATCGGAGATTTTGTGATTTACCAAAAAATTCATTACTTGATTTCTTGGGGCAGATGCAATGCCTTGTGACAAGAAAAGCAGCCAAGGTAGACTGCAAAAACAGTAAAGTGGTGTTCCAGTTGGTCAAATACACTGGCCATATCAATTTGCAGTGAAGCTGCGATAATTTGCATTGCTTGTATGTGATGTCATTTATCATATCGTAGAAAATCCCTCCGAAAAAGACGAATATAACAATAAGCCACCTATATATCATGTACAACTTTGAAGCTTTTGTTTGATCTTTGAACCACTGAAACAAAATCAGAATTAAATCAATTAACTTTAATTTATTAAATTAAAAAATAAAAATTAAAATAATTAGATCTTAATAATACGCTTATGTTTGCTAAATATATATTAAATTGTTCTTATAGCGAGCGCAGAGCGGGCGCAACCATTATAATTTAATTATATTGTTTTGGATATTTGAAAAAAAAATCTCGCATACCTGACTTTTACAAAACACAGTTGCATCTTGGTGGTTGAGCTTCCAGTTCTCAAGTCTTAGCTCTTTGATCCAAAACCGGGTACATTTTGTATTTACCATGATTTTTGTTTAAAAAAATGCACTCAAAAGTTAATTTATAAATAAAATATTCGCGCGAAGATATATTTAAGATGTGTGCGCGCCGAATGCTAGATTTGCTGTGAAAGTTTTATTTGCGGTGCACATATAAGATCCACGATCCATCTGTATATTATCGCTAGAGCCTATAGCTTTAAAATTGGTGGCCCCCTCTATCAAACTTTCTAAAGTCTCTGCTGCAGATAAATATTGCCTTAATAATTTTCTCCATTTTTTGTTCGCCTACTGACTGCTAAATAATTGATGGTTGTGGCGTATTCTTGTGGCTTTCTTATGTAACTGCAGTATAACTGCACTTTGCTGATGGTCGATGGTCTACATCTCAGATGAACACATTACAAAACAATTTATGTGTCACAACCATTAGAGTCTTGCATACAAACAATAAGTGCAAGCTTTGGTTTTGTATTAATATTCAGATAAATAAATTTCATGAAATGTAATTTAGTTGCATATTTAAAAATTAATATTTACAAACGTTTCAGGAATCAAGATTTTTTTACCAATTAATTTCTCACGGTTAATCTTATTTTTCTTTTTTTTTTAACTATTTTGTAAAAATGGTTAAAATATTATTATTCAACAGAGGTGCAATCAAATATTATTAAACAAAAAAAAAAATGAAAAAAAATCATATAGTTTAGCGATGGGCAACTGGCTTTATTGGCTATTTTTGAATATGCTTTTTTTCTTACAAATTATTAGTGTATCATCTTTTTATTTTAACTTCATCAAAAAAAGATAATTATTTAAGCATTTTCGTTAGTGTTATTTTGCAGCCAACCGTTTGGTAAAGGATCTAGCATAGGTGTTGAGAGACCACCGGCGTGTTCTTGTTGGTGCGAATCCTTTTCTAAAGAGCTTGTAAGCAAAACGCAGCCTTTTCTCTCTTCAGTGCCCCAAACCTTTAGAGCAAGTTGCAGATTGTCAGCAACGCAAGCGATCAATCCTGAGCGTGGGCTCAACATCTTCTCCACTGGGAACCTTTTATTTTAATATCTTTATAGTCAATATGTTTTTGAGTTTTTATCACTTCAATATACCATTTATCTATACTTGGGTCGTATGCTTCAACCTCGGCTAAAGGTTGGCCCGGTTCCGGACCGCCATAACCTCCAACAGCAAAGACGAGCCGTCCGATGCTGGCAATGCCAAAATTGCTTCTTGCCTGCACCATGGGTGCCAGCAACGTCCACGTCTCCGAATCTGGGTTGAATTTTTCTCCATCGGCCAACCTTTGGAAACCGTCGTGGCCGCCAAACACCAAAATGCAACCAGGAAGGGCCACGGCGCCCAGTCCACTGCGCTGTCGGATCATGCGAGCGCTGAAAGTCCATCGAGAGTCTGGTTCCAATTTTTCAACGCTGCTCAGCACGGCAACGCCATCGAACCCTCCAATCACGTATAAACACCCTAAATTTTTTTTTATTTTAATAGTTTTTTCATTAAAAAAAAAAAAAATAATAATAATAATAATAAATAAATATTCACCATTTAAATTGACTAACGCAGCCTCGCAACGGGCGCTTGTCAAATTGGGAACTTGGCTCCATGCATTTACGACAGGGTTGAATTTTTCCACCGATCTTGCTTTGTTTTGCGCGCGCTTGTGATGTCCTCCCGAAACGTAAATCTCACCATCCATCTCTGTAGCGGAAGCATAACACCTGTCAACCCTAAATTTAAATGGATTTTTTAGCAATATAATTAACGCGAAATAGTTGAAAATTGACTTCAAAATAAAAGTGTTGTGAAAATAGTTTTAATGTTTAAAAATAAATAAAAATAACTATTACGAATTATGGATCTTAGAGCAACAGCTGAAATTTCATAAATGTAAATTATTTCAGGGGAACATGCCTCTCCTTTGCCATTTGTGGCAAATCACTCCACTCCCCGGACATCAAGTCAAATTTTTGGCACTTTAGTGAAAATTCCTCTCCATTGAATCCGCCAAAAAGGTGCAACTTGCACTCATCCAGAATCTCGCCGGCAAAAAAGCTTCGCGGCGAGGGCATATCAAACCCATTAACCTGAAAAATTTACAATTGCATAACAATTTTGAGCAGAGAATAATAATTTTTATTATTATTCAATACTTTGCACCAAGCATTTAAATTGATGTTGTAGAATTCAAGGTGTTGCACAGGATTGCAATTTAGCCCCTCGTCTTGGTTCATTCCTCCTAGGGCGATGATCACTTGGTGTGGAATCCTGGCCCTGAACTCAAAGGGCACACCCTCTTGACCCTGATTTTGAGACGAGTCCGTCTTTTGGAAATAATTTAAAGCGGTTGCATTTTCTTTAACTAGTTCATTCTGTAAAATCTATTTCTTTTGTCAAAAAACTAATTATATATTTAAAAAAAAAAATAATATACCAACCTTTTCCTTGAACTGTTCAGTAAGAAACCCTTTCCTGAGGCATCTGACAAGCTGCTCAAGATGCGTCACTCTATTAGTTTTATCCCTGGCCACCCATGTCTCTATGATGTGCCAAACGTCCTCCTCGCGCTCTACATTCAATCTGTCGTCTTTCAAAAGCGCACTCAATCTTTCCACCCTCATTTCGTTGATGTCCCATTCGTCAAGTTTTGTCAGGTGGCGCAGCAAAAAAATCTCAGCCAAGTCGAAGGCTTCTCGGAGGCCGGGTGTGATTCCTTGCTCAAAGAGTTTCGATGCGGCCGACGGGGTCAGTTGGGACTGGAAATGGGCACATACTTGGCTGACCAGTTTGTCAATTCCGAGACTATGGGCGGCATTGAGCAAACCCACGAGGTCGTCACAATCAATGCTGCCGAGCTCGCAAACGCCCAAATAAGCGAATCGCACCAGCAGACGCAACTCCTTCCCGGGCACAGTCGGAAACGCTATTGTTCTCGTCTTTTTCCGGCTTTTGCCAAACTGCAGGCAGGAGAGGATCCCTGGAGTTCTTTGACTTGCTATGTCTCGTCTGAAAAGTTGAGAGTTTAATTTTCGAATCTGGAAATTCTTGAACGGCTTCTTACTGGACAGAAGGGAACGAGGCAGCAATGACGACCGAGTGCACATTCAGCCTTACGCCATCAGAAGACAACAGCACTAAGTCGCAATTTGTGCCGCTCAGGTATAGATCGAAAAGTGGAGCGAACAATTTTCTATGAGTTGCTGACGGTGTGGCCATATTTTTGTGCTAATCATACATTTAAAAGAAATTAACGTTTCTTCTTCTATGAAAAAGTCTGGAAACAATATAACATATTATTAGCAACAATGAGCGTCAATTTGTTTGCATATTTGAATAAATTTCATTGTTGTAATGTATTTTATTAATTTTTTTTATAAGATTTCAGCATAATTTTTAATTTTTAATGGAATCAAATTCAGCAAATAAAAATTATTAAAAGGAGTTTTTAATGAAGGATTTCTGGTTGACAGTACAATTGTCTTTACAACAATCGTCGCTAAAATTTCCAATTATTTACAAATAATTTCAAAAATTCCTCCTATTGTTGTACTTGCGCTTTATTTGACAATGTAAATTAGGAGTCATTCAAGACTTTTGGCTGTATCGCACCTAGTAAATTTTTTGTGTGTGGCTGGATTTTTTGCAAACCTTTCCTTGTATGATTTTATTTTTAAGAGCATCATCATTAATATCATTATCACAAAAGTTTTTTATTTGTCAAATAAATTTAAAAAGAGCGGCATTATTTTAGAGATCCCCGCACACCACGTTTGAATATAGACACACAGTTTGCTCAGCGTGGTCCGCGCTCAATCAGCATTTGATTCAAAGCCCCGCAGTCGGCGGTCCACAGCATTTGGTTCCAACAAACGCACGCGTCATTTTGGTTTTTGAACAATTTTCCGCTTTCGGCTGAATAAAATGAGCTGATAGTGAGGGCGAGATGCTCATTTCACGTCGAGAAGTCCTATTTGAAGCACAAACATGCTGCTGTCCATGTCTCGGTGAATATTTTTAATTTTGCATTTTTTGTGCCCTATATTTTCGCACGTATACTCTACTTTTTAATAGGCTTCTGGTGCTTCTGCTCATTTCCACTTATTTGACGACTTTTGCGGCAGAGTTCAGCCCGCCGAGTTTGCCCTTTGCGACGGCACACTTCAATCTCGTGAGTGCACAGCAAACAGTCTATATCAATCTATCGTATGTTTGCGAACGCTTAACTTTTACTTACAAAACTCTCTCACATATTCATCAAAACGAAGCCACACAGACAGTACTAACGACTGGATGTAGCATAAGTTTATTTTGATGGATTTTTTAAACAAGGTAATACATAAGAAATTTTAGGGCTATACAAAATTTTAATGGAAAATGATTATTTAACTGCGGATTTTATTTAATAAATATTCAAGCTCTTTTACTCTACAAAAACACATTTTTTTTTCGAAGTGTGAGCTAAATTTATTAATCTTAGAATGCACTGCAGGCGAGCGAGAAAAGCCAACATAGCCAGGTGAAACTTCCCGCCGGCGTCAAAAGGGGTAGCGACGACGTCAAAGGGGCGACTTCCCAGTCGTTTGGATGCACCCTTGAGCTACAAGTGGTGAGTACAACCCATGAATTGTCTTGGATACGCGCAGACCCCTTTAACTGCGAGCAACGGCATTCAATCAAATTTTAATTAATTCTGAGAGCTGAGAGAACGTCAAGCGCTTGCAGACAGAAAAGAAAATACCATCTTCTTCTGGGGATACACCACCCACCACCTTCAATTACATCTTTTGTTATATACCACAATCACAATTATTTCAAAATGGCAAAAAGGGGGAAGAGATTGATATGCTATTTGAATTGTGGTGATAAAAATAGCTTATAAATAAAATACCAAGAAACATACAATTTGAAGTTTTCTCTGAAATTTAATAGACGAAAAATAAATTTCGTAAATAGGCTGCAGTGCGGCAAGCAGTCGGGTATTTATCCCCTCTTGGTAAATACTCCGCTACGATTTCTTCACTAGCGCTGTATTATTATTTTTCTCCCAACAAATTTTTTCATAATTGATTGTTTTGATTTGTTAGGAGAAAAATAAAATGTTTTGAAATTGAAATTTTCGCAATTATTACATAAAAAAATTTAAGTATAAAAAATTTAAATATGAATGTTAAATAATTTTGTCCATCATAAATTCACAATATATATTTTGATTATTTTGCTTGATTTCCATTTAATTCTCTCACATAAAGTCGACAATAGTATTTAGTTGCAAATAAAGCTTATTGGTGTACCCAGTACCACAGGGAAATCTCTGCCTATAACATCATACAAATATTCAAAAATTATAGATGAAAACTACAGAAAACTTCAAGCGGTAAAAATTCACACAAATTTTCCTGAAAAGCTTATATCAAAAGGGAAAGGGAATCTCAAACAACCAACTATGGATTTAACAATGTTTCCGTATTCTCGCGATTAAACATTTTTGGTTAAAAAATTTCTCACCATAGTTACAATAATCCTCTTTTGCCATAAACCGCTACAGACTTTGTAGCGCGGTTATTATGGAGGGCTAAAATTAGTTTCAATATGCCGTCAGTTTTCCTCTGTATTCATCTATGGTGTATTACAATGGCTGGCTCATGATCCATCACTCACGCTTTAGTGGTGGCACTAATCAAAATTTGAGGCATTGCCTCTGTATCTTCTGCGACTCTCTTGCTGCTCAAATTTAACGCAGTCTCGCGCTTGACTGACACTTAATTAAACTTCCCCGTTAATCTATTATATATTATGCAAGCACATCTTTGACAAGCTCTTGTCGTTCACAGGTTCAGAGACTGAGTGGCATGTGCATCGATTTCGGCAGGTCCAACGCGTGCTCAGCAGGTGCTTACATATACCCTTTCCACCCTGAATGCATCAACGGACGCCAACGCCAGTCTCAAGTGAGACCATGATTTGAGTTCAGAAGTACTAAATAAAATTAATTATTTGAGTAGTTGACAAATTACTTGCACAAAGCACGTAATGCCTATTTTTATTTAATCCTACAATTTAACCTTAAAACTAATTTTTTATTTCAGCGGAGTTTAACCTTATTATTTCTTTACATCGCCAAGCGTAAAATTATTTCTTCATTGGCCAAAATGTTTTCTACATAAATTGAAATTCTTCAATCTTATTTCTCACATTATAATTTAAGTTTATTAAAAATATAAATATAATATTTTTTTAATGCCATTTTCTTATTATAACTTATCCTGTAAATAGATGTAATTTTTATTGAAAAGCATGATATTGAGCGGGAGTTCATGCAGTATGAAAGTACCATTGTCTGTATCGCTTTTAAGAACTAATTTAATTTTAACGCATTGAATGCTCAATTAAATTCCAAGCTGCATAGAACCGAAGGGCTCTCTGATCACAGCACAGTTAATGGCATTCTCCTATTCGCGAGAAAATTGAATCAGTCGCTCTCATTCGTCTACTGCTCTCAATTTCAGCAGCGTAGTAATGCCTCTGCCATTTCCTACCAATTTGTTCAGCACGTGCATAGAAAGATGAACAGCACAGAAAACAAAATATATTTCACCCGGTTTCTCCTGTTTCTAAAGCCATTTCTATATTTTCCTTTTAATATTCTTTTATGATATCATAATATTTTATTGCACTTTAATTAATTATAAACAAGGGGCTCTCAAATTTAATACTTTTATTACGGATAAAATCGAATTAAAAAATGTATGTGTCTCTAAAATGATGGAGTTCAATATGAAGTGGCTTTTACTCTCCCGCTGCTCGCTCGTGAAATTGTGACACCATGCGTAATTTTTATTCCACTTCACATTTTTCACTTTCGTCATTGTTAAATTAATAGCTTCGTGCAGACTAGCAATACGGAAAATTTAATGTGAAAGAGCACATTTTTATCCCACCGCCGGTTCGCATTTCGTCGGTTTGAGTGCGCACTTTGAGCTTCTGCGCCAGCCGGCGCATTATGCGGATTTTCATTTTTGAGAGTGCGAAACGGCTCTGCTTTTTCCGCTGCGTGCTCTCTCACGATTTGCGCGATTATTGAAATGAGCGTGGGTCGACCATGTTCATTTCATTATTATGTGCTGCATACTGAATGTGCTCAAAGCGGTCGCTCTCTATCACCATCAGGCCGAGCGCGTGACCAAATCCACCACACTCGAAGTCACACACTCGCTGATTGCGTTTGAAATTTTAAACAAGTATGTTGGAAATAATACATGCAGTATTACCGTGCTGATGTAATTATTATGTGTCCAAACATAAACACAATCCAAAATTTTAATTAAAATGGAGATTTGAATGTTAATTCAAAATGAATAAGTAAATTTTATAACTCGTCAAATTGATTTCAAATTTCCTAATTGAAAAAAGCTGGATGATTCCGGATATTTTTGCACTTCACTTGCCCCACACAAATCGATCAGTGTGCAATTCGTCTTGGTTTTGTTGAGCCTGGATCGATCTACAGTGGGACAAAAGGGGAATGAAACTAAGCGTATTCCAACGAAATGGAGCCAATTTGTCTGTGAAAAAGTAGGGTGGACGAAAGAGACGGAAAAAATAGGCGGCTTTGTCGTGCGCCCATTCATTTCCAATTTAAAGCAGTCGGGGTAGAGGAGTTGGCGGGCGATAAGAGGCCAAAGCGATTTCACCAAAGACCTGAAGCTATGTTGGCTCTGATAAAATCATTAGGGTCCCATATCAGAGCAGACAACATTGATTTAAGCCTTTGCGGCGTTGAAAATGGTTTTCACTGACGCTGTGACTGCTTTAACTTAATTTTTTTTTTAAATATTGATGGGATTTAAATAAAATGCAAAAATTTAATGAAAAGACCTCGAGTGTTGCCATTCAATTCAAAAATTTAATATTTCACAAAAATTATATATTAAAATTTGCAAATTAAAAAATTTGCATCTCGCTTGTATTTTTTTCATTAGTAAAAACACTTAATAATCCGCGCGTTTGCTTGCTATGCAAACGCTCTTACCCTTTTTTAGTGCTCCACAGGAGTACCCATGCCCAAATTTGAATAGGCGCAGAGGCAAAATTACGTAACTGTGTACAGCAGTGAAAGTTTATTGAGCGCCAATAAGAAAATCGTGCAAAGTTGAAATTGCTCTTCTTAGTGCAGGGGTGGAATCGACTTTGCTGTATGTAAAGAGAGCAAACTTGAATTCGCGGCCCTACTAAGCGTGAAACTCTCGAGGATGAGTTTTCACCGTTACATAAGCATAATTTTCGTAAGGCTTAAACATATTATTTACACCTCCCTGATAACGATTATCTTTATATTTATACACTTTTTAATTGCTGATCAAATATTAATTCCTCTATATATGGGCAGAAACGAAAACTACATAAAATCAATATTATTATGTAATATTTTACAGTGTAGAATAAAAAAAATTGACAATACTTCAACAATAATTGGATATATTTTATAAAATTTTTGTTGCATAAAACTTCAGCTTGAATTCTTTTGTTACATTTCAGATCTAAGATATTTTGTCTCGTATGTTCAAGTACATTCTGTACCTAGCTTACAGCAGCACTATATCCATACCAATTTCAGAGATGCCTTGGGCCTGCATATCAATTCAATGAAGAGAGGGTCCTTGTTTGTTATTGGCCTTTGAGAAGTTCTTTTGCCGCCATGATATTGGCAAAAATATAAGAGAGCGCCATAAAGAGGTGTATAGACCGGTGCTGTGCTATGATGATATTTTCATCTCTTCCCTCACGTGCCTTCGCGTTTCCAGAGCAAACAGCAGGGCGAAAGGAAAAAAGCCTTCATTGGAAATGCACAGACAAACACGTCGGCACAAACGTGTGCGTCGGTGGCGCAATATAAAAACTGCCCAAAAACCATCCACCAGTGGTAAAATAGGAAAGTTCTGCGATTTTTGCTTTTCCCTCCTTATGGCGTAGAATTTAGAATCACTCTTCTTTAATTTTTATAACTTTATTTCTTTTCTCGCGACCTAACTCCTGGTGTTTCTATTAGGAATATTATGAAAGGAGATACGACCTTTTTTTATCAAGAGAAGAAAAAAATTTGACAAAATTTGAAACAACTGTTTTTTTTTTCAAAGGGGGATTTTTCGCAAATTAGTTGTTTCATTTTCAATAACACTTTATTTTACATTTGCAAATTTCTTAATTCATTAGCATTCCTGCTACGTTTAAATGGCTAAAAGTTCTTCAGAAAATTTATATCTTAAACGCTCTATTGGATGCAGCCCGTTAAACTTTGGAGCTCACGACGCGATCGTGGGAGGCGGCAAGAGGACGAGAGAAATTCAGCGCGCGCACATAGCTCTTCATGTAAAGGGTTGTTTCAGTGCGACCAGGGAAGAGCAGTCAGGATGTGGACGCGCAGCGGGATAGGTCTGCTTGCGTCGCTCGGTGCTTTACTTTTGGTGACAAGAGGTAAGCATGTCTTCAGAGCAAAATTTTAATTTTGATTATCATCAATTCGAACAGAATAAATTTTTTTCCCAAAAGGTTGAAGTATTATAAATAAAAGAGTAAACAAGCATTTTGTCATTTTCGTCACGGCTAATAATTACCCAATTACCCAGCAGGGAGAAATAATTTCTTTTCAAGAGTGGCTTTCTTAAAAATTTATATGGGATCAAGCACGTCATGGGCAGAGACCGCGTCTTGAATCATTTTTATGACCACAGCGCGATTCCACTTCCGAGCACCACATCGCAAAGATAACAACTTTTGTAGACCAAGTGGAAAGTTTCTAACTTTTGTCGTGCAGCCTGAAAACACGCGTCAAGTCTTGCTCGTAACTCCTTCACTCTACGGCAAATTAAACGCCGGGAGCTAATTAACGGCCGTCATTAATTCATTTGGCTTCCACTTGATTTGAGCCACTTTTTCATTCAGGAGAGCGAGAGCTAACTCTTTGAATTCAATTTATTCATCTCGTCGCCGTTGAACTAAAATAGCTCTACCAGAGTGTAAAAAGAAGCCTGCGTGCACGGTTGGTTGCATGAATTGCATTGTGGAGTGCAAATTCACTATTATTTTTCAAAAGTAGAGCACGTGTTGGATTTTTCCTTTTGAAACCTTAGCAATTGCAATCATTTGTGCTATTTTTACAAGCGTATTTTTACCCTTTGAACATTAGCCAGAACGAGCAACTACGTAATATCACATTCAACCAGATTTTTATTTATTTACCATGATTAAATTTTGGTCATCAAGCGTTGTGGCGAAATTTTGTGGTTCTGTACTTTTATTAATCTTTAGAACAAAAGGCTGAGGCGAATTTTCCCCTGGGAGATTTTCTTTTGGCAATTAATTACGTTGATGAGCGTGACGAGTGAATGTGGGATTTGAAACGCTAACAAGTTTTGAGCCCTCTGAAAACTCGAAGCCTTTTAAAGATCAGTTAAAAGGCGTAGAAAAGTTGAAAGGAGCAAAATGAAGATAAATGGACAGGAAAGAAGCCACTCACTTTTTCCAACTTGGTCTGGATAAACTTCAAAGGCCCCACAGGCGGCTTTGCTTCTGATCGTTCATTTCGAGCCGCACACGTAATTAGTCGAGGGAAAAGGAAACAAACTTGTGGGAGATGCGGAATCCGCGAGTCGGAAAATTGGCACGCAGCTGCTGCTGAGACAAACAGAGCGGCAAGAAATTGCAGCCTTCTTCTTCTAATCCCATAAGGCTCGCCAAGGAAACCTTGAATTTTCTTTATTATATCTCGCCGTTGTTTTCTTTGTGCTTCCAGGCGTCGCAGGCTCTGCTTTAATCTCCAACGAAACGGAATCTGATGAAGACGGAAATGCCAATCACGCGTTGCACAAAAAGAGACACGATCGCCAACATATTACCAACGTGGATGGTTAGAATATTTTTTATTTAAGCATAAATTGATCAAACTGAAGACTAAAATAGCATAGAAGTAAACTGAAAATTTTTTGTCGTTGTTCAAAAAACTACGCGACTGCTGTTTGATAATTTTTGTTGGTATTATGTTTTATTTGATTTAGTCGTTTTAACAAATATTGAAGTTTTGAGGAAAAAAGAACACACTTTATTTATCTGGTTTTGTTAGTTAAATATTAACCAATATAAATTTCATTTCAATTTTACATTTTTTTTATTTAGAAAATCACAGCTAATTAAAAAAAATGAAAAAAGCATGCATTGATGAGACGTTGATAAAGTTACCCCCCCCCCCCCATTTAAAACCCTATCAAAAGTTTGAAGCTTGTACTCCGCATTTTCCCTTGGCCTGACAAAAAGGTTTTGCCAATTAGTCAGTTATATAACTTTCTTTTTGTATTTTTTACAAAAATTGCAGATTTTATACTCTTTCAATATATTTAATTCATCGGTTTTCGGCTCCAAAATTGCATGATTCTTGTTCATTTGATAATATTGGACGTCTACGAGGAGCAGGAAAATAAATCGACTAAAATTTGCAAGTCCAATGACTAACTGTGACTAACAAAAATAAAATCGTAAAATTAAAATTTAACTACACATTTATTCCTCTTTGGAAACACTAATCGATTTCTGATTGTCTTTGTTTTCCAAGATGAAATCAATTTCTCTCACCACAATTTCTTCCTCTTTATTGTTTTCTGCCGATCTCGCCACGTGCATAATTCAAGCGTAGATGCCAAAATGTCATTAAATATGCATGCTGCCGAGCGTGGATGCCACATTCGAGCTATGCAACCTGTTCGGCAAGCGCGTCGTGCGGGTTGAAGCACAAGCCCGCCTGCTCTTTTAGAGGCGGCTTATTACACTCGAATTGTTTCCGCTAGCGCTGGAATATGATAATTCCAAGAGCGTTTCAGAGAGAAACTCGCGAAGGCCTCATTTAAATAACAAATGAAGCGAGCTAAAGCGTCTATATCCGGACGGCAAAACTCCTTCCTCGAAAATTACGGAATCTTACCGATGCAAATAAATAACTTGGGTCTGAAAACTTTGCATAACAATTTCGCATCAGCTTGCTTTCAATTATTTCTGAATTCAAAACTCATTTTAATAATGACCGAATTTTGTTTTCAACTTTTTCAAGAGAGCAAAAGATAAATTAATGCCGAATAGTTGATAGTGGTTTTTCATACAATGTAAATTAAAGTCATTGCATACGCAATTAACAGATTTAATCTGGAAATGGTAGCGATCAAAATATCCATCAGAAGTGGGTTGTTTAGATTCAAAACAAAGTCGCACAAAGCAAATCGTCCGGCAGCGCACACATTTGCGATAAATCAGGGAGCCACTCTATATGCAAATACCAACCCTCTGCGGTGAGTTTCCAACGCAAATAATTCATTCAAGCGTGTGCCTCCGATCAACAGCAGCGGTAGCGAAATTGCATTCCGTGCGTCGATGCATTTTGCATGAAAGAATGTGTCCCGAGGGAAAACGGATCAATGCATTCCAATTTGCAAAGTGGCCCAAAACTTTGTTCATTTCGCTCAGCAAAAGCTTCTTCGACAGAGATTATATGATTGCACTGCTCTTTTCAACTTTTACACTCGCGATTTCCAGGCTCGTCACTGCAGATGGCAGAGGAAGAGATTTTGGTTGGAGAGATAATCGACGCTCTTGACAGACTCTTTGACTTCTTCAACAGAAATCTTGAACACCTGATTGCTGATGGCTTCGTTGGAATCGCCATTGCACAAGGTATAAAAATATAAAAAGCGCTTTCCAAAAACTTTTGCTTTGGAAATGGTTTATTTTTTATTATTTTTAAAGAAGCCTTAAAATAGTCAGAAATATTGCTTTCATGGAGGAGAAAACATAATTTTAACCTACATACGAAGGCACATTATTTAGTTTCTCATTACGGAATGTTGTCAAGCCTAATTACAAATTAGTATTTGAAGAGATAACAAATTCCATTGATAAAATTACAAGAATAATTTCCTGATCTTAAATTAATTAATTAAAAGAGAAAAAACTCATGCTTTGTGCCACTTTGTGCTAGCTTTAACACTTTCAAACAAAACGACCACTGAAGCGATTTTGTTGACAAAAAGTTTTCCTCCGTTTGTTTAACGTTCTGCGTGCTCATTAACAGACTGGCAGTAACAAAAACTTGTTGGAAACATTTCGTCAGCAAATCTAATTTATTATTCAACCACCAAGAATGTTTTATGAAATCTTGGGGAGGGAAAGTTGGATGAGAAAATTTATTCACCCGACGATGACGGCTTCGTCCAAATCCGAAAAAAAAATAACACTCGTGAGTTGGCGATGAAAAATGCATGGATGCGAAAACAAATTTATTTGCTGCTGTTGGTGCTGAATATTTAAATTCCATTTCAAGGGTTGACGCCCGCCCCCGTATTCTAGTTTACTTTTTTGGGCAAGTGGATTTTCCCGCCATTGATTGCCGCCTGAATAAGTAATCCTCAAGCTGGCTTAAGCTTCTTTTCTGCTCACAGGCCAACTGAAGGAGGCGATTCCGCAAACGCCGACCCATTTGATGCCGCTGGTCGACCAGCTCATCCTTAAGAGTGGCCAAATCCTCGACGGATTTGATCCAGACGTGCACGGCGTTCCTGAAATCGGCCGCGGTAAGTGAAAAATGCCCCTCGCTTTGGGCCAATTCTTTAAGGCGATTCCTAAACAAATGGTGACGGCGAGATCAGATTTGAGTTTTTGTCTCACAATTAGCGGTAAAAACGGAGCGCTTTACGTGGCAAATGCTGTACAAATTTAAAATTGTACCCCATTTTTATTAAATAATAAGAAAAATATTAATAAGATATAAGATATTTTTGAACATTGAAAATTAAAATTTGGGAAACAATTTTTTAATATTCTTTTGGTAAGCAATTTTTCAGAAAAAAAAAACTGAAAAAAATACACGATCTGGATTTTTTTACACAACATGTGCGAGTGTATTTTTCACTTACTTACCAATTCGACTACCGTCTGGCTTTTTAACTTTTTGTCCTCAATGCAAAGTAAAAAACCCTCCGACCTTTTCTAGTGACAATAAAACAAAAAGCTCCGCTCGCAACTTGACTGTTTTGCGTCGTGTACTTTTAAAGTGAATTCTTTCCCTTGTTTTATTGCGCTGCAGGGATGAGAGTTTTACTGCAGCCCGAGATGTGGATGAGCAAGTCGAAAGTGCACCCGCTCGCGGATAAAGACCTTAATCCACTTAGTGGCGCGCCCGGACAGTCAGCAGACGAGTGTCTGGGACAACTGCTGGCCAGCCGAGCTCCTTGTCGAATTAGCAGCGGGTGCTGGCAGATGCAGGCGCTAAGCCCTAGCGAGAACTTTTCCTACAGCACCACCCACCACCTCTTTTACTACCACATCGCCAAAAAGGTTAGCCGCGAAATTTTGCAAAAAATTCTTGTGATGGCCAAAGTTTTCGCTTCCTCTTTTGCATGAAAATGGTGAGAAGCCCACATGAGCAATAATATTTCTGCTGTTTCCGTTCTGCCGCGGAAAAAAGTAATTTAGTTCTGTCAAGCTTCGCTAAAGATGTGGCGAAAATTGCTTTTTCCACCCTCGTTGAGCATACATTACATTATGTCACGTTTCGGAGCCGCAGCAACGAAGGGAAGCGTCGGCGAACTAAACAAATTTGCCGTTTCAGCATGTGCGCGTGTTCTCATGCGGTTTGCGTATGGACGAGGAGAAATTAAAAAGGATTGCGAAAATTGTTTTTCACAAAGCCTGAAAAATTATTATTATTATTACAATTTCTCCCATTCTCTGGCACAATGGAAATTGTATTCATAATTCATCAATTTTCACAAAAGAAAATGTAATTCAAAATCGATATTAATATTTGTAGATGATAAGCAAAATACAATTATTAAAATGCAATTGATAATTATTATTTGATGAATTTGATGTAATTTTTAAAAAATATTATATTTTAGAGTGCGTTTCAATAAGTGCCGTCTCATTTCTCTCGAAAACGCCAATCCATCAACACCCTTTCTCAAAGCTTACTGTAAAAAGTGACAAGTCTGCCACATCCGACAAACCCCACTTTCATTCAGAAGCAAGAAGGATGAACTTGGCAAAAAAAGAACTCAGTCTCGGGAGAGAAATCAATAAGGAGAGATAATCGGGTTGCAGGCATTAATCATTTCCACTCGACTGGTTCTTCTACTTACAGCTAAGGTGCCAAGTAGCAGGCCGCGACATGGACTCGCTGATTGCTGCCGCATGTAAAAAAATCCTGGCTGAGACGCAAGGAATCGCCGACGCCCACTTTCCAGAGGCCCGCAGGGACCTTTTCCTTGAGCAGATCGCCCTCTGCGGGGTTGCGCAGCCCATGGGCGGAGACTTTACACACTCCGAGTGGCTCCGGGAGGTTCTCAAGTGGCAAAAACCGCTTTCAGGATGTTACGGGTGAGAATAAAATTCCCATTTTCTTTGATTTAATTGATTCTTATAGAGAAGCATAAAAATTTCCTTGGGGAAGTTTTATTTTATTTTATTTTTTTAATTTTTTAAATGAATTTGATTAAAATTTAAATGAACTGAATATTAAAAGCAGGCGTATATAATTAAACCGGTGTTAACTGGAAATAATGGTTGGCTTACAGTCTGAATAGCTCGCGGGTGAAGCGGAACGAAAAGCTGATGCCCAGTGGGTGCCTCGTCCACTTCTCATCTGTAGCCGCCGCCGCTCTGGCCACAGGGCTGAAGTCGCTAATTATCACTTTTTAAATCCTGGTGTTTGTATTTTTATTAACAAAAAATAAAAAGCTGCTTGATGCAAACTTGCCTTGAGGCTAATGTTTACTCACAAATAAGTAATGTTTTCCCAGGGGAAACGAGGGAAATGAAGAGGGACCAAGCTAAATGTAGGTCATATCTTTTGCTTTTATTTATGAAAGAAAAAATTAATTCAATCTTATTTCCTTCCTAAATTTTTATTTCGATATAATTGACCATTATAGTTACTTTACTGCTTTCCTTTATCAGGTGGTTGTATCAATCAAGACACCATTTTTTTTAGGGCCATGAATTTATTTCAGAGTTATGGTATAATGTACTTAATATAAGTAAACATCCAATAACTAAATATAATACAGTAGTAATATTATGTTTGTATTCTCAATAAATTTTTTATTCATAATAACAAACTATATTCAACACAATTTCATACATTATGGTGCTAGCCAACGTGCTGTGCGGATGCAAAGTCATGGGTTAATGAAAATACAACGGAAGCAAAGAGGACGCAGCCTTTTGACGTGCTAGCCAAGTGCCGGTTGTCGCGTTTTTTTTTTATTTTCAAAAAACAAAAGACAGTTTATTAAAAGCTCTCTGGAAATGAAACGTTTTTGCGCGCCGTGTGTCTGCTCTGCTAGCGAACAAAAGGTGCGCATCCTAGTGCTTGTGAAAGTCAAACCAAAGAAATTCCAGCTTTGTTCACTTGGCTCGGCTGATTAATAAAGTTTAAATGAGATTTTCCGCCGTGTGTGAGAATGAGAGTTACAATTCAAGATAAGCATCTCGTGTCGCTTTCGGCCAAAATCGTATAACGACGGCATTTTTGTTTTCCCAATTTCGCCGTCAACCAACCAGCAAATGTCCCAAGGGCCATTTTCGAAATTCCGCGCCCGTCGAGCCAAACGGGCGGAATAATTTAACGTTCCCTTGGCGATTCGCAGTTACGAATAACTTACAAACCCTCGGCTGGTGAATTTGCAAATGAAGTTTGTGCGAAAGGCGAGATTAGAGTTTCTGACTGCTTTTATTTGAGTTGAAATTTGAGACTTAATTTACTTTTCACTCCGAGCAAAGATAAAGTTTCCCACACCAGTGACATACACAAATTTATATCAATTTATGAAACTTTACTTTAATTTTTTGAGATATAAGAAATGAAAAAAAGTTTACATGCAAAATAATTAAAGCCATCTTTGTTTCACGAAATCCCTTCAATAATTGTCAATTAAATCATGGCTTAGCTTCACATCCATTCTCTGCTAAAGCTCAAATTTCAAGAGAATGTTGATTTGTGTAGAAAGTTTCAGATTACCGTTTCAGCTGCTCTGCGAAAAGCATCCTCCATTCAAAATGATGAAAAGATATTTTCACTTTCAGAAAAAAAATATGATAAACCCTTGAGGACGCCGCAGCGACGGGGAGCAAAATTTTGCGTGCACACAATGAAAAGAGGCTCTCCCAACCGCAGAGCCGTGAAACAAAATAAACGTGTGTTGGAAGGCAGATGGAAAATGACCCTCATTTGTTTCTGTCCTCGTCTCGCAAAAACTTCCTTTGGGCCGAAAATAAATTATGGATGAAAATTTGGCAAGCTTGTCTAATATACAAAGCGGCTGATTATGCGCTCACGAGTCCCTAATCAAATTCCAGCAGGTGGGAATTTCTCCCCAGCGGCGGCGACAGGCAGCGAATTCGACACAAGAGCAGTGATTAGTCGGAATTAAGCAGCCGCCGCACCCACCATTCCATCATATTACGAACATATTATATAACCCCCTCACTCTCAAGCGGCGTAAATGTGTACTTCTTAGTCCTTAATTAATTAAGTATGGCGCTGCGAATTAATTAATAATTCGACGACAAAGGCACTCTCTCGTTTTGATTCGGTCGGCTTTCTTAGTAGCGGGTCTTGGCGTAGAAACCGTGGCCGCCCTCCTCCTTCAGCAGCTGGTAGTAGCTGAACACCACGAGCCACAAGTAGAAGAAGATTGCTGCAGAAAACCAGGCAAAAACACAGTCAGATTTACGGCACTTGAGCAAAAAGTTCGGCAAAGTCGGAGCAAGCATTTCAATTTGAGCGCGTTTCGTGCTGGCAAAAAAGTTCTGAGCAATGTCTACCCGTCGTTAATGGAATTTTTAATTCGAAAAGTTAGGCAACCTGTCCGGCGTCTGTGCTTAGCAGGTTGCGTGATTCAGCTCTGCCGAGTAGAAAATACTTCGCAGAGTAAAAAGGATTTGTGAAGATTCTAAATCATAGCTTAGTTTTTTTGTTTTGCAGAAGAAATAAATTGCAGAAATATTTGAATTTTGATTTTTAGTTGCTGTAGTTAAGGATACTTCAACCAAAAATGGCAATCCATATAAATTAATAACAATAAAAGCATTGCAGTCGTTGGCAACATTTTCGAATGGACGTCAAACGACGATATTTCGCAAAAAGTATCGCTTGAACAAAAATACAATCTGGCAAGCCATTTCCATGCTCGAAATCGACGGGCATTTTGCCAGCAAACGCGCTCTTTGTTTCTGCCGCACGCGCGCCATGTTTGTCCATTACAATGAACCGATAGGCGATTAATCTCTTTCATTCACGTGGCGCGGAACTAATCAAGCGTCAGACTTCATTAATTTACCACGCGGACGCTCGCAAATTCGACGCTGCACGATAATTCGCGTGGACACACTTCCGGGCTTATATATCGTCAAAAAAATTATTCATACCATTTCCGAGGAGGCCGACGATCAGGTAGAGGGTGCCCGTGGTGGGATCGCCCCAGATGTAGAAACGGATGGCGGTGTAAATGATGGAGATGACCATTCCGACGACCAGCATGATGCCCAAAACCACCCAAGGTAGCAGCAGGTATTTGTTTTGCTGCACGAAAGGATCATAATTACTTTCCTGATAAGTGCTCGATTAATTTTAATAAATATGCCTACCCAGAGAGCGCCGAGGATCAAAACCAATGAAATGAGAATAGTCATGGCAAGATTCACAGCCAGAATGATGCGCACTGTAAAACAAAACAAAATTTACAATTTTATTTATGTAAAATTTGAAGTAATTTGAAATTATCAAAATAAGTTAGGTTTTTCAAAAAACTCTGCTGTTTGGTTATATATGACTTAAAAAACTTCACGGTTTTGCAATGATGTGAAAATAACCCAGATTTTTTTAAGTAATGATTTTTTTTAAGAATTTTATTACAATGGACAACAAAAGTTGGATGAAGTCAGGTTATGGTTTTGTATCGCCTTTTCTTGATGATTTTTTTAAGTCAATTTTTTTTCTTAATAATATTATGTAACATTTATTTTATCTTTTTTTGCAACACAATTGAAAAAATTGAATGCAAACAATGTATTTGTCAGTATTTGTAACAATGTGGACAAATAAACAACAATAATAATTTAATTTAATAAAAAAAATAATAATAATAATTTAAACTGACGTATTTTGATTTTTTATTTTATGTTTATAAGTTTATCATGATTATTATTAGATTTTGTTCAACTTACCGATTTCCGAATCAAGAGTGTCAATAATTATGGTTTGCATCTTTATGTCCGTCAGCAGCACGACGATCATGGTGACAAGGCCGATTATCTGCACATACAGTAAATAAAATTTAAATAAAATATTTCAAGCGGAAAGGAAACAGGCATATTTTTGCCATTAGTGTGATTACGGCGCTGCGAGTTGCTGCACAAAGTGCAAAGCCGCTGATATGCGCATGCAAGTTTATTTTTGCAGCATATCGCGCTCGCACTGTTGGCGACAGCGAGAAAATTAATTCGCACGCCGCAGCGGCTGCTGCGGAGTGCAGGCGCTGAACAAAGAACGGGCTTGTGCTCAAAGTCGGCGCGACGCTGAATGCAATGCAATAATGACCTCAGCACTCCGACCCACTTGCTGCAGCCCGCCAGCTACCAAAGGTGCAATGGGACTTTAATGGGCATATATTTAGTTTGCGGTCGATCACTGACAATGAGTTACACGGAGAGTAGGGCAATGGGAAAATAGTTGCACTCGGCAATCAAAATATTTTCCTTTGCCCAACAATAATATTTGGATAGTTGCAAAAAAAAATTCTCGTCTCGCTCCTAATTAATTTGTATGTATTTTTTTGCTCTGCTGTTCAAACGTCAAACGTTCAAAGTTTGAATATGCTCCTGTGTTTGTTTATTCAGTCTGCGTGTGCCGCGAACTGGAAATCAATTAATGCCCAATGCGCAAACGAGAATTGGCGCACAATAAAGGGGTCCCCTGCATCGTTTGCCTCCTTGCTCGTTTTCAAACAGCCCAAGTTGCTGTCTGCGTCTCTCGCGGCAAAGCCCTTTTTGCGACGCTCACCAAAGCCAATAAAGGAATTATTATTATGTTGGCGGGTTGTAATTGTGACAGCGACGATGTTATTTTCCGGCTCTTTGCCTGCCGGCGAGCAAATGATATGACAAAATCAGGCAACCTCTCCTAGTCTTTTGACGTTGATATGCGCTAGGGCGGATCTCATTTGTGAATGAACTCTCCACATTGACAAAAAATTACTTTCATCTTATAAGGATTTTTTATAGGTAAATTAATTGAAAAAAATTTTAGTCTAAAATTTGCTTGGCTTCAGATGAAAATATAATAATTTGATATCAGAAAAATGTTTCCTTGAAGATTTGGAGTAAAAAAATTATTTCCTTTATTATTCACGGCGTGCTTAGAAAATTTAATGTAAAATAGTTAACATCACAAAGTTTTCACGTGTTTAATTAAATTTTTTAAATACAAGTTCCTGTTTAAACTTTATGAAACTTAATAACTGCATTAATATTACATTTAAACTTTTTAAGCAAGCGAAAATTCAATTTGAAGAAAATGTTGTTGGAAAAGTAGCATCAAAAAATATCCGCTATATTGAGGGAAAATTATTTGTGGACTATTTCGTAAGAGAATCGGGATGATTTAGACGCCTATTTGGTCTATTTGGGAGCAAAAACATGTGCAATTTTTATGGAAGTAACAAACGGCGCAAACGGACCCAGTTTATCAATAGTTTTTTTCTTCAGCAAAATCACGTCTGATATATTAAAAGATTTCTCTCTTCTTCCATCAATATATACCCAATTTTACAAAGTTGTTCAATTTCCCAACGGAAATGTACCGTGGCCTTCATTTACTAATTAATCAATTTTAAGTGGCGATTCCTTCGCTTTATTCCCTCCGGCATGTGTGGGAAATAAACACGGTCATTTAATCTTGCTCTTCCGAAAGGACGACGAGAGTGAGTGGGGTTGGAGAACGTGTGTGGATGAGTCGGTGTACGTGGTGGAGGTCAGAGATATCGTATCGTCGCGGCAGTGGGTTAATTAATTGATGGCGATGCCCCTTAATTGGTGGGCGAATGTACAGTGTACGCTCTTACCATGCCAAGGATGCCGCTCAATATGGTGCCGGCACGTAGCGAAATGCAGCAGCAGCAACCGTCCAACCACGTCATGTTTCTGCAAAAAAATAGGAAGAAAGATATTAATTTTGTGTTATAGAATTTCACGATCTAGGGTTGATTCACGGAATAGCAGGAAGAGCAGGATATTGTTTGTTATTCTTAAACAATAAACAACTCACAAAACTTATCAAGGAAAAGCTGACTTATATAAAATTCAATTCACAAAGATAATAATTGTTTGTTTATAAGATGTACGTTACAGGTATATAATGTACATAATATCACATGCTCGATCTAATGGTTTACAATGAAAATAAAATATTTTTCAATGCTGCTCAGATAATAATAATTGTGAATTTTTAAAGCGCGAGAACAAAAAATGTGTACGTTTGATAAAAAAATTCATTTTAATTTTTTATTTTTGCAAAAATAATTTGCAAACCGCTTCAATTCTCTCTGGATAAATTTAAATTGTTCCAATCAAGAAGTGGTAAGAACTTGCAAGTTAGATGTGATGTAATTTTCACTGAAAGAAAATTAAATTTCCAACTCGGAAAGTGTGTAAAGGTTTTTTATTTAAATTCGTATATTAAATTCGTATTAATAATCCAAAAACACTGAATTTTGATGTCGAATTTCCTATATATAATCAAACTTTCTACTATGACCATTGATCGCCATTGAAATTTGCATTTCGCTTCCTAAATGGAGATTTCTTGAGGAAATAATGTGAATAATAAACGTGTTTTGCAGAAAAACCAAAGGAAACCCCCTTAAAATGTTACAAACAAAGTTTCCTGCGTCCTTAATATATGCATTTCAAGAGAAAAGGGACATTTTCCCTCTTCCTCAGAATGCGTGCTCTGGCCTCATTTTTCGCTCCACAAAGAAGTACCGCGTTTATCAAAAGGGCCTTTTGAAGTATCAATTTTGTCTCATTACTCCTTTGCCAAACGAAAGGCAGAATTTAGCATTGGCACGACTCAAAAGCGGACCTAGGAAAAGACAGAAAGCAGTGCGCTTTTCGGTCGCTTTGACCTTTGGCGAGAGCGAATAAAGGGTTGTAACTAGCACGGCGGCGGCGGCACTTTGCTCTTTTGCACGCGCTTTTCGCATCCAAGCAGTAATCCTCATTAGCCGGCCCAACGCGACGGCAAAGTGCTCCATTACTAAAATGGCCAAATCATGCTGCGCCGCTGCGCATTCAACGCAACGCACCTCATTTTTATACACGGAACCCCAGAATGTAATTTCATTCCCCCTCGTCTCGCCAAATAAAAGCATTTTTTTTTTTTGCGACGGAAAATTTGATTTGCGGCACCAAGCGTTTCCACTCTGCCCGACTGTTGTGCTCCCAAAAACATGAAATTTCATGTGGCGAGACGCCACCACGCCATTCTCTAATAAACAACCAACCGCTCAGACTTTGTTTGAGTTGCACAATAAACGGATGGGAACAATGAGATTTGGGGTAAAAAATCCATTGGCTATTTTGTTTGTTGCTCACAATGGGAAGAGAGAAGTTTTAATATTTTTTATTGCTCAATAAAAGCAAAGGCATTTATTTTGTAACTATTCAAATTGTAAAATTATAATAATAGCTATGGAATAAATAATTATTTTTAATAAATTCATCCTCCGTAAGGTTAACTTGAATTAAACTGATGAAAAACAAGTAAATTAAAATTAAAAATTTATTTGTTTGTTTCAAATGGTTTTATTTTTTTAAATTTATTTTAAAAATTTTGGCCGGTAAGGATGCTAAAATCTGGTCTCGCAACTTCACACATTCACTGACTATGGTGTTGTTGTTACACGTTTGCGAATAATAAAGAGGAAGCTCGACCCTCCATAAATGCACGCACAAAGTTGCTTTGTTGACTAGGTGTGTCTCTCTGTAACTCCCCGACTTAAATTCGTGAGGTCTCTGTGTGTCTCTGTGGCTGGTTGATGGCGCCGCAAATTAATCCTTTCATTATGCATCACCGTTGCGAGTACATCATACCTTATACACGGCGGCACAAAACAATCTGCTAACAATGCACAAAGGGCGATAAAAGCGCCAGCAAGGGTTGATATGTTTTAACGGTGAATGTTAATAGCGTCGTCACATTGTATCAGGTGCCGTGTGTGGTTTTCCTTCCTTCCCCCCTGAGACCACGTGTTCACTAATTGGAACGTACTTGGGCGGTATATCAATGGGGGTGAAAGGAGGTCAGAGGGATGTCTTAATTCTCTACGACACCCTTAACTCCCACGGACACTTCCCACTTTTACGATCCAGGTCTATGGATAAAAAAAGTAATAAAATCCCTCACACTGAACGCGAATAAGGTAGACAAGCAAATTCCTATTTTATAGAAAAAAAAATATTTTTTTTTTAAAATTATACCGACACTTGAAAGATCTTTCATAGAAATTGATACAAAGCTGAAGTATTAAAACAAAATGTAAATTTACCATCAAGAAAATTGATCAAAGCTAACAGTTAGTTAGGTTAACAAATTATTTTAACAGTTTTATATGTAAAACAGCAATCATGATTTTTAATAAGTTGATTTCAGTTTTAAATAAAGAGCATTTAAATTTATTTATACAACATTTGAAATTGAGCAAATCAAGAATGTGTTTTATTAATGACTCTTGATGACATTGGCCTGATATGACATACAAAATGTTTTACATATTTATAAAACAATATTTTTGGATAATCCTGCTTCTCCATTTCATCATCATCAGTGTATGCCGCGTTGCACAAACAATCTAAATTTATCCTCGAAAAACCTTCGTACTCAATAATTTCTATTCTTGCCATCAAATTAAATATTTCCGCTGAGCTATTTTTCAAAGTAGTTTTATTACAAAAACAGAAGATGAAGTAAAGTATTGTATTGTTTGCCTTTTAGTGGTGAGGTAAGAAATAGAAGCGAGGGAGTAAACAAACAAACCCGTTCGTTTTATGCAACCGTCCCACTCTCTTGTGCGTGACCCCATTCTAAATTCGGCCTTCTTTATAGTCTGCCTGGATAAAAGCAGTCACCCGCATCACAAGAATGAATTTTTTCACTCGCGAGAGAAGATTTTATCAATATAAAGTCCTTTCAGCCGCCAGTGCTGTGTTTCCTCCCCGAAAAGAAGAAGCACAAAATTCCGCCTCCGAATTGCAAAATTGATTTTCGCAGAAATGCTTACAGCAGAGGCACCTGCGAAATTCAATTTTTCGCTCGCTGAGCATTCGCATTCCCAAGTTTACGTGCGGTCGCGTCAGTCAAACGCGCGAATTTTACACAATTTGCGAACGAACGGTTATTGACGTCTCTGCCTACACGTTTTTACAGTGGTTAACAAAAATACTTCAAGAAACAAAAAATTCTCAGCTCAGCATGAAATTCAGAACCTTAGGCTATAAAAAAATTAATTACGTCAGTACCCAGAACCGCTTATGAATATTTAACTTCGTATCAAATAGGGGAATAATAAAAAAAATTTCCTGCCCTAAAATATAAATATTTATGATAGTTGCTTCAATTTCAAATTTGCATATTTTTAATATTTTAAGGTAGTGAAAATTAGCTTTGAAGCCGTAAAAAATCATTGGTTTGTTAATAATGTGTTATATTAATATTATATAGACTAAATAATAATAATATTAATAATTAGTTGAGCACTTTGACTCCAACAATAAGGATCTCAAAAGAACATTGGAAATCATGAAAAATTATTAAGTGCACATTTGACTTCAATATAAATTGTAAGAGAAATCACTCTGAGCAGCCATACCATGAAAGCAGCTTTGTGCGGAACTCTTTACGGCAACATTTTTGTATTGCGAACGATGATTTTTAAAAAAGGGGCATTTTGTTGTGCACAACCTTTTGATGCCTAACGATCGTCAGATGAAATTTTTTATGAATAATGACAGCGTTTTGCATGAATTGCTGTCCACTCAGCTGTGTGATGATTAGTGACGAGTTTCGAGATTTTGCTTGTTCAATCACAAAAAAATCCAAGTTCAAATGACAAAAGCATTGTTCTAGAAATATAAAAGCGCATAAAAGTGACTGTAATTATTATAAAAATATTTTTTTTTACTCATAACCTTTTTACATTTTTTCCAGTTATTTCTTTAAGAACTTAGCGTAATAGTTTAATGTTTATTTAAAAGTGTTATTCCTAAACATGTTTTGGAATAGTGCTAATACAAATTAATTTTTGGTCGATGATATCAAGGACTTCCCAGCAAAACTTTCAAGAGACGAGTCTTGTTAAATTTTTGTAAGCAAAATTGTTATAAAAATTTAACTTTCAATTATATTTTAAATGTTAAAATTTGATTCACCAGCTAATAAAACTTTTTTATATGAAAATTCAAAAATATGAATTTAAATTTTGAACGCCTGTTCATAAATCTTATTACTCAAAACAATTATCTTAATTATGTGCAGTTGATCAAATATCAAATGCAATATTAAAAAAACCGACAATTAGTCATGAATTTTGGAGTAAAGTTTGATTATAATCCTCAGCCCGTCTCCCGTCTCCCTCAGTGTAGGTTGAGGCATAAATCGCTTGGAACACATTTTGCTGACGCCCGAGCGGAGAAATAAAATCCCCATCAGCGGCGCGGATTCCATATTTAATGCGCCGTAAATTAAACGCAAACATAATTCACGCCAGGGTGAAAAGTTTTCGCAATATTATGCCTTTAAAAAAGAGAAGCCGTTCCGTTTTTTTTTAACGCTCGGCCAACTTCTTCGCACATTTTTGAAGGCCTAAAAATAAACTCCAGCGGCGGCGTTGGCGGAGAAAGATGCATCTCTTGGCGGCGAATTTGCGCAATTTGTTTCGAGTGGCGGCGGCTCCTCTGAAATAGAGACGCAGCGCGCGCCCCCGATTCCTTCAAGAGCTGCTGCTCAACGCATCAAATTTTTACGACACGCGCCTGCACGCATAAATATTTATGCCAAATGAAATATACTAGCGCCAGATTTTTGCCTGCAGCTATGCAAATAATATGGCCAGAATTTATTCACCATCTTGCAGTTTTAATAAATAAAAAAAAAAACACACGCAATTGCACAAAAATATAGAGCAGTTACCACAATAATAGATGGCAAGATACACAATAAAATTGATAATTTAACCAGCCAATAAATTTTTAATGAAATTGCAGTGCATCATTTTTTAAATAAGATTTTCAACTTAAAATTTTAGTGGTTGAAAATCTTGGAAATTATTTTAGATTTTGGTATCCAAGATTAAACTGATGAATATGATCTCCACACAAGGAAAAAAGTTTCTGTCATTATTAGTTTATCTATTTCAAATCTACTTTTAATCAAATGTAAAAACAACAAAAGTATTGCGAGTTTCGCGGGTATGGAAATTTGATGGTAACAAATACATAGTATTGAAAATAATGTTAATGCGCAAAAAGGGTCTTTTAATTTAGATTACTTTATTCAGCCGATTTTAACAAAACATTTGTGGATTCAAAACTATTTTTCAGCTACAAATTTTGAACTTTTCTGATTTAATTAATTTTGATTCTTAGAACTTCTTGTCAGTGCAACTACAACAGAAAAGTAACATCGATACTCCCTCTGAAGTTGAAGGGAACACGCACACATAAACGAGAAATTCGATTCCTCGCGTTGATAGCTCAGCTCGACGACCCCGAGATTTTCCCCCTGAGCCTGATATATCCGCAAGCAAAGGACCAAAACCATAAAACGGGCTGTGTGCGGTGCACGCAGACTTACAGCGAGAGCGACTGAAACCGTTTGGTGTCACTTCATTATTTTCAGCCAGCGCTTTTTTCGGGGTCGCGTAGGCATCAGGCAAAAGCACTTTGCAGTCCCTGTGCTGCTCCTCATTGCCATGCCACGGCGCGATTCGAGTTTATCTAGCGAGAGAGAAAAAGGAGGCGGAGGCCATCGCTCTGCGTCTCCGCAATTAAAAGAGGAGAATTCTTTTCCACAAGAACCGAGAAGAAGTCCTGCTGTAATTTGAGATGCTGCGCTGCACTTCTTTATAAACCCATAACAGCGGATCTCTTTTACACATCAAGAAAAGTACACATACAACTTTTTAATTGGAGCTTGGAGATAAGGAAAAGAGATCTTGAAAAAGTTGGTTAATCTTGAAAATAAAATTTATTTTTGAAACTTTTTATTCATTTTAAGAGGGGCTAAAATTTTTGAGTCAATATTAAAAACTTCCATTTTCCTTCTAACAATGCGAGTCAAAAAAAGGAGAAAATCTTCTGCCTCTCTTTTATTACAACACTACTTGTCTTTCGTATTTTCCAAAAACCCTCTCTCTCGTTATATCAAAGCCGACGGCTTAAGGCCACACTACGCTGGTGAATAAAAAATATCAGCTGAATCTTCTCAGGCGCATTAACCCGTCTCTCCCTTTTATGCACTTTTTTTTGTAAATCTACACTTTCATCGTGAGGCACGCGTCGCAGGCCATATTTAGTTGGAAGGTCGAGCGCAAACATCAAAGGAGAAATCATAGAATCTCGCTTCAGTGGGGAATATCTTTGTTTGATGAATTCACGGCCGGCACAGAGAGAAAAGGGCTAAGCAGGCACGTGTTTGTGAAGAAGAAGTGCACACAGAGAGAAACCCTTCTACAGGGAATAGTATTTTTACATGTGTCAAGTGAAATTGTCAAGAATCCACAACATTAATTCTCTTTCATTTAAAATTCAGACATGCTGACGCAGGTCTTTGAATGCGAATTTCCGAAAGCCGCAATTTCCTGCCGCAGCTTCTACCGTTCCTGATTATAATGACGAGTTTGTTATTAAATTTATCAAAAAAGGTTATAAACATATTTTCGCAAAGACGTATGCAGATTACATGGAAAGTTAGTCGTAGAGATAAAAATAGGTTTATGACATATTTAGATTTTAATTGAGTTACAAAAACTGATTGTGTAAAAGAAGATTGATAGATATAAATTCATTAAGCATGAAGCTTTTGAACTGACCACACTGTTTTAATATTAAATATTTAAGTGAAAACAATTATTACCCAGTCACATTGACCGTCTAAGATAAACAGCGAACAGCATGTGATTGTGATAAATAAATATGACTGAAAACAAATGATAAAAACGCTGGGAAAATCATTTTTAGAGTTATGCAGAAAAGGAATATTTGTGTAAATTTGCTTTTTTCTTGTGCGATATATGAGCCCGTTCTGGTGACAGCAATATTCGTTGTTGGCTTTCTGCAGAAACAAACGTCTCCAATTTCACGGTACCAGGCTAGCCGTTTTTCAATTACACGAACTCGCACAGGCATGCAAAGAAAACGTGCATGTGTAGGTGTTTTCTCTCTCGGCACAAATACAAGCAAACAAATAATATTTTATTCCTACCTGCCGGATAAAGATTATTCCAACAAAGCACAGAACGGGTTTACGAGAATTTGAATAAAAAGCTGCGGGGAATGCCAGTTTGTTTATAGAGAGACTAAATCCCATTCAGGTGTTACATGTGGAGAGCGAGCACAAATGTTTTTAACTAAAACGTCGCCGCCGCGAGTATATTGTGTGCGCGCATGAAAACATGCGGCGCTTTTTCCATCTGGGAATTGTTTACGTTTTTTGTTTGGGCCCTCTGATGAGCTTAGAGCTGCCATAGAAAAAGAGAAAAGATTCCTTGGCTGGCCCATTGGACGACAATGGAAACGCTCGCGAGCTTTATGACTCTCGGAGCAGATGCTCTTTGTGCGTCTAGAAAAATACTGTTATTGGTCGTGGCACAAAACGTGCTCACGGTGAGAGCTGTTCGAGGACACCTGGACCTTTCCGGAAAAACGTGCGTTTTTTTCATCTCAAAAAAATAACGGATACAGGGTTTTGTTGCCGGGGCGCTGCGCAATTCAATTAGCAACAAACGCGCGGACGAAGGAGAGTGCCAAGGGCAGCTATAGGACGCCCGCCCACCTGGTTTCTTGCAATAATTTTCTTACTCAAACAGTCTAGAATATACAACACAAGACGGTTTACTTTCTGGGTGGTGCGATTTTAGAAACCAAATCATTTTTACATAAATTAACTGAGAATATTTTATAGAAGAAAAGCCTTAAATTTTTATGAGGGACACTTTGTATCTTCTAAAAGAAATTTAACTTGCATTTGAAAAGTAAGCAAGACACTCCGAAAACAAATTGTAATGTCCTAATTTTATTAAAAACATTTGTTTTTAAAAATTGTTATCTTTTTGTATATTTGAGATGATAAATTAATATATTTGTATGTTACCAATAAGGACAATAAAAATCAATAAAAATATTGATGACCGATTTGAATTTAAAGTTTGCTTTTTTTGTGAGTTTTTTAAGAAAAAACAATATCCTAGCTGCTCTAAAAAAAAAATTTTCTAGAATTCATAATGTCAAATTTGTTGGTTAAAAATTGTTTTGTGTGTAAGAGAACTTTAAATAATTTTTTTCACAAAAAAGTGTTAATTTGAAAGAAAGAAAAACTCCCTAAAACTTCCTCAAAATTTAATCTCGTTAATTCATGCAACACTCTCATTTTATTTACAAACAATTCTTAAAAGTTTAACTTCAAAACATACGGAGAAATACATTATTATTTTAATAAAAATAATTGAAAATTGAATAGGATAAAAAAGAAATAAAGATTGAATTTCCACGGAATGACGACCGTGCGGCTAAATGGAATTGGAAAAGTGAGTGAAGGGAAGAGTTCGCAATAGGAAAATTGCGCCTACAACCGAGAACGTTTTGCGCAACTGCGAAATAACAAAACTGCCAGTAAGCACGCTCAATGCTTGATGTTATGCACAATGTGCAGTAACTGCGGCTGCATTCCAAATAACGCAATATACTCGGAATAAAGTACTTCAATCATAATGTAAAGCAAAAAAGTGACGCAAATGAAAACGCCTCTCATAATCATTCGCTTGAAGTACCCCCAATTATCTATTGCCAAACTAATTATATAAAATTTTGTCCGATGAATCGTGAATTGATTTGAATGTGAAATTAATATTTGATCTAAATAATATAAAATATAAATTCACCTGTTATTTAGTTAATCCTTTTCAGCAGTTTTAACTGTTCCCGAATCCCACGCTTTCTGCCGAGCAATGATCGGAGAGGCCGCGCTAGGAGCACTAAATAAAACTGACTGACTAACGAAGTTGAGGTGCGGACGAAAGAACCTCGGCGGACCGACGGCGAGCTGAGCGACCGCCAGAGAGCGTCCCGATCTGGGTCACTGACGTAACGTGCCGCCCGCCAGCCCGACCATCTCCATACCTGGCAACTTGCTCTGTAGTGCGTATACCTGGCGGACGAACAAAACAAGTGATCGCGTCACCGCATCTCTTCGTGGATGCTGAGGAGTGCAGCTCGAGTCTGCTGCTCCGTTTGTTGTCGTGGCTCTCGTCCGATTTAGAATGGTGAAAAGAGCACGAAAAGAGTTCAATGTCGCGTCTCTCTCGCGAATGCTATTTTTAACAGTATATATGTCATTCGACGAGCGGATCTTTTTCAACTATAAAGTTGTTGAAATAATGAATTTTCAAAGCTGCTAACAGATTTATCTGTTTGCAAAGACGACAACATACTTGAAAAAAGAAGAAGATTCGCTCAAATACGTTTAAAAATCTTTTAAATTTTGAACTATATCATTTTTCAAATTTTTATTTTTAATTTTAAAACTAATTTAATAAAATAAATAACATCAAAGTTTATTATTGCAACATTAATTTTAAAACCATTAAATTTTTTTTTTGTTATTTCTCTAAAAGTTAAAGTAATGGAAATTTAAAACAAATTTTACGTATTTCATGAAGTAATGTTTTTGTCAATGATTAAATTTCAAAACCCATTTGATATCCTAAAAATTATAGAATTTTTCGTCATTTTTTCTCCGAATTTAATATTAAATTTAAAGTTATTGCGTTCATGATGAATAACGAAATGAAATATTTTTCTGCTTTTGGTTTTAAAGTTTGGTGAAAGAAGAGAAACGAGAGTAGCATAAAAAACTCAATTATTTGCCAGCCGTTGTCGTCCGTCTTGGGTAATCAACTTAAAATCTTCCGACTCGGATAATATGGAGCCAGTTAAATTGCTCCCACTGAAACAGAAGACGCTGACATAAAAATGAAATGAGAATAAGTTTCAAGGCAGCCTCACTATCTCTGCAGCTGCAGGTAAATTACCGTCGGGACCGTTTTTAATTTTTTTTATACGCTCCTCTCTGGATGTATGGGGGCGGTAGAAACAGAGGGTGTGGGTCGAAATAATATAAATTCCTTTGGAAATAAAGCCTTTCGATTATCAATTACTGGAGCGCTCCGTGGAAATTCCCTCTCAAGACACGTTCGAGAAAAATCACTCGCCGGCTAGTCCGAGTGGAAAATTGGACTTATTCCTCTGCTCTCAGCTCAAATTCGCTGCGTGACCACCCTCTCTGTTCCAACCCTGCCGATATCAAAAGTGAGATCCTCCCCTGCCCTTTGCGCGTTGTTTTATAGTTCAAGGGCGAGCCTTATTATCTCGAAGGCAAATGGCACACTGGCACCTCAATTTGTCGCAAACTTTTGAGCGGCCGCGAATAAATTTTCTGTGTCAAAGAGCGCGCAGGCTAAGAATTTGGCGGCCTTTGTGCAGCACCGACTGGATATTTGGAGAGGATTTGCAAATAAACGCACGCTTTAAGCCTTAAGCAGGGAAAAATGATTTTCCTCCGTTCTGCGCTGTATAATCTCTATAGCTCAGCAGCACACACACCGCACGACGGTCTATTTGTCCGCACAAAGTGCCAAAAGTTATGGATTTTTGATCGATCTGTTCGCCGGAGCATATTGCTTTCTCTATTTTATTAGAGAGGAGCACAGTTGGTGCAGATGGCGAAAGTTCGCTGAAATTGCGGAGAGAAACTTTGCAAACTCGTGGCTAACAGTAAGATTATTTTAGTTAAAATACATAAATTTAAATTAAAGCACAAGCTCAACAGTAAGAAATACGAAATTAAATTACACTACTTTTGGTATTTAAATATTTTTACATAAATTAAGTTATAATAGGCAAAAAAAAAAAATGTATGAGTTATCTGAATTTAAAGAGAACTACTATTAAAAATACATGCACGAGTGGGGTTTTATTTTTTTTAACTAAAAAATCAATTGATAATTGATATAAAAATATTAAACAATTTAATGCTGCATTCGAGCTGAGTGTTGTTGATTAAATTTTCCAGGTTATATATTTATTCATTTATTGATTACTTCCTAACTTTCATTGTTATTTTTTCAAGTATTGTTGGTTAAAAAATATGAAATACGAGCCAAAGCCCAAAGCCTCTCCGAAAATTAATTTTAATATTATTTTTAAAAATTTTGGTGACTTCTTAGACTCTTCACCTCTTTATTAATTCAAAACACGGATTGCTTACACTAATAAATCGTCCTCCACTTTCCAAAAATTATTTTATGTGTGAATGATTTATAATTTTGCAATTTTGTGCTTTCTAGAACACGTCACAAGTCTTTCTCTCGGCCTTATCTACCTATATAGCGACTCTAGTTTTCCATTGACGAAGACACGCGAACTGAAAATGTGTGTTGTCGGAATGATAAATGCGATGATTGCTTCTTTTGCGGCGGCCGCCTACGTGCGCAAATAAATCTTGATCAGTCGCTGACACGCATTTACCTCTTTTGTGCAGCCTTTTCCAGGGGAAGGCAGATGAGCTATTTCGGAGTGATGAACTGCGATCGATGGCCGCGCAGATTAAAAGATCGCCTACGTAGCCGCACTATAGAGAGGATTTTCGTGATATATAAAAGTCCCCTTGACGTTGTTGTAATCTTTTTGCTTTCGGGGATTTTCAGACAGGGTTGAACGCCACTCACGGTTTTTTCACGTCATGATACTCATGATTTATCTATTTAGTATTTATTTTTACCACAAACTATTTATTTCATTTTTTTTTATATAATTTATGATAATGAGTAATGAATGCAGTATGTACAAAATTAACTTTGATTACACAAAACATGAATTTTGAACTTCTTCATTATACAATTTAGGATCTTAATTCGGAAAACTAAATTAGCTGCCGATGAGGTTGCATCCGAATTGAGCGGCGAAAAGGCCTCGAAGCAGACTGTTCTGGTTCTTGCGCACCTGGGGTTTGCTCCTGGGGTCACACACGCCATCCTTGATCAGACTCATCACGGATCCTGTGAGAAGCCTGAAATTGGTGTCAGTGGTGTTCAGCCCCTGGTAGATGAATTGCGGCAGACGGTCGCTCAACAACCAAAGGTTTTGGGTCTGGTCAACTCGCATGTCATTGGGGAAAACTAAAGCCTCGTTGTCGCTGTCCACGATTCCTTGAAACTCCGGCCTGAGAATAATTGAATTTAAATGCCATTAGCTTTAAGCGAACCTCAAACAATACTGAAAATCTCCATGAAAATTTAAATGATATTATATTAGAATTTAATTTCTTGTGAGATTAAAGCCCAAAAAATTATCTATGAAGACAATAATATTTCAGATTATTTAACGGATTTAACGTTTAATTTTTAGAAAATTCCAATAATTTTAGGAATAAAATTAAAATTTGATGAGCCTTTCAAAGTTAAAAACTTGTTTAAAACCTTGTTAAAGTAATGGTAATTTTTTTCTTTTATAAAAATGAAAATAGTTGGAAAGTATTTTCTTTCTCTCAGCCCTCGATCATCTTTGTAATATGCATAAATTATAATTAGAATGTGTGTAAATTATAAACAATCCTACTTATACGGCAGTCGAGAATTCCAGCAGCCAACGGCATTTCTGCTGACCAAGTTGTAGAAGAGCACCCCATTTGCAGCCATGGCCTCGGCCGAGCTGTGCTCGTTCTCCGTCCCTCTGGGGTCGAAGGCGTGGAACATGTCTGCAATTTCGTCTCCCATGGCGGACGCGTTCCTCAGGACCTCCGTGGACACGGCGAACTCTCTGAAGCTGGCCATCGGATGGAAGAAGAGCATTTTTTCATTGGTGAACCTGCTCGGGGGCGAAAGGGCCAGACCGAAGAGACCGTCCGGCCAGCGGAACTGCAGTCCGTTCACGTTGAACTTGGTCGCCATGGGGTCAGGGTAGAAGTATTCGTGCTCGATTCGCCGCGAGGTATTCGTCTTCAGGCTGTACACAACCAGCCCAAAGCGCCACACGTCCGACATGTACGCGTACGCGTCCAAGCCACAGTCGTTGTTGACGAGGTCGGCGACGATGTTGGTGAAGAATGAGCCTTCCTTGACTTGATCCTCTGGCAGCACGTATTTGACCTACATGCAGAGCAAATTGTATTTTATTGTCCCATCATTACAGTCAGTAAAAGATTTGTACTGCCTTATTGCATTATTTATTAATATTTAAATTCTTAAAATCCAATAAAATCTAAAAATTTAAATCAAATCATGGTTTCTTTCTTTACTTTTTTTATTGTTCAAAAAGAAAATAATCATCAAGGAAAGATTTTCTTTAAAAAAATTCAAAAGACGGTTAAGAGGCCAATTTAATGCCTTGTTTGAATTTATTTTGTTTAATCAGCTGTCAAAATTTCAAAAAATAAATAAATTAAAATTAAATTAAGAATTAAAACTAAAAATAAAAATTGCATTTAATCATCTTTCTTAATTTTGAGAGCTCTCTAGCTAAAAAATAAATCGATTAATCAGTTGAAGTTTACAAATCAATTAAAAAATTTCAAAACTTTTTTTAAATGTATCTTTAACAAAGATTTAAATAAAGCAGTGAATTCCTTCACAGCATAAGAATCAAAACCAAATGTAATAATATTTATAATAGAAACACATACAAAATATTTAATTTATTTTATCCGCCTACATTATGCAACTTTGCGAACACCGCTGTCTGGCAGGTTGCATAAAGCTGATCTTTCATTTTAAATCTTTATTGCAGTCTTATTCATAAGACTAGTTAAGATTTTTTAACTCGGCAATTGATTATTAGGATTATTATATTAAATTTACATATTTAAAAAAAATGAATAATAATTTTTTTTTTCATAATTAATGTATTTCATTTTGAAATTCAGCCGTTTTTCATTATTTTTCCACTTTTACTTTAAACGATTTCAAACTTGTGATGCTTTTAAGTAAAAATAAAAGTTTCATCAAAAAATCGAGTGTTAAAGATTAACTCACCAGCAGATTGTCAGTGTTGAAGTCGAAGACGAGCAGTTTAGGCGGACACTGCTGCTTGACCCCAATTCCAGCGTCGACCGCCCCTGAATCCAACACCCAGAGTCGGTTGCACGCGTCCAGGTTGACCCTGAACACAGAGATGAGGCCGTCGCAGTTGCCAGGGTGGTGCCAAATCCAGTTGGGGTACGGCTTGAGCAGCGGCGACTTGTCTTTGCTGTTTCGCGGCACCGTGGCCAAGGTGGCCGGCAGACCTGGTTTCCACCTCGGCAGGGTGATCACAATGCGGTCGGTGCCCGCTTCAAGGCCCAACGGGAGCACGTTCTCGGGCTGGAACATGCCCGACTGGACGGCGCGCTCCTTCAGCGCCTTGGTCGGCCACGTGAAGTCGATCTGTTTCCACGCGTAGTGCTCTTTCAAATGGGTCAGCGCCGACATCGCGCATGGGGCGAGAACGCCGAAAAGCGCCAGGTACAACACGAGTCTCATTTTCTAAAATGAAAAAAGAAGGAATATTATAATAAAGTACAAATACGCAAGTTATATTATACGCATTATATTCATTAACTGTACTTGAAAATTAATTGCTTTGTTAGAAAACAATGCAAAACTGATTTTGTTAAATTAAAACTTTGAATTTGATCAATAAGTATTAAAAGTAGTTAAAAAACTTTTGAACACTTTTCTATCAAATAAAGGAGATATATAACAATAAATTAAATATAGAGTTTGAAGCTGCCTTTTATAATTTACATTTTCTTTTAAATTGTGTTTATATCATTTTTATTTTGGCTTATTAAAGTTTATGTAAATTGTGTCAAGAAAATTAGACAAATAATTTTAGATCTTAAATCATAATCATTACATGTCTGATGAATGTGTTTAAAAAATCCCATATCCTTTAAAGAACGAGTTTTCAAAAAATGAGTTTTGCGATAGTTTTTCTATGAACTATAGGAAAGGAAGCGCGTTGCAAAAGGTTGCACCTTTGGCTTTTCAATCTGCAAAGGACAATGTCGTGATCGATGATACCCATTGCTAGTGCAAACTGCAGCCCATACATAAAAGCGAACACAAGTAAAAAGGCGAACTCTTCACAGTTCGTGACCTCAGGTCGCATCACGAGCGAACGAACCTTTCACACATGTTTGCTCTCTGAAAGGCAGAGGTGATCAGGAACTTAATTTGTTATTTCAATAAATATAAATACGAATCTGACGCCAACACTTTCTTATTCTTTTGATTGAGACGCCCTTCCCGTCGTGAGAGTATTTTACAAAGATAAGCTTCATCTCTCTTTTGCTTTTTCACGCTGACTTTTCTTCGCACGGCGTCTAATTCTATTTGCCGATTTTTTGCCGCGCTCACATCTTATTACATCACATCCGACCGACGTGGTTAATTAGCTGCTGAATACCTGAATACTTTCACGCTGGTCAAGGACCGGATTGATCGACACCTAAGGCGAGGGCAGGTCGCACAAAAAAAAAGAGAAATAACTGAACGGCCTAGCTCTCGAAAAATTCTAGTTTGACATGAACTCTTTTTAATTCATTAATTGAAATATTTTTTACTTGAATTTTTATTAAAACAGCATCAGCAAATCGAGCGTTAAACTTTTTTAGCTACTCTCGATTTCTTGTGCAGCAAAAAACTGCAGACTCGTTCAGTGAGTCTCTTGCGACCTACATTGGCCTACTGATCCGATTTTGCATTTAGTGTAAATAAAAACTGTTATAATTGTTTCATTGAATGAAAAATCTTGAACTTTGCAGAAGATTAATTAAGCAGAAAATGACCCTGACGAGTGGTCTAATTGCGTTGGCGAAACTTGAACGAAGCGCTCTATCTCGCTGATTTATTTAACAATCGTGCAGACAATAGCAAAACTTTGGTTGTGTGAGTTGCGAGTTAAGAGTTGGTGTGTGTGTGTGGCTCGTCGCCGGTATTTGCCCTCGGCTGTTGTCTCCTTCATTTTACGCTCAGCTGGCCAAGTGCTTTAACTTCTCTTTGTCTCTTTCACACTCTGCACGTACAGAGAGGAGACAAACGCGGATTCCGTGTCAAAAAAGAGCAGCCGTTTTCACGCGAATTCATCCTGCCTAGACGCTGCTGGATGGTTTTTTGCACGCAGCCACTGTTTAACGTGGCTCGCAGCCAAATCCGACGAATTATTTGTTTTAGCCGCTGTAACTTTGCCCTCTCTTCCGCCCAGCAGCCTAATCTTGTCAACTTCATTTTTTGTCTCCAAAAAATCTCCGCTGCTTAAACGTTTTTGCTACGTCCAGTAAAAAAAAGCGGAATATTTTTGCAATTTTAGTTATTTCTATTACATTCAAACAATGGAAGGTGAAGGTGATTTATTGAAGAATTACATTTTTTTTATGATAAATATTAATGAAGTAAGTGGTTATATTTTAATGTAAATAACTATAAATAAGAGGCATTTATAATTCCTCAGAAGGTTTCAATGTGTGGATTTACTGAAATTGAGAATAACTTGGCTTTAAACTGGCTTTAAAGAACATAAAACTTCAATTCTTTATAACAAATATATTCTCTAATGATTCTAAAACTTATAATTTTTTCCTTTAAAATTTAAAATAATTTAATGAAATTCCTAAAATTAAGGCAACACAGCACTTTTCAAGATTATGTTAAAAAAATGCAACTGATTTTAACTATTGGCACTGTTGATTTTATTTTTCAGTAACTATACCAGCTTAAAAAACAAACCAATATCAGCCTTTTTACAGCTTTTCCTCCTCTCAATACAAATGAAATCCTTGACCTTGGCTCTTTTAATGTGCAAAATTGAGCGCGCCTAATTGCGGTCTTTCGTCGTGCGCACTGCACAGTGGATTAGTTTTGCGGCGGCGGATATGTGTTTGTTCGCGCGTGATATGAGGTAGAGTTTCTGCTACATTTCCGGGCCGAACAAACAAAATTGCCCGGCGCGCCGACTGCCGCCCTACGATAAAACGGTGCGCAAACGGAGATGCCTGGGAATCGGCAGCAGTGCTGCGTTTCGAGTGCTGTTGTTCTTTGCATGTAATAACCAACCCTCCGTCAACAACTAGGAAAGCATTGTTTGTGTGGGTGTAACGCAGGGTAACATGCACACAGGTTTGTAATCTAAACACTCTTTGTAGTCTATTTAATTAACTAAACTCCACAAATAACACGAATAATACCACTTTTTGCCGCTTTTTGCTATTCTTGTTTATTTACAGCAGCCAAATTTAAAATTATTTTATTATTTCTCTTCATTGTATAATTAATTTTCAAATAGTTTAACTGAAAATTATTTCAAATTTGTGTCAATATTTAATTTTTAGTGACAAAATTATATTTATGTAAAAAAAATTTTAAATAATTTAAATAATAAATAAATATAAATAAATGAAAACCAAATTTAAATTATAATTTAAAAGAATACTAGCTAGAATAAAACAATTTTTTTACAATATTATTATTTAGTTTAGCAACCATTGCATGGCTTAAGTTAAATAAATAAAAATTTAATTTAACTTGCAAATTTCTGTAGTGTAGAGTTTACATTTTTTTACAACGCGCGTAATTTTGGAAACGTGATCACAAAAGCTAATTTTACCTTTTACGACGAAAGGCAATCTACACTGTCATTTGTGTAACGTTACTCTCTGGTTAGAGCTATTTCATGCCCTTTAAAATTGTTACAAAATTTCAATTGGAAAGGTGATTTTAGTGAAATGAGTTTTGTGATCGCATTCTCAAAAGCGGCAAATGTCATCGGGCCAATTAACTCGAATCGGCACATCATTTATTATTGCATCATAATTGGGATTTTTTACTCGAATATGAAATGAAAAATCTGATGGAGAATGCAAAAGATCCCATGATAAGTTTTCGCAACAAAATCATGCAAATCGATTCGACGCAGAACCAAAATAATCTCCTTTCATCATTAAATTCGAGATGAGAAATTAACCCAAGCGCGTCGAATTCTGAGCGGAATCGAGTTTCGTTGCGCAAAATGAGTTGAGCCTCTGATACGTATCATTCCTACGAGGATAATCCATTTCCTCTCTATTAAGAGACGCACGCCCTCACACACACCGGCCGCTTTTTAGTAATGTCGCACTAACGCAACGCAACTGGCTTTCCTTTCTCTGTTGTGCTCCGGATCAGGTTCTCGCTCCCTGCCTGATTTCAATCCACAAATATGTAATGTGATGACGCAAAACGCGACGCGCATTTAATGCATTATTTATTTCTCATATGGCAGCTGCGGAGCCGCAATTTGTTTTAATCTTCGCATGCGATACATTTTACACATGAGATATTATATATTTTAGCGCGAATAAAACAGGGACGAGGGAGCTCTTTACGCGTGACTCACGTTCATGATTATATTATTTGAATTTAATCAAGTTTAACAATGAATGGGATGTGCGTCGAAAATGAAAGTGATTAGCTCAATAACACCTGAATTGCTTATAAGTGATTGTTATTCAACTCTTACTCTTGCAATAGGTAGCTTTTGTCGGGAGTGTTGCCTAATTTGCAAATAAATAAAGTTTAAACTAAAAATTGATAAGCAATCACTTATCTAAAAATAAAAATTTAAAATAAAAATTAATTATATGCTTAATATTTGCATTGCTTATTTCAATAAATTATTATTAGGTCACCTAATTTAGGTGTGTATAATTAAAAAACGATAAATAATCGTTTTTGTAATAAAATTGTGTAAAGACCAATGCATATTTGCTATATGAATATAAATTTTTGCCTAATTGTGCTCAATTCACACATGAATTTTAGAACAAGATATACCAAACAAATATTTTTTGTACATACTATTTGCAATTTAAACTTACTTAACTGGTTAGATCACTCATAATTTTTTAATGCCAAATTGAAAAAGAACGAGAATTATATTTTATTTTATTTATTATCTCCCAACTAATCTTTGACATAGATTCTGAGACAAAATTTATGCTTTTTTAATAACATCCGTTTTCTCAAAAAATCCCATACATTCTGATTTCTATCCAACAATAAGAACCAAAAGGTTTCAGTTTTACATATAAAAGGGATGGCAAAAGTTGAAGTCGCAAAAAGCATTTCATTAAATTTTATAATACGTCAATACGTGGCAATTTCTGTTTTATATGTTTGCCTCAAAAGTAGAGGGAGCAATAAAAAAGTAGAAAATTAGAGATAAAACGCAAAATCTACCGAGTTCACACAACTCTTCCATGCTGCGGTTTTCCGTTAAACACCACTTTTTACGGTCGCTCTCAAGTAAAAACAAAAACAGATAAAACGCATACAAATTTGGTCTTCTCCACAAAAGCGCATGGTTTCGTTTTTACCGCAGAGTTAACGACCGTTTTACCATTATTGTTATTGAGTGTGTTAGTGGCGGGGTAAAAAATAACTTTCGACAATGGATATGGTAGACAGATCTAAAACACTGATAGCAATTAAGTCGCTCAAAAATTGATGCTCTTTTAACGTGCTCACGACACGTGAAGAAGTGCATCTGCCCTCATTGCAGTTTTCAAAAGTACGTAAATAATTAAATAGTTAAAATTGTATCAATGAAGCTGAAAAAGGTCGCACTATCAAAAATATAAATAATAAATGGAAATTTAAATAATCAGCATAAAATAACAAGATTTTATCTTTCATTTTTTTGGCAAGAAGGCAAAACTTCTAGAATATCATTGAAATAATTATTATATACGGAGTGTCACGAAGTAAAATTTAGATTAGAAATAAAATTTTAGTTCTTTGTCCATATTTTATAAGATTTTTTTTGCAAGAAGATCCCAAATAAAATACGGTCTGTATAAAAATTCGAGAAACATCTACAGTGAGACATGCAAATTGTATTATTTGCAGAAATGCACCGTTCGTTAGTGTTAATTGAGAGCTGTACGTACGTGTAGATGTATGGAGGGCACATCAAAGAATTTTGGCAACGGCAGAATAATTACGACGTGCAAATTTTCACGCCTGTCCTCCTGTGTTTATTTGCGCGGCGGAGCTTTACTTGTTTCGTTCACTCGCACACCCAGACGCACTCAAGAGTCAAATGGAGTGCTTCGCGTTTGTCGCTCACGGTTCAGCGTGTTTTAATATGTAAGATCGCGCAAAAGGGAAGGGGTTAAAGCGTTGGAATGAACCTGCTGCGAAAGACGGTCGCGGGAGGAAAAGAGAAAGGCTTTCAGGCGCTCTTAAAATTTGCGCCGATATCCTTACATAGTGATAAAAAAAAAATGGAATTATCATTTTTCTAGTAAATTTGCGGAAAAATAATGGAGGGTGAGATTTAATAATGCCTTCATTTCTTACACCGGTGAGAACGTTTAAATTAACGTTTAATTAATATTTTTAAAGAATTAATTTTATAAATAAACACCATCTTTGCGGTAATTATTAATTTTTTAAAGCGGTGCTCATTCTAAACTAGTTCTTTTTAGTCCACCACACTCTATTTGTAAAAAAAAATATTTTATGCTTTTGTTCTTCGTTCGTTTTGAGGTTTTTTTAAACTTTTGTAAAAAAAGGAGTAAATAAACTAAACAAATAAACGATATCTACAGATTCAAAAGTGGATTCATCTTACCTTTCAGAGTTAAGGAGGAAAGAGTAGACCGTGCAAGTTATGGCGGCAGACTGATAATAAACTTTTCCTCTATGGTCACCTTGATTTATATTCGCCTTCGGTTTATCCCCTGCTCTTTTTCTTTCCTTTTGCACGGACGTTCTCTCCTCTTGGTATTATTTTTCTTGGATTTCCCGCCACAGAAACGTCATATTGTGTGTCATCAATGCATCGACCGCTCTTTGCGTGGTGGCCCAAATTCAGATATTCTTCACCAATATTTTTTTCGTCACTAGCAGTTCCGCAACAGACTTCCACATTCATTTTGTTTTATCAAAAGCAAAAAATAAAATACACACATTTTTGTTTGGTTAGTTTTTTCATAGAAGACTAAGAGGTTTGAATTGCCACTGCTTATGTGTAAATTAATGAGATTTTTTACTTTAATTTACACAATATATAAAATATTTCATAGGTATTAGATGGTTATATAAAAATCCCTTGAAATGAGATGGAAATAAATGGCAATGTTTTAATTGATTAAATAAAATGATTTTTTGTTATTTCTTTTATTATACATTTTTTATTTATGAGACAGTTGTACAACAGAGTATTAATTTATACATAATATGCTTGTATATAAATAAGGTAAAGAGTCAAGACTTCTTTGAAAACAATGTTTGCAGTTTGAGTATTTCATACAAATCACAAAAGTACAAATATCAAGTTAACATTTTTGGTACGCTATCTGGGGACCACACTTATAAATTGTATTCCGTAGAGCATCATCATTTAAAAACTTTGGAGATCAAAAATAATTCCTTGTGATAAAACTAAACTAGGCACACAAAAGAGAGCGTTAAATGTTTAAAAAATCAAGGCAAGTTGTTACAATATTGTGTGTAGGCACTGCAATTTTTGTATTTTTTACCTTTCAAAATATGGTCTAAAATTTCACTGGATAGATTTTTGCCATGATACTTTGCACAAAAAGTATGAGAATGATGGTTACATGACACAGGAATGGCACGGTCAAGGTGGTCATTAATAATATAATGGCAGTAATTGATCATTTCGATTGTATAAAACAACATCTCTCGATGATATAATTACACATGTAGCTTTCTATAAATATACAACATCTGTACATTCAAATTTACAATATCCTAGTGAAATGAAACTACTGATGAGGGGGCTTTCATGGTGCTTTGGTGTATTTCCTCTTTTGAGCAGAAATTGCCTTTAAACCGACGTTTCCTCATTTAGGTCGGCAACCTCATCAAGCATATCATTCATATTCCTACAATGAGATGAAATTTTACAAAAATAGTACTAAGAACAAAATCCTAACTTAATGAGTAATTTTGAGATATTATATAAAGAAGAATTATTTTCATTAACGACAACCACTCACCTCTCTGAAGATGCAGTCAGATAAAAAAAGGAAGCAAAAATGAAGAAATTTGTATTAGTAAAAGCAGACCCAACGCACCAGTCATGCAGGTGATTTATTTAATTCTTATATAAAACATACTCACTCAGACTCAGAAATATTTGCTGCCGTAATCGGTGCGAGAATAGCGGGCATGTTCGCCAGGGGGTTCCTCATGATTCGGGGCAAAGGGCTGGGGTTCGGACTGTAGTAGTCTGCATGTGAAGGTGGCCTATTCATGTCGTTCATGGGACTTGGGCCCAATGGTCGGTTACTCTTGTTGGTAAACATATTCAGGTACTCTCGTGGGTTGCGGCCATTGTTGCCTGTAAGGTTAATTTAAATGTGAGTTGGTTTATATTATAAATTTGAATTTGAGATTTTTACTAACCAGAATAAAACATATATTTTTCTTCAAAACCAAGTTTCTTTTCAGAGTAGGTTTGGGAACCCAAATCGTTGAGATTCTCTTGTGAGTGGACCATTTTCTCGAGGTCCGGGGGGTCTGGCGGCGATTCCATTTCTGGCACAATGTCGAGCCCCCGGTGCGCCAGGCCGCCTCTCTCATCTAAGCAGTCTTCGTTATCTGACACAGTTGGTGTGGAACCTTGTCCTCCAGACCATCTGTCTCGAGCTGAAAAATTATTACTGTGAGCCTCCAAAAATGTGAAATTTGCACACTTACAATTGGAGGTAATGTAAGCGTCGGGCAGTTGGCTCGACCACCTGGGCGCATACATGGGCTTCAGGTCGGGGAAGAGGGGGCTTGAGTTTGTGGTAATGTTGAAGCCCACAGAAGTCATTGATGTGAGGTTGATTGTCTGCTGGGGCATTGCACTCACAGGAGGGTCAGTGATGTTGGGAACATAATGCGAAACATTGGAGACGGCAACGACCTCACTTTGAGAATCTGCTTGAAATTTTAAGCTTGTTAGAAAGCGTCCTACATTTTTATTAATTTTAGTCTGTACCATTTGCTCTCCTTTCAGCCTCATCTTCATCACTGCTATGACTAGACGCTAAGTCAAGGCTGGGACCTGTAGCCGAGTTCTCAGAGCTTTCAGACCCTCGTCTTCGTCTGACGTTTCTCCGATCCTCGTCCTCCTCCCTCAGAGTAACATCTGGGTCAAACTCACGCATGTAGGATGGAACATCGCTGGTAGAATTATAGTTGCTTGTTGACGTCGAGGTGTTTCTCAATTGAGTATCACTTCGGCTGAAGTAAAAATTTTAATATTTTCTAGTAAAAGCTGGGTGTATAAAATTACCTGTAAGGACTACTGCTTGTTTTGCAAGTGGACCTCGAAGTTGTGCTCGAAGTGGAAATACCTAAGTTTCTCCTCATCGAATTGCCGAATGCCCTGGAGGAGGCATTGTGGTATGCGAGTGCAGATCTCTGTTGAATAATAAATGGAACATTAAACGGCTGAAGGGTTTTTAATTTCTGTTATTTACCCTTGTTACATTTACAGTTGAATTTCCTCCGAGAGAAGACTGCACCGTGATGTCAGCCATATCAGTCATGTCGATGGGCGCTTTCTTGCCCATGCACCGGAGCACCAGACAGTAGAGTGAGCGCCTGACCTTTTCGTTAATGACGCAGTAGCCCAGCAGGGCAAACGCTGCTTGCAGTATGATTGCTGCCGAGAGCAGCAAAAAGAGCACTTGCTCTTGCTCACTGGCAGCCAGCACGGCCAACACCCACGTAAGACCAAGTAGAGGCAGGCTGACCACTGCCAGCCACAGTAGGGTGCGAAGGTTGCCAAAGTCAAGGATGTGGTCTTTGACTGTGAACGCGGCCTTGATTGCGAACAACAAGACAATCAGGTTGATGACAACCAGTAGGCAAACGGGGCCGATCAGACTCCACACAACCACTTCGTAAATGCTCAGCCAGCAGCTAGAATTATAAATGTGTAAAAATACAGGCACAAAAAAATAATTAATTTTGAATTACAAGTAATAGTTGCCAAATTCATTCACTCGGACTCCAACAGCCAAACTGACAATAACAGCTGGTAGACCGTAACCCAAAGTGTAGTAAAAGCGCATTGGGCCGTGATTGATATCCCTCATTTCAGTCAACATACGGTATAGGTGCAGTGCATCAATCACACTCCAGGTGAATGCACTCAGCCACGTGTAATGGAGTAGAATGGCAGATAACTTACACGGGAACTGGAAAAAATAAATTTGAGATTTCAATCAATAAATTTTAATTAGGTATATATAATAGTTATATTAATTTTTTTTTATTCCTAAAAAAAATGAATTAATCAAAATAAACTAAGTGAATTTACCTCGTTGTGAGCCATGAACCTGCGGCCCTTCAGAGCCACTAGGAAAACCACCTCAGCTAAAAATACACAAATAACCAGGTTGCGGTGAATAGAGTTTGAGTTTGTCTGAGCTCCGCCACGCAAAATTGACAAGCCAACAAGCACACAGAGTAGCGTCGGCAGTGCCAAGGAAAAGGCTAACCAGGTGACAATGTCTTCAAACAGCCCTGGCTCAGGGATGTACTAAAAAATTAATTTCAGTTAAAGAAATTATTATTTTTGGGCTAAGAATATTAATACACACCTTTGTATCTACAACATCAGTTAAAACAGTGAATGTAGATAGGTGGTTGCAGGTGCAGTTGACTAGGAAGGGATGTGTTGGTGTCTCATGCCATCTTTCGGGTGTGCTTGTGTGGCAGCCAGTCCTTGACCATGATCCTTGACTGAAAATAAAATAACAAAAATTAAAAAATTAGTTTCTCCGGAACAATAAGTTATAAGTTCATCTATTAAAAAATGGCTAATTATTTAATTTATTTTATAAATTAAATTGACCATTTTTGTAAAAATTTTTTAATTTAATTTTGCTCTCTTACCCATTATGTTTCTGCCAGCTAACGCATTGTGGGTTCAGTCTTGGCGAGAGCGGCTTTGCCTGCAGCCACAATCTGAATCTGACTGGAGTGTTGAGGTGCCCTTTCAGCTTGTGGTTTCCAGGTGCCAAAGCAGCGACGGTGATGACAGGGGCGCCCACTCTGAGCTCAACCCCCCAGCGCTGGGTGACTGACGAGTCAAATCGGTTGGGGAACAGTTTGCCGACGTTCTTGAACTGTGCGTAGCTCAGAACAGCTCTTTGGTCTGCAATAGACTCTCTTGTGACATGATCGCCTTCTGATATTGGTTCTATGCCAAGGAGCTTGAGTGGCACCATTATTTTTGAGTGAGGGTCAAACTTTTCCTTGGTCTGCAAGTAATTGTTGTATTTTGGGAAAACGACGATCGGTCCAGAGCTGGAGTGCTGCGTGTCAATCTCAGGTGGCGACCCTGGTTCTTCTTCATCATCATCGACCACTTCGTCCAATTCGATAAGGTCACCAGTGTCTTCCAGGGGAGGTGCCAGAAACTGGGTTGTGTCGGGCAAGTGCACCCTCTCCTTGCTCAGAGGCGAGGCTGTGATCACTTCTGGCAAATTTTTATTCGGACTTTCATAGCCGTAGAGACTCTCGGAGGTGATCACATCTAAACCAATGACCATGTTCTCGGAGACGATTTCAAAAGGGTTGGTGTAAGTGTCCTGCTGGTTTGAGGTCAGCGTGGTCAGGTAGCTATCTAGGGCAGTCACAAGGTCAGCAGCCGTTTCAGACGTTTGCATTTCAATCCTTTGCCAGTGGCGTTCGTACTGTGGCTCTAAAATGGTGCTGGTAGTGACCACGATATTTCTGATGTAGTCCTTGTCTTGACTGTGCGTCAGATTGAGACCTTTTTCAGTGGTTTCGTATTTAATCAGGTGCTGCAGAAGTTGGGCAGCAATCAGCACATCAATTCCATATAAATTATTTGTCTGGTTCGTCGCTTTGTGAAGCTCAAAGGCCACTTTGACGGCGACAAAGGTGTTGATCTGCAAGTCATCCATCTCTAGCTGGCCGAGAACCTGTCGCAGGTCCATGAAGGCCTCCGAGGTGCAGTTGAATAGATTGGGTTCTGACCACCCTATGTCATCACTGCACGACCTGGATGCCTTTCCGTGCGAACCGTGAGGACAAGGCTCAACAGCCGTTTTGCCAAACAACGTTCGCTCCCACCAAATTGCAGAGGCGTAACTTTTCGGACACCCGTCGTAAATTACCTCGCAGCCGCGAAGCGTAACCTCAGCGTACGGATTCGGACAAGAGTCGCAGCGCCGGCCAATGACGCCGTTTCTGCACTTGCACTGGCCCGTTTCCATGTCGCAGTCGCGCCCATAAGACCCTGTGGCGTAGCAGCCGCAGTCGAAGCACTCGTCTGAACCCTTGGGTTGGTAGTGATTTTCCTTGCAGTAGCACTGTCCAGTGGTCTTGTTGCAGTCCGAATTGTAGCCCTTGTCTGTATTGCACTGGCAGGGCCCGCACACAGGATAGCCCCACCAGCTGGCAGGGCACGGCTGGTCGATTCGCACTTCGCAATACTCGCCGGAAAACTCATCCGAGTTGCAGTCGCACCGGTAGCCCTTGTCGGCCATGAAGTCATCCCTGCACTCGGCGGCGTTGTCGCAGGGGTTGATTTCGCACACGGGGGTGCACGCAGAGCCCACGAAGCCGATGTCGCACTCACAGGTGTATTCGTGCCACCTGGAGACGCACTTGCTATTGATGGGGCAGCGATTCGGCTCGCAAGGATCTTGCGCGCCTCCGCAGCCTTCGTCAACGTTTTCCATCACGGTGGGACGCTCCAGCCCTGCCTGTCCGGTGCCGATTCGCACGTCCTGGATGCAGCCCTCGTATGATGGACGCATCGCAATGGGACTTTCAGGGCCACCGATTACAATTTTGCCAACGTACATGCCTTGGATTTTGGCCGCAATGGGCATGGTGACCTCATGCTGGCCATAGTCCAGACCCAGCCAGATTTCTCCCATCATCCATTTGACTTCTACGTGGTGCCACTGGCCATCGTTTACCTCCTTCCCGTGCAGAATGACCGTTTCCGAGTTGTAACTGTACTCAATGAGGCCCTCGCTGATTGAAATCATGGCCGTGCTATTTTGGCCAACCTGGATGGACACCAACGAGGCCTCTTCCTGCAGTGTCCTGATGGACAGACTGTTCACCCAGGGCAGCTGAATTGGTCGCAACAGTGGGTTGAAGGATAAAATTCCGTCGCCTCTGAAATTCCAGGGTAGCCTCGACGACTCACTGCAGTCTTTGCCGCTCCACTTTTCAGGACAATCACACACAAATGAGCCCCAACCTTCTTTGCACTTGCCGCCGTTTTTGCACGGGTTCGAGTTGCAGAAGGGCTTTTTCTCAGGGCAGCCAACCTTTGTGTCTTTGTCTGCAACGTAGCTGTTCATGTCGATGAATTTGTGGTCGATTTGGATTTCGGCGATGCAGCCAATGAAGTCCTTGTTTTTTATCCTGAAGCTGGTGGGTAGCGATGGCAAGCCGCCGATTTGCAAGGGGCCTGTCAGGTCGAGGAAGCGGTGGCATGTTTCGGTAAAAACAGAGCACTTGTTGTCAAGTACGTGGTGCGAAAAGTTGGCGCAGGCCCACTGCTCACCCAATTTGGAGCCGTACTTGAGAGCAAGGGAAGTGTCGCACTCGTCGACGCTCAAAAGGGCAGTCTTGTTAAAGTACCGCACCTCCACCGTGTGCCACTTCCCGTCTGAGACGTACTTTCGCGTTGAAACGGTGGTAACGTTCAGTCCGAGAGAGAATGAAAATTGCAGTGCGCCGTTAATAATTTCCAATGCAATGAAGTCGTGCTTTTCGTTATAGCGGCCGTTGTAAAGAAGCAAACCATCCTCGCCTAGAGTTGCGAATTTCAATTTCAAGTTGAGACGGTGTCTTTGTCTGAGGGCAGGGAAAGTGAGGAAACTTCCTTTCGGGAAGCTCCTCGTTTTCAGTTCGCAGAGGCGATTGAATTCGATGCCTGGGGTGCAATGCTCGCAAAGAAAACCACCCTTGATGAGAGGGGCGCAGGTTGAACTGGAGCGACAAATGCCTGGCTGGCAGGTGTCATAATTCATGTCGATTTCGCAATTCTTTCCCGTGAAGCCCGATTTGCAGACGCAGGTGTAGCCGCCCTCCTTGCGCATGCAGGTACCTCCGTTCACACATGGGTTTGAGTAGCATAGGTTGACTTCAGTGTCGCACAAATAATGCTCGCGGCTGCCCGTGAAACCCGCAGCGCATTGACAGGAAAAGGTCGTCACAGGGTAAATGGGCCTGAAGAGCACCGTGTTGCTGTGAATAAAGCCGGATGCGTTGCCAAATTTCAGAACGGTGAGGCACTGCTCAAAATTCAGACATGGCTCTCGCACACAGAGGTTGTCATCAAAGGGCATGACCTGGACCGTCGCCAGTCGGGCCAGGATAGCCCTATTTAGATAAACACGCTCCTGCAGGAACTGAGCGGAGTAAAAAGCTTCAGAGTTGCTGTCAGGTCGGCGCGCGGAAATACTGACGTTCAAAATTTTGGTTGAGACGTCTGTGTCATCCTGAATGCTGAAGACGTACACATTTTCCTTCGGACAGGGAATAATTGCAGCCAACCCCTCTATGAAATAGTTCAACAAGGGAGACAAAAATGTCTGCTCAGTCATGTCGTTGAGACGCACAGTAATTGAATTCAGGAGCATTTCCTCCGAAATAAGACGGACGGTCAGCTGCATATTGGCCTTGACCTCATTGACGCCATCAGACACGGAAATGTCCATGGAGGCGATTTTTGGAACGTTGGTGTTCAGTTGCGGAGAGAGGGTGAGTTCACCTGAGGACTCATTCAGGTGGATGAGGTTGGCGTTGTTTCCACTGAGGATGCGATAAGAGAGCTTGTCGGTGACGTCAGCATCGAAGGCAGGCACTTTGCCAATATGTCCGGTTGGGAAGCAATTTCTGAAATTATTGAAGATCACCTGGAAGTCCTTCATTTGAGGCGCATTGTCATTGATGTCAGTCACGTGCACCTCAACATGCACGTCGTTTCGCAGCGGTGGTGAGGCGGCTCGGATGACCAGGTCGTACCGCTTGTGCGTTGACTCGTAGTCCAACTCAGTCATGGTGATCAACTCAGCCACTCCGCTTCCAGGTCGGGCCACCAACGAAAAGGCCGAGGCGTCGTCTCCTCCAACAACTGAGTAGTGAATTTCAGCATTTTGTCCTTCGTCCGCGTCTTTGGCCCTAATTTCTCCCACGGTTGAACCAATAGGCGAGTTCTCAGGAATGTACAGCACCAATCTGTCAGACTCGAAAACGGGTGGTGAATCGTTGACGTCCTCGACCTTTACATGGACAGCCACCGTACTGGTCATCGGTGGAGAACCTTTGTCAATGGCCAATGCTTTTAGCTCGTAATTAGCTACACTTTCTCTGTCCAACATTTTGGCTGTTCTGATTACACCTGAGGTAGGATCCACACTGAAAGAACCACCTCCGTTTCCACCCGGAGGAAATGCGTACGAAATTCTGCCATTTATGCCATGGTCGACGTCTGTGGCCAAGATTTGAACAACACTTGTCCCAACCAAAGCGTCTTCAGGCACCGATCCTTTATATTGCGCCTGGCTGAACTCTGGAGCGTTATCATTCACGTCGTGCACCACGATTTCTACGTCAGTTGTGTCAGACAAAGAGGGGTTGCCGCCATCCCTGGCAGTCACGGTCAGCAAATAAGATCCTGTTTTTTCCCTGTCTAGCAGTTTGGTGGTTGTAATTGCGCCAGTCTGCGGATTGATAGAAAATGCCATTTCATCGTGACCACTGATTTCTCCAGCTGGCATTTCAGAACCATGTGCTCCTCCGAGATAATAAGTAATTTGGGCGTTTTGTCCGACATCTCCGTCTGTAGCTCCAACTACAAGGACTGTAGTTCCAACTGGCGAATCTTCAAATACGTTTGCTGAGTAGGGAGCGTTTTCAAAGACAGGCGAGAAATTATTTGCATCAGTCACGTTGATATAAACAGTAGCCTCGTCGTGGCGACCACCCGAGTCGGACGCTGTCACCGTCAAGATGAACTTTTTCTCCAGTTTGAAGTCGAGAGGCTGCGCCACAGTCAATATTCCTCTTCCACCTTGCGCCGTGATACCAAAACGGCCACGCACGTTGCCAGCAGATATTGCGTAGTGAAGGCGCGGATTTTCATCACGGTCCGTAGCTGTCACAGTGGCAACCGGCGTTCCGGGAGGAGCGTCCTCCGCCACCGAGGTTTCATAAATTCTCGGATCAAAAACTGGATCATTGTCATTGACGTCCTGCACGCTGATAATTACGCTTGCAGTTGCACTGCGCTGGGGCTCACCATTGTCTGTTGCAATCACTTGGAACTGGAATCTTGCTTGCTCCTCCCTGTCCAAGGCCCTGGTGGTGTAGACCCAACCGGTGTCTGACTGAACTGCAAGAGGCATGTCTTTCGAAAGACCTCCACCTTGCTCCCTATCACCAAGCGTGTACACAATGGCCGAGTTGTTGCCCTCGTCTGCATCATAAGCCTGCACTCTGACAACGCTGGTGCCCACAGGTATTGATTCGGGCACCGATTCTTGGAATAGTGAGGTGTAAAAGCGTGGCGCGTTGTCATTTACATCTTGAACGTTAACAAGCAATTGGGTCGTGTTGGTCTTGGAAGGTCGCCCACCGTCCTGTACCCTGATAACCAGTCGGTACTGCCTCGTTGTTTCATAGTCAAGCGCCTTCACCAAAGCAACCTCGCCAGTTAAACTGTCCATGGAGAACTGGCCTTGTGTGTTTCCGCCAATGATTGAATATCGGAGAGCGGCGTTGGCTCCTTGATCAGCGTCCTCTGCTTTTACAGATCCAATAATTGGATTTTGGCTCCAATTTATGTCTTCTGGCACAAGTACGGAATATGTTTTTTCAGTAAACTGTGGATAGTTGTCGTTGTCGTCCAAGACTTTGATCAAAAGAGTGGCTGACGAGGACTTGCGCTCTGCAACAGGTGCCATATCTGTGGCCACAACCAGAAGGTGGTACATTTCTGTGGTTTCTCGGTCCAAGTGCGATCTCGTAGAAACAATTCCAGAACGAGGATCAATTTTAAAGGCCATGTCTTCCTCATCGGAGGAATTAGATTTTAAGCTATATTCAATTTCAGCATTCCTCCCAGTGTCTTGATCTGTTGCTCGAAGAGTGATTACGGTGGAACCAACAGAGACGCTCTCTCTGACGGTGGCTTCATATTGAGACGACTCGAAAGCTGGCGCATGGTCATTCACGTCAATCACATTGACTTGCAGAGTTGTGGTGCCTGTTCTTGGTGGAAAAGAGTCGTCAATTGCTGTGACTCGGAAGTAGTGTACATCAACACTCTCTCGATCCAGCTTAGCTTTCGTCGAGACCATACCACTCGATGAGTCAATTCCAAAGAGGCCTTGTGACCGTGAGTCTAGCAAAGACACCATCGAGTAGGTAACTGCTGCTCCCTCAGGGTCATGTGCAGACAAAGTTGCAACCTGTTAATTAAAAAAATAAATTAATGTTATGTTTATAAAAATAAAACAATCAACTTATTTATAAATTGGAAAAGTTCATAATTCAATTTAATTAATTTAATATTGCTCTATTTTTAAACAAACCTGTAGTCCAGGTGCTTTTTCTTCAGTTGCTGAAGCCTGGTAGAGAGCTTGTTCGAAATAAGGTGCTCTGTTGGCCAATTCTCTCCTCACCCTGCCTGCTAACATGGTTGCAGCTGCTGTTAGGGATGTATCAGAGGCGCTGATAGGGGTTGACGAGGCAGGCAGAGAAAGGAGCGCGCCTCTTTTGTGGAAAACTATGCGCAGTCTATGATCACAGTCCTAGAAATTAAATTTATTAAAATCCCTGGAGATTTGTAAAATGCTGCAAATCACTTGTATAACTCCTTTGTTAGTGGAGGACAAAGTGTTGGTGGTAATGCAACTGAGAGCAAGAAGCACCCTCACTTCCCAGAGTGGTTCTGAAAGGCAGAGATCAGACGTGACAACCAGATCACCACCCTGAGGCTCAGCTGCAAACCTCGGGTCACTTACTTCCACATATCGAATCTGAAAATATTAAATATAAAGTTAAAAAATCATTTTAATAAATTATTAGTTATTAATTTGAAAATAAACCAATGTTTGAAAATTCAAAAGCAAAAATAATTTTATATAAAGAGTAAATTTAATTACCTCGCAATGTTCTTGCACCGTAAAAGGAATGAGAGAAGTAAGGGAAGCAATAGGGTCACTTTTCTTCATACAAATTGGCCCACTAGGTCTTCCAGGTACCAAAATCTCCACATCCTACATGGAAAACAGTTTTTATTTAAAAACAAATATTTTTTGTTTTAGAAAAAAATTACAAATTGCTGTTGGTACTGCAACCGGACGGCAGCCTCTCTTTCCAGCTCTTCGTCACTCCAAGCGGGAATTGAGTAGGAAGCAAACGTTTCCGAAACCCACCGCTTGGCCTGGGCTACCCCACCGCCCTGTTGGCCTTCGTCCAGGGCGGCTGGACACGCGACCAATATCCGGAAGGCCAGGGAGTGGTAATCTTTGGGCACATCGCCAAGGTGTCCAAGCGTCACACACTCAATGTGCAAGGAAAAAAGATGCGGATATTTGATTCCTGCGAAATAAAAACATTCAGATCCTCAATTATAACAAAATACAAGTCAAATACCTGAGCAATCCAAAGGTTGTTTTAGGTAAACCCTTCCAGTAAGGGCGTCCACCCTGAAGAGCTGAGGCAGGAAGGGCGCACTCCGTTCTGTAGCCAATCTGTACAGCCTGCGCGGGCCGAGGTCGGGAAGCGCCGAGTTGACGATCTGGGTGCCGGGGGGCAGGTCGGGGGGCACCAGCAGCAGGAAAGCGTGGCCCCCGGCGGCCAACAGCGCCCCTGCCGCTACCACCACTAGCCACGACAGCCGCATTTTGGCTCACATCAGCTCAGCATCTGAAACAATTATCAAAATTGAAACTTTTTAATTTGAAAATAAAAAATGAAATTATTTTCCAAAAAAATAACTTTTTTCTTGTAAATTTTTTAAGGACAAGATTTTTTTATGAATGCATTTTTAGAGCTCATTCTAGCTTTCCTCTAATCTAGTTAAACACCCAGCGCAGCTAAAATTTTCTACTTGATTAAACTGAAGTCAAGGAAGTGTCAACAGGCCATTAGTTAGAAAGAAATTGAATTTTCTGCGAGCCAGTCGGCTATTTGCTTGCAAAACAGTGGTAAAGCAAAACAATTATTCTGAACGACACTTTGATGCGAGGACGAGCCAAGCAAGAATGGCGAGAGATTGTCATCTCGACGGGCGGCAACAAATTTCGTTATTCCTCTGGCTCAAAGCCAACGTATGTTCCCCGCAAACCGCATAAAGAATTTTCGTTTTCATTTTGCTGTTCGCTTTCATGCACATAACGCAGTGCAAGTGAATGTCTGTCTATTTATTACGTTCATATCATCTTGTTATTCTATTCTTTGTTATTACAAAAACTTCCCACCGGCATGGGAGGCGTAGGAGCCGATTTTCATTATTTCTTTTCTCACGAATTGCTTATGAGAAAATTTTTCGAGCAGATCAGTGAAATTCAAATTGTGGTTGTTTGTGTGTCATTAGAATTTCAGGGCCTCTATCTTCTCGATTACAAGCTGCGTCCGCCAGGGGAGGGGCGAAAACTAGTTTTTCAGCTCTCGGTGCGCTTATGAGCAGATCGGAGATGACTGTGTGTCCCATATGAAGTGCTTTGGGAGGTTGAGTTTCTCTTGCAACAATGACAGAGGCAAGAAAATATTTCCATTGAATAAAGAGTGATCTAACCTAGGGCATTCCATTTTTATTTTTAATAAAAAAGCCACACAAATTGCATCATTCTAAATTGATGAACAAATAAAAAACTAATAGAATTGTTAAAAAATTTATATAAAGAGTAGGAGAAGTTGTTTTTAATTAACTTTGGCAATTTGGCCAGAATTAGACAGCGTCCGAGCACATTTAATTTTTGCACGCAGCTGCGAAATTGTGCGGTTGTTTTTCGCATGCACTTATGCGACGCTTTCATCTACTCAATTAAGGCATAAAGCGGCGTGTAATTGGGCAAATTCGCCCGTTCCTCCACCGCGCGTTACACATAATAAAGTTTCGGCTGGTGGTGCTGGCAGTGCAAGCCGGCAAAATTGCGTCGTTAACCGCGCGCGTCTGAATAAATTTTAAGCACTTTTATTACTTTTGCACCTCGTGAGCGCAGTAAAAGCGCCAGCTTTCCCGACAATTTCCCAGGCAAAAAGCACCCGCCTGTTCTCTTATTAATTTCTGTCGGCTGGCTGATTCTCGGGCAAGCCAGGTGGAAAAATTCTGGTCGCTCAAACGAAGTTAATTCAACAGCGAAATTGACAAACAACTTTTCTGATTGACAAGGGAGATTGTTTTTTTGCTTTTCCTCGGACCCAATTTATTTTTTATACTGGCGGCAGTAAAGTTTGCTGTTTGGTTCTATCGTTTGCATCTCCAAGCGGAAAGAAAGCGACGGGCCTTATGCTCTTGCGCGATGTGAAAACGGATGAATAATGCAGCACGGCTGCCGACTTGGATGATAAAATATGTGTCTCTCTCAACAAGTTTGGGTAAACTCGCTGGTCTGCTTGTGGGCGAAATGCAGTTTACTTGAAACAATCTTTGATGACCAGTTTATTTCATTGAAATTGATCATCTTCACACAAAAAATCATTAGTCTACAAAAATAAATATATTTCTGACTAGAAGCCAATAAATTAAGATTCATGAAATTTTATTAAACCGGTGTTTTTATAATTTTTAGTAAATATATTTGCTTATTACAATTATTATTTCCGTAGTTCTGTACCTCGAATACTTGCATCCTTTTATTTCGCTTCCAAAATTTGTTTACAAAATGTCTGCACCAATTATTAAAATTTTCCATATAAATAAACATTTTCCCACTGTGTTGACTGAAAAATAATGATTCAAAGCAAAGTTTTGCATAAAATTTCTTTTGTTTCTCAAACACGTCTGTCTATTCCACAAATATCCAACAAAATTTCCAACCAAACAACCTTCTTTCTACCAGGGTTTCATAATATTCTGGAGATCTGCAGTGGTTATCTTTTACATTGCAAATAAATTAAGATTTCATCTGTAAATAATTTGTGGAGAAACAGCTTCACTTGTTGATTTGAATTTGAGGAAGTCTACAAGAGAATACAAATTTATAATAGAAAAGAAATCCTGATGTTGAAGCAAATTTCTTTAAAGCGCTGAAGCCTATGAAATCCAACCAAATTCCCAACCAAATAAATATCCAATCAAGTTTCCAACCAAAAAGCGACATTCCTACCAGGGCTTCATGCTATTCAAGAGGCATACTGTCGTGTATATTACTTATAATTTCACTAATTTCAGATCCTTTTAGCAAACTGAAATAAACTTTGTAGTTTTGTTAGAATTTGCGAAATATCAGCTTCATTCTTGATTTGGATATGAGGAAGTCTACGAGAGATAAGAAGTTAAAAATAGCAGTAAAATCTGGATTTTTGTAGAAGATACTTCTTCAAAGCTCTATCAAATCCAATCAAATTTCCAACAAAAAAGTGGCATTTGTACCAGGGCTTCATGCTATTTGAGAGAGACACTGCGTTGTTTTTATTACTTGTAATTTCAGATCCTCTTTGAATACTTAACTAAATCTTAAAGTTATTTGAGAATTTGCGAAGAATCAGCTTCACTTATTCTTGAATTGGATTTGAGGAAGTCTACAAGATATAAAAAATAACAGTAAAATCTAGATTCTTCAAATCTCTATCAAATCCAACCAAATTTCCAATTATATTTCCTATCAAATTTCCAACCAAACAGCAAAATTTCTACCAGGGCTTCATGCTATTTTAGAGGCTTACATGCATGCAGTTGTTATTTTTTATTTTTTATTTGAGCTCCTAATCGTTAGAAGATACGAAGCCACAGCTTATTCCTTGTGGTGCTCATGAAAATAAGGATTTTTTTCAACCAAACAAAGATATTTAAATTCTCCACAGCATTATTTTAAACCAAATATAGCTTCAACGCTTTAAAGGAAGAATATCATCCCAATTTGTTGGAAGTTTGGGACGCCAGCCAATTTTCCACGACGCAAGTTGCGATCAGTGTATTGAGAGAGATAAATTTCGGCGGCTGCAAATTGGAATTTATTTGCGTGCGCGCCGGTGCAAAAAGCACACACGCTGCCGAGTGGTGTGTGTTCGAAAGCGTAAACAAGCCGGCTGCTTTTCAACCCTTTGGCGCCCCCTGCTTTCCTCGGCGGACGCACGAGTTTCGCACCCCCAGCTGCACTTTTGGATTATGATCCGGGGGGCTCCATTAAAGGCACATACGCACACATGATACTGGAAGAAAGCGGCCTTTCGCACCATTATTAATAATTAATCCCAGCAGCGGCAGCAGCGGCGGCGGCGGGATTATCGCATGCTCTTGTGCGCGTGCCGTTTTTGCATTTGCAAGGAGGGGCTGCTGCAAAAATGCAAACAACTTTTTCGGATTAAGCCGAACGGAAGGTTGTTCTTTCGCATATAAATAAAATAAGAGTCGGCTGCCAGTTTTACTTTTTATCGCCTTGGAGGGAAAGAGCATATAAATATTTTTCTCTCTCTAGTCGCACGCAACGCACGTTTTTCTCTTCAAAAAAGAGCCGAGAAAGATATTTGATCCTTTGAGAGTGTGTATAGCGCTATCATCATTAGTTTCTTTTTGGCTTTTTTTATTTTTGTGTATTTTCCTCTCAATCTCCACACGCAGAGATAATTTCGTTTAATGTGATGTCATGAAATCCGAGAATTCTCATCTATGCTCCTTAATTCCCTGAGCAATATGAAAGAATTTATGTTGAAAAGAAACACGAGACCGCGAATGAAATACTGCCTATGAAATAATATTTTAATTAAGCGTTTCGCTGCTGCAGTAATTACAGCGTATAAAATGATACGATATGAAATTTAGTAAATAAAAGCGTTTAATTAAAAAGCAATGTTCAATATTTATTGCTTTAATCACAAAATGAAATAAAAACATTTTTTTTACGGCTTAATAGAGTTTTACAGCACAAGAATGGAACGAACTTCTAATATCAAAATTTATAAACAACGTTATTTTCCTTCAGTGTTTCTTGTCTGCTAAATGTATCGCTTCTGTTAAATATTAAGATTGGTCAGATCATTTTATGTTTTTTAATATTAAATAACATTATGGAATAATTTAAGACTTTAAATATTTACTTTTTCCATTAAATTTCTCGGAAACGTATTAAATTATTAATATTTTTATACTTAATTCTAAGATATATGTGATTAAATGTTGATTTTTCGATTCGATAAAATTGATCAATAAACATAAATTTAATTTTCTGCTACCCAAAACTGTCAGACAGGATTTCAATAAAAAGCAATAAAAACTATATTTTTTAAAGAGGTTCTCAAAGGTCATGCCCAGGATATAAAGAGCTAACATTAAGTTGGAACGTTGCGTTGGGGAATATACATAATATGTTTTAAAATAACATAAAAGATTTGCCTTCTGCGACACGCCGAGGCATTTTCAAAAGTCATCTCGGCACTTTTTGCTCATTTCTCTCTAACAAGTAAGCAGCGGCAGTTCTCCAGTGAGAATTTCTGCTGCTCATTTGTCTGTCCATCCTCCGTGGAACTCCGCGCGTTGTAATCGACCAACAAAGTCGTTTTTCGCTGGCAAGGTGGGGAGCATTTCATTTGCCTGCTCATTCGCTCGCTGGCTCACTGCAAGGCGGCGAGCAATGAACTCGAAACAACGTCCGATGATGCGAGAGAGCCGCCGGAGAAAAATCACACTCGGCGACTCGAAGGCTAAAAACTCGCGCCGGCGAGAATTTCTTTCGGCCTGTGGTCATTGCCGGACGAAAGAGATAAACATGAATATACCGACTGGGTTTCAAAATTGGACACATATATTTCAGGCAGCCGCACCCGAAAAGAAGATTGGAAAATAAAAAGAGGCGGAATTAGAAACAAAAAAATCCACAAAAGCACTTTATGGATTGATAAAATTATTACCTGCAGGTATATATAGAAAAAAAATCAAATTTGGTTTATGTAATAATGCAGTTTTTGAGACAATTTGATATAATTTAAAAAAAAAATGCAAACGTTTTGTAAAATGTTTTTAAGTGAACTGGAATTCCTCTCTGGATTCTCAGCAGCTTTTTATGTGTTTCGCGTGCTAAGCAAATACCAAGTGTAATTTTAAGGAGGACTTTTCCGAAATGGCCTCCGTTTCTTACGGCTGAGTGTCGTTGTCGTAATACTGCTTTATTTCTTTCGCTACCTTTGCTGCTCTGATGATCTTTTTTACGACCCCGCGCCGGCCATAAACGTGAGAGACGTCGCGCTAAAGTAGAAATAGCGAGAAAAGGCAGAGACCTCCCTTTAGCCAGGCAAAACTGAATCCGCGCTATACACCTCAAAAACCGCAACAGCTAATTTTCTTGGTTTATTTAATTTTAATATACGACAATTGCATTTTTTTAGTCTCGACATGCATAAAAAAAATTGTAAGTATAGCACGTGATTCATCAAAAAACCGCAAAACTTTATTGTCCAAAATTTTTTCTCTTTTTTCCACCGTCATCAGTGGTGCGTGCAGTAAAATTTGAGCTCATTCGGGCAGAAAATTAAAAACGAACGACGCTCCAAATCGGAAACGCGACGGCCAGCGAGCGAAATCAATTATTCGTGCGCGTGTTCAAATTAATTGGGGGTGCCCTCTGGTAAAATTTACTGTCGCAGAGGATTACAGAGCGAGGTGGATTAAAGGAAAATTATCTGATTACCTTGGTACGAACTCGGTCGTGCTGGCCGCATCCTCTGCGGCCTGAAATCGGCAGAGTCGTTGTCGTCACTCGAACCTTCAAAATTCGATCACGATCTGCAACAACAGAGAAGAAGAGAAACGTTAGATGCAACGAGCAACAAAAACGGTCTAACGTGATGGTGCTTTTTCTCGTCAATGAGAGAGACATCGTGCGGAACAGATATAGTTATGGTAACAGGACAAGTACAGAATTTCGCTAAAAAAGAAAAAATAATAATAATAATCAAAATTCAAGAATTTTTGTAATAATTTATTCACTCAACATCTTTAAATCTCGATTTAATCTTCCATAAAAACTCTGATTCATTTTGCTGGCTCATTGATTATCAAATTTCCACCAGATTTAGTGGCGAAAAACCGTTGCGCCTTATAAGGCAGGCTCTTATGGGCTCCCGTATATTAATTTCCACGAAAGCAGATAGGATGAGGAAAACGGCCGGACGGACGAGAGCTGCCGGCACAAAATTGGTCTACGAGTATTTTTTACGAGAGATTATTTTATTACGAAGGTCGCGGGATTCCTTCCTTGCTCTTCTCACGCCACGCATCAGGCGCAGAGCTGGGTGCGGAGAACAGGGCAGGTACGTCAGCGGCACCTTCGAGAGGCGCACCGCGGCACGACTTTTCAACTGCCTTGCGCTCAGGGTTCGGCAGTTGTATTATTTATGGTTGTCTGAATGGAAATCATCTCGACTCACAATCGGACCTATCGCGATCGTTTTCATTTCAAACTTCTTAATTTTCAAAGCGAAAGAAGCGATGTTTTGACTGAATGGATTCGTAGTCACAAAAGTTAACCTAAGGTTTAATGCAATTACGCGTGACGTGCAGAGATCAAGAGCTAAAGCAACTCTTTTTCACGCCGTCAGCGGCAACGAAAACAGATTCATTTGGATAATAAAAGTCAATTTGAACGGTGAAACGTTTTCGAGTGCAGACAACAATGTAAAGAAATTGTTCCCTGGTGCTGCCGGCAGCAGTTTCTCGCCTCGGGCAGCTTTACTTTTTTTATTATTCTGAGCGTCCTGGGAGCGAAATCTCCTCTTTTCTCGAATGAGCGAGAGCCGATTTTCGTTGCGTGAGCAAAAATTCTCACTCAAATGAAAAGGAATGCGTCCGAACCCAAGAAAAACGTCGAAATCGGCACGCGATTTTATTCAAATTGAATAACCAGATTTTATTTCTCATGCGCGAGTGAACGGTTTATGCTCTAAATATTCTTAATGACTATATAAAATTGTAAAATTAGAATAACAAAAGTTGAATATGAAGACTCTGGAAAGAGATTTGAGCAAAACATTGTAAAGAATAAAATGAAAATTAATTAATTCTATATTTTAACTGAAAACAAAAGGAAACCAATTAATTAACATTTTTGAAACATTTTGAGTGATTGCATGCATATTTAATAAAATTAATTATTTTATTGTTTAATTTCCCTGATTGTGAGAAAGAGCAAACTCTGTGCAGTTGAGCATGCCATAGCGATATAATTATTCGAGCCGCGGCGATGCTATCTCTTAAACGCCGCGTCGATTATGTAAACAAAAGTGCACACCGACATTTTTCCGCTCGGCCAGGTGGAAAAAAGTGCCCATCGCGTTTCTAAAATTGTGAAACGGTCGAGGAAATAAAAGAGAATCGCATACGAATTGCCGAATTTCGCTCGACATTCACCGATATAATGGCCATCATGCCCCTCGAAAAATCATAATCATTGCGGGGCACATGGAGAGGGCGATTGCACGAATAGGAACATAAAAATGTGGCACGTGATGGCCTCAGTAGCTACATTTTATTTTACTGGGCAGGGAATAAATTTCCATCGTCCTTCAATCACATTCTGATATTCATAAAAATATGATTATTCCAGAATTTTTAATGTTTCTAAAAAAAAAATGAAGACCTTGTGTGCGGTTTTTAACCCCTAAACGCCATACCTTATGTTTTAATGAGGTGTTTTGTTGGATTTTTATACTCAAAAGTTAACTAGCCAAATCATTTCCTAACAAGTCTGGTGCGGCCTCTTGGCAAAACTTTGTTCCCAAAAGCAAAAGGCACGCCGCGGTCATTAAAAAGAGTCGCTTCCGTCGGCAGTCACGCACTAATGATGAATACATATTTTGCAAAAAAGCACAAACAGTTGGAAAAAAATTATAAAAAAAAAATACTGGATTGAAACAAATTAATCTTAATGCTTGAAACAAAAATTTTAATGCGCAAAACTATTTCTATAATTTTTATATTGTTGATTAATTATAGAATCTTTTATAGAAGTCACAATATTTGCATCTTTCCCCCAAGGATAAAATGGATAAAAGCTTTTTCAACAATATGAGTAATTTTTCATTGTTAAAAATATCTTTTAATCGTGCAGGGTTGTTTCAATAATTAGAATTCATCGTTGCAACAATGATCCACTCTTGTATTTTGATAATCTCTTAAGCATTTCATTAATTAAGAAAAAGGTTAACATGCCCACCAAATGAAGCCTAAGTTAAATCCTTAATAAAAAGTTTTCATCCTTTACAAGGGAAAATAAAATGTATTTTCACCCTATCTTTATTTCTCAACACGGGGCAGACCTTAATTTGGCTCAAAGCCATTTTGTAAAGAATTTTACAGCCGAGAGAAACGTTTCTGGTTTCGGGGAATATCTTTCTGTGAATAAAGGCGAATATGCCTGCACATCCTGAAAAGGCCAATTTTGCCTGGGAAATTTGGTTTTGTTGTCTCGACTCCCTGCTCTTGTGGAGCGCGTCTTCGCCTCTCATAAAAAGCGAAGGAAATTGTGGCAGTCATGCATAACAAAGGCACAACACCTTGCTTCTTGGACTGCAAGAGGAGGTAGTTGTAAAGCAAAAAACTACCTGCCCGCCGCTTCTTCCCTCCCCCTCCCCCGACTATAAGATGCTTGAAGTTTTTCAGGCCTCGTCCTCTATAAAAAGAGGCGCCCGAGCACAAATAATATAATTTTACATGCAGGCGGCAGGTAGAAGAGTGAAAATGTATAATCAACCCTGTGTTTACAGCATTTAATTCGCCGCCTCTTCCTAATTTTGTTGCCTCTTTGGAATTTCTGTTTGTATTCTACCGCGCGTTAAAATTGAATTAGAATGATGTTGAGATTTTATCGCCTTGCACAATAGTTTTCACGTTTCAAAATTTTTATATTTGTGGTCCAAATATACTTATAATACAATGCAAGAAGAATAATATCTTCGTTTTGTTCAAATGCTACTTTAGAGGTCATTCAGTTAGTACTTTGAGGAAAGTGTCTTGAAATTGAAAAGCTTTTTTATAAATTTTTTAATCAAAATATAAACAAAAAATTTCAATCTTCTTTTTATAAAAGAAAAAGCCACAACGCTTTCTTCTGCCACTCAGAGATCAGGGATTGAGATAAAATTCAAAATTGTGCGCACCCCTGGAGCAAATTTCCCCGTCTTTCTCCAGAGCGAATTCAATTAAACGTGTGCCTGCAGATAAGCAGGTAAATAATTTACTCACTTGGGCCCGTGGGCGCCAATTTCTGCCCTCTGAAATAATTAAGCCGCGTCGCAACTTTTGGCGAAAATCGATGTTTCGCTTGCAAATTAACGCAGGGGTTCCGATGAAAATTCGCCCGCACATTCGACCGGAGGCGAGTCGAAATGAATTATTCAGCGACAGAGAGTGCGAGTCACTCTCGCGCTCGTTTCCATTTCTCCCCCATTTGGAAAATTATTACACATGCAATGCGTGTTTGTCAATTTGCGTCCCTCTCGCACTTCGCCAAAGCTTTGTTTAACAAAACATTTCGCCCGACGTATCCATTATTTCGGCTCGCAATAACCAAGAGAGAAAGGATTGTGCAAATAATATCGTCGGCGTATTATATTAATGCTCGGCATTCAAAAGAAAGCCAAATGGTTTCCATTCCATCATCAGCCTGCTGTTGACGCGAATGCACAATATTGATGTTTTCAACTGACAACAAAACATTTTCAAAAATTTATTTTGAATTCCACCATTTAAATTTTTTTCTGGAAAAAAAATGTTTTTCAGATATAAAAGGAGCTTAAAAAAAGTATTTTCCAAAATAAATTTAACGTGGATTCGGAAACCGACGTGAGCGAGAAAAACAATGCTCGGAACACAAATTAAAATGTCCAAATTTCAACATTTAATTGGAAATCTTAATTAATTTAAAAAAGATTAGGATTTCTGTTTCTAAAAAAAAAAATTTCCAATTAAAACTTAAAAATCAAGACAAACAGCAAGAAACAAAAATAACAGAAAAAAAACACTAAAAAATGAAAATAACTAAGAAAAAAATGTCTCACAAATTCAATTTCCAGTATAATTGCGTCCACAAACTTCCAAAAGTATTTTTATTGGAAAAACATGTTTGATGGGGTCAGTCTTTCCCAAATAAAAAAAACCACACGCACTGACCTTTTCCATTCTCCCTCTTAACACTACACGTCCCCTTTGACCGCAAATAAAAATTGCCGGCTGCCACACAAAGGTGTCTGAGCGAGCAAAATGCTCTTCTCTCTGCTTCCCCTAACAGTGCAAACATACACAGTGCTCTCTGGAATTTTCCTTTCCCTGCTCGATCCGGCCAAAGAAAGTGTAATACGCCGCTCTTACCTGGCTGCAGGCGATCAAGGAGGGTTGTTTCAACCCCGTCTCGTAAATCAAGCCACCCTCCTTTAGCCCGGCGCGTCTTGTGTTTTCAATATAGAAGGCGGACGGGGATTCCCTTCGAGCCTAATATCTTTTTGGCTGGCGAGAGAAAGAGCAGGAAAGAGCAGCCGATGTAAATTCTTATTTAACAGCCACCCGCCCGGCCGCTTAATTTATTATTTAACAGGGTTCATTCCGCCGAGTTAATACACCCCGACCAAAAGTTTCCGCGTCAAAAGTTGCACCGGCGTGCAAACTGCCAATCGACTCTGGTATGTAATTAACTCCGGTTTAATATAAAGAGGGGCTCAGCTTTGGTGAAATTCCGTCAATAAGAAAGGCCAAATTTTTGAATTCATTACACTAATGGTTCAAATTTTTTT